GCTCTTTCGTCTTCAGATTCGCTATCGGAACTGCTTGATTCGCCCTCGAACTCATTGAGATCTCCGTGATCTCCGCGGCGTCCGCGGCCAGTAGTCACAACCCGCACCGCCCTCGAGGAGGCTGCAGGGGCGGGAGCCTTTTGGCGGTATTTCGAACCTTGGGTCTCAATCTTGTGACGTTGGTGGCGGCGTCGCCTGGCCAACACAACGCTTTCGAGAGCTTCTGAGTCAGGCAGCCTCAACACTACCAGAGATCCGGCGAGATCGTCATCTTGGACTGTATCCATGTAGTGGTCGACGTGTTCACGTCGTTCTTCCTTGGTGCCATCATGGATCTTCAAGTTTGCACGTATCCCGGCCAGATTCAGCCGGTATAAGTAATCCAGTGGGTCTTCCTGACTCCCGCGCCGCATGTGGTAGTACTTGCGCGCGAGGGAGATCCCTTTACCGCAAAAGTGGATCTGGAACTGTTCACCCAGGTAAGTCCACGACGCGCAAGCGGTGCGGCTCAGCTGGTAATACCAATTGCGCGCAGGGCCTATCATCAAATCGGCAAATGTCAAGCACATCTCGTCTGGCTGCATCCGATCCCGTCGGAAAGCCGTTCTAACCTTGTTGAACCAGACTCGGGCGGCTTCTTCGTCATGTTCCTTGCCGCTGAAGTTCTTCAGTTCGGACACAGCCGATGCTCGCAACCTAGTCGCCGTGGACACAGCTGCGACACGACCTCCGGTTCCGCCACCTCCATCATAGCCGAGGTCATCGAATAGGTCATGGAGATCTCCTTGGTATTCCGGTTGTGTCTGGGATCGGTACCCGATACGTGGCCGAGCGGGAGACGCAGTGACTGGTTGCATCTCAACGTCTTCAGGCTCGTCTCGCTCGTTCGCAAACTGGTAAAGAAGGTCTTCAGCCACACCGCCGGGGCGATCGGGCTCTGTTGCAACCTCTTGAGCTTCCTGGATCCTCCCACGTGGTCCTCTCGCTGGGCGAGTCTGCACAATATTTGACACTTGCGCAGACTTCCCGCGTCCTACATCGTTTGCAGCGATCGCTGGGACCCCTTGCGCACGTTGTTCTCGGCGGGGCACAGGTGGGGCCGGTGGAGGCTTCTTGGTTGAGGTAGTGCTCCTCATGAGAGCGTCACCGTCATCTTCAAACTTGAAGGAGATCCGCGAATCGTCCAACCGAGGAGGTGTGAGGTCTCCGGTCGGCAACGGCGCGGATGAGTCATCTGCACTCGGGACGAGCTTCTGCAACACTGTGTACACCCGCGCGAGCGTAAGGACGGTAGTTTCCAGATCGTACTCGCGTACATCGGTGGAGATCCGCTGTTCATGTACCTTGAACCAGCATCTTCGAGCACGCAGAACAGCATCGTGACGGCGTGAAGCGGATCTCGGATTGTTAGCGTGCGCGGGTTGCGAACTGGACACGTGAGAGGCCATGGCATCGTCAGCCCCAACTTACGCAAGAGCGGATCTCTCTGGAGCAGGAACGCAAGCTCTTGACGGAAGTAGTTGACTTCGGCTTCACGAAATCGTTTGTCTTCATCGTGAGTGTCGTTGCTGGGGCCATGGACCGCTTGCGCCGAGATCTCCAATTTCTCCGTTTTCTTCTCGGCTTTCTCCTTCGCATCTTCGACTTCCATGTAGTCCATCGCAGCGTCTAGAGCATCGCTTCGGGCAGCGAGGTCGCGGATGACCCCTTTCAGATGCTCGCGCTCCAGGTTTCGACCTCGCTTTTCAGCGACGCCGGGGTCCCGCTTAGCAGCAGGTCCAATGGAACTCGGTTTTTGGACCGAGTCCCGGACGGCTCCTTTCGGAGCCTTAACGGGGAACTTCTCTTCGTAAACGAAATCCTACGGCCCAGGCGTCGCCATTGCCTGTCCGTCGGTGGACCTAGTGTTTTCACGTTTAACTTCCGCCGGTCCCAGCGGAGTTCCGTCTTCCTTCACCTCTCCCTTCACCTTCACGTCCCCTTTCGGACTAGTAGACCCGGGCACGCGCACCATTGTGGTGGAGTCCCTCAGATAAAACCTAATAAACTCCCACACGTGTCCTGCCACGCAACTACGGGGGGGGGGGGTTACCCCTGCAAGCCAAATACCCAAAGACAACGAGAACTAGTCCCGAGATCTCTAGGCCTCACCTTGTGTAGCAAGACTCGGATCTTTATCTAGCGTAATTCCTAGAAGACGTGTAATATGAAGGGGTGAATATGGGGTTCCTTACACTCGCAGGCAGAGACTTAGGTTAACTCTGTCGCGGATGCACTTGTACAGCGAGGTAACTCTTCCCACTGTACGACAACTTGTTGTACAATATGTACGAGATCTACTGGAGATCTCCTGCCGCAGCTAGTCTGCGGGTCCAAACCAAAGTGCGAGACGCACACCAATACCTTACTAAACCGTTTAGAGTGTCCTACTGTCGAACACTGAGAGCTGATCTCCTGAGTCCAGACAATGCAACACACTACGCTACTAGAAGGTTACCAAGGAGGCCAAATCAATCCAGAACCCCGAGTACACTTCGCAAGTAGGTAGGAAACAGTCACAGTACACACGTAGGCGCTAACCGCACAACACAAAGACTAATATGAAGAAGTACCTTGTCTCGTTGTTGGAAATTCTGAACTGAACAGCCTGGGTTTCGTAATCAGTCGCCGGCCTACTATACGGGACGCCGAGCTAGGGCGTCCCATAATTCAAGTGGCTCACTCTCGGGTCACCTTCGGGTACCCTCCGGGTCCATCGCCTCACAATCCTTCAACCCGCATTACGACACCTCCCTCGCACGAAGTTGCTCGAGCAGCGTAGAGCAGAAGTCGTCCTCAGCATCCAGCGACTTAATGCGAGGCGAAAGCGTTGGGTCGGGTCCCGTGATGGCCACAGCGCTGAATTCAACTGGTCGAGACAGAGCGTCAGCGACCGTATCCGTGCGCCTCGGTTTGTGAAACACCTTGAACGTAAACTGGTTGAAGAAATCAAGCCATCGAAGAAGCTTAGGCGATGGCGTCGGCTTGGTGAAGAACCAGACACAGGCCGAATTGTCCGTGTAGACCGTGAAAACGTTGCCCAGCAGGTAGACACGCCATTTCTCCAGACAGAACTTGACGCCGAACAGTTCTTTCTCATGAGCCGGCCAACGCTTTTCGACGTTGCTCAGTTTACGACTCAAAAATGCCAGTGGGTGCTCCACACCATCGAAGACTTGGCTGAGTACGCCGCCGACTGCAACATCCGAGGCAGCCGTGGTGACGAAAAATGGCAGCGAGAAATTGGGGAGACGCAGAACAGGAGAGCGTTGTAGCAGTGAACGCACATCGTCGAATGCCTTGATCTCCTCTGTACCCCAGCGCCATCACGTCGTCGTCTTCACTAGCTCCGTCAGTGGATACACGAGGCCTGAGTACTGAGGGATGAATCGTCGATAGTACCCGCACAATCCCAGGAAACGCTGCAGCTCCTTGCGGTTCCGTTGCGGTTGCATCCTGCTCATTGCCTTCGTCTTCGACGGGTCCAACGTGATTGTCGAGGCAGAAATCTGGTGACCCAAAAACACAATCGATCGCTGCGCCCACTTGCACTTCTCCTTGCGTGCGTACAACTTGGCCTCGCGAAGGACGAGAAACACTTCACGAAGGTGCACAATGTGATCCTCTAGAGTCGCCGAGAACACACAGATGTCATCTAGGTAGACGACGCAGAAGGCTTGGAACTTTGGGCGTCCGAGTAGGTGCCGCATCAGTCTGGACCACGATCCAGGCATAACAGCAAGTCCCATAGGCGCGACAACCCATTGATATAGCTCACCGTTGGCCTGGAACGCCGTCAGCTCGCGTGCACGGGGTTCGAGCAGCATCTGGTGGTAGCCGGACATCAAGTCCAGTGTCGAGAAATAAGCTGCACCGCTGAGCTTGTCGAAAATGTCGTCCACCCTTGGGAGAGGAATCTTGGGAATCACACTCTGCGAATTGACATGCCGATAATCGATGACTCAGCGAATGGGTACACCTGCATCACCGCTGCGTAGCCACTCTGCTCGCGTCGGAGCCTCGCCTGTCGCCGCCACTTTCTTCGGAATGGCGAAAATATTGGAGACCCAGGCGGAGTTAGACTCCTCGATGTTGTTCTTTCCCAGCAGCTCCTTCACGAACTTGGCTAGCTCTCGCTCTTCAATGCGAGCATGACGGAAGGGAGATCGGGCCGAAGGTGTTGCGTCAGGCTTCAACACGATGTCGTGCTGGATTTCTCGTTCAGGTGGGAGCTCGTTAGGAAGCGAAGATGGGAACCCGTCGTCGAACTCGTTCAAGAGCACGACGACGTCCCGTGGCGTTGGTTTCGGTAATACGCCTATTCCAGCACTAGCCGAAAAATCTCCAGGTACTCGTGGTTAGCGAGACGTTCTCGGAACGACTGCAGCGAGACCTCCACTGGTGCGAGTAGCTTCTTGCTGCGACAGAGCACAGGATGTATGTGCTCGTCCGAGCCGATCGGCCAACCCTTGTCCTCGTCCTCATCAGGAGGTGGCGGTGGTTCTTGGCGGTCCGCATGCCACGTCAATGTTCGCGTGGGCCAGTCAATGTTCGGATTGCTGGCTTCGAGCCAGGGGCGGCCAAGGATCCCGTCATAACCATACTGTAGCCTCCAAAACACGAAAGGCACAGTCACGACCGAACTGCTGCATGTCACCTCCAGGTCGGCGATAGCTACATTCCGCTGCTGTGCACGGCCATCGAATCCGCGCGCCACGAGGTTCGTAGTCTGCATTCCTGCAGTGTCAAAACCGCGCCCCGACAACACGCAATGTGACGCACCCGAGTCCACCAGCATGGAGCATTCTTGGCCTATAATCGTCACCTTCACCAGGAAAGGAGTCGCCGACGTCACCGCTCTGGGTGTGACCGACATTTCGGTCGTCGACATTTCCGCCATCTCGATGACGGTAGTACAGTAGGAGATTCAGGACTCACCACACGCTCGACGGATACTCCATTTACATCCGCCGAGCTGAGTCGTTTCCCTGATGCTGTTGTCCACGAGCGGGTTTGCGATGAGGACACTGGCCGATGCGATGGCCACTGCCCTTGCAGTAGAAGCACAGATTTTGACGCCTGCACTGCTCCTTGCATATCGAGCGAGTGTCAACCGCGGAGACATCCATCGGAGTTGGCCCATCCGTAGCTGCACGATGCGCATTCCCGTGGTTCCTTGAGTTGCTGGAGGCTCGATTGCGGTCCGACGAGTGGAAATGAGTGCGCTCAAATGCTTGAGCAGCCGAGATGACTTCAGAAAGCGTACCGCAGCGCAGGTACATCATCTCTTTGCGCGTCTCCGACTTCAGGCCGTCGCAAAATCGGTCGACCTGGTCCATAGCACTCATGTTCCGTATTTGAGCCATGAGTCGACGAAAATCACGAACATATTCTTCGACAGAACTGCGCTGGCGGCAAGCCTTCAGCTCTGCACGCAGACGAAACTGCTAGTCAGGAGGCACGAACTCACGGCGCAGAGCGTTGGCGAAGGAGTCCACGTCGTTGATGCGGATGTGGTCGATCGCGACTTGGGCATGGTACCAGGATGCAGCTCCCTCCCTCAGGTTGGCAGCGAGGATGGCGATCACGCGCTGCTGGCTGGAGGCAGCCGTGTAGTCAATGCACTGGCCCTCCATCAATAGCTTCGCTCGGAAAATGAACTCGTCCACCGACTCGGTCGGTTTCCCGTAGAAGGTCGGCATGGTAACCCCTTCCAGTCGGTACTCTCGAGGTGGTTGAGGAACAGACACGCGTTGCTGCAGCTGCTGCTGGTAGGCGTGCAGCTGAGCCTGGAAATCTTGGTACATCCGAGCGTTCTGCTGGCTCAGCCCCACAGCAATACGATCGATCGCTTGGACGAAATGGTCGAACGGGTTCGGGGCAGCGCCTCCGGCGGTTGGTTGGTCAGCGCGCTCCTCCATCGTAGAGGCGACGGCGGCAGTAGACAGTGATCACTTGGACCTTGCCAATGAAGAGCGCGGTCGGGAAGTAGCAGTGGTTCCCGAAGCTTGTGCGTAGAGAGTCGACCAGGAGAAGAAGCAGATGTGTCGTACCCTCACCCACAACGAAGAAGTGCTACCAATTGGAGTGAACCACTTGTACTTGACTGAGCAAAAGACAGAATGCCATTGAATTGAGGTTAGCGAGTAGCAACAAGTACCGGTAACTAGCTCTGAGGGGTCTCCAGAGGGAGACGCTGCTAATGCAACACGAAAGCCAGGTTGAAGCCTGGTACAAGCAGAGATTCGCCGAGCACGAAGTAGTGACTTGGAGCGGAGTTGAACGGAGACTGGTCCACGTCTCTGGAGCAGAGTGACTCATCTGGAGGCGAGCTTCGATTGGCAGTGCGTCGACACGGGAACCGCTGACGAGATCGATGTCGAGACGGGCGCTTGTCCACGTAGACTTAGACCATTACAGCGGAGGTCGGTCGGTTGGTTGTGGTTAATTCAAAAGCGAAGGTTGGAGGAGACGACGGCGGTGGTAGGATGGCAACCTCATGGGATCGTGGTCGACCGGAGGTCTACAGCTAAGACAGCAACCTATCTGTGAGCAACTTCTCGGGTCCGAGTCTAAAAGTGGTGTAGACGATGTATCCGCAGGCATCAACAAACTAGGCACTTGGTACATAAACAATCATAAGTACCTAAATGGAGTTTTCAAAATGTCCTTGTTTAAGAGAATGGCTTCAGGCTCGGTTCAATAGTAAATAGTGGCCCATTGATGGTTATGTCGTTGGTACATGTATTTCTCGGTGCTTTTATCTTATCTAGCGCAGTAGCAACTGGACTAGAACTACTAGAACCACTCATTCCGTCGCCACTACATTAACCGCTGCCACCACCCTCCTCCCGTTACTTTCGTCTCTATGCCTTCAAGCTTCGCGCCAATATAATTCGTGCCAGCTCGACCTCCCTCTGCTCTGTGCATTTGGCACGCCAGTGAAGCTCTCATACATGACAGCGCATTCCGTGACCTGCCAAATTATGAGATGGAGCTGGGTCGACCAGGCAATCGTAACAGACCAATATACCAAAGCAAGTATTTTAAATAATAAACTAACTACATGTAACCTGGCAACCGACTTATTATCAAATCTTTGTTACCTTACATTGGCTTGTGGATACCACAGAACGAGCAAGGAGCAGCTACACTGTACCTACGCTCTGTTGTGCATCATGGAATTTATCAGATATTATGGGTAACAACAGCTCTCTAGCTTGGTGGACCTGGCATCACCACCACACAGACTGAAATTCTTGATCGACGCAGTGTCGGGACCACCCGTGAATTAGTCTCGGTGTGAGAACGATTCACACTCGGCCCCATGAATATATCTCTTGCCAGGAACACAAACACTGTTGATAGCGACTTGAAGAACACATTCTCTAAATCATATGCTTCACTTGCCATACTAATATATAGATCTTTGTATGGTGCCTAATTCAAGATTTCCAAAGTGCCGATTTCAAGTCCAAATGGGCATTAGGCACAATATCCTAGTTTGTTGATGCCGTGTGTCCGAGCTGATTCCCATTGTTGCTACTGGATCGGCTGCAGCAACATAAGTGACGATACTTCAACTTTCAAAGTTGCACTTGTTTTTACAATGTTCGTAAATGATTCATCCATTCTATATGGATACTCCGTCATATAGGGTACATTCATTAGATGCCAATGACGTGACGCAAAGATAACTGATCTCTCGATACTAAATCCATGTCAACACACGTCACAGATTTATTGCGTGACGCGCATCTTTGCAGGCAGAGTGGTGCCCACGGGCTCCGATCATTGTCGAGCCCCCCGCAAGACCGCACTTCATCGGCGTGCTGTTTCTGCAGCGCTCGACCCGCGTTGGCCTCACCGCTCGGTTGCCACCACGTTGGCTGCGCACATTCTCAACCTCCAAGGGCTCCTACACCCATGATGTCCCGACAGAACCTCGCGTTGTTGGTCGAGGTCCTGCTCGCGCGTGCCACATCCCGACGCCCTGGCTGTCGGCGACTACGAGTGGCGCACGTTTGCCGAGTTCTTGGACCACGTGGATGAGACCGCGGCCGGCATGAAGCGCGTGCTGGGGCTCAAACGCCAAGAAATGGTCGGAGTCTTTAGCCGCTCGCAGTACGAGTGGACGCTCGTGGAGCAGAGCTGCAACCGCATGGCCTACACGCTCGTGCCGCTGTACGACACATTGGGACCCAGCACGGTGCCGTACATCCTCAATCATACCGAAATGCGCGTGGTATTCTGTGCCAAGGAGCAGGCGGCGATACTGCTGCGTTGTTTACCCCAATGTCCGCACCTGAAGACAATCGTTCAGTATGAGGGCTTCTTGGATGAAGAGCAAGTGGCGGAAGCGAAAGCGCGTGGAGTGAAGATTTGGACACTGGAAGAGGTCGTGGAGGTTGGCAGGATTCATCCAGCGGAAGCGGACCCACCCAAGCCCGAGGATCTGAGCACCATTTGCTACACATCGGGCACTACGGGGACGCCCAAGGGTGTGTTGGTCACCCACGCCAACTTTGCCAGTGCTGTGAACGCGTACCGGCCACAATCAGGGCGAACCGCGACGACGTGTACTTCAGCTTCCTGCCACTGCCACATGTGGCGGAGCACTTCTTGCACGCGATGATGATCACGGAGGAAGCTGCCATTGGATTCTACCACGGAAGTGTGGCGCGAATTCTCGAGGACGTGCAAGCGCTGCACCCGACGGTGTTCGTAGCTGTGCCTCGACTCATGAACCGCATCTTCGACCAGTTGAAGCACGAGGTCGCCGCAAGCGGAAATGCGGAGCAGATTGAGTATTTCTACCGCGCTCTGGAGGAGAAGAAGCGATTGAGTGGTCTGAAGCACGACAAGTTCGACGCTGAATTGTTCGACCGCTTCCAGCCTGTATTAGGCGGTCGTGTGCGGCAGATTCTTACGGGTGCCGCCCCCATCACGAGTGAAGTGAAGGAGTTCTTCCAGTACGTCTTTGGTGTTCCCGTACTAGAAGCCTATGGGATTACTGAGGCATCGGGCGGCGTCGCCTGCTCTAGTGCATCGATGCCCCAAGGCCCTCACGTGGGCGTTCCGCTTCCAGGCCTTGCCATTCAACTTGCAGATGTTCCAGAGATGAACTACTCAAGCGAGGATGGCCGCGGCGAAGTGCTCATGAAGGGGCCGAACGTGTTTCCCGGTTACTACAAGCAGCCCGAGCTAACGCGAGAGGTCCTGGATGCTGATGGGTGGTATGCCACGGGTGACATTGGCCGCTGGAATGCCGACGGTACGCTGAGCATCATCGACCGCAAGAAGCACATTTTCAAGCTTTCCCAGGGAGAGCACATCGCTCCGGAGAAAGTGGAGGGCGTCTACCAGAAAAGCAGGTTCGTTGGTCAAGTGTTCGTTGATGGAGACTCACTGCAGAGCTATCTCGTCGCGGTTGTTGTTCCGGATGCGTCTGTTGTCGCGCACTCGCCATTCCCGGACTGGGAGACGGATGAAAAGCAAAGGCACGGACTGGAGAAGGCAGTGCTCGAAAACATGGACATCGTAGCGGGTGCGGATGGACTGCACGGCTTCGAGCGCGTCAAGAAGGTCTTCTTGACTACTGAGGCCTTCACGGTCGAGAACGATCTGGTTACCCCAACGTTGAAGCCGAAGCGCACGAATCTAACCAAACACTTCGCTGATGTGGTGAAGGGTTTGTACGCGGAAGGTCTGCAGCACTGAAGCGCAAGTCGTTGAGAGGAATACCGTAAAAGCACAAATTTAAAACGGATTAAAGGTGCAGCAGTATCTACTTGAACAAGTAGGGCCTTGCTGGGACTGTTGAAGCGAGATTCTCCCTTGGTACTGTACAGTGAATATCTCTACCGACCTCAACGAAATTGGCGCTATTGCCTGTCTGTCGGATGCGTGTTTGAACTCACGACTCCAATTGCTCTCAATTCTGCCAATCATCCGGCGATCGATGCAAACCGAAACGCTGGCAGGAATAATCATCGGTCCTGTGGTCATCATCGAGATTGCACTTGCAAATCCTTCAACATGCTCCTCTCGCCAGTCGAATTCCTGTCACCGCACTCCAATTCACTTTTCAATTTGCTCTCCCCAAGTAACGCAACACTATCCCCACTCACTCCATCAACTCGCAGACCCCTGTCAAGAACTCGGCCTACCCATGACGGTGCCGCTCAAGGACTACACGCTCTTTAAGCCCTACCAGCTCAGTAAAAACCTCGAGCTCAAAAACCGCATAGTCATGTCCCCGCTCACGCGCGCCCGATGCGACCCCGTGACCCACGAGGCAGGACCCATGCAAGTCGAGTACTACTCGCAGCGTGCCGGCGCCGGACTCATCGTCACGGAAGCCGTCGCCGTGTCCGTGCAAGGCTTCGGATGGTACGGCGCCCCATGCATGTACACGGAGGCCCACCGAGACTCGTGGAAGCCCGTCGTGGACGCCGTCCACACCAAAGGAGCCAAAATCTTCCTGCAGATATGGCACATCGGCCGCCAGGGCCACCCGAGCTTCAGCGGAGACGTCGTGGGACCCTCCGCCATCGCACCTGTGTCGGGCCACACCCGCGACGTGAACGCCGAGCAAGCTCCGTACGAAGTCTGCCGTGAGCTGCGCACCGACGAAATTCCCGAGATCATCAACGACTTCTGCAAGGCCGCGCGTCTGGCCAAGGAGGCCGGCGTCGACGGCGTCGATATCCACGCAGCCAACGGATACCTGCCCGACACGTTCCTGCAGTCGGTCACCAACACGCGCACGGACAAGTACGGCGGCTCCATCGAGAACCGCGCGCGCTTCCTGCTGGAGCTGGTGGAGGCGCTGCAGAAGGAGTGGCCCGCCGACCGCATCGGCCTGCGACTGTCGCCCAACGGTTTCTACGGCGACACCGGCAGCGCCGACAACTACGACATGTGCTGCTACGTGGCCGACAAGCTCAGCTCGTATGGACTCGCGTACCTGGCCACGCTGGACGGCTTCGGCTTCGGCTTCCAGGACAAGGGCCCGCTCACCAAGCCCTTCGACGTCAAGAAGAACTTCAGGGGCACCGTCATGGCCGCCAACAGCTACACGCGCGACACGGCCGAGGGCGTCTTGCTCAGCGGTGCGGCCGACCTCGTGGGCTTCGGCCGCCCGTACATCTCGAACCCGGACCTGGCGGAGCGCTTCATCAACGACTGGCCGCTGAACGCGCCGGCCGGGTACGACACGTGGTTCGGCACGCGCATGCCCGGTCCTCGCGGCTACATCGACTTTACGGTGTACAACCCGGACTCGAAGTGATTTGAATCGTGACGACAGGGAGATGAAGTTGGAGGTTCCCGATAGTGACATTGTCTGTTGAGAAAACTAAACAAGCGAAGCTGTGTCGATGATCGTTAGGGCAGGATAGCACTAAGTGGACGCAATATACCTCGTTTGAAGAATGAAAATGAAGCTGTGTCGATGCAAGTGAAAACCGGGTCCTAATCGCCAAGTTTCATTGCGTATTTTTCGCCCGTACCATTTCACAAAATCTAAACTGAGAGTGTACTTAGGTAAGTAAATGTTTGACCAGGCGACGAACCTTCGACTGTGAAGGCATGGGTTAATTTACCAAACACAGTTGTGAATCGAGCTGGGCGTCATATAAATAGTAGTTTTCGGCTTGCTCGTGTTCAGGCGTCGTACTAAGAGCTGGCTGTGTGTGCTATCTCGTTGTTTTTGGGCCCCGTGTGCGCTGATGTCCGAGCTCCAAGAGCTTCCGAGGCTGTTCGACCCTCCAGGGGCAATACGTCGACAGTCCTCACGCCGCCTTCTTTCGCGCGGCAGCATGAGGCGAATGACGTCGCGTCACGGGACTGTTTTCAAGCCTGAAGTCCCTCCTCACTTGCAGAAGTTACTGCAGAAAACGCCGGAAGAGCAGCAGCGCGTCGCAGCAGCTAAGGCCATCCTCATGGACGAACCCGCATTGCGAAACGAACAGAGCTTGGACCTGGTCTACAGCTGGATGCTGCAGAACTGCAAGCAGTACAGCAACAACATCTTCGGTGCTGCGCCAGAATATATTCGACGTGAGATTTGTCGCCAGATGAGGCTCATCAAGGTGAAAAGTGGAGGCCTCGTTATCCGTCAGGGCGACACAGGAGATAGATGTTATATTGTCGTGGACGGGTTGGTGGACGTTTACATTAAGGCGGAGAAGCCGGTCGATGCTGTCGTGGCCCCGACTTCCCCACCTCCAATGCTTTCGGTAATGAAGCAGCGACGCATGTCTCGGCGAATGAGTTCGGAAGCTAATGCAGCACCGGTGGACTTCGGTGCCATGGTGGCCAATCTTGGACCAGGAGCGATGTTTGGCGAAATTGTGCTGCTGAATCCCTCTGCAAGGCGAAATGCGACTATCAAAGCTTCACAATTCACGGAAAGCTGCGATTTAATTTGCCTTGAGCGCGCAGATTACATCCGTCTCGTTCGAACAGCATCGATGGAAGCTTCGCACTATAACAATGCGGAGGTGCTAGATCGAATGTTCCTCTTCAGAGACTGGGTTAAGCATGGTGAGTAAAAGCCCATTGTTGGTCGGACGTGGTATTTGATTTCTAACATAAGTTTTGCTAAGAAAAAATGCGCCTCGTAAGTGCGATGAGGTCACGCCATTTCACAAGCAACGTAAGAAAGGCATCGTTCCCACCAAACGAGATGACTTCACCGACTAATTTTAATGCGTTTGCTTTGTACTTTCGACAGGATTATCTGTACCGAGCTGGAACGGATGCCAAGTGGATGTATATTATAACAGCAGGAGAAGTCATGGAGCGAATCAATTGGACTCTTGAAGCAGCAGGGAATGACGCTACAATGCGCCGTCTTCTGATGTCCCAGCCCTCTTCACGCAAGAACCCAGAGAAAATCGTAAATGTTGAGCTTACTCTAATCGGTCCTGGAGATATCGCTGGCGAGCTACCGTTTATTACCTCAAAGCGTGGGGCGATCTTTGACATCAAGGCCGTCACGGATGTGCAAGCACTAGCTATCGATCGACGATACTATGAAACGGTGATGCTGACGGCAACCCGAGAAAATAAGCCCGAGGTCCATGCAACAATGAAAAAGTTGCGGAAGTTCAGTCAAGATCGCGAAGATTGGCGCCAGCAACGAATGGAGTGCGGGATTTCGTACCCGAGCGCCCATGTTAATATGTGAGTTTACTTTCCTCAGATTTATTGCATCAACTAACGAGTGTATACTAACAACTATCTACAGCACGTGGCATCTGATGCGGATGTCGAATGTTCCTTGTCCAAGATGTGGCCAACGAGGTCACCTAGCTACAGATATCTCCAAGTGCGACAGCGCTCCACCCCGCCAATCTCCAACCCCCAATAGCAGCAACGGTAGGACTGGAGCAAAGCGAACACCGTCTCGCGGCATGCTTCCGCGCAAAGCTTCAACAGCACGGGCACCACCATTGAGAATCCCAAGGCATGCTTTGTTGTGATGTTCCATTGAGGAGTAAGAGGTTTCTGACATTTCTGTTTTCTTTATTGTGGTTCTAGAACCGATGATACCCATCCTAATACAGCACGCCCGGATACCGCTCTTCGCAATCTTTTTGACGATTCCTATCTCCCCTCAGGAAAAGAACAGCTTCAGCATTGTAGAGATAAGAGAATGCAATTGTAGTTTGCGCGTGGTTAGTGTGTGAGGAAATTATCGCAATAATACGCTTTTGTATCGACAGCATTAGTACTCAGCTGTTCAGGTAGCTCCGTTTTCATAGCTACAGAGTACAGCCCTGCGGCTGCACCAGACTAATCACTGGAGTCGCGCCGTCATCCACTCCACAAAATTGTTCAGAATCTTCTCGTATCCCTCAAGATTAAGCACCTCGTGCAACGCATCCGGAACGATGTTGATGGTCTTGTCCTTCTGCGTGCAGGCGGTGTAGAAGTTGATACTTCCCTGAGGAAACGTAATAGTGTCTTTCTCTCCGTGGAGCACATACAGCGGCGCCGGAAAGTTCTTCGCCAGCTCGTTGTCACTTTGCGCGAACCGATCTCCTTCACTCAGGAGACTGTACATGAGCCGCAACGTAGATCCATGCTTGGGCATCAACTCATCCCGCGTCCAGCGTTTGTACACTTCGTAATCGTTGCCCAGTTTCGGGAACTCGAGCCCCAGGACGTGCATCCTGGGCAGCATCCGAGCGAGACCCCCCAGAAAGCCCGCGACACCTCCCTCCGGAACCGTCCAGAACGGCGCAGAGGATACAATGACCCCGTTCCAGCTCAGTCCTTGCTGCATGGACAGCTCCACGAGCTGCAGCACCAGCACTCCCCCCATCGAGTGACCGAGCACGAATCTCGGCAGATCTTTCCACTTCACGTCAGCGTGCGCCTCCAGCTCAGGGTCCACCACCGGGGCGTTCTTGCTACCAGGCTCAGGGCCGTTGAGCACGTGTTGCACGAACTCCATGAAGTCCTTGGACAGGTCCCGCACCTCGTTCGCGTACATGCGCTCGCCGTCGCTCATTCCGTGGCCCTGGTGGTCCACCATGAAGACGGCGAACCCCTCCTTGGCCAGCGCTCTACCCACGTGGTCGTAGCGGCCCCCGTGCTCCCCCAGTCCGTGTAGAATGAAGAACACGCCTCGAGGCGCGCGGTCGAAGCGCGGCAGCCACTTGTGCACATAAAGCGCCAAACCGCCAGACGTCACGAAGAACCGCTGCAGTACGTCCACGTGACCCGGAGGGGGGCGAACGCCCTTGGGCACGGGTGGGAACTGATGCGACGCGCCCGACATTGCGGCGGCGACGGAGGATACGAGCTTCCAGGCGCAGAAGACCAGCGCCGCGTAGCCCAGCAGCACGTCGACGCTCACCATGCTGGGCGGAATGCGGAATGCGGGATGCAATGTAAAGTGTAGCCATCGGGCAAGTGATAGGACATACATGACGTAATTACCGATCTAGTAGAATAAAAAGGCTTAGACTTTGTAAAACTATAAAGATTCAAAGACACACAATTTACAGCATGACCATGTCTCTTTTCGCACTTAGCCGCCTCCCATACAATCGCCATGTGTCGAGCTTGAAGTGCGCACGTCGGGTTCCAAGCAGAACCGGGACGTTTAACGCTTGAAGCAGGAACAAATCTTCGTGTAAACAACAGCCAAGAGTCTCCCAGGGGCCCATTCCGCATTCCGCACTGTGCGCGTGACCATCACTCTCGCCTCCCCAACCGTTAGCAGCAGCATGGGCGCCGCCAGCAGCACCGAGCGCCCCATGAGCGAGATCGACTTCGACTCGTACACGGGGCTGCGCTACACGACGGCCGTGCCCAACACGGGCGACGCCACGCACGGCCCGACCTACGAGGTGCCCAACACGGTGCCCGTGGACGAGGCGCAGCAGACGCTGTACCACAACTTCCTGCGCGGCTGGAGCCGCGAGGGCGGCGCGCGCCCCTGCTACGGCCGCCGCGCCGTGGACCCGGCCACGGGCAAGGTGGGTGCGTTCCAGTGGCTCAGCTACGACGAGGTGAAGCGTCGCATGGACGACCTGGCGTCCGGAATGACGCGCGCGTGCGGTCTCCAGCGCCAGGAGAACGTCGGCATCTTCGCCAAGAACCAGATCGAGTGGTGCCTCGTGGCGCACGCCTGCGACCGCATGGCCTACGTGCTGGTGCCGCTCTACGACACGCTCGGACCCGACGCCGTGCCCTACATCGCCAACCACACGGAGCTGCGCGTGTTATTCTGCGGCATGGACCAGTTTCACGTCGTCATGGACTGCAGAGACGCCTGCCCCAAGCTGCAGACCGTGGTGCAGTTCGAGCCCGTCACGGAGGAGCAGCGCCACGTCGCGGCGGCCAAGAACATTGAGCTCAAGAGTCTGAGTGATCTGGAGCTGATTGGTCGCGCGGAGCCGCTGCCTGCTGACCCGCCGCTCCCCACGGACATCTCGACGCTGTGCTACACGTCGGGCACGACGGGCGACCCCAAGGGAGTGATCCTGCTGCACCGCAACTTTACCATCATCAGTGCGCTGGCAGGAGAGAGACTAAGTGTGTGTCCGACAGACGTGCATTTGTCCTACTTGCCACTGCCTCACGTGTTCGAGAGGGCGGTGATTGGATCTATTCTGCAGAATAGCGCTGCTGCGGGCTTCTACCAGGGAGACGTGCTGTTCCTGATGGAGGACCTGGCCGAGCTGGCCCCGACGCTGTTCGTATCAGTGCCGAGACTGTTCAACCGCGTGTACGACAAGATCGTCCAGGGAGTGGCAGCCGCTGGCGGGTTGAAGAAGCTGATGTTCGACCAGGCTTATGCTAGTAAGAAGGCGGGGCTAAGTGCTGGGTACAAAACCCACGCGCTTTGGGACGCGCTGATCTTTGCGAAGATCCGTCAAGTTTTGGGAGGACGAGTCAGGTGCATTCTGTCTGGATCTGCTCCGCTGAGCGCTGACGTCAAGGAGTTCATGAAGATTGTCTTCTGCTGCGATGTTGTCGAGGGATACGGACTGAGTGAGACGGCGGCTGGACTGTGCCTTGCCTCTGGTGACATGCCGTTGGGCCCCCATGTTGGCCCGCCGCTTGTTCGTATGCAGGTTTGCCTGGAAGACGTGCCTGAAATGGGGTACACCAGCAAGGACAAACCTCGTCCGCGTGGTGAGATCCTCACCAAGGGCCCGTTGGTGTTTGCCGGGTACTACAAGCAACCGGAGAAGACGGCCGAGGTGATCGACGAGAACGGCTGGTTCCACACGGGAGACATTGGCTGCTGGAACGCTGATGGCACGTTGAGCATTATCGACCGCAAGAAGAACATTTTCAAGCTCTCTCAGGGCGAGTACGTTGCTGCCGAGAAGATCGAGGGAGTGTACCTCAAGAGCAAGTACGTCGCGCAGATCTTCGTGTACGGAGACTCGCTTCAGAGCTGCCTCGTCGCAATTGTCGTGCCTGACCCCGAAACTGCTGAAGCGTGGGGCCACTCCAAGGGATTGTCTGGTGAGCACCTCACAGTTGCTCAACTGGTCCACAACGCCGCCTTTCAGAAGGAGGTTATGGAAGATATGCAGGCGACCGGAAAAGAAGCCCAGCTTCGTGGCTTTGAGTTTGTCAAAAAGGTGCACTTCCACCCGGACGCTTTCTCGATGGAGGACGGCCTGATCACGCCCACGTTCAAATTAAAGCGTCCGCAGTTGAAGGCGCGCTTCCAGGCAGAGATCAAACACATGTACGAGGAGCTCCAGTAACGCACACACAAGAATGCGAAAATATCGGCCGGCACCACCCAGTTGAAGGTGTCGGCAAGGTTGGGTCTAATACATGTCTTGAGGTTAACAGCTACTGTCATATCTTCTGTCTGCTGCAACTCAACCCTGTCGTACTTCATTCATGTTATTAGGCGATGCTGGCACCAGCCTGTATTTTGGCTTGTTGTTTTGGCGAGCTGTACTCGAGGATGCCAAAGCCGGCCATCACCAAGATCGCTCCGAGAAGACACTCCCAGGAGAACACCCGGTGGTTGATCGTTGCGTCCCAGATCAAGGACAACGGGATCGTCATCATGCCCCCCCACACTCGTTATGAGCGGAGTCGTCCAGCACATAGCGAACGACTGCAGTACGGTGAAAACTCCGGCCAGTGTTCCACTCACGACGAGCAGGAAGAACCCCCATTCCGTGTCCGGCAACCCCAGCGGCTCTACCAATGCTTCAATGGGGCACACCGCAAGCACCAAGCTTCCGACAACCCAGACTGGAATCGTCATCAATCCGCACAAACCCGTCAGGGTTAAAAGCGTTGATGCGTCCATTGCACCTTCGCCGACAAGCACGCAGTACGCGACTTGGTATCCCGACACGATGATAGTCGCACTCAGCACCAATGCACAAGCTAGGAAGCTTGAATTTTGAGAGCTTTCGACTGCGCCATCTTGGTAAACGGCAACAAGCGCGACGCCAACGAACGAGACGAGAACTCCGATCAGTTTTTTCCAGCTCGCTCGCTCGTGGAGAAAACACATCGAGAAGAGATACACGAAAAAGGGAGACGTGCTGCCGATGGACGTGCCCGCAGCGACGCTGATCATCCCCAAAGCGGCGAACCACATGTAGTCCGCGATGAGGTAGACGGAGTTCAGCACCGCTGCCAATTTCAGCAGTTTGCGCACAGGAAGCGCTGAGTGTCGTTGCAGCACGTCGGCAACTCCCCACTTGTCAGTCCGTACGCCAGCATTGTACTCGCTCACTCGGTGGAAGAGGTAAATTCCTGGTAGAATCACGACCTGCCGTAAGCGAAGAGTAAATGGCAATTCCAGGGGTCTTCTAATGGGGAATCCGCACAGAGATGCCTACCGTGATGGCATGGTCCAGGCAGGTGATGAAGAATGGCTTCCTGAAGTGACTTGTTGCCTACAGTCGATAACGATGTTGAGTTAGAAGGTTTTGCGTGAATGCAATTAGCAGCAACAAAGGGATTCACCTGAAGGGCTTGAGACGCTTCCGCCTGAGTGACACAAACCCACACCAGCACTAAGAGAGTCGTCAGAGCCACCACAATCGAGCCAATGCTGGAAAACGCTGCTACCCCCGTACCAAAGATTGCAGCCAAACCCAACCGGTGGAAGTAAGAGCTACTCTGCTGTGCCTTGCCGGATGAATGCAGAAGGGGCGTACGCTCGTTTGACGGCGCAGAAACCTCCATTGATATCGCTGCCACTACGGATTGGGTGGCTTGGGCCAAGGAAATCTTCAAATGAAGAATCTCGAACGGTCATATCTTCTCCACTGTACCCTGTACTTGAAGGGATTCATCCTTGATGAGTGGCTACTCGCGCACGCATTAAACGTCAAACAAGCGTCGGTTAAAGCGGAAACAGCCTCTGCTTGGCGTCAGAGCTGCATCCTGGGAAGAATTTTCGGCTAAACTCACAACAACAACAAAAAAGCTGCAGCCCAGCATATTTTATTGCGTGGATCGTGGCTACAGCATTCAGTTACAACTGAATGTTACAACTGAATGCTGTCACGCGATAAATTGCAGCTTTTGATTGACTTTGATTCGTGGATGAAGATATACGGCTTACTTATGGTGTAAGTGGGGTTGCTCTGTTAAATCGCAAAGTCACGCTTATACTGCCGCGCATGAAAATGAATGAGCAAGCATGAACGAGATTTTGCTATACCCGCGGGAACAGGTAACCACGCCGCAAACCTGGTTATGGCAAACTGCGTGCAAAATACCGCTGGCGTCGAGTTAGCGCAACTTCAACGCTGACTCACGCCGTCATCAATGCTGTGTGTCGACGAATACTGTACCCTTTTGTCGACCTTGGAGGCACGACTCACTTCGAGTTTCGCGCGGCACTAACAAGTACCGGCGCGATGGGGTGTCGCCCGATGGTTTTGCTCGACGCTGGCGAGGCCAAGGAGCTTGTGCCTCTCAAAATGCTCTTCATGGTGCACAACTACTGTTATTCACTGGTCGCCTACCTTCCAGTGAGTTGTGCAGCTGTCGACTTGCTTGGGATGTTTTGTTCGGACATTCACCATCTTTGTGTTGATGTAGATTTTCTTCGAGGACTCGAACTTCTCGAAGAGTGAAATTGGCATTCTTCTCGCAATTCCACGCCTCTGCACGATTATCGGGCCGCCGGTCTGGGGAGCAATCGCCGACGTACAGCACCGCCACAAGGAAGTTCACATCTTGTGCCACATTTCATCGGCATTGTTCATCTTCTCGATCCAGTTCGTGAACTCGTTCCCGCTCATGTGCGTCACCGTGTTCGCGGTCTACTGCCAAATGGTTCCAACTCTGGCGCTGCTGGATCTTGCGGCGATGAAGCTCACTGGTCGCTATGGAGGTGACTATGGCAAGCAGAGACTTTACGGAGCTTTCGGATATGGTGTTGGCGGCTATATCTCCAGTATGATGACGTCCTCGATTGGAATCAAATGGTGCTTCACGATGATGCTTGGGGTGTCCTGCATCTCTCTGCTGCTGTTGATTTTGTACATTCCTTCTGGCTATGGAGATGATGCAGATCAACCAAGACAAAAGGGGCTTCTTCGCAGCAGTGTGAAGCATATTGGGCAACGTCCTGATGTGCTCGTATTGTTTGCTGTAGCGCTGGTGATGGGCATTAGTGGTGGGTTTATCGATAGCTACCTCTTTTTGAACGTGTACGACTTGTCAGACGACGGCGCTACGATCGTCAGCGTGTTTGTGGCGGTGCAGACACTGTCCGAGATTCCAGTCTTTTTCCTATCCAGTGCACTGATCAAGCGATTCGGTGCTGCGGTTTGCCTCTCCATCGTCGTCGTCGCCTTCTTCACTCGCGATATCGTGTACGCCTACATGGAGCAACCATGGTTCATCGTGCCGCTCGAGCTGCTTCACGGAGTTACATTTGGGTTGTTACTCGCATCGATGACTACTTATCTCTTCGACGCAGCTCCGAAAGGAGTTACTAGGACTATGATCGGACTTCTTTCAGCCTTCTTGCGTGGTATTGGGGCAGGCATTGCATCTCTCGTCGGCGGATATATTTGCGATGAATACGGCGTGCGCACGATGTGGAAGATCGGTGCGTATGGCCTCGTTCCAGCATCATTTCTACTTGTTGGTGGTTTTGCGTGGCTGGCTCATCGGCATAATGCGGCGGAGAGAGAACTTGAAAAGCAGCTCGTCGATGAGCTCGAATCCCCGATCGAGATCAACAAGGTATCACCGCAGCAGGTTTGAATAATTAGGTGACACAAGATTGGACTATAGGTCGTTCTTGAGTTAAATCGATACAGAGCGATGCTGGTGGGCACAACGTAAGATACACATTCTATAATACTACTTCCGTAATTACATTTTTTTCTCGCTGTTGTCTACAACACGAATAACTGTGCCGTCTCTTCACGTCAACTTATGCCGAAAAATAACGTAGGGGACTGCAGTAAGGCACATTTGTTATTGGACTTCGTTAAAACGATTCCTAATGCCTAATATCTGCACCATATCAAGCTGTCCGTTTTTGCCTACTCAACGTCGATCGAGTCCATCGCAGAAGCATCTTGAGACGTATAGACGTTCTCATCGAAGATCATCGCTCCAGCGGTCAGTAACTCCGTAACATTACCGGTGGATCCGCCGTTCAGGATGTCATTGATGAAATCCAGTGCATAAGTGACGCGCGCGTAGATTCCAGGCAAAACACCACAGTCGTCGGCCCCGGCGCTCACGATGCCCACCACCACCTCAATAACAACAAGGGGGCCACCTGAATCACCTGCGCGCGAGTCTTTGCCACCTCCTGATCCGGCACAAATGACGGAGTCGTCCACGATGCTTTCTTCCCCCATGTATAGTTTGCTGCACTTCGTGTTCGAAATGATGTTCACGTCCACGGCTCGAAGTGTTTCACTCAAAGTCTCGTTGTTTATTAACCCCCACCCGAGGGTGGTGGCCGTATTGTCAGGCTTATTGTTGGATCCGTTTGCGTTGGGCAAAAGCGCGGGGGAATAAGTGGTGGGTCTTTCCAGCTTGAGCATTGCCACGTCGTGGGTCCCTGCCGATATGTTGAAGAGGCGGTATTCCGGGTGACGGAAAGCCTCGACGACACGAATTTGTTCGGACTTTCCTGAGTCTCGACCAGATCTATGCTTCGATCCGAGGGAGACGTACACGTCGTACAGGTACCAGTCGGTGCAATGAGCTGCCGTTAGTACGTACTGCGGGGCAATCAGTGTGCCACCGCAAAACGTGCCACTGACGGAGCCGTTCGCGCGCAGACTCGCCATGTACGGGTAGTTCTTGAACTTCGCGCTCTTGCCGCCGTAGATTCGAGATTCTTCGTCTGCCGTCATGTCGGTGCCATTGTTGGGGGCGGAAGCCGGGGCCGCTCTCGTCATATCCGAGAAGGAGTAGGCGTTCACAATTGCCATCATTAACATGGTACACATGGCTACTTGATCGAACTTCATGGTTGGAGAGAGGACGCCTTCAGTGAGAAGCTGGAAGGTAAAACCAAAATGATCTCGTCAAAGAACCAATCCAGGACCACGAGTCCAGCCCCTGGACTCCCGGCGTGACCATACATTATTGTACAGTGTACTGCACCGTACGTATTACATGTACATGACTTGAGTATCTCACAGTGAATCACTATTATAGGGCCAATCATCCACAATTGTAGCATCTCTTTTTAGTCATTAGTAATGGAAATGTATACAGTATTAATACAATGACTCATTCATTACCCAGGCCTCCCAAATTAAGGCAAATTCCTCGATTCCCTATATCTTTTAAAAGGTACCTTTTGAAAAAAGCTAATTGAGAGCCCGACTACATTGGCAAAGGTGTAGACTTTTCAATTACAGTACATGTACATACAGACACGAGAGATACATTTGCATTGTCACGTTTGCTAGAGAAGACCGTCTCCCTTTGAGATAATTACACCGGACAAGGATTTAATTAGAGTCTTCGTAAAGCAGGAGAATGAAAATGTATGTACAGGTCCTGCAAACCCCCAAAATGGAGAAGGCTGCATGTCGATCGGCCTGAAGTAGCGGCAAGGCCTGAAAGTGAAAAAAGCGATATTTCCGTATTACTTCGCCCTTATGACCAATCCTCGTCCAAATGAGTATCGATGAATTTTCAGGAAAATTCATTCAAGAGAAGGGGTCAGTATTAGGCATATTGCCGTACTGTTGGATGGAGGCGGTATTTTAATAACAGCGTTATTATTTTACTAGGGCTTCGCGAAGGCTGGGATAGAAGGATTTTGGTATAGCCTTCCTTTTTTTTATTAATTATTTTGTTTAGGTACGGTCATCTCCTGCGCCTGCTTCGCAGCCGCAGTATCTGTCCGGAAATTTGCGTTAAATCTGTAGATGCAAGATATCAACCGGCAATGCTTTACAAATTAAAAAAAATCGAACCTTGGTTGAGATCTGTTTGTAGCTTGTAGAAAATGTAAATGCTTACCTCGAGTGCTGTTGTACAGTCCCCTCAAGCGTTCTCTTTACATGTACTCCACTTCAACCAACCAAATATATGTACTGATTCATATCAGTATCGTCGGTAGCACACCGGTTCGATTTGCCTAGGGGGCCTAGTGCGACACCGGGGTCATACCGGTGTGATGAATATCATACCGCCCCAGTCTGCCCAACGCACATAAAAGTTTTGGAGGACCGGAGTCGTACCGGTTTCGAGAAAATGTCAAGCGTTTGACTTGATGTACCACGGATATAATCCGATTTGGTCTGCGGTAGGTTGCTTCCTATCCCCGTAAAAAAATATGGGTATTTATTTTGAAGTAGCTACTTTTTGATTGCTGACTAGCCACTTCTGAAATTGATTAACAAAATAGCCACTTTTTTCGTACCCGATAGATACTTGGTGTCTTCCTTAAATGACAACGATAGCACCAACGCCCGCCGCAGGCGGGTCCTGCCGACTACCGAGCGAAGCGATGTGCTCCCTCTCCGGGGGAGGTAGAGGGGGGTCTAGGCCCCAAGGGTAAAGGGTTTTTTAGGGATCAGGGTGTTGTTATAATGCCAAGGCGACTTAATGTTCAAACTAGAACGCTTTCTGTGATTTAAGATCCGTGTGCGTAGTACGCGGTCGTAAACCCAGGTAAACTGAAAAGTAGCTAGTCCAAAACTTATTTGGGGTAGTCATTTTAATTTTGAGCTAAGGCACTTTTTGGGTCAAAAATAGCCACATGTGGCTATTTCAAAACTATATAGTAAATAGTTGAAGAACCGCACCCAAAAAATATTTAAAAAAATAATAACGCTGCGTAATGATGATGAGAGAGAGAAGGCACCAGGTATGGCGTATATTTAGGCCCTTATTTCGGAGCCTGCTGGAAGCTGGCACTTTGACGTCTAAATGAGTTACCCTAAACTGTTCCTAGTTGATCAGTTTCCCTTGTAATGATGATGATCGAATTACGAGTTGTGATGATTAGATGAGTGCAAAATCTGAGAAGAAGACTAAGCGACCTACACTTTGAATCATCGACAACTTTGATTAGTGGATGAACTTGAAGTGGACGTAGGATACCACCGTTTCGTGGCAAGCACGAACCGCGATTGCCACCATTGTCGTGTGTACCGCACGCAAGGATCTCGGGGTAAACAAAATCGATACTCAAAGGCTTCTCATTTCTTAGAGCGCCTCGGCTCATTTCGTTATTTACCAGTCGTCTGCAACCGACAATGCGCTGTCGCCCCATGTTCCTGCTCGACGCGGGCGAGGCCAAAGAACTCGTACCGCTCAAGATGCTGTTCGTCACGCACTACTACTGCAACTCGCTCATTGCATATTTATCGGTGCGTTGAACTTCCATAAAAGCAAAAATATGAAAATTTGCTTACAGTTCGCGTTGGTTTTATTAGATTTTCTTCGAAGGGAAGGGCTTCTCCACCAGTAAAATCGGCATTCTGCTTGCGCTTCCGTGTCTGTGCACGCTGCTCGGACCTCCGATATGGGGAGCGATAGCGGATACGCTACGCCGCCACAAGCAAGTTCACGTGTTGTGCCACATCACAGCTGCACTTCTCGTGTTCGCCATCCAGTTTGTGGATTCGTTTCCGCTCATGTGCGCGACGATTTTCGTGGCGTATCTCCAGATGATGCCCACCAACGCGATGCTGGACCTCGCCGCGATGAAGCTCACTGGTCGATACGGAGGCGATTTCGGCAAGCAGAGGCTCTATGGAGCTTTCGGTTATGGCGTCGGCGGGTATATCTCCGGTATGATGGCATCTGCAGTCGGAATTGATTGGTGCTTCACGATGATGCTCGGGATGGCGTGCATCTCGTTGTTCGTGCTGATGTACTACATCCCCTCCGGCTATGGGGACGACAACGAGCCGACAAGCCACAAAGGACTACTGCGGAGCAGTGCGAAGGTCATCGCCCGACGGCCCGACGTTCTCGTGCTATTTGTTGTGGCTCTGGGGGCTGGCATCAGCGGTGGATTCATCGATAGCTACCTTTTCCTGAACGTGTACGACCTGTCGGACGACGGAGAGACCATCGTAAGTGTCTTCGTTGCGGTGGAGACGCTGTCCGAGATACCGATCTTTTTCCTGTCCAACTCCATGATTGAGAGACTTGGGACGGCGCTGTGCATCGTTGTCGTCATTGCCGCTTTCTTCGTTCGCGGGGTAGTTTACGCTTACATGACACAGCCTTGGTACGTCGTGCCACTTGAAATGCTGCACGGCGTGACGTTCGGGTTGCTGGCAGCGTCGTTGACCACGTATCTCTACGCAGCGGCACCGAAAGGGGCAGCTGGTACAATGATTGGTTTGATATCTGCTTTCCAGCGGGGCGTTGGGGCTGGCATTGCATCCCTTGTTGGTGGCCATATCTACGACGAGTACGGGGTGCGTACGATGTGGAAGCTCAGCACGTACGGGATCGTCCCAGCATTGCTTGTTCTTGTCGGCGTGTTTGCGTGGCTGGCCCGTCGTCATGCCAGCGCCGCCGTGGATTTGGAGGAACACCTCGTTGAGGGAATCGCGTCCCCCGTTCAAGTAAGCAAATAATCGCCGGACCAATGACCTCAGATCGCAGCTCCAGCTTCCTTCTGCACGACAATAATTTTTACTTTGTCTTCCGTAGTCTTTGAATTTCATAAACTTTTTCAAATGCACATCGTACCTTTCATTTGTAACTTTCACTCGAAATGACAACTTGTAATTGGATTTCTTCGTGCCGGTGGTCGATGCAACCTGAGGGAGACAAAACGTGAATGACTTGCCTTTATTCGTTAGCTTGACCGAAAATTTTAAACATCAAAATCGTGTAGTATCCGATTAGTTTTCAATTGAATAGCGCTGCTTCTAATCGCGCTATTCGCTCGTCTAGCAGGTATCCACGTTGTCTAGCCATCCACTCAGGTGAGCTGAAAGGCAGAAAATAAAATAAAAGAAGCGTTAGCCTTTTGATCACTCTGAACGCTGATTAGAGGACGGGCATACCCTGAGTGGTGGTCGCTGAGGCAGTCCATGAAAGGTTGACTGGCACGTAAGGAGGATCCGAACAGGATATTCTGTATGAGCACACATGTCAACAGTGAGCTCAATGCAACTCAAAGTCGATCATCTTGAGAACGTACCTCGGTCGTATGACTGAGCACGGTGCACAGTGAGGGTCCAGACTCGGCCTCAATGTCGTCGCTTGGGATGCCCAAAGGCTGGACTCTGGGTATACAAAGCAACCTTCCGTAAGCGACCTCACATTAAGCACATGATCAACCGTAGGGATACGTACGCGTATACAGCTATTGAAGGTTGTGCTTGGCGCTCGAATTGCAGTCTGCCCAAGGGAATTGAACCGAGTTAGCTCTATACACCAATCAAAGCAAAGTTCACAGCGACAACCTACCGCACAAAATTGCAGGGGAAGAACGGCAGCGTCACGCCCACCTCCCGGTTGTGCGGTAAATTCTCCACTCTTTTCACTGCAGGACCGTCACAAATGAGAATTTCCACCAACAGCACCACCAACACAGTACCGTACGACGCACCATGGACATAGGACCTCGGTCGGTTCTCCACCGCCACACTCACACTCACTGCGCACGCGTTCTACAGCACAAACCATCGCCAACATCAGTCCCCTATTGCATCTATTGAACTTGTTCAGCCCCCTCCTCCCCACCTTGTTCAGAATCCGGACTTCCGACAGCAGCGCCTTGCACTCACTGCGATTAGCCCCAACGAGCCCCCAACCGTTAAATAACGATCATCACCCGTATTCAACCACCAGCAACTCTACGCACAGCGCCAGCACGAGCGTCTCCTTGGGGCGCACGTAGCTCTGCCAGCACGAACGGGTCGAGTAGACCAGCAGGTGGTTGGTCGCGCCCGTGCCCGCAGCCCCCGAGGCCGACCGCACCTGGAACCCAATGGCCTTCACCCCCTCGTCCCTCAACTCCTTCCCCTTCTCCTCCTTCTTGTGCCTTGGACGCATAGAGCCATGCCTCGTACGCATAGAGCCATGCCTCGTACGCTTCCGGTCGGTCATTGACTGTGCTCTGGTGCCTGTTTTTTCGCGCCTCAACTTTCAGCCGTTTCAAAATTGAACTTCCACGTTCAGTTAGAAACGGACGCTACGTACAAGTTGTGTAAGAAACGTTGCTAGGGTAAGCACCGTAGCTAACCTAAACGTTTCTAAAGCCCAAAGTGAAGTGGCGCATCAGCATTAGGCTACAGTATCGCCGTTCGCCATGTCGTTCGCGGCCTTCCCCGACGCCCCCACCCTCTCCGCCTTCGATGACGCGCCGCTGGACGCGCAGCTGTACACCATGATCGAGCTGGAGGGCAGCCGCTACCGCGCCTTCTTCGCCAAGCTCACGCAGGGCAGCGGCGCGCCCATCGCGCGCGACGCGGCGCTCGAGTTCTTCCGCAAGTCGAGTCTCTCGGAGGAGCAGGTGCAGGAGCTCTACGCGCGGCTCAAGGCGCTGCGCCTGCTGCCCGGCAGCGAGCGCGTGGGCGAGACCGAGTTCGTCATGGGCATGCACCTCATCGTGTGCATGACCAAGCGCGGGCTCGCGCGCATCCCCGCGGCCTTCCCCACGTCGCTCTTCCCCACGCTCGACCTCACGCCGCAGACGCAGACGCAGGAGCGCGCGCCCATTGTGGACGCGCCCCCAGCAGCTTCATCAGCTTCGGCTTCAGCGCTGGATGACGCGCCGCTGTCGTTCATTGCCACGTCGCCCGCCACGTCCGCGGCGGACGCTTCGTCGCTCACGGAGCTCGTGACGACGCAGATCCGCACGCAGCAGCACGAGACGGAGGTGCTGTCGCGCGTGGACCAGGCGGCGGCCAGGGCGGTGCAGAGCCTGCAGGCCTGTGTGGAGCGCATCGCAGACCAGGTGGACGGCCTGGGCTTCCCCGTGCCGAGCTCGGCCAGGTCGCTGGACGCACTCAAGAACCTGCTGCAGAAGCACGTGCACGCCGCCAAGCAGGAGATCCAGAGCATGCAGATCGACGCGCAGATGCGGAGCGTGGCCTCCGAGGAGCAGGGGCCGCGGGAAGACCCGCTGAAGGTGGCGGGCGAGCTCACGCAGGAGCTCATCGCGCTGCAGCACCACACGGCACAGCTCATGGCCAAGAAGGCGAACGTGATGGGACGACTTGTAGCGGTCAAGTCTGGAGGGTCAGCGGCGGGGGGTATTATCCAGCAGACGGCGGGTGCGGGCTTTATGGAGTCGAACAACCCGGCGTTCGCGCTGTCCAAGGGCGCACTCACGGTGGGGGAGCTCGGCACGGCCTCGGCGTCGACGACGCCTCCGAAAGGCGCGAGTCCAGCGTTGATGCAGTCACACAACAGTGCGTCGAGTGGGGGCTGGGGCACGTTCGGCGCTGCTGCGTCTCACGACCCTGCCCCTCCCCAACCCTTCGGGGTGAAGGCTGATAGCGCTCCGGCGTCGAATTCGAATGACCCCTTTGGCTTTGGATCGTCGCCTGCAGCTCCAGCTGTGGGGACAACGGAGACATCAGCGGCCAAAGCATCGGACAAGGGAGCAGACGACTTTGCGTGGGGGTCGTTTCAATAGGTAAATCTAACCATTTTTCTTCTTCTTGATAGCGTGCATTCGTTTTGCTACAGCTACTATGGCGGACTGTTTAGGCTAGCCTTCCGACGTAAGAGCGCAGTGTCATCACCACAGAGAAACTGTCGATCCTTTCAGACGGATCGAAGCAGTACATTCGGCGCGCGAGGTTCCATTCATCATCTGCGAATTGAGGTGGGCGGTGAGGGAGTTTCCCTCGTAACACCTCTTGTCGAACACCAGCATCAAGCCCAATATTGATCCAAGGTAACTGGCCACTCAGTAGCTCCACGATGAACATTCCAAACGAGAAAATGTCGGACTTGAAGGACGGTCCACTGTCAACTTTTCCTAGTCTCTCCGGTGCTTTCCAGCGCACTGCACCGACGGGCTCGGCAGCTTGGGGGTTCAGGTTCTGAGCGAACACGCTGAGACCGAAATCGGTCAGTTTGGCCTTCCGATCGGCGCCCACTAGAATGTTATTCCCCATGAGGTCTCCATGAATTACTCCACGCTGGTGTAGATGCTGGAGTCCCTTCGCTGCGTTGTACAGCGCAGCCCACACTGGGTTGCGCGGGCGACCGAATAGCGAATAGCCCGGAATCCAATCCTGCCACTTTTGATCACGAGCGAACTGGGGAAGAGTTCCGTTCTCCGCGTACTCGCACAAAAAGAATGGGGTTCCAACATGGCACGCTCCGAAGAGCTTGACCACGTTAGGGTGGTTTAGCGAAAACCACACGTCGATCTCGTGGAAAAAGTCCGCCTTGTCAGCTTGGAACAATAGTTTCACTGCTACATCTGCCTCGAACCACTTGCCACAATGCACTGATCCGAACGACCCGGAGCTGATGTATCCACGTACATCGATCTCATGCCAAGGAACATGCCAACGTGGAAGAACTGGAATCGCCGCATCACCGCTAAGACCCTGGATTGCACGTGTCATTGCGTCAAGAGTATCAGCGCTATAGATGACTCTGCGTCGATCGATTTCAAAGGCAAGCAGTGTAGCGACTTCAATCCGTTCCTCTTCGTCTCGGAGACCAGCAAAATATTCCGGATCCTGGAGCATGGTGTCGAAATCGTTCAGCTCCGTTAGGTGGTCCCAATCCCAGCGATGCTTCCAGCTGTGAATGTGGCTAGCCGCTTCGGGCAAATCGAAACGCACCAACAAGTGATCAATGCTGTGATGGAACGCCAAGCTTCGATGGCCAATCCCACGTGATACAATGGTTCTCGAAGCGAGGTTTGTGGAGTCCACACGATCTGCAAGTGACCACTTACACGACGAAGCCAGAGCGATAACAACCTGTAATAGGTCTTGCCGACACTGCGAGAGAGACTGGAGATACGCGTGTATACTCGCCAAACGCTCATATACGTGACGATCCATTGGACTGGCGGGGCACTCGATGTCATCCAACCGTTCCTCAATCTCTTTCATCAACTCCTTGATCGTGCGCTGAAAGTCTGGATGTTCGTATTCATCAACCGTCGCTACGAAGACCAGCTCTGAGCTGCCATCACCACTTGATCCCCCAAACACTCCCAGCTCGGTCAGCTCGGTAAGACGTTTGAGCACGGCTTCAGGTTTGCTCGTAGGGGATTTACTGAAGAAATCACTGTCACAATCAGAAAAATCGCCATCAGAGTCGCTTTCGCTAGCTTGATCTGGACCACTATCAGCACGTTTGTTGAGGGTTGAAGCTTGCAAGTCACGTCGGCCATTGTCGGTGCCAGGTGATGAATCAAATTGGTTCTCTGGAAGAATACTTGCGCCATTGACAACGCTCTGCAGTTGCTGGACGACATATTTCATGTCAACTCGCTCGGCGGGGTCCGCAACGCACATCTTGGATAGAAGATGCCACACGAAGTCGTCTTCAACGTAGCTTGGACGCTCTGGGAGGGTTTTGATCATCTGTGGCGTACACCAAGACCAGGCCGAGACGTCTTCTGCAGTCGCGATGTCGTGGAGAATAGTAAGGATAGACAAACCACAACTGGATGAACGCGACCAAGCAGTACCAGATCTCCACCCAACAAGTTTGCCGTATTGCTGGTCGTACTCACCAATAACTTGTCTGGAGCAACTCCACCGCACACAATCCCCCTCTCGTGTAGGTACTGTAGGCCCAGCGCGATACCCAGCAAAAGTTCCCAGATCGACTTGTGGGGGGTGTTCGTCGCCCGGAGGTTTGCAGATACTCCAGGCGCGGGAAGTCTGCGCAGAACGTTTTGTGTGATTTCATCTGCCTCCTCAACCACGAAGAACGCTGGATACCCAACATGACAAGCGCCTAGTAGTCGCGTAACGTGCGGGTGGTTGAGCTCCGACCAAATCGCGGTCTGGTAAACGCACGCTTCCCCTCCAGAGGCTGCAGCCGTCTTGACGTTAACGTTTTGCCACAATAAGTCGCCATTTCGCTCCGTAATCTCATGACGCGGGATGAACCACTTGGGCACCGAGACCACACAGGTGCCACTGCAGCGGCAAACTTCCTCGTAGACTGCGGCGATAACCTCGCGTTCGGCTGCAGTGTAGACGTCCTCTGAATATTTTCCAAAGTCGTACGCCAACAACGTGAGCAGTTCGAATGCATTTCCCCGATGTTTTTCCAACAGCTCAACTGCTTGACCAGGCTCCTCCAGGCTCGAGGCATACACCTGCATCCTCCAGTCTCGCTCGGCCTTGAGATCCCGCCGCCAATCTTTCAGAAACTCTGACTCGGGGATTCCATACGTTTCAGCCGCCTCGTCCATCAGAACGTGAAGATCGGCCATCCGCTTCATTACGAAACCTGTGCGAGCCAAGCGAAGAAGAGGGTTGCGCTCACTCTCGTAAGATTCGCGAGGAGGAGGTTCAGACTAGTCTATTCAACTTATGTTATGAGATTGTCTGGAATGTCCTAAGCCAGGTGATCAGCGCCGGTACCTGAGATGATCCCGGTGGCTGTACGTGGCTCGCCTCTGGTCGAGGTCCTCTCTTGGTGTCCGCTGGAAGAGATCCAAACAGATAAGTAATCTTGTGCCTTGAACTATTGTCCTTGGATTTCTGCGTTCCCTACGTGCTAGTGCTCGTAGTTGCCGGAGTCCAGCCTGTTGGAATGCTGCGACGCTGCTTGCAATGGTAACCTTGCCCCCATTGTGAACCACTTGGTTTCGTTGGGTCCATAGGACTGTCATGCATACTGTGCTCATAACCCACCATATCCGTTTCCATTCACGCGCGTGGTCGTCGGTCTGATCGGGAAACGCGCTGCTAAATCGACGACGCAGGTCTGTTGTAAACGGTGGTGATACTCGAGACGCGCAATCGCCGTATACCGAAGAAGCTGCTGGTCATCACACCTTCGTCTACCCCAGCAGCTGATAAGATATTTCCAGCATGCTTGGGCGCACGGACACTCCCAAAGTAGGTGCGTGAGTGTCTCCTTTCGGTGCTGACAGCTTTGAAGCTTGCGACAGCTTGCATCCATTTGACGGCCGTCGAAGAAGAGATTGAGTTGCTTCGTTGCCGCTCTGTAACTTACCCATACTTGATATTCCGTAATCGAATTCTTGTGAGCCCACAGTTGCTTCGGTGTTTGTTGCATAGCTCCGCGCTGCCATGGATCCGCTGCTGCAGTTGTTTCCAAGCGTGCGACCACAGACCGTAGCTCGCTTCCTAATTCTTGCTTGAACGCTTTGAATGGTAGTTTCTTGATTGCAGACAAGACATTGCAGTTTGACACAGTTTCCGGAACCTCCCAAGGGAAGCGGTGGAGCAAGGGGTGAGCTTTAAACACCAGCCCTCTACTCTCGTAAGATTCGCATAGCTCGGTGATCTGCCAGTCTATCATTGTGCAGATGGGCGAAATGTCTGGGTCCCTCTCGTAGCTCGAGTTGTCCCACATATTCCGACATCGATTCCACAGGTGACGGCTCCATCGCGGCGCGAAGGTCGTCGAAATCGGGAAGTGATCCGAAGAGGGAGGAGAGGGAGGGATCCGAGATATGGTCCGAATTGGGTGGACATAGTGTGTCCAAGTCTTGGAACTCAATTGATACTCTTCCGTCTGGAGCACACATTGTCTCCACTATATAGACTCAGCTTGGGCGCTCACTCCCCCTGCAGACACCAGTGCCCATCTGTGGGATCTCTCTTCTCCTTTGAGGCTTTTTGGTCCAGCTTCAACTTGCCAGTTTTGTGGACCATACAATAACCAAGTAAACTAAGATTGGTCATGCCCAAATGGTGATTGACGTTTTCACGACTGGAGACTTTCTCACTTACTTACTGTAAAAACTGTAATTATGCTCCTTGGGGTACTGCAGCAGTACCCCCCTGCCAACATGGGGCATTGTTACAAGCGTTAAAAACTCTATTTACAGAATGAATTTGACAGTAATCACTGACATTGGTAAGTCGACATACAAACCTTACGATTATGATATGAAACATTTGGAATTTATGAGGAAAAACTCAGAATCAAATTCATTTTTTCAGATAAAAGGTTGGGGTGGGGCTCTATTTGAGGGTGGGGCACTATCGCAAGTCCTGAGCCAAAGACGTCAAATTTCATGGTGTGGGGCACTATTAGAGGGAGGGGGCATAATTGCAGTTTTTACAGCAGGTACTTTCCAGTTGGTAATTTACCATGTCGCGGCGTGGCACTAACCGGGACGAAACTCGGACGGTGGACGAGATCGTGCGTGCGTTGCTTACCCAGAAGCTGTCAACTCCACTCGATACCGACAGTAAGTCGCTGGATGTGAGCAACTTCCTAGCGATACGGATCTTGAGCTCGTATGGACTCGCGGGGCTGCGCGTCTTGCTCCAGACCCGCATCGAAGCCGTTTACGCCCCCAATCAACTTGTCGCCAGCGAGGTGGCCCAACACTCCGCAGCTCAAGTGCACAGCGCGCTTAAGAGCTCTCTGTGGCACAATGAAAAGGTACATCTACGCCAGAGTTTGCTCATTTCGTTCGCCGAGATGGACTATCTGGGCGACGCAGACGAAAGGTTCATCCGCTACTTGCAGCGGTGCTGGGCGGTGTACCAGCAAGGCAATGAAGTGCAGTTGGCGCCGTGCACTACCGTCGTGCAGAGCTCGGGCTTCGGCAAGAGTCGGCTGTTGTACCAGCTAGCTCGACAGACCATCGACCGGGAGGAGTTGGGCATGCGAGTGCTCTACATTTGCACTCGCTTGCACAAGTCGTCGGGGTTCCCCGAGGCGACTGTGAATCTCCGTTCGATGCTGTTTGAGAGCGGTCAGACGCAGCAGAAGCTCAGTCGCCAGCTCGAAGCTATCTACCACTACGCGCAGCAGAACTGGTCGACGGTTGGGTACGAGTGGATCGAGCTCTTTACGAACCCCTTCGCGGACCGACCCACAGAGCAAAAGCTCACAGGAGTGAAGGCGGTGAAGTATGGTACAACTGGACGGGCGGTGATTCTAGTGCTGGACGAAGCTAGCGCTCTGCTGACAGTAGAGAACGGTGGGATCGATCTGCTCCAAGGAGCTCTGATTGCTGCCAACAACAGCATTTGAGCTTTGTTTCCAGGCGGAGGAATGTTCGCTTTTCTTGTCGATACGAATCCGGAGATCACGGGTTTGCGACTTCCACCACCGCCACACGATACGCCCAAAGCGAGCGACTTCACCATGTTCCCTCCGTTCGTGCTGACCGACACGATGGACGTGTTCTGGCGCGATTACTCCAGCAAGTTGGGGATGGATGAGATTTCCGCGTACAAGTTCGTGGTGACCCAGGGCAACAAGAACGAAACTGTGAGAGCTTTGGTGTCAATGGGCCGGCCTCTCTGGGCGAGCTTCTTCCACGCTTCAATCCAGGAGGACCGTACTACTGGCATCGGTAGGTGGGAATTGGTCGGTGCGAGTGGCGTCTTTGACGAGATGGTTCGGCTGGCGTCGAGTAAGTTGTTGGTGGGTCTGGCACCGTTGATCCCGGCCAGTTATAACGAGGACACCATGTTCGGCATCGCGTCATTGCTGTGTCGACTGGGACTGCGTCCGCGCTTCACACCATCTCTCGCATCCCGCGCTGTCGAAAGGTTCATGGCGGTTCTAGCGTACGTGAGTCGCGATTATGATGGGCTGGTGAGTGCGTACACGTCCGACCCGGTGCTGGCGCTGGGAGCAGCCGACTTGTGGCATGTATGGGGGCCTTTCGATGGGAAGTCATCGTTATCGGAGTGTGTCCTACCGCAGCTGAAGAATCTGTTGGTGCAAGAAGTGTTGGATGTGGATAAAACTGATGAGCTGGTGGCCCGCGTCGTGCTGCTTCTGGCGGTAGATTTGTGTGTGGTGGTGGAGGCGGAGGCAAAATATCATAGCCAGTGTCACTTTGGGGGTCAACACGTGAGAGTTGGGACGTTTATGATGGTGCTGGGCGGCTCGGATCCGCCTGTACTAACCACAGAACTGACGGCGCGAACTGATGAAGACATCAAAGTTGCGTTTGAGACGTGGAAGTCGAGGTGGGCTGGCTGGAAAATGGGGTTCAGCCACTTTATTCAGTTGACGCTCGAGCCGACGGAGCAGACACTGTGGTTTTTGCTGGGCCGCCACGCGGCTGGTGTGCTTTCGCGAGATGTGGAAGAGGCCTGCCTGATACTACCGATGTTTCGTGGGGAATCAGAGGTGTCATTTATACTGGTTCAAGTGACGGATTGTGTGGAAGGTGGCAGCAAACGCACGGGTTTGGAGGATACGAATCGAGTCCAATTCCTATCGGACGACAACCCACTTCGAGCGAGTATTTTGCACGACGTGATCTACGTGCGCATGGCCTCAGGAGAGACCGTGCCACAGTCTGAAGCGGATCGGTACTTTGTGGCTGAAGGAGGTGCAACTTGGAATATGAACACGCCAGTGTTCTCGCTTCATGTACGCTCGGTAAGTACCTGGAAGTTCTCGATCGGAACGCACACTTATCAGGTCATGAAGGAGTCGGAGGCGACCGAATTGGTGAATTTGGCGTCGTTCGTCCGGACTCCCATGGCACTTATACGCAGTGCTGTGGGTTCGGATGGAGAAGGCGTGGTGACGTCAAAAGCCGAAATCGGTATTTCCGGCGAAGACGGAAATTAAGTTTTCCTGGAAGAAGAAGAGGACCACGTTTGTCAAGACTTCAGCTCCCCAAGTCTCCGTTCAACCCGACCAACAAGCTGCGAAGTCGCAGGCGGGTCAGCTGGCAACCGGGCCCGACCCTCGGTTCTGACCCGGCTGTTGTAGGAAAGATAAAGCAGTCGTTCTTGGAGCGACGGCCAGGAAGGAACTCCAAGCACCGACACGATGCCGCGTGCGCCATCAGTTTTTAGACCCACCACACCACTCCCTAGGCTACCTCAGCTCGGCTCACTCATGAGCCCCCCCCCCCCCCCCCGAGGCTTTCCTTCGATAACCAAGAACGTACTGCTTTGCCCCAAACTGGTCCTCGCATGTAAAGGAAGGAAACGATCTCAGTAGCTGCTAGTGCACTGATTGACGAGCTAGAAGATGGTGATTTCGTCGTTGATAATGGACAGGTTGTTGCCTCAAAGGAGAGTATGGGCGACAAGGGATAATGTTAACCAGATATGACGCGTTTTGAAGTTTTTCTTTTGCACAGAGTTTCCTAAAGGATTCTTCTCAAAGTATTATAAATTGATTAACACGCGCAGTTCACGAGCTGGAGTCACGAGAACCGTGCGCTTTATCGCTTAAGATTGTGAATGAGGTCGACTGTGTTGAATGCAGGAGACCGTTCTAGGTTGAAGAGCACCAATGTACACGAAAAGATGAAACTCGATTCGCCTGGCTAAATGTGTCGTTCGTCCCCAGGATGTTCGTTGCCAAGGACACTATTTTAGCTCGGGCAGACACTCCTCCGTCCATTCGGTTGGACCTGCCCGATGGGGTCTACACGTAGGTGCCACGTCCTTTTCAACTTGTGGAGGTCGTTGCAAGTGAAGCAGCATGGTAGCTACTCAGCCGGGAGGGTGCAAGACTTGGCCAGTACGAGCGGTTGGCGAGCACTACGCGTGCAGTTGCCGTGGTGCTGGCGACCCCGTTGCCATGCCTAGCTGTCACTCTCTTCATCGACTTGTTGCCTCTTTCGCCCCCGTCGGAGGGTATCATCGCCAACAGACTCTTCCTATTGCGAGAGTTCTACGCGTACCTGGTCATGACGTTGCTCGCCCTCCACCAATTTCGTAAGGGAATCCCGGTGCTACCATACCCTACCAGGAAGCTTTTCAGGGACACACTCCTAGTGCCGGGGCTGAGTATTGGTCTTTTGTACGCGTTCATATCGGTCGTTGGCTTTCCTCTCCCGTTCACGACGCTGACGTTGGTGCCACCGTGGGCTGTGTTGATCGTCGTTTGTTTGGCGGTTCAATGGGCGAGGATTATCCGAGAAACTGTTGGCGCCATGCCGATGTCGATCGGAATGGTGAAGCTTTGGGTGTGCGATTTCCTGCTTGGGTTCATCTACCCGCCGTACTTCTACGTCTTCTCGTCACTAGCGACCAAAGGGAAAATCGTATTCGTACTGCTCCTCCCAGTCATTAAAGCGCTGATGAGGAAGCTCTTCTCTCGAGCAGTCCAGCATCTCGGCGACGAGACGCCTGGGCTGGTTGTCTTCAACGCCGACGTGTTCGGATCGCTCTTCATGTCGTACTGTATGCAGAGGTCGCCCTCGACCTGGACAATGACGGGCATAATGACCCTAGATGTGATAACCATGGCGATATCACTGCGGGATGTCCATATCGCGCAAAAAGAGTTGAAAGAAATGGAGCGCCAGCTAGACAAGGCGCGCGTATGGCGGAGTCATGGTGGAGCGGTGGGTCACATCAGTTTAGGAAGACGCGTGCCAACTACGCTGGAGCGCGCGAGTATTCTATTGGACCAGACAGCAGCAGAGTACGGCCCTAGTATCGATATCGTGGATGTGGCCAACAAAAACCGCATGATCGATATTCATCCCGCCGATCACGGAGCTGTTGCTGTTGGGCGAAGATCACCAACCGCGGTCGTTGAAGCCAGCTACACTTTAAAGGTGCGGAGACTATTGTACATGGCAGAATTTCAGCTGCTTCTCAACTACGTCGAAGCCATGATCCCGCTCGTCTTCTGTAAGTACTTAAGTACTGCTAGTTTTTTCTTCAGCTCGTACTGTACTATGTCGCGTGTGAGCAATAACATGGGTTTGTGATCACTTTAGCTATTTACCTCGTAGCTACGTACTACCTGCCCAACCGCGACTACTACCGCACGCTATCTATAATGGCATGGACCATCACCAGCTCTTCCAGACGCTGCAGAATGTGTTGCTCTACTGCATTCTTCAGATGGCCTCGCTTTTCCTCTTGGTCTTCATGCTCCGCTGCATGCTGGGACTATCTCCGATTAAACATATCGCCTTTGTTCTGGAAAAGCAAGTCGACTTCGTGCAAATTTCCATCGTATTCTGACAACGTGCAGAGCTCGCTGCAGCACATGGGTCAGCAACTATTGCTTCGTCTGAGGAACCTGGCAAGCCTAATGCTAGTTTCGTGCTGTATATTGCAGGTTATGACTACAGCTTTAGGTTAGCGTGGCTCTCTGTAAAACTTTCTGTGAGGTAAACCGACCACAATTCAGATTTTGAGAAAGTTTTCGACGGAACACATTCACGGTTTGGCAGTAACGGGACAATGGCATTCGAAGAGTGGGCATTCCTGGACGAATGGTGCGGGACGATGAGCACTCTGTTTACAGCCACGGGGAGCTCCGCGATAGTGTGGCGGTGGGGGCCGGACTACAACCCAGCTCTCCAGTTCACCATCGTTCCCCCGAGAGACAGGAAGTTACCCTCGATTGAACGCACCAAGCAACTCCAAACACTTCGTGAGGGACTCGCTCTATTCGCTGCAGTGGCTTGGATCGATGTTAAAGCACTCATCTATCTGCTGAAAACGAAGGGGGTTTGCCAAGTCCAAGACGAGACACGAAGTCACGCGTTTATAATGGCAGAGCTGCCTGTGTTCGTTGAGATCGAAGTGGCTCGGAAGCTGAGCAATGACCCAAGCAAAAGTTTCGCGTGGGTCAAGGACGATCTCGTATCTCTCTGCTGTGAACTGGACGAGCAAAACACTAGCGAAGCGTTCCATGAGGCATGGGCGAAGGTCGAAGTGTTCTCCAGAACCGACTCGAAGCGGCTGAGGGGCTGGCAATACCTGTTCGGGTGATTATTGGCAAACCAGAGTACTCGAAAGGGTCGGACACTGCATCTGGGCGCGTGTGGGATGTCGTAAGGAAGACATTGAATCCTGCCCGAGTCCAGTGGGGGTGGTTTTCGTCGCTGGTGGGCAGTTCTTCCACCCTGGCGAGAAGATTCCGGTCTACCTATTACGCCTCATTTGTTGTCACTTGCATTAACGCAAAGAACGCAGTGACTTTCAATGGCGCCAGTGCTGCCTTCATGAAGTTGGTGACTGAAATGGGTCCTGAGGCTCATCTTTCAGCGATGAATTTCTGTCTTGTGCCACACTGGGACTCCCAACGTGTTTGCCGCATGATATCAGGTCTATTTGGTGGTAACACTTGCCCCAGTGATGTCACTATTGAACCCCGAGCGGTGGACTATGCGTGCGTGGACTTTCAAGCCGAGAGTGGACTGGAAATGAACGCGCTTTGTTCAGCCTTGGCGGTCACGCGTTCGTGTCGGTCGTTCACCTTCAACCTCTGTTCGTATGACTCGCCCTCGATGGTGAAAGTGTGGCCTACGCGTTTTTCTCGAACCGAGCGCCATCACGATCTTCTGTGCAGCACGTAACAATCTATAACGCCCATCTGAATTTTAGAGTACTGGAAACGGTGTCGAGGATCCTGACTTCTCCCAATACGGAGCTGGTACTATTCGCAGTCGCTATGGGGCTGGAAACCACAATGAGCACTGGGCATGACGCGCGCGAGTATCATTTGCGTGAGAATGCAGTCATCCAAGTTACTGAATAAGCTACCGGCCGTGTGAGCTCATGGAAATTGACAGATATTTTTCAGCAAAGTGAAGCTGGAGGAGTGGTGCTGGTCAATCTTTCGGATGATGGCTCCAGTGAGTGGGTGGACGTGCTGGTTCCTGGCATTGGCTTCTGTAAAGTCCAACGCTCCGACCTCGGTGTGTGCGACCACGGGAAAAACTCGGACCTCCAACCGAATCTGGAGCTGGAGATTCATTTCCGGCACTCCTTGGGCCGTGGACACCTGACGAGGTTCCTGAGGCTTGTTGGGAAGCATCTGCGCAGCGTTCGCTTCTTCATAGGTGAGAGTGCTCCATCGCCATGAAACACACTCATGAAGACCAACTTGCATGCGGCCGACAGTTCTCCATCTCCTTCGACCTCCAGACGATCGAAGCGCCTCAATCCGTCTTCAAAGCTACCCACGTGCGACGGATCGACCACCACGGTCAGGTACTGCAGAACTTTATTCCCATTCAGGATACGAGTCAAGCCCTGCAACGCTCCAGCATAAGTCCCATATGATAACATTGGCTCCGAGTTGCAGTGCCACCAGCGAAGGTTCCTTGTGAGCGTACTTGACCCATTACTCAGCGTAGCTGCGAGCACTCGGACGTCGTCGAAATGACACTCGAGACGACGAAGCTGCGGGTTGTGCTGCTGACACGCTGCAGCAAAAGCTTGAGCGGAGATAACGTCATCGCGCAGCGTCAATTCCTGTACTCCAAAACGCCTGATCAGCAGCTACGAAGCAATGACGTTCACCTTTCGCACCGCTTGCTTCGCAAACTCAAATATGTTCTTCGCCACGGGGACGTCTGGAGCATGCAGACGAAGACGTTCGGTCTGGTCTGTTCTTTGGATCAATTTTCCGCTGTGGAATCGCGACGTTAAAACTGCAGAAATCTTCGAGACGTGTCGACATTTGAGTTTTTTAGTGCCCGATAAAAATTGAATGCACATTTTTTCAGACGACGACAGTATGAAAAAATATAATATTTCGTCGCTTCTTGTCAATCAGGTGCGCTGGAGTTTTTTCTTTCTCGGCACTTTTCATTTGGAAGTGCTAGGGGTCATGGCGCTTCAAGCCGTGGAATTCATGCAGCCTTGGTGTCGACGCATGGAGAAATTTCTCGAGGACACGAGGAGCGAGGTGAAAGTCTGGCGCTGGGGTCCAGACAACAAAGCGGCCATTCAGTTCACTGTTGTGTCTCCGAGTTTCCTACTCATGACGGTGGAGGAGCGTAGAGCTGATCTTAGGATTCTTCGCGAGGGGATTTCACTGTTTACAGCCCTGGCGTGGATCGATTCCGAAGCATCCGCCGGTCTACTCACCACGCTTGCATGCAAGCCTGAAGAAGCGTATTGGGCCCACGAGTCCGGAATACCCGTCCTACCAGTGTGTGTGGAGTTGAACCTGTCAAAGTGGCGAGATGTGCCTGAAGATGTGGCCTGGGTGAACGAGATGATTACCTCCATGTGCTGCAGACTGGATCCGCAAAATACAAGCAGCGAATTCAGAGAAACGTGGGCAGAGATCGAGCGCTTACTCGGTGCATCAAGTAATATATCTACGCGATCCTTAATGGCTCTCAAGACTCCGGTGCGGCTCGTTGTTGACGAATTTGACGACGATGGACCGGGGGGAGCTGTGTTGGCTCAGACGTGGGAGGTGATACGGGAGGTCATGGACAAGAATCAAATCTCCTGGGGGTGGGCGTCGTCGATCCTAGAGAAGCCTCTTTGCTGCTCAATAGGCTCGCGACGAGACTGTTTCACCTCTTTCACTGTGGACTCGATCTCCGCACAGCATCTCAGCCCGGAGAACGCCTTCTACCTTGGCAAGATAATGACCCAGTTTGTCGACCTCGTGGGTGAGATGGCCGGCCGCGTTCACTTTTCGGACGTCACGTTCCCGCTGTTGCTTGTCGAGAAAGAAGCGACTGCAGTCGGACGTTTCGGTCGAATGGTTTCCAGGATCCTTTGCTCCTATTCTTGCTCCCATCGAGTCCTGGAAGGCTAATACGCGACGAATGTTCTGGCCGTACGCTGCACCACCACCAGGCAATTCAGCGCATTTTGTGCGGCTCTTGCGGTGAGTCAGTCGTGCCAGTCGATTCACATTTTCCCGTTCGACAGCAAGGTCAACTCCACGAGAGCGATGGCGTGGCAATGGTTAGCCTACGCTTGTTTCTCGAAGCGGGCGCGTGCATACTAAGTACTCCCCAGTGAGGAGAATCAAGCTTACGGAAGCCGATCTGACCCTTGAAGACGCAGACGCAATGGCAAAAATTATCACGAGTGAGAACCCGGAGCACGAATTATTGAGATGTGACGCGCATATTGGAGATGTATTTTCAAATGATGGGATTATCATGTGGATGGAAACACGGTCGTCCGGGTTTACGATGAGGAATCGTTACTGTTTGAATCGTCCGAGGTTTCGCAACGTGGACTTACTTGTGGTGTAAGACTCGTAGGGGACGACGGCGCAAGTGAGTCGGTGGACGCTCTTGTTCCTGGCTTTGGATTGTGTAAGCTCCAGCGTAGGAGTCTACAACGGTGCCATTCAAGAAATCTCCACAACAGACCGAATCCGTTGCGATTAGATCTGGAAACGTATCGTTCATGCGATGGCGTTCCTCGACTCCTGGAGCTTGTTGGGCCCACCCTGCAGTGTCTACGGCTAACATCACTTTATCGTTTAACTGAGGTTTTTGACGTGTCTTCGATTCTTTCATCGTGCCCCAACCTGGAGGAGCTAACACTACAGCAGCGAACCGTATCTGCCGAAGCATTTGTGCGGAGCTGTGAGGAGAACAAGTCTCGACTGCGTCGTCTTCAAGTGATGTTCGACGATTACAGGGTCGTGGCCAATGCGCTGAAGGACGACTCGCTCCAGCTGACCAAGCATCTTCGGTGGTGGTATTGCTATCGTTTTCGTCTGGAATTGGAACCAGTGGTGCCGTTGGAAGAAATGCTCGACGTAAATCGGTCGCTGAGGTGGTTAACAGTCGATACACCCAAAAGCACGGAGAACCCGTCAGCAAAAATATTGATGGGGTACAACGGACAGCAACTCGACGTGGAGGCTGACAAGTTGTCGACAACCTGCAAGCTGGCATTCCTGAGCGTGTTCAGATCGAGGGAGGAGCCTCGTCCGTTTAAAAAACGGTCAGATGAAACGCTCAGAGCCCCCGATGACTTTTGTTTGTCAAGGATTTTCCAGTTTGCTACCGGCCGTGCAGTACGAAGTGTGAAAATCGTCCACCCGTAAGACAACAAGTTTAGCGCTACGAGTAGGAATTGCACGTAATAGCATGCGCTCGTCTTTCTTGGGCTCGTGATCGCTATCAGATCCAATTACGACCTGTAACTATCTAATTACGCAGTGCCCCACACCTACATATTATGTAGCAAACCGAGCCCCCTGATACATTTTGTTTCTTAAATTTCTCCTGAAACATGCATGATAATTAGTTAGGTCCAAACATTTGCAAGCACAACACTTATTTTTGGCCGGTAATGAAGCTGTTTGTTCGGAACAAATTGTTCCCAACCAAAAAATCATAAAATAGAGGAATACATGCCTTTAGTGACGGAAACGAATTATTCCAAGTTTTTTAAATTATATTCTTTACTAGGTAAATGTTAATATATACAATTAGTATCAGAATAGTACTATTATTTAAATTGCATATTCTAATTAAGACCACCAAAATATGAGTAATAATAGTAGTCAATATGATCGATATTTTTTACATCTGTAGTAGTTAATACAAAGAAAAACCTTCTTCCAATAATCTAAAGGCTGAATTATATCTCATTTTTTACTGTTCAGTCAGTGAGCTGTGTAACCCAATAACGACTACGGAACGGTGGCGTTAGTTACGTTCTCATGACCCCGGAAGTACGGCGGTATTGACACGGCTCGCTGTCATCATTCCATAGACGTCCACTGTGGTTAGAACACATTAGCGGTATAGTCACCTAATAATGGCACGACGTGTAGAGTAAAAGTCAGCTGGATCGGGCGTATTGCATACAGGCTGTATGCAATACGCCCGATCCTAGCATTGTATATTGTATCAATGAAGCATAGAACCAAAACTTAGTATTCATCAAATAGTCTTCGTATAATACTATAAAGTAGTTTCCACAAAAATGTTACTGTTATTTGTGACTATATTAATATGATGCATTTTAATACGAGTGATTATGATGCTTTCCTTAAAAAGAAGCATTTGCACCAATATGATTTGATAGTAGTGCTGGATAGTAGTACTATTGATAGATACAATTATTTAAATTTAAAAAATAATACGAGCCCGACCAGATCGGCGGAGATCGGGAGAGTCTTCGAGACCAGATCGGCGGAGATCGGGAGAGTCTTCGAGACCCCGTCGTTTTTCATGCGACGGTGGCAGCAAGCGGCCCGTCTCGCCGAGGGAAGTGGCGTGCGTGTCATGCCATGACAAGAGTGAACCTCCGGAACCTCTCGACTGTCTGTCGATTCCTGTCGCAGCCCCCTCCGGCGGAGGGCCTCCGCCTCAAAAACGCGCTTCCCTCCCCCACGGTCATCTGCATGGAGAAGAGGTGGCTGGCCGTCTTGCGGTGGTAGAACCACAGGTCTCCGTCCGTGATGACCATGCCGTTGCCGAACAGGTCGAAGCTGATGTACTGGCCGCTGGGGCCGCGCAGGAACACGTCGTCCTGCGTCACCAGCACGTCCTCGAACATTTCAGGGGACGAGAGCACGATGGTGGCGGGGCGACCGGGGATGGAGAACATCCACGGGCGGTTGCCGAACTCGATGGACTGCTCGTTGAGCCAGTCGTGGAAGCGCTCGGCGTTGCCCCCGTCGTCCAGGATGTTCTTGAGAATGGGGAGCGTGGTCTTGGGCATGGGCGGGAGCTTGCGAGCGTCGCTCTTCTTGCTCTTCTTGGTGCTGTGCAGGAGGAGGGAGAGCCCCAGACTCACGGCCACTGCGAAGCGAGGGACGTGATGGAGGCCACAGTGCATGACAAACTGGGGGTGTTCCTGGATGTGCTGGACATCTACCACAAGCGCGGCAAGCCCTTCAGCATCAAGCAGGAGCTGAGCCACTTCACCATGGACGCCATCGCCAAGATCGGCTTCGGCCTCGACATGGACACGTTGAAGAACAGTCCGGACCGTGAAGAGGACCACGAGTTCCTGGAGGCCTTCAACAAGGGATCGGTGCCGTTTGGTGTGCGCATCCAGTCGCCGCTGTGGCTCTGGGAGCTCAAGAAGTACTTGAACGTTGGCTGGGAGAAGGTGCTCATGGACAACACCAAGATCATGCATCAGTTCATCAACAAGGTCATCCTCGACTCGATGAACAAGAAGGCGGAGCTGGCTGCGAAGGGGGAGAAGATGGAGGCCAGAGACCTCGTCACGCTCCTCATGGAGAGCAAGCTCCGACAGACGGAGGACATGCACATCGAGGACGATGACGCTACGATCATGCGCGATATGGTGATGACATTTGTCTTCGCTGGCAAGGACTCGACGGCGCACAGTATGGGCTGGTTTATCGTCAACATGAACCGCTACCCGGATGTGCTGAAGAAGATCCGTGAAGAGATGAAGGAGAAGCTGCCGGGCCTTCTCACGGGCGAGATCAGGGTGCCGATGCAGGAGCAGATCAAGGATCTGGTGTACCTGGAAGCCGTCGTGAAGGAGAACATTCGTCTTCACCCGTCTACGGGCTTCATTGTGCGAGAGACCATGCAGGATACAACGTTGGTGGACGGCACGTTTGTTGAGAAGGGTCAGACGCTCATGGTCTCGTCCTACTGCAACGCGCGCAACAAGAAGACGTGGGGCGACGACTGCCTCGAGTTCAAGCCTGAGCGCATGATCGACCCTGAGACGGGCAAGCTGCGTGTGCTGTCGCCTTACGTTTTTAGTGGCTTTGGATCGGGCCAGCACGTGTGCATTGGCCAGAAGTTCGCACAGATGGAGATCAAGATGGCAATGGCTACTCTCTTCAGTAAGTTTGATATCAAGACGGTGGAGGACCCGTGGAAGCTCACGTACGAGTTTTCGCTGACGATCCCGGTCAAGGGCCCTCTGGACGTGGAAGTCACGCCCCTGACCCCTTTGACACCACCTAAGTGAGATGACAGTTATGAATACCGAAAACGAACTCTGTTAGTTCCCTAGGTCTTAGCCAATCGAGATATCTTCTCTATACGTTTCTATCAAAAAAACTTCCAGACTGCATGAATTCACTGCACTGTACCAACTGGATCGTTGACGAGCTTCTTTTTGAGCGTCGTGCTTCATCCTCTTGGTCTTCGTGACCGACGTCCCCAGGCTGCCATCGCTTGACTGGCGCAATGAAACGAACTTGAACTTGAGATAATAGTAATGATGTTACGCAGGTATTCAATCGATATAATATATCGATCGATTGATAATATTATTATCGTAACGAGTTTTTCACCAATTAAAAATAAGTTGACATGTGAAACCTGAAACGAAGAGACATACAACTAAGAAAGTTTTTCAACCATTATGCTCGTTAGCTTATTCAACTTTAAGTCCTTGCAATACCTATGGCTTCGACACGTACGGGCAATGGCTGGAGTAATCAGGACACAAAACATCAAGTTAATAGTCGAAGAAATGATGAAGTAGTTTGACGTCGTGGAGTTTCGTGTTACCAGCATTATGTCGCCGTTCAAAGCATGTACGAAGTAGTACCACGTAGCAGGAAGGTAAACATCAACATGTACATAGACTTACAATAGACGAGCAACACGTAATCTAAGGTAAAAAATATATAGTGAGATGTAACAGCACAGGACGTCGCTATTAGATTTCGTTAACGATTCTAGTGTTGGTTCCACCAAGCGCCTGATACATCAACTCAGGTCTGTCATTGCTTGCCCCCCCCCCCCCGATTCCTTCTCAACGTCGCTCGAGCCCGTCGCTGAGGCATCTTGAAGCATAGGCAAGTAGACGTCGAAGACGCTCGTCCCAGAGGTCAGCAACTTCGTCACATTGCCGGTGGATCCGCCGTTCAGGATGTCGTTGATGAAATCCAGATCATACGTGACGCGGGCGCAATTTGCAGGCAAAACACCACACCCGCACAACACCAACGACCACCCCATTAACAGCAAGTGGGCCTCCGGTATTGCCTGGGCACAAGCCTTTGCCATCCCCACTACCGGCACAAATGACAGAGTCTCCAGATGGGAGCGACTAAATTAGGTCAAATCGCAAACTTGGTCAAGGCCAAATCTTGAAGATAGATCACGGATAGGTCACACATTTGGCACTTAGGTCACGTGAAGCTGCTAGAACAAGCTTTAGCGCCCCAGCATCACCCAAGTCGTTCCCTTCATTACTACGGTAAAGTACAACATGCCGAGTAGCTATTTCTGGCCGTTGTACCTGTCCTAAACTCTGGGGTTTTTGAAACCAACATGATCCAATAGAAAGCATGCGACCAGTGGGCCATTGGGACTTCTCCCTTCACAAACACAGCCTTCAAGTCACGCGCCAACCACTAACGTAACCCAAGATGGCTCGGCGCCGAGGAGCCTCTACGTCTTCCCCAGATCCAGCCCCATCTCGTTCTCTGGGCAATCTCAATTTGCTCCGACTTCGCGTCCGACTCGTCGAAGCAGTCGCGCGACGAGTGACGTTCTTGAAAGAGAACTGTCCGACGCCATCTTGGCTTCCCAAGAGTTACGGGCAGGAACACAGGCGCCGACGTCGCGTTCAACACGCCGAAACAACCACGCATCGAGTGACGTCCCTGATAGCGAGGTGTCCGCAGCCGTCGTGACTCGGCATGGACTTCTGATGGGGATTCGCGATACTGAACCAGACACGCCTGCGCTGGCATGCGGCAACTACATCTATGACGAGAAAATCCTACGTCCGACTGCTGCAATGTGTACAAGATGCTGTGGGGAGCAAACTGGTTCCAAAAGATGTGGTGTGTGACTTTGAGAGTTCACTGATTGGAGCACTTCGCGAGTTCTTTCCTGACGTCACCATATTATCGGGTGCCTGTTTCATTTTAAACAGGCATGCCGTCGCAAGATGAAAAGCATTGGGCTACCAGTTGGTGAAATCAAGGTTGCTATGTCGCGTAATGTCTTTGACATACTTACCGTCATTGATCCCACCAAAATTGCTGTGCAGGGAATCGCTTGGGTGAAGGCCAAGATTCGCAGCGTGTGTGAGGTGAAAGATCTGGAGTACTCTCGCAGCAAGTGGCGAACGTTTTGGAGCTACTTTCAGAGGACTTGGTTGGAGACATACCCGCCGGAATACTGGAGTGTGTTCGGCATGAGGCGTGACATCATCAGCCGGACGAACAACCCATTAGAGCGATTTCACCGTGAACTAAACAAGTGGTTTAATGCTCATCCGCCCATGAAAACTTTCGTGACTTCGCTAGAAAACCTTGCTCGCGAGTACGTTGCGCAACGGACGACTGTCATCTCAGGCTTAGCCAAGCCACCTGAGCGTAAAGGATTCGTCCTACCAAGACAGCCAAAGCTGCCAGAGGTGAGCGACATCGTCGACTCGCTAGCCAGCAGCGACGGTGAGGGTGAAATAGTCGATGCTGACGCGGACTCGGAACCATACAGCAGCGCTATGTCCTCGGCGGGTGACGAAAACGTGGAACCCGGTGAGGACAGCGAGTACATTCAGCCGGATCACTCCTTCGAGTACGACGGCGAGACGTAGAGAGCCTCCGACACCTACATCACGGACGTGACCGCGCAGTATGAAGAGGGCAGTGAGCATAACACATAATACATCTCATTCATTACGTACGTGACCAACTGTAATCAGGTCACGTGACCTAACGACGTGACCAACTATGCCATTTGACCTAATTTATCGGTTACCCTCCAGATTCCAAAATTTCGGAGAAGTGTCAGGGGTCGCCTCCAAGGATCTCCGGGTCCTTGGCCTTCCTGGGAGGAATCCTCCCTCGGGAGCCCAGGCGGAGCAAGACGACAGTAATGGCATCTTCAAGGTGGTCAGGTTCGACGACCTCGTGGCACAACAGGCTGATCAAGACGGTAGGCGAAACAGAAACGAAAAACAGGGTGTATTGGTGACGACGAAGCGCGAGATAGCGGAAAGAGTGCAGACCGCTGGCCACGCTGCCTTGAGAGGCAATCGTGGCGTCGGGATCGAATTCCGACGAGCGCGGCGCAGAGGTGACTGCTGGATTGATGAAGAGCGGGACGGAAGAGAAGGACAAGAGGGGACACGGGTGAACAATGTGTTGGAGGGACGCGTCGAGGTGGTGGACTCCGGACCGACGAAGCGCGAAAAGGAGGTGTTGCATATCTCGTTTAGCAATTGCATATCGTAGGGGTATATCTCGGTCGAATGCCCTAGTGGCATTTGGTTGGTGTGTACCCGTGTGTTTGGGCTACTACCACGGGCACGCGCCCTGGAGGCCCGTGATCCGTAGGCCAAGCTGCAGCAGTGCGCGGCATCGGGTGAGCTAGCCGTCTAAACCGCAACAAATTCAAAATGACAGAGTCGTCCACCATGTCTCCGTATCCGTCAGCGGTGTATAATTTGCGACACTGCTTATTCGTAATGATCTCGACGTCCACCGCTTGAAGAGTGTCTTTTTTAGGGTCGTTGTAGATAATCCCGCCCCACCCGAGAATGGTTGCCATCGTACCGGGTCTGTTGTTGGACCCGTCCGCCTTAGGCAAACGCGCGGGTGTATACTTCGATGAGTTTTCGAGCTTGAGCACAACCAGCTACCGACGTATCCAGCGGATTGTACTCTGGGAGACTGAAAGCCTCCACGACACGAATTTGCTCGGACCTTCCCGAGCCCCGGCCAGACCCATGCTTTGATCCGATGGAGGCATACACATCGTACAGGTACCAGTCCATACACTGAGCTGACGCCAGTACGTAGCGTGGAGCAATCAGTGTGCCAGCGCAAAAAGTTTCACTGTCGGAAACGTTCGCGCGCAGACTCACAATGTACGGGTATTCCTTGAGGTCCACGTTCTTGCCGCCGTAGATTCGGGATTCGTCGTCCGCCGTCATGCCGGTGTCGGAACTGCGGACGGTAGCGGGGGCCGACACTGACGCCCTCGTCGTATCCGGGAAGGAGTAGGCGTTCATAGCTGCCACCAGTAACATGGCATACGCGCCCACTTGATTGAGCTTCGTCATTGTTGGAGGGGGAGGGGGTCTTGAGTGAGAAGCTGATAGACTGCTTCGGCTTGGGTTGGTGAATGGCCGCCGTGCGGTAAATTCCACAATGAACATGAAACCTGGATTCTCCTCCGAGTAATCTTACCAGGACGAATCGTGCTGTTCGTAAACTACGCGATAAACCCTTGTACTGTGCACATGTATTGCCTGTATCGGCATACAATGGCCTATCTCATTTTTTATCTTCACAGTAGTCATATGAAGCATTTGGCGGGACCCCGGGGTCCCCGCTTGCCCCATAAGCAACCGGTATATTCGGTAAATTCAAGTGCTAGATGTATGTATCTATGCTATGTATCTCTTGAAGTATCGACTCTCGAGTTGCACAGAGCTGCAGAGTTCGCAACTTTGCGTGCTCGACGCCGCTGCTGCTGTGGTAGGCGCTAGCTTCTAGCAGTCAGCTTGAATCTGTTTGGTCGTATCTTCACCAAAACGCTTAACCGAACGAACGAATGCAGCAGCTTTGCGGTAACGACGATTTCAATATCACGTTTGCGCCGAGGAACCTCTGCACCTCCGTTCACCTAGACTTCATACTGGATGCAAGATGCTTGAAGGTGAAATGAGCTCTAGCTAAACTCGAAAAATTATCACAAAATTGTCACAACCTATATATACATGTATTATCACTGCCCCGCCGATAAAAATAAATAATTCCGGTCGCCATCGGTACATGATGCGGGACCCCGGGGTCCGGCCAATAGCTTCATATGGGCAATTATACATAACCGTATCGGTCGTAAGCGGCTTCTTGAGGCCCTTGCAGCTTTAGGAGGCCTTTGGCTTTACCGCAACGTGGCTCCAGCTGCAACAACCGAGGCTGAATTGATAGTCGCGTTTTCAACTACAAGGGAAAATGCATGTCGAATTGCTTTAAATCTAGCGCCAGACCAGTCCATTTCCACTGTATCAGTACTGTGCAATGCACCTTGTGCATAAACTTCTTTACTAGCCTACAGCAAGTGTATGTTGCAATATGCGGAGCCTCGCAATTGGTTGATCTTTTGAGCTGATAAACCCGTGGAGCTCGTAGGTGCAGGAACTGGTGGCGATCTTGCCCACTATGAGCTGCTGGGAGCAGCAGGCGGATGACGGTGAAGAACAACTAAACGAGGTGTCTTTGAGTCTGTTAACGTTGTGCTTCGAAGTATTTGCTCTTGAATTTTGATGTAGACGGCTGGATGTTGTACTTAATACTTAAGTACGGCACTGCGTAAGGAAAATAGGATTTCGAGTTTTTGTGATAAGGTAAGCTGAAAAGAAGATTAAACCGACCTCTTTAAATCTTCGTGCCAACGCGTTTCTAATGTCATTATTGATCCTTCCTGCGGAGTTTTACCTATGGATAAGTTAGAAAGAATTAATCGACACAGATGTGGCTCCCCCCAAGTCGCTTACAAAACAGGTTTGAAATTTCATGCACAGATTGCACACTATCAACTTTCCCTTGTCCAGATACTTGAGATTCTGACGAAGGGACTCCTAAGCTTAGGAACAGACGCAGCTCCTGGCCCCCTTCATGCGTTCGCGCCCACAAAGATCGAGACGATGTAGACTACATCGTCTCATGTAATGTGCGTGCGTGTGGCTTCAATGTGCCAGGGACCCCCGGGAAAGCTCGGCAGACGCGTCGGAGGGAGGGACCCCCTACTTGACCATTCTACCACACGCGGCGGCTCTTTTCTCCATGCATGCGTCCGCAGCATCTGGAAGTGTCCTCACTGTCGATGCGCTTCCCTTCCCACGGTCTCACTTGAGCTTTTGACCCGCATCCGCCACAAACCGTCGGAATCCGCAGCTATGAAGTCCGTCTCGGAGTTGTTCGGCGACAGGAGCGACGTGGCTGTCACCGCTGCGGCTGCAGTGACCGTGGGTCTGGGGCTCTCCCTCCTCCTGCACAGCACCAAGAAGAGCAAGATGAGCGACACTCGCAAGCTCCCGCCCATGCCCAAGACCACGCTCCCCATTCTCAAGAACATCCTGGACGCCGGTGGCAACGCCGAGCGCTTCCACGACTGGCTCAACGAGCAGTCCATCGAGTTCGACAACCGCCCGTGGATGCTCTCGATTCCCGGTCGCCCCGCCACCATCGTGCTCTCGTCCCCTGAAATGTTCGAGGACGTGCTCAAGACCCAGGACGACGTGTTCCTGCGCGGCCCCAGCGGCCAGTACATCAGCTTCGACCTGTTCGGCAACGGCATGGTCATCACGGACGGAGACCTGTGGTTCTACCACCGCAAGACGGCCAGCCACCTCTTCTCCATGCAGATGATGAAGGACGTGATGGAGGCCACTGTACGCGAGAAGCTGGCCGTGTTCCTGGATGTGCTGGGCGTCTACCACCAGCGCGGCCAGCAGTTCAGCGCCAAGCAGGAGCTGAGCCACTTCACCATGGACGTCATCGCCAAGATCGCCTTCTCCATTGAGCTCAACACGCTGAAGGACAGTCCGGACCGGGAGGACGACCACGAGTTCCTGAAGGCATTTAACAAGGCCTGCGTGGCGTTTGGTGTGCGTATCCAGTCCCCCATGTGGCTCTGGAGACTCAAGAGATACCTGAACGTGGGCTGGGAGAAGGTCTTCAAGGAGAACAACACGATCATCCAGAACTTCATCAACGACGTGATCGTGCAGTCCATGAACAAGAAGGCGGAGTATTCTGCTAAGGGCGAGAAGATGGTGGCGAGGGACCTCATTACGCTCTTCATGGAGAGCAATTTGAGGCACAGTGAGGACATCCACATCGCGGATGATGACGCTACGATCATGAGAGATATGGTCATGTCCTTCGCGTTTGCCGGCAAGGACTCGACAGCAGACAACATGTGTTGGTTCATCGTCAACATGAACCGCTATCCTGAAGTTTTGAAGAAGATCCGCGAAGAAATGAAGGAGAAACTGCCTGGTCTCCTCACGGGTGAGATCAGGGTGCCCACGCAGGAGCAGCTCCGTGATCTCGTCTACCTGGAGGCGGTGATGAAGGAGAACATGCGGCTCCACCCGTCCACGGCGTTCATCATGCGTGAAGCTATGGACAACACGACGCTGGTGGACGGCACGTTTGTTGAGAAGGGCCAGACGCTCATGATCTCGTCCTACTGCAACGCGCGCAACAAGAGGACGTGGGGCGACGACTGCCTCGAGTTCAAGCCGGAGCGCATGATCGACCCCGAGACGGGCAAGCTGCGCGTGCTGTCGCCCTACGTCTTCAGCGGCTTTGGCGCGGGCCAGCACGTGTGTATCGGCCAGAAGTTCGCCATGATGGAGATCAAGACAACGCTGGCCACGCTCTACAGCAAGTTTGACATCAAGACGGTGGAGGACCCATGGGAGATCACGTACGAGTTCTCGCTCACCATGCCAGTCAAGGGAGGACTGAGCGTGGAGGTCACGCCGCTGACGCCCTTAAAGCGGGCGTCCTCGGCTTGTAAGTGAGGCACAAAATAGTTATGAAGTTCCAATGAAGGCGGCGATTCGTGAATGAGATTGAAAGGTAGAAGTGTTGAAACGTGAGCTAATCCGAGGCCATGTCGATATTGATGGGGTGACGAGACGCCTGGGTTAGTTGTCTTTAGTCTGTCCATGCGTGTGCTGCGTCGCGTGAGTCTTGACGAGTCTTGACTACGGTACTAGTTTTTTACATCCATCAGAGTCAGCGCTTTTCCTGAAAAGAGTCTTTTGTTTGCCTACAAGAACGATTCTTCCTCTTGCATTCACGATTTGGCAGCAACAAGACAATGAAGGTTGAGGAGTGGGCGTTCCTGGACGAATGGTGCGGAGCGATGAGGGAACTCTTTGCATCCACGGAGAGCTCCGCGACAGTGTGGCAGTGGGGACCGGACTACAGCCTAGCACTACGATTCACCATCGTTCCCCCTCGAACCAAGAAGTTGACTCCAAATGAACGTTTAAAGCAGCTCAAGACACTTCGTGAGGGGCTCGCTCTATTTGCTGCAGTGGCGTGGATCAACGTTGACGCACTGATCTCCTTGCTCAAGTCAAATGGCGTGTGCGAACCCAGAGAAGAGGTGCAGCACCACGAGTTCATGATGGCGGAGCTGCCCGTATTCGTTGAGCTCGAAGTAACGAGCAAGCTCTGCAGTGACCAAAGCAGGGGATCTCGTGGGTACAAGAAGACCTCGTATCTCTGTGTTGCCAACTGGACCAACGTAATACCAGTCAAGCATTCCAGGAGGCGTGGACGAAAGTTGAAGGGCTCTGTAGAAACAAGTCACATCCTCTGAGGGGTATGGTCATTCCTGTCCGAGTAGTTATCGGTAAGCCAGAGTACTTTAAAAAATCGGGGAGTGCGTCGCAGCATGTTTGGAACGTCATGAAGAACGTGCTTAGACCTGATCAAGTCCAATGGGGATGGTTCAAGCCGAAGTTGGGCAGCTCTGTCACGCTGACGAGAACATGTCGCTCTTCTTTTTACGCCTCGTTTGTTGCGGACGCCGTGAACGCGAAGAACGCGTCGACTTCCAATGGTACCAGTACTGCCTTCATGACATTGCTCGCTGAAATGGGTCGTGAGGTCCGATTTTCAGCGATAAATGTATGTTTCATGCCACGCCAAGACCCCCTGAAAGTTTGCCGAACGATTGCAAGTCTATTTTGCAATGATACTTGCCCCAATGCAGCCGTAGTGGGGCATTCAGGTGTGGATTATGCGGCCGTGAGCTTTCAAGACGAGATTGGACGCGAAATGAATGCGCTGTGCTCGGCTTTGGCGGTGACGCGCTCCTGCCAGTCCATCTTCTTCACGCTGGGCTCGTACGATACTGAATCAAACGTGAAAATGTGGAGGTGGATCGCGTACGCGTTCTTCTCGAATCGGGCTCGATCGCGGTCCTCTGTGAAGCAAGTCACAATCTACAACGCATGGCTCGATTCCAACACACTGCATGCTCTGTCCAAAATCCTAACAAGCGTCAATGCGGAGCAAGAGCTGTTTACCGCTGCTAAGGGGACCGGGCGGACAAGTAACACTACAACTGACCCACGCGAATACCGTTTGCGAAAGAATGCAGCGATCCAGAGTACTGAAGAGACTACCGGCCGTGTGGTTTCGTGGAATTCAGCAGATATTTTCCAGCAAGGGGGAGTATGTGGAGTGGTGCTCGTGAATCCCAATGACGATGAAGAATCCATTGAGTGGGTCGACGTGCTAGTTCCCGGAGTTGGCTTGTGTCAAGTTCAACGCAACAATCTCGTAGTGAGCGACAACGTGAGGATATCGGAAGTGCAACCTGATCTGGAGCTGGAACTTCAATTCTCAAACTTCACCAATAATGGGCATCTTACGAGTTTACTGAGGCTGGTTGGAGCGTATTTGTGCAGCCTTTGGATCGAGTTTCCTGTATGGAGAGCTGGGGTTTTACTACGTTTTTCGGGGATCTTGGGGGCCTGTCCGCATCTGAAGGAATTAACTCTTCACAACGGCATCATCTCTTCTGATGGGTTGGTTCGGGCGTGCGAACGGTATAACATGACACTTCATCGTCTGGACTGTCATTTCGACGACATCCAAGTTCTCGTAGCGGCACTGACGGATGAATCCAAAACTCTGACAAGGACGCTGCGCTGGTTACACTGCGACTTGTTCACGCTACCAGGTATGGGTTCTTCTGAGGCGCTGCACGTCTTGACCCGTATGCTGAGTGGGAATAGAGTAATGCGCTACTTGACAGTAGTCGTTGATGCACTTCAAATGGAAATGTTTAAGAGTTGGACTGAAGCAGTTCCATCTTCAGGATGTCGAAGAAATTGAGGAGATGCCGGCCGCATGCAAGTTAGCCTTCCTCAGTGTCTTCCGCCCTGATGGAGCGCACTCACCACTGAAGAAGCAAACAACAGATCACCTGGAGCATTTTCGTTTGCACGCCCCAGATATTTACGTGACCCCCAAGATTTTTGCGTTTGCCGCGAAGCATGCAATGCGAAAGGTGAATGTCATCATCGACCCTAGCCGTTGAGTGTTTGCAGGCATTGGTTTCGGTAGTTTTAACACAAAAAGTTGAAATTCGGGTTCGCTCGACTACGAAGCTGTTGCTGTTAGACGAAGATTGGTGAACCTCTGTGGTCGAAGCTAGATAGACTCTAAAAGCGCGGCACATGCCCAATTTCTGATGCTTTTCAACTGCGTCAAAACCTCTCTGATCCGAAATCGTAAAACTTTTTGCGAGGTAAACCGACCACAATACAGATTTTGAGAAAGGGTTCGACGCGTTCTTTGGCATTCACGGTTTGGCAATACCGAGTTGAAGGGGCTGACGATTCCCATTCGAGTCGTTATTGGCAGACTAGACCGCACAAGAACTTGGAGCACTGCATCGCGGCGTGTTTGGGATACCACAAAGTACACGCTAAATCCTGATCAAGTGCAATGGGGGTGGTTTTCGTCGTTGTTGGGCAGTCCTTCTACCCTGGCGAGAAGATACCGCTCTGCCTTCTACGCCTCATACGTCGTCGATGCGATCAAGCCGACGAACGCAGTAAGTGCTGCCTTCATGGAGTTGGTGACAGATACCATGGTATGGGCCGGGAGGTCCAGTTTTCAGAACTACATGTAAACTTCAGCAAAGGTGTAGTTTTCGAGAGAGCTCGTGTAGCACTGAGGCCATGGATACTCGGAGCCCGCAGGAACAAAGTCATTGAAGCAGGAACACGTGCATTGTCCCAGCCAGTTCACGCCTACACCATGGGCACAAGTGGTCCTTGCTTGTGGAGATAGCTTTCTCCATGGCGGCGGTGCGCCCAACTTCCTCCACTGCTGCTCAGAGGGATTCTTCTACGGCGATGCGCACTTCTTCTTGCTGTGCGGCGAGGCGTGCTGCCCTACGCTCAGCTGCAACGCGAGCTGCCCTACGCTCTTTGATTCTGACCTGGTAGCGCTCTTCGTAGCGCTACGCCGCTCAGCCTTGCGCGCCTTGATCTCCTCGGCGCGACGCTTCTTGTCCAAGCATTTAGGGAGGTGGCGAGTATTCAGGTCATACGCGTGAAGGTTTATTGCACTCGGCACATCGGAACTTGTTCTCCTGGTATTCTAAGCACAGGTGGATGTAGAAAATAAATTCTGATTTAGAAATGAAAATAGAAATAGAAATGCGCACTCTCGCATCTTACGCATTTTTGCGTCTTACGCCATTTTCAGTCTTAGGTGTCGCAGTTGGAACGGTGCAAGCAATATCAGGCAATCAGTGCAGACCTCCATATTTACTCAGTAAATGCAGTACATATCAGCCAACACGCTGATGATCAGTATTCTATACTACACCTTTGCCAGCTCAAACCGACCAAATTACAACACAAAGTGCTGTTCACTTTGGAATTTTCTATTTCATTTCTAAAATAGAATTAGAAATAGAAATTCAAAACTTTGACTTTGCCTCAAAGTGGATGCTGTACGCACCAAAGTGGTCAACTGCCGTACTCCATCGGCTCACCGCGCTTCGCAGCAGCGACTACCTGGGCGCAGTGAAGCGCCATCTTGTTTACAAGGCGTAGGTCCATGCAGTTCATGCAAACCTCCGCTGCTTGCTCCAGTAACTGCATGCGCAGCTCCGTCATCTGACCGCGGGGAGCACTAAGCATCTCGTCGTGACTCAGCGCGAGGAAGCGCTTGATCGCAGCTTTCAGCACGCTGAAGCAACCTACAACAGAACCGTACAGGACCAGCGTTAGTATGAACGCATAGAGTAGCCGTAGAAGTGTTGGACGCACCTTCAATCGGATGCACATAGGAGAATACGGCGCGAGTCGGAGGAGCACAAGGTCGTCACGCTCGCGCACCAGCTCCTCGGTCTGGGTGTGGGCCGGGGTATGTCAAGCACAATGACGACCGGCTTACAAGCAAAGTGCTGCTGGTAGGTCGGGTGCGCCTTCGCAGCGTCGTAGACAGTGTTGACGGACGCAGCGTTCTCCTCCATCTTGATGCTCCCGCGCTGAGTCTCGTAGTGCAGCAGACCTACATCGGTAGAGACCGCGCACTGAATTTGCAGATTCTTGCCCTTGCTGGGCGGCAGCTTCACTATGGCGCGCTTGCCCTTGAGCGCCCGGCCCTGCATGCGCTTTCAGTACAGATTGTAGTTTGCTTCATCGTAGTACACAATGAGCAAAAACGTGCTCAAGTCCACACCGATGCCCACCCACACCATCGTCTTCAGCTGCTCAAGTATGAGCAATCAGTTTGCCTCTACGTAGGTGTGATATCGGTAAATGACTGCGGCCGGGCGAATTCCGGCCGAGGTCTAACTGCCTTGAGCTTGCGAGTGATGGCTGACCGAGGGCTCTGATTGGTCGGTCACATTCCCCGCGCGTTAGTGCCCAGAAGATTGATAGAGACTACGGAGTGACAGGAGGGTCAAAATAAACCGCCTGCCGAGGCTTCCGAAGTTTCATAGTGGGTACACTTTATGCCCAGTAGGAGTTCGGATTTAGGACGAAGTTTCGTCCGGTTGTAGGATCAGCTCGAAAGCTCGGTCCAAGCTTGATATTTGTATAGACCTTAGGGATTAGCTATAGGAGAGGCCTGTTGCGGGTCAGGTAGGTTTACCCTTCGTTAAAATATAAGAGCACCCTTAGCCACGAGCCACGGCTAGGATGCAATGTGTAATACGTGCTTTCGCACTAAACCTCTGTGGTCCCTCAGAAAGGAAGGGTACCAGGCCAATCGAAGCCTCTTACAGGGGCGCCGGGGCGTAGCCTCGGCTAGAAGTCAAATACACTGGAGGGGGGGTCCTTGCCTCACACCCAGTCAAACGTACAACTGTACACAGAGGTCTCTAATACCTCCCAACACTCGGCCACCTACTCACTCTTGGCCTTACCAGGATGAACACTCGGTCAATGCACCTTATGCTCACCGGCAGACATACCCCGTGCAGCCGAGTGTATCCAGACCCTACGCTAAGCTTAGCGACTTACCATAGACGGACTTGACCCTTGTGTGGCTTGGGGGGGGGGGGAATTCTGCTCTGTTTAATGGTTTAGATGCTGTCGGGAATGGGAGGCACATTCCAGCCCGTATAAGGGATCGGACCTGGTCTTCAGGTTTATTATCCCGACAATCTATCGCCGACTCTTCGGAGACGGCGTGTGTTGTTGGTAGGGCTCGTCCTAGAGACTTCGGTTGATAGGGCGAGGACTCGTAAACTCGTGTTTTCCTACACGACAACTGGTGCCGCGACCCGGGACTGGTGTGACCGATTGTGTGTTGTGGTCTGTGTAGGTTTTCCCAACGAGCATTGAGGAGAGAAGAGAAGAAGAAACAAAAACAAGAACAAGAACAAGATGGCGAAAGGATCCAAGTCAGCGGTACCAGCTACGCCGGTGAAGTCGGGACGAGGATCGGCCGAAGGTTCGTCAACGATCGCGAGTGACTTAACGTCTCGGTTGTCGACGTTCTCCGAAAGGTCGGTCAGTTTTGAAGAGTCGGTCGACGAAGATTCGGACGCCAAGGATGACATGATGATGGACTATGATGACCTGGAGGAGAAGACTCCAACGACGACGCAGGAGTTCGGAGATGAAGAAGATGCGATGCTGTCCGCGGGACGTAGCGGAGGCTCGCGCTCCTTGTCCCGGAACCTCGTCGCGGAATTTGATGAAGTGGCGAAACCCGACCATGCGGATGACGACTTTGAGGATGGCACCGAGACCTCGGCTTCGAGGGCTCTGGTGCAGGTTACTAAGGGTCCCCAAGAATCCCGCGGAAGTCGGCCCGCTATGAACAGCAGCACTCCAGCTGCGAACAAGGTGCTCGGCAGAATGCTCGAGCAGATGGTGGAGTCGAGCGAGTGGATATGGCAGTTCAATCCCGAGATGACGCGTCAAGCGACTTGGGCTGAGCTGAAGGAGGAGTTGCAACACCCCGTTGAGTCGACCTCAGTTACTCAGGTAGCCGAGGACACGGTGTCTCTTCTACGAGCGATGGGCTGCGAGCCAAGGACTCGTCCGTCCGAAGTCTCGATCAAGAGTTGGACACCGGGTCTCGCCGGCAAGGAGCTGCATAAGTGGAAGAGGAAGCTTCGCCTGAGCTTCGGGGAGTCGGGCCTGACTCTGGGACGCCCCCCGAGTGCTCGCCCCGCGAGGGAGCAAGCTGATCCTTCGAAGTTCCCACTGCCACAGACACCCAAGAAGTCCGCCGAGCGGTCAAACCAAAGCCAAGTGACGGACGGAGTGTTCTCCGCCAAGACCGAAGGTTCGCCGTACTTCCAAGACTCGCACATGGTGACTCCTAGGTCGGCGAGTCGAGCCGACCGTATTGCACGTGAGTCCGAAAGTTCGCGACGCGAGCGGAGCACGCAACGAAGCTCCACACTACGCTCAAGCCGCCGGTTTACACCGCGCGATGACTCCTCGTCCGACGAGGACGACAATGACAACATCGACTATGAAGATGGGTTTGACAGCCCGAGCGATGAGTTGGTCCGTCAAGTGCGCGAAGTGAGTGAGATGGAGCGACTGAGTTCGACTCCTCGGCTCGAGATCGCCACACACCGGCCGCTTGCGCAGATCAAGAATTTCTCAGGAGCCCGCAATCGGAGTGAAAACGCTATGCAGTGGCTCCGAGCTTTCGTCTACGAGATGAAGGGAACGCACACTCCGCCTAACGAGTGGTGCATGGCTTTCGAGCTGAGCCTTCGGGACGGTGCCCTTCACTGGTACCGTCAACTCCCGAAGAGGACTAAGCGTCAGTGGAAGCGACTGAGCGATGCGTTTATCAAGTACTACTGCTCGCAGTATAGCCAGTCTGCGAAGGCTCGCTACTACTCTGCGAAGCGCGAGTCCTCGGAACACCTTTGTGACTACCTCAACCGACTGAATGGTTACGCCCATAATGCTGGCCTACAGTTCGAGAGGGGTGGTCGCGATGCGAAGGACCATGCACAGCGGTTCCTCGAGACGTGCGGTGACCGAAGCCTCGAACGCCGGCTTTGCCACGTTCGGGTGAAGGACATTCACGAACTCGAGGACATGATCAACGACATCTTCAAGTCTGCAGAGCGTGGGCAGTCGCGCGAGACCTCGTCTCACCACTCGCGCAGTCGAGACCAACCGCGTCGTCGTGATGACCGTTGCCACGAAGCTTCGCGTGACAGTTACCGCCGCGACCGTGGTTACGAACGTACTCTCGCCGCCGAGATGACTCGCGCCATGTTCCGCGCATTTCGCTAGCTGAAGCTTCGCTGTCAGACTTGGTCGCTGAACTGCAAGGCCGCGGTACCAAGGGTGGTAGAGCCGAGCGCTCGTCGCCACGCCGTACCCCGTACAGCGACAGCGAGAGTGACACCAGTGATTATCATTACTCCGAGAGCGATCCGAGTGATGGTGGCTACAGTGACGTTAGCAGCTCTGGTGAGGAAGGAGCTCACGTCGCTGCTGCCAATGAACGCGAGCGACGCCAAGCAGCTGAAGGAACGTACGCTCGCCCTGACCAACGTCAACGCAAGGGTGGTGAACCCGGCCGAGGATTCGACCGGAGTAACCGCCACTCCGGCTGAGACAACCGTGATGGTCGTCCGCGTCAGTACGGACCGTGCGCAGCTTGTGGTGGAGCCGGGCATTCGGCTCACTACTGCTACTGCCGCTGCCGACTGTGCCAGCAGGTGCATGACATCGGCAAGTGCGAAGCACTTCAAGCCCTCACTTCGTTCATCAAAACGAAGGCCGAGAAGAAGGACCTCTCGCCAGAGCTCCAAAGCCTAGTCTTCAGTGGCAATTTAAACTAGGCAGCCCGCCAACTGAAACTGGGTTGGTCCCAATCGGGCTGCCACAGCTGAGCCCGCGATTGATGCAGACTGTGTCTACGCATTCGTGGGCGAAAGTAAACGGCCGAACGACAAGGACAAGGAATGTGTGAAAACGACGGAAAATGAAAAGGAGAAAGGAGCAACCCTCGGTGGAGGTGTAACAAGTGAAATAAATGATGATGAAGATGATGAAGATGACACCGAGGCTTGGGTCTCAAGTGTGGTGCAAGAAGGACACCCTGGCCGAACGCCCAGTGGGGTGACGAAGTTACTCCCAGGCGAGAGGCTGGGGTGGTGGTCCGTGCAGAAGTTTGATAAGAGAGCTCGGATGAGAGCTCTGGTCAAGGGCGCGGTAAATGACACGCGAACGAGGATTCTATTGGACACTGGCGCGAATGTTAGTGTGGTCTCCGAACGGTTCGCGAAGCAGTTGCGGTTGCGTGATATCCAAGGCCACGGCCGCTGTATGGAGGTTAAGGGTTTTACGAAAGGAACCATGACAACCGAGAGACGAACTCTCGTGAAAGTAACCCTCGGCTGGAGCAGAGTGTACGCATTCGAATTGTGGATTATGGATCATGGTGCTGGTGTGGATGTAGTCCTCGGCACCGACATCATGATTCCTGCAGGAGTGCGCTTGGACTTGTTCCACGCGACCGCGAGGTTGCCGGACAAGGTGAGTATTCCACTCATGAAGACGCTGAATATGCTGAATGACCAAGGTGAAGGCCCGCACGTCAACGGTGGTCCGTCCGAGGACCTAATCATTGAGAGCCGAGAGTTCGCAGAGTACAGAGTACCGAGGCGTCAACCACCTCTGGATACACACGAGGTGTGGGTACGTCGCACGAAGTCTCTGTTGCCTACGGTAACGAAGTTTCGGCGAGGCAAGGTCGAGAGAGTGCGGTTGACGAACGTGTCGAAACGTTTTACGGTTTGCCGTGCTCACTCACCTATGCTAATGTGGGTACGATCGGAGATCTCCCGAAGTCTGAAGGTTATGTTCGACTCAGTTCGGAACGATACGAGGACTGGCAGAAGTTGGCGTATGACGGAAGTCGGGATGAAACGGTGTTCAAGCGTGAGTGTGATGCATATGCGGATTGGCTGGCCTCTCAGCCTTCGGCTGTGGAGCGACCGGAGTATTACCCCAGCCACCCGAAGCCTCCCAGACGCACGGCCGCCAGCTGAGTTGTGCCGAGCAGTGGGAACGTGAAATCGCTAAGCGTGAGGAGCAGGAGCAACTCGCGACCGACGGCTCACCAGTGGGTGATGGTCCGGTGGCGCTCCCTCCCGTGCACATGGAAGCCGATGACACTAGTACCGAAGGTTCAATCGAGTCTGAGAGTGAAGGAGCTTCGGATGCCAGCACCGATGACGACGCCTCGGACCTAGGGGTGATAGCGAGCCAAGTGCCAGCCGAACCCTCTGACGTAACGGAGGACCGTTCAGAGTGAACAGTCCCCGGGGTCCGAAGACTCAGCCCAAGATGAAGCCTCGGTAGCAGTGCTGACACGCAATTATCTGTCGGCCCCCGCCGTTGTCGACGTTGGGGTTGGAGAAGCTGACGTCGAAGCTGTCAATGCCCGAGCCGAACACTTGCCCAATGAGATCAACTTGGAAGATTACGCTCATGAACTAGCTTTCCTGCCCGACCTTACAGAAGCCTCGGTCACGGAACTGGACTACTCGGCTGAGAATGTCCGGCATCCGGAACTGAGTAGAGGATGGAAGGATCGCTTAGTGAAGGTTCTGAAGAAACATGAGAAGATCATGATCTCTAGTGGGAATGCTCTACCACCGCCTGCGTACGGTGTAGTGTGCGACATCGATGTACAGGGCCATGCGCCTATCAAGCAACGAGCACGGAGGATTCCCCTCCGACATCTCAAGAAGCTCTACGAGCTTTTGCGAGGTTTGCTCAAGGCCGGTCTGATCGCGTTCTCCAACAGCCCATGGTCGTCACCGATCGTGATTGTGCTGAAGAAGAATGGCGTAGATATCAGACTATGCATTGATTACAAGATGGTGAACGCAGTCACCGCTATCATGGAGTATGCAATGCCCCTTGTGGATGATCTGCTCACAGACCTGGAGTCTGTGGTACTGCTCGCTTGATGCAGCGAGTGGGTTCTGGGCAATCATGATGACACAGAGGGCTCGTCAGATCGCTGCTTTTGTGTGTGCACTGGGTCATTTAGAGTGGCTCAGAATGCCCTTTGGGCTTAAAAATGCACCTATGATCTACCAACGAATGCTCGACAACGCTCTGTGGGGCTTTGTTCAGCCGAAGGGTGCCTGGAAGCATTATGCGCGTCTGGTGGCAGAAGCTGAAGCACGCGACCGTGAACTCACCGACGCCTCGACCGAACAGTCACATGAAGAGTCGTCCGACCCGGACCAGTCGCCTACGAAGTTTGAAGCGGGACTTGGACTCGGATCGAACGAAAGCTCGGTCTCGGAATTAATTAACAGTCCTATTGCGGACATGTTCGCGAATGGAGAGCCCGACGAGTCTTCGTTGGTGCCGGTTTTCGAACGGCGTTCGTGCGTTGACGACATTTGCTTTAGCGGCGAGTCTTTCGATATATGTCTAGCGACGCTCGATCGACTACTCGCCCGGTTCGAGGAATGTCGGATCAGCGTGAGTTTCACCAAGAGCATTTTTGCGCAGCCCAAGGTGGACTTCCCGTCTCACGAAGTGTCCCGGAGTGGTATTAGAGTGGACCCAAAGAAGTTGAAGGCTATCACCGAGCTGTCCTTCCCAAGGTCCAAGAAGGGAGTGCAAGATTTCCTTGGCGCTCTGAACTACTACAGCCGCTTCATACAGGACTTTGCTGTCTACGGTGACGCGCTATACCAGCTGCGAGACGAAGACTTCGCACCAGGGGGTGACCTCTCTGCAGCCAAGCGAAGCTTTGCGGCATTGCAACGAAAGGTCGGTGAGGCACCTGTCCTCCGACACTTCGACCGTGACCGAGAGGTCCATGTGACGCTGTTTGCAAATGAATGGGCAGTGAGCACCACGCTCATGCAGGAGCACGATGGCCTGATGCACCCTGTGCGTTTCTGCGGCCGAGTGCTCAAGGACGCCGAGATGAACTACCAGCCGGCGGAAAAGGAGGTACTGGCTTTGCTACAGCTGTTGAAGGTGTGTTACACCCAGCTGGCCGGTCGGACCATACATGTCTACACGCGGTTTTCGACGCTCGACTGGGTCCACAAGTCGAAGACACTCTCCGGACGTGCAACGCAATTTTCCGTCTTACTGTCTCCGTGGAGTCTAGTGGTGCAACGAGTCAAGGAAAAGGATTGCGCCTTCGCGCAGCTCTTACAGTCGACGATCACAAGCTTCGTTGACCTCGAAGCCTCGTTGGCACCAGTGACCCCTCGAGCCAAAAGCTCGCCGAGTGTTCGGATGGATCTGCATTTGCTTTATGCACGGTTGCCACGTACATACAGTGGCTACGTACTTTCGTTTGATGGCTCGGCGAAGATCGAGAAGCATGGTGGCTGTGGCAATTGCGCCTGGATACTATGGCGACTTCCTGAATGGAGTGTAGTGATCGCTGCGAGTGCGTATCTCGGGACCACGACTGTAAACCTCGCTGAGTACACCGGAATGAACAACGGGGTCTCTGCCGCCCTAGAACATGGGGCCGAGGACTTAGTCAATGTCGGGGACTCGAGACTCGCAATCCAGCAATCCCTAGGGGTGATCGCTTGCCGTAAGGAGTCGCTGATGGCACAACTGAACAAGCACAAGGAACTGACCGCGAGACTTCGGTCCGTGAAGTACCTACATGCTATCCGAGAGTTCAATGCAGCTGCAGACTCTTTGGCGAGCGAAACCTTGGAGAAGAAGGTGTCGATGACGGTGAACAGCGAAGACCGAAAACGAGAGTTGATGGAATTAAATCGGATCCGAGAAGTGCTCTATGAACCGTCAGCCGAAGCCTCTGAAGCTTCTGGAGAAGTCGTAACGCGTCACGTGAACTCGATACGTGTGATGGATACGCGTGACAGTGACAGTAGTAAGATTTTTTTCGATTTTGTATGGGATACTGGGCATGTAGCCGCGGTAACGAGGCAACAAGCCCGCGCGCGCGCGAAACAAGTGCGCTTTGCCGATGAAACTTCGGGTGATGAACCAGAAGAGGGAGCCGAAGGAGACGAAGGTAATAATGTCAGCAACGAAGAGTCTAACGAACTTCCAGACCAACCGAGACCTGACGCAACGGTGGTCCATGAACCGAGTGCTGACGACATCGACCCACTAGCTGTGCAGGAAGAACGGCGCAGGCGCATTGGCACAGCCAGGATGAGGAGCTCCGGTGGTCAAACCTCAAGACGGTGCTAAAGGGAGAAGAAGCGAAGCTTGCCTACAAAGCTGCACGCGAAGCCTGGAAGATGGCTGACAAGTTCCTGTTAAGCGAAGATGGCTTGCTGTATTTCCTTGGTGCGAACCGTCGGTGGGGTCGCGACCGGGCCGAGGAGACGACACTACGCCTAGTGGTGCCAACAACGATGGTTCAGGAGATCCGACAGAACTGTCATGACTCGTTGGAGGGCGGCCACCAAGGTATCGTCCGAACCTACCACCGAGTCAAGGCTGACTACTATTGGATTGGCTTGTTCGCCGATGTGGAGAAACACGTACGCTCGTGTCCAGACTGTAGCTCAAGCAAGAGTCGCCCGCAGCTACGTGGGTACTCCCCAGGCAACATTCTGGCCGAGCGTCCGCTACAAATTGTCTCGATGGATTTTGTGATACCCCTACCGAAGACTCGGCGGGGCAATACCGCACTGCTACTGTTTCAGTGTGCGTTCACTGGATTCGTCATGGGCAAGGCGATGGCGGACACATCTGCACTCTGTGTAGCACAAGCATTCGAAGAGTGCGTGTACCGAAGGTTCGGAGCGCCGTCTCTGATCAGGCATGACCGAGACCCGCGCTTCATGAGCGAGGTCTTCCAAACCTTCGCCGAGATGATGCAGTCGAGATCTAGGGCTACGTTGAGCTATCGGCCGCAGGCTAACGGCCAGCAGGAACGCTCGGTCAAGACCGTAATGCAATCGGTGCGAGTGTACGCGGAGGACCCGCTGCAACAAGACTGGGATGAAATTGTGGAGAAGTTGATCTTTGCGATTAACAACTCACAGAACGCCACGAGGAAGGACACGCCCTTTTACTTGGTACACGGATGGGACGCAAGGTCCACCCTCCGAGCAATGTCCTCATCACTGAAGCGAGGTGTCGGGGGACAGTCCGATGCATTGGCGTGGCGCCGAGGGGTCAACAGGCAACAGGCGGTTGCGTTGGAAATGGCTAAAGAGTACCAAGCAGTCGAGAAAGCTCGGCGTGCCCAAAAGCATAACGAGGCTTTGAGCCGAGCGGAACGTGCTGCGCTTCCACCTTCCGCGACTGGTGAAACCTCGGAAGGTGTTCCGACAGGTGCAGAGGGTGAGGGTGACTCACCAGACCCCGCACCGAAGTCTCTCTTCCAGCCTGGTGATCGTGCGTGGCTTTACATGGAACGCGTCAAGCCAGGGTTGACCAAGAAGTTGGCCCATCGATGGCATGGTCCCTCCCGCATCAAACAGAAGGTTGACGAGTATGCGTACGAATTGGATTTGCCTGACAAGAGTGGTTATCGGTTCTACCCGGTAGTGCATGTGTCTCGGTTGAGGCGGTGAACGAGTTTGGCGATCGACCGAAGACTCGACTCGCCGCTGAGGTTACCGAGGAGACGCGACTAGACTTCGACGAGGAGTTACTCCCGGAGGATAGTTGGGAACCCGACCACCTGGCGGGCGAGTATGAGGTTGAAGCCATCCTGGATGACCGAATTCCCCTCTCGACGAGCACTGAGCGAGCCGTCCAAGAGTTCAAGGTGAAGTGGGTCGGCTATGACGAACCCTCGTGGGAGCCCGCGTCGAATCTGTCTTGTGGCGGACTGCTGTATGACTATCTACGCGAGAAATGACGTGACCGAAGGTTGCAAATGGTCCAAGTCGCTGACGAGGACTAGTTGCACCCCTCTCACAATGATGAACTGCCGGCAGGGCTACGCAGCCTACCCCAGCAGACGAAACATGTTACTGCGGGAAGAAGATTGTATATTTGTATGTTGAAGTGGACAAGACTTTACGAAGTGGAGATCACGACTGGAGAAACTATGGAGAACAGCTGAAGAAGGACAAACGACTACTGAATTGCATGGGCGAGCTAGTTATACTACGAACGAACTGTCTGAATACCTTGATCTAGCTCGACACAAACATGAAGGAACGATGGAGAACTGGAACGAAGTTTAGGCGCCCGAAGACGAGGCAACCTTGGCCAAAACGCAGAGACGCGCAGCCGGAGAAGCGTCGGCTGGCGTCGCAGCTTGATCAGCAGCACTGGGAGGCGAACGTGGCGCGTCAGCCAGAGTCCCGCTGGCTGGGGCCTCCTCAGAAGGGCCCTCCGTAACCGCGACGCGATCTTGAACCGAGTCCTGCGTTGCTGTTGCTGCATCTTGAGCTCCTAGCGCTTGTGTAGCTTCGACCGAGGTCTCTTGAGCATCCACGGCGCGGCGAGATTCGTCCTGAACCTCTTCCGAAGACTCTTCAGCAACCGGAGACTCGATCTCTTCGATCAGCTCCTCGACCTCCTCCTCTTCCGAGATTTCGTCTTCACCCGGCTGCCCGGCCTCCTGCAGACCGAAAGGAGGCCCGTGAAAGTTCGTGAACTCACGCACCCACGGAGCCGTAACACGGCGAGGGTCCAGCACTGGGTTGACCGTAATAGCTGTCGCGACTTCACGAACAGTCATGCCACGCGGGACGAAGAGTGGAACCCTGGGGTTACACGGAGCGAAGGTTGTGTTGTACGGGTGCTCGGACGGCACATCGGTGACGCACCAAGTCGACCATCAGCTGAGCGAAGTTTGCGAAGCGTCGTTCCGAATGTTCGCGGAGCTCTTTGACCTCAGCCTGCACCTCGTGGTGGACGATGTCTTCGACAGCGTACCACTGCGCAGAAGAACGCGGAGGAAGTCCCTAAGCCTCGTGCGCAGTTGCAGGCAGCGGGTCACCCGTGCGGCAGAAGTGTGCAGTATTTGACGAAGGCTCGTGCAGAGGACTGGAGTCGGGCGAGGACCTGAGGACCAGCTGAGTACACGCAGGGTCCGACGAAGCCCAGCTAGCGGACGGCAAAGCGGGAGGTGGCAACGTCGGAGCCACTGCACTCGAAGCCGAGGTCTCTCCGGTGCTTGCAGCCAAAGCATGGTGCGCGACGACCGAAGGTGCGGCCTGGAGACCGCCCGCCACCCCGCGTGCTCCTGCAGAGGCGGGAGTTGGTGACGGAGCAGGTCCGGCGCTGCCACCAGCACCAGACGATGGCGCTGAAGCTACAGAAACTGCAGTCGAAGCCTGGAGCCGTCGGGGCGCCCCGCTTGCTGACGCAGAGGCGGGAGTTGGCACCGCCGAGGCCTCCGAGGCCGGCTCCGACGAGTCGATGACCTGCCCCGTGGGGCCACGCAATTGAGTGTCCTGCAGCAAGATGTAGCAAGTTGAAGACGGTTAGACGCGATGAAGAGATCAAACACAGCACTCAAGCACCTCGCACGAAGACTCACCTGGACGACTGGACCGAGGTCCGGGAAGGTGAAGGGCGGCGCGCTGCCAGGACCACCGGAGGACTGCATGGCGTCGGAGCGCAGAGGGGCACGAAGCCAACACGGCACTCACCACTTGGGACGGCTCGGGCCGAGTTGGGGGCCGCTGTGATATCGAGAAATGACCTCGGCCGGGCGAGTTCCGGCCGAGGTCTAACTGCCTTGAGCTTGCGAGTGATGGCTGACCGAGGGCTCTGATTGGTCGGCCACATTCCCCGCGCGTTAGTGCCCAGAAGATTGATAGAGACTACGGAGTGACAGGAGGGTCTCGGCGGGTCAAAATAAACCGCCTGCCGAGGCCTCCGAAGTTTCATAGTGGGTACACTTTATGCCCAGTAGGAGTTCGGATTTAGGACGAAGTTTCGTCCGGTTGTAGGATCAGCTCGAAAGCTCGGTCCACGTTGATATTTGTATAGACCTTAGGGATTAGCTATAGGAGAGGCCTGACAGCCTCTAAACCATTAAACAGAGCAGAATTCCCCCCCAAGCTACACAAGGGTCAAGTCCGTCTACGGTAAGTCGCTAAGCTTAGCATAGGGTCTGGATACACTCGGCTGCACGGGGTATGTCTGCCGGTGAGCATAAGGTGCAATGACCGAGTGTTCATCCTGGTAAGGCCAAGAGTGAGTAGGTGGCCGAGTGTTGGGAGGTATTAGAGACCTCTGTGTGCAGTTGTACGTTTGACTGGGTGTGAGGCAAGGACCCCCCCCCCCCAGTGTATTTGACTTCTAGCCGAGGCTTCGCCCCGGCGCCCCTGTAAGAGGCTTCGATTGGCCTGGTACCCATCCTTTCTGAGGGACCACAGAGGTTTAGTGCGAAAGCACGTATTACACATTGCATCCTAGCCGTGGCTCGTGGCTAAGGGTGCTCTTATATTATAACGAAGGGTAAACCTACCTGACCCGCAGCACACAGGGAGGCACATTCCAGCCCGTATAAGGGATCGGACCTGGTCTTCAGGTTTATTATCCCGACAATCTATCGCCGACTCTTCGGAGACGGCGTGTGTTGTTGGTAGGGCTCGTCCTAGAGACTTCGGTTGATAGGGCGAGGAGTCGTAAACTCGTGTTTTCCTAGACTACATAGGCGACCAGCGCCGCCTCAATCTCTGGGGTGCACTTGATGTTCGCCGCCCGAGAGCCGCCGCGCTGCTTCACCTCCGGGCTCCCGCTCATGACGATGCGGCGAGCAGTAGTCCGGGGGATGCCATTGTGCTTGACGACAAGTTCCCAGTCCACCCCCTGCTGATGGGCGTCTTGGACCCGCGCGCGAGCTGCGAGGCTGTGCTTGGGCTCCTTAGGCATGAGCCAGTCGAGGTGAGTTGAAAAGTGACAGCACTCTGAGTGCTGGCGCTCGAGTTCTGCTCTCCAGTCGTTCTCGATTGCTGGTGCGTGCACGCGGGGTCTCCGCATCCAGTCGTAGTCCGTTTGAACTTTAGAAATTCCGCTTTGACCTAAAACTTAAAGTTTAAAATGACATTTGAATTTCCATCGTTACAGGTATATTTGCCAAATTGAATTGCACTAAGACCACCTTGAAGTGGCAAAGGTGTAGTACACTCACTTAGTTGATGAAACGGGTCGATCTACTTAACAGAAGAATCGTGAGAATGTTCTGGTCGATGGCAACATACAGTTACACATCTGTGTGTTCCAGTATAATGGTACACTGATATCTTTGGTAGCAGCGTGGCCCACACAGTGTGGGTACGGAAGACAAGAGGCCTTTGGATAGCCCAGAGGCGATGTTAATAGAGGGTTGTCACGCTAGCGGACGGGTTAGGGCATCTAGGAGAGGGTGATAGAAGGAGCGCCATGTCCATGACTGGTGTTCTGGGAATGCACCCTCAAGTTCCTCATTCTTCAACTCCCCCTGTCAAGCAACAATGGGGAAGCGCAAGCGCACGGACGAAGATGTGGTCTTCATGGAGTCTCGCGTCCAGGCCCGGGCCTGTCTCCACTAGGACATAATGGAGAAAATCCAGCGATGCTGTCAAGTCTTCAAACAGTGGTAACTGGAAGCTTCACACGTCGCCAACCTTACGTTCTTCGGTGCCTCGAGGGGGGGGGGGGGTCCCGCTGCCCAAGATCGACGGCACTTTCCTCATGTGCAGGCATGTCCGCAGGGGGCATTTTGCAAATCATGCCCCTTTTGGTAATACGGGGTACACCTGGGACTTTTCAAAGGGGTACCCGATCAGTATTGTATGTCTGTGTATACAAAACTAGAAAGGGGCACTACGAACCTGTATAAGAATGTATAGGTGGTGACCTACGCTAGAGTGCTCGGCTTGGAGGGCGACAAGCACTAGACAACTGCCTACCTGGACATCTCGTCTGGCATCGGCTCAAAGTATTGTCGAGATTGCGACTCACCTTCCATCGCGTAGTTGCTATTCCTACCACGATGTAGGCCCGTCGTACGCTTCAGCGTGCTGTGGTCACTCTCCACTGCGTGGGTCTCTAGCGTCAGTATCGAGATCTTCAACGTGGACACGACCGACGCCGGCATCCACGGCGCCATGCCGATCTGCTGCCAGTGCTAGGGCTACTCGAACGGCTACAACTCCACCTGGCGCAACGTCGGTCGCGGCCACCAGTACTGCTGCGAGGGCGACAATGTTATGTTCGACCAGCGCATGAGCACGTTGAACGCGTGGGGCGCTGACGCGCGCACCAAGATCGCTCAGCAGTCCAAGCAGTCCACGGCCACGTGGAAGATCGTCAACGCGCACTACAGCACGCACCACCACTTCGTCAAGTACAACGTGAAGAAGTGGTTCGGCCTGCTGCGCGGCTCAGGCGTGCACATGTGGCCCAACGGCCACACACGGCGACTGTCGCTAGACATCCACCTCCTCGAGAACGGCGCTGGTGGCGGTTTCCAGAAGGATTCAGCCAGCGGCTACCCGTCGTACGCGGCATGCGTACACAACTTTGTAACCTGCTCTAGGTTTCCGTACACCCAACGCTATGACTTCAGTAACCTATGTCTACATTCGCCACGAGGCAGCAGAGCTATCACCATCACTTCACTGATAAAGGTTATTCATCGTCAGAAGTTAGTGGGCTGGAAGGTAAGCGGTAAGAACTTGTTAAGCACATCTTACGGCAACGGCCCTGTGTGGTGGTCTCATTTCTCTGCTCTCCGACGGTCGTACTGTTAAATAGCGCTATAGAATTGAATGAGCACTACTTAAGGCGGTTGGTCGCTTTGATCTTGTCCACATTCATAGAGCCGTTTTCCGTGTTCCTCTCGTGTTTATACTGCATCGTTCGCACAAACCCACCCAGAGCGAGTATCGCGATTGCGAACCTTGCTTCGCGCTGTGAGCGTTGTCCAAGTAGCTTAACAGACAACTATAGTAGGAAGGTTTGTATGGCGGTCTATCATGCCCATTTCAGGGAGTAATCTGAAGTAGGCGAAGTAATGACAACGTGCCAGTTCTGGTGACCTATTTGCTAGTACAGTCGCATATATGCATGTGCTGGCGTCCTAACTTACGCTACTAGGTCGAAAATGTGACGAAACGTACAACATATTCCCTTCATCACCAGGATTTCCTTAGTTAAGAGGGGGCACTCTTGGCAACTTTAAAAGGGGTATTTCGTTCTTTTTCTGTCCACACTACCCCCTCCGGACATGCCTGCTCATGTGGTGCATCAGGGGAGTGTGCGCGGAAGGTCTTCAAGAGCGCGATCGCAAGTCTCAAAAGCCGGAAGCCGAACGACAACGCGCTCTGAATCGCCCCGTCGACCCAGCGGCTCGCGAGACAGTCACGATCTACCGCGAGATGCGATCCGCCGTTGCAGACTACATCCCCCACTCCAGTTACCTTACAGTGGACAGGGGGGGGTCAGTGCCATGACCGCGGACATGGTCGGCAACGCGGTGGTCATGGTGCAGGAGCACTTCATGAAGCGTCTGACGGCGTATATTCGCCTCGAGTTGTTTCGTCGGACCGGTGCGGCACCCCGATCCGAGGTGGAGCGTCTTCGAACTGCGTGCTTTGGTCCTGATGATGGCGACTATGCGGAAGACGAACATGAGCTTCGAGAGTGGCTGGGTTTCCGCCCCTACAAGGACGAGCTCAAGCGAAGCATGTCTGTGACTCTGACCTGAACTTCATGAGATCCTTGGCCATATCGAGGCCCTACGCCGTGAGATGGCAGAGTTACCCGGGTCTTCAGGTGGAGTCGATCTCAATGTGTCACCGCAAGACGAAGTTGCTCTGGGCGACGAGCCCGAATCGGATGAGGACTTCATCCAGGAGCTGCGTTCCCGAAAGGGACTCCGGGCATTCACGCTTTTGCCAGTCTCGACCTCGTTTGTGCCGATGGACGTGGCCTTCGACGGCTTCACGTTGCAGGGGTTCTGCGCTCGGCTTTACAACAGAACTTGGTCCAACCCTGTCGGGATCCCTGTCGGAGCGCACGGGGTACTTGCAAGACCGCAAGTCGTCACGCAGCTGGTCGACTTTTATCTTCGCAGAGCATTTGCTGTAGTTTGAGACCGAGAACTGCAAGTTCGCATATCGCGTCGCGCCGAACGGGTACTCGGTTTCGATACTCTTGACAAGACCGAAGAACGCGATTGAGGTCGAGCTCGAGCGACTCAAAGCTACACGAACCCAAGAAATCAATGATCAGGCGGCGAAGCGAGCAAGGCTGCGCAAGGCTCAAACGCGCAAGAACCCTCGTGGCCGTCAATGTACCTCGCGCTCAGACCGCCAGCAACCGCTTCCCAACGACTGGAACATTCTGCCAGCGGATTACGAGGCCGACAGGTTGGTCGCGATTGACCCTGGAATGCGGGCCATGGCTACGGCGGTGTGTGAAGACATCGCACCAATGGACGAGACCGCCATGGAGCAGAGGCGTCAGCGCAACAGGCGTCGCAATCGTCGGCGGGCTGCACGTCGCAAGGCACTGCTACGGATCGCCCGGCGGAGGAAACGGTTGTCGAGGAGAACCCGTGCTCGAATCAAGCGCGCAAAGAGACAAGCTCGGCGTCCTCCAACCTCCCCACGCGTGCGTCATGTTGGTGACGAGACCGTCATCTCCATTAAGACCCGCGAGTACCGACATCTCGCTGGCTTCAACAAAGCCATGCACTGGTTTGAAGGGCTGAAGTAGCGAGAGCCTCGGTACGCTCAAGCAATCAACCCGGTGCCGTTCTACAAAACGGCATCCTATGACATTTACCTGGAGCGCCTACAGGTATTGCTGCATCGCATGGACTTTCTACAGGAGTTTTCGCGGACTCACGGATTTCTGAAATGGAGGTTCTTCCAGAAGAGAACGAAGGTGAAGGCCCTGGACACCCTCGCGTCTCGCATCGTACCCGTTGCCAGTCCGAGAGGGCCGGTCGGCTACGGCAACTGGAGCCGGTCGCAGGGCGTCTCCAGCCGCGCACCGGGACCAGTGAAGGCGTTAAGGAAGCACTCGCTCGCCTCGCCAGTGTCGTGCTCGTGGACGAGTTCCGCACGAGCAAGCTGTGCTCTCGATGCTATCAACCCTTGACGGAACCCTACCTTCCAACACGGAAGAACGGCAGCTTCGCAGCTACTATCAAGAGGACCAAGAACGTCTTGTGCTACTTCCGCAGTCAATGCGAGACGTTCATCTGGGACCGTGACGTCAACGCTGCGCACAACATCATGACACTACCCAAGGATCGCTTCAACGGACATCCTAGACGATCAGAGTTTGCACGCGGAGTCTAGATATTGCGGGATCGTGGACGATAAGGGCTCGTCGCGGTACCAATGTAGGTAGAATCCGATAGTTTTCAGAAGAGCGTCGTACGCTTGAGGTCCGACAAAGGACCCTCTCTAATGTAACCTTATTCCCCATGCGTCAACGGGACTCCCAACAGGTTTGCCGCATGATATCAAAACTGCTTTGTGAGGACACTTGTCACGGTCCAGCCGTGGACTGTGGGTCATGCGCGAGTGGCAAGAGAGGAATGGAGTGGAAATGAATGCGCTTTGCTCGGCTTTGGCAGTCACGCGTTCGTGCCGAGCAATCAGATTCAACCTCTTTCGTATGACTCGCCGAAAGTGTGTCAATGGGTGGCTTACGCGTTTTACTCGACCCGAGCTCGATCGCGCTCCTCCATGAAGCAAGTCAGAATCTGTAACGCTCGTCTGAATTTCAAAATACTAATGCCGTGCTTACCACGGGGAAGCTCTGGATTTTCTTCAACTTTTGTTATTTTTGTATGTGTTGTACACTTGATCAGTATTTTTTTAATCTAGCTATTGCGCAAAAAAGGAAAATTAAGGGAAATTAAGTGCGCATTCGAGTGTTGCAAGCAACTTGGCACCTGTGGCGCACCAGGTACTCGCGCCGACTTCTGCTTTCTACAACATTCTTGAAGGATGGAAAACACGTTGGGTGAGTAGTTATCGATAAATGTTCTACTAACTACAAAATACCTACAGTTTACATACTAAATCCTTGACATCCAAATCCGATGTGTAAGAGGAGGTAGACGCTCCGTAAACAAAATATTTTTTTAATATACATTTAGCTTCGGACGACGTTCAATATCTATAAATCCATTAGGCCTGTAGTAATTTACAGATCATGTTGTGCAAGGCGGGTTTTAAATGTTGAAGCATCGTACTTTCGATCGTTCATTCTCGCTACAACCTTCTATAACGAGTATTTCAATGTACTATAGGAGAGAAACTCCACTAGATTGGGTTCGAGTATCAGTTGGGTTCTTAATACACCACGAAGATCGAGGTCCGAGTTAACGGAAAACGTAAATTTGTATATCGCTTATTATTGAAATGACCACTTTAATTATTAGAAAGACATACAAATAGGAGGAGATATAGCTCCGTGACATACAGGTCTGAATATTTTGTAGTAAGCTAGTTACGTACTACAAAACCACTTTGATGACGTCCTGGCATGTGCAAGTCTTCGAACCATGGAAGCACCCAAACGTTGCGCAGAGCCGGTTCACAACGCCTTTCATGCCGTTAGTGTTCTCCCTAGCAAGCAGAACTTGGACCAAACTACTTTTTATCTGTCGGTACTTACGGTAATTTTGCGTAACGTTTCTAAAAAGGCAAACGGTATTGTGATTTGCTGTTATTTTGCAGACCATTTTAGACGCAAAATATGGCAAATCCTGCTCCTAAATATGTGGGAAAGAAGATACACGACCTGCTAAAATTATGCATAAATCCACCTCCTCATATATATATCGACTTGGGAGGGCCTGTCAGCAGCCATGCATTGGCCCAGTACACCACCGTCCATGATCCCCAGCACATCCACCCTCTTATGCATAATTGCCGTGTGTGTAGGTGTTTGTGCATAAAAACCGACAGAATTGCAGCTGCACACCCACAATTGCACTTTCCAAAGTGCAATTGTGGCGCTTTTAGCGTAATTCTAGGCCTCCACCCATTTATGCACCTCGATTTATCGTAAATCTAGCAGGTGGTCGCTATAAATACAGCAAATCTCGCCTCATATTGCCAAACTCTGCAAAGCACAATACCAAAGACAAGTGTAATTTTGAAGATAAAACGACCGGATCCTGCTTGCCGTATTTGACAAAATATACATGGTGCAAAATGTAAACAAAAATAGAAGGAGTGTTTTGAAGCCTTGATCATGTGATTTTCAATGTTAAGATGTCTTTTAGCCAGTCCGAAATGTTAACATGCTAAACTTAACATCAAGTTTGCTGTTTCTATAAAGTTATAGAGTAGGCACGGTTTGGTTGAGGTATACATATTGGCTTAGGTACAATAGCTTTGCATATTGAGCTAATTATACTGAGATAGGAAGCAACGTTAGTGCTGCTATCGCAGACCAAATAGGATTATATCCGTGGTACATCAAGTCAAACGATGACCCCTCTTGACATCTAACTGGTATATTTCTTGAAACCGGTACGGCTCTGGTGCCGCCCTGGGCCCTCCAGGGCAGATTGAACCGGTGTAATACCGACGACACTGGTATGAATCAGTGCATATATTGAGCAGGGTACGGATGGACGAAGAGAACGCTTGGACTGTACAATAGCACTAGAGGTACTCAATAAGTATTTGCATTTTCTACAAGCTGCAAAACAGATCTCAACCAAGGTTCGCATTTTTAATTTTGTAAAGCATTGCCGGTAGACAGTTTGAACTGGCAAATATCCGGGCAGATGCTGCGGCTGCGAAGCAGGCGCAGGAGATGACCGTAGCTAATAAAAAATAATGAAAAATAAAAAGAAGGGTTTATACTAAAATTCTCCTATCCCAGCCTTCGCGGAGCCCTAGTATCAGATTCGAAAGGAGATATTCAATTCGAGAAGGGTACGCTATTTACCGCTATCCGTTAGTTTATCGTACTTAGGTTTGGGCATCTTGCGCTAGTTTGGGTTTTACGTGCAATACGTTGGAGTAAGTTTAAGTCGGATTTACTATTAATATCCCCGTTGGTTGAATACGCAGAGTTCGAATTTCGAACTTCGAAAGCCAAACACAGCGAAGCAATCCTTCTAATGTTAGATAGTGCAACCCTCTAGATGTCCAAGTCACACCGAAATCACATTTGGTTGCATTCGTCGCATCCACTTGTCAGACTTTTGCCCCTGACAAGTCTCGGCTTGATGGGTGATGAAATCTAATTTCTAATCAGTTTCGAAATATCGTGTATGGCTCCAGAAGCTACGCTCTACAATGTAATAAATGAATGTGGTTACGTGCGCTGTTATGATCCCAAAATAATAATCTTGCAGCATTTGAGGTGTTGCTAGTTTGGATTGTAAAGTAACCAATGATGACCCCAGGCTATGCTTCGGCTAGTCATGTCACGCTACCCACTCCCATCATGTGCAGATACTAGCTAGCTAACGACTAACTAGGCTCTGCCACCAAAACGCCGCGCAAATGTTGAAGTCGCATACGCCTGGACAGTACCATGTTTCTCGTTAATCGTTACATACTTCACAATTTTTGTGCATTAAATATTAAACGTTCTCCAGAATCAAGTTTCCTCAAAATAAAGGCTCCGATAGATTATTATGCCGTTCATCGTCTATAGTTCAGTACTGCGTTAGAAGTTGAATAGTACTTGTACAGGCGCATGCTTAAGCTGGGATTGTATTCTCACTATTGAAGGCCTCGGTATGACCGTACAGATAAAACCGAAGTTCTCGTGAACTCCTACGTGTAGCACCCCATCTCTTAAATTTGTTTGGTGGAGGCTGTGTGCTGTTTCGCGCTTGCTTGTTGCTTTGTAGCTTGAGAGTAAATGCAAAACTGAGATTGACTAGTTATGCCTCAGAATATTCGAACCAATCCCTTCCTATGTAGTGTTTCTCCTGCTACTCCTTGTCGCGCATCTTCATCGCGCTGTGCGTCTCCGCGCTGCGGCAAGGGTACCCGATCTGCTCCCATGCGTCTCCGCGGCGCGGCAACCAAAGCACGATCGGATTTTTGCTGTTTCCACGCTGCGGCAACCGCAACGGATGTGCTCTGCTGCTTCTGCACTGCGAATCCTGACGAATCCCCACACAGCCTCCCAAGGACCCCGTCGCTAGGTGATCAGCAAGCCGGAGACAGAACAGCTTGCCCGGTTACATGCTATAGGTTGTTGTAGGCAACGGAAAGACTTCATCGGCAATCCTCGAGGTGTAGTGAGCCACTTTGGTCGGAACTTGATCATCAATGGCGGTCAATGGCTCCCACGAATCATCTTCGTCTTGGAGGCCGACGCAAGACACCAGTAGCTGCCACCCACCGCGCGCTTTGCGGTGCTCCTTGATGGACTCCACACCAAGAAGCATTCCTTGGTTCCCAACCTGCGCAAGCATCTTCTCGTTCACATCGAGACTGCTGTCGCTGTAGAATTTCAGACGCGAACCATGCACTTCGAAGGTCTGGTTCGTCACCAAGTGCCAGATGACAAACGAATGGGGCCGAGTTTCCATCACCTCGAAGGTTCCAACTCATCTAGCCAGTAGTTTGTTCACCGCAAGTCTCTGGTCGATGCGAGACCAAAGCGCGTAGTCACCAAAGGTGAAGTTGCACGGCGAGTCCTTGGAGCGCTGCATGTTGGCGAGACGTCGCTTCTCACGTATGTCGATCACCTCACGATGCATCGCAGCAAGGTCGGAACGACGGCAGTCGAGCCGTTTGTGTGGCAACTGAGTGTCCTCCGTGATCAAGACATGCTTCCCATCCCTCTCCACCACAACCGGTTCAAACGGAGTGGACCGGCGAAGACCCGTAAACAGCTCTGCAGGTGATCGATTGCCCAGCGAGGCCACCGGAGTGTGGTTCAGGTTGCCCTGCTCCAGAGGTTGCAGATACATCCATGCATGAGTGTCCAGCTTGAACTCCATCAATGGTACCCACATCACCTGCAACAGGTGGTGGTTGACCCTCTCCACTGTCCCGTTGATCCATGGCGAGTACGCCACCACCAGCTCCTGTAGTATTTGTAGCTGTTTGCAGACTTGGTCATCATTCTTGAAGTGACTTCCCTCGTCAGAAATCAGCAGCGAAGGAACACCGAACCGCTTCCACAAGTCCACGAGAGCCGTTGCTACCATGGTGCTGGTCGCGGAATCACACGCCACAACTCGCAGTATTGCGAGAGACCGTCCTTCAGCACTAAGATGTACTTGCTGGCGCCTGCATTCTGCCCCATGTAGAGAAAATCCCAGTGCAGTAGTTCTTTTCACTCCGTTGCGTTGTAGGTGGGGCCCCACGGACGTGTGATGATGTTAGCACCCTTCATGTGCTTGCAGAGCAGATAGCGACTGAGGAACCGCCGGCACAATGATACCAAACCGCTGATCCAGAACACCGACTGGACCGTCGAAACCATTGGCCCCAGGCCACGATGGCCCTGCACACTACAGTGTCTCACCATGAGAATATGCTGGAGTAGCTCAACAGCGCTCGCAGGAACTCAGATGCGGTCAACCACCAACAGTAAACCGCTTTCATCACACTCAGTACCCTGCGTCTGACCACCCCGAGTTGTTTTTGTGCAGCTCGAACTGCATCGAGCGAAGGGACTTCAAAGTCAGCTGGCATCATGTGAGGTTGTGATGAAGCGGCTCCAGGTTGGTATTGGTCGGCTTCAGTAGGCGCATCAACATCCGCCTCCGTAGCTTGTGATACAATCTAGTCGCAGCTTCGGCGAGTTCGTGAGCCCGACTTCTCGTGATGAACTTGCACTGCACCCTAACACCCACCTCCTTAACGGGAAGATCACACCTAGAAAGGAGATCGGCCCACAGATTATCCACACCATCAATGTGCTCAACCTGGAAGGCCAGGCCAGTGAGCGACAGCGCCGAGCGCTGTAGCTTCCCGCGTACATGGCGTTTCACCTCCTTCTCCGGTGCAAAGACTAAGGCTATATTCTTGTGGTCGCAATAAAGGCGGAAGCCTCCACGGCGAGCCAACAGGTAGCCCCCGCGTAGATGATTGGATAAGCTTCCATTTCAATAATGCTCCACCGCTGCTCCGTGTCACTGAACACTCCACTCTTGCAAAGCAGCAACTCATGACGCTGTTCCACAACCGGTAGGGCATCATCCCATACCCTGACTTGAGATGTTACTAGTCCCCAGCCTCGTTCAGAAGCGTCACTGAAAACGAAGATATTCGCAGTGTCCTCCGGGAAGTGCAGCAGCTGCTTGGTTGCGAGAAGCGGCCGAGCCGTATCAAACGCCGACCTCTCATTGACTGTCCACGTCAACATAAATTCTGCGGCCAGGCGCTTCGTGCGATCCACTTGCTTCAGCGCGGCCTCTAGCATTTCATGGAGTGGCTGCCTGGTCCTGCTGTAGACCATAATTGAGTCACGTAGCCAGCCGGCAGCGCAGAGGAACCACGGTAGGTCGGCGGCAGTCACTGGTAATGGGAGGTTCCGTAGGGCGCTGACACGAGCAGGGTCATGCTCAATAACCTCGCCGCTAAACAATCGTCCACACCACTTCGTCGTCTTCTTGAAGAGACAGCTCTTGCGCAGGCTAAGCGTGAGCCGAGCCTCCTGGACGCACTAAAATTTCACGCAGCGCACCAAGGAACTCCGTGGGCGAGCGAGAATAGACCAACAGGTCGTCGATCCAGGCGAGAAGCTTCACGTACATGTTCCTGAAGGCCACCTCCATCTGGTTTTGGAAATGGAGCGCCGAATCAGTGGCGCCCTGCGGAACACGGGTCGGAGTGTAGACAGCATCATCCGTCACGAACCTCATCAGCTCTTGACTGTCGGGGTGAAGCGGAAGTTGCGTGAAACCTTTGGTCATGTCCAAGCCCTGAAGTTGCGGGCGGCAGCAGCCAGATCCGGCGCCGTGCCAGCGATCGGCACGGTCACAGTATTGACAGGCCTGTAGTCGATATTCAACCTGAATTCATTCGGCCAACCAGCCTTCGGCACTGATACCGCAGCACAAGCCCAATGGCTTTGCTGGTTTCGGCGTATTCACAGGTCGAAGACATGTGCTTGGCCCCGGCAAAAAACTTGTAACATTCCAAAACCGGGTACCAAACCGGGTCTCTCTTTCTTAATTGTAATGTTTAAGCTAATATCTGCCGGAATCGGGTACCCGTCGATAAATGCTAAGATTTATGCACACTATTTACCAAAACCTGCATTCAAGCACTTACGGACGTCCAGTACACTAATGGCTTCGCTGAAGGCGTACCAATTTGCGCCATAATCGACCAAGCTTAGCTGAAGATGACCAACACGATTTATGTAGGTGCAGGCTGCATTTTTTACATGTCAATTTGCTCAATACCCAATCACTCTTAGCCGAAGATGCCCAACCTCGTTTCTGTCGCCAAACCAATCAGCTCAACTCGACAGTGACACGAGCATCGTTCGTTTGAATAAGACTTTTTTCCCTGCGTTGAAGCATCCACTTCCAAGGAATTGGCCCATTAGCGTATTTCTCATTCCGCAATTTACCCCAAGCCCTCAAGTTAAAAGTTTGTTTGTTTGTTTGTTTTGTTATTGAATTGAGGATCATTATTGTCACTTAGCTAACATCCTCAAGTTAAAAGGTCAAGATCAGCGCACCATGCGCCTCTCCTTCGTTCCGCTACTGTTGCTCTCTCGTCTGATCGTTAGCACACAACCTAGTTCAAAAATGAGCACAGTATACCTTACCTGCAAAGTGAATGAAATAGCTCTCTCGTTGCTGGGGCCAACGCAGCCATTGGACGCTGACCAGGGTGTTATGTGACATAACACTCTGGTCAGTGTTCGAAGGCATAACATATGTCACCGATGGCCTCATCAGACCAGGCAACCTCAATTGGCGACTTTCGGTTCCTGAGAACCCACCACGATAAAGAAGAGCGGGGCTTGCTGGTTACCAGCCTCACAAAGGTTTGGCTGAAACATCATTTCCGTATCGATACACTTCGACGTGCGCAACTATTTGTTCAATTACGCATTCTCGGGAAGATGATGCAACTATTTGTTCAATTACGCATTCTCGGGAAGATGCTGCGGGGCGCAGTAGATGCCCACGTTAGAATCAACTAGAGAGTTGGGCTGGTAGTGCTTTTAAGGATTAAAAAGAAAACAACTTTAGGATTTACTCAATTATTATCCATTATCATCGTCCATGAAACTATTCGTCGACCTGTGTACCCTCCCGGGGCAACGCTCCGGGTTGCCTATAAACTCCATGTCCAGTAGCTGCTGCGTGTGATCGCGAAGGAAATCACTCTGCGCAGCAGCATAGCACCGAGGCCGTGTTCGATATGGCTGAGCACCTTCGCGAATCGTGATATGCAGCGCCTCGACGTTGGCCGGGGGATCATCCCCCAGATCAATGCGGAAAACGTCTTCGTACTCCAGCACTAGATCGAGCAGTGCAGGACGTACTCGACCGGGAACCCTTCATCACCAGCCGTAACCACCATGGTCTTAAGTAGGTCATGCACTTCAGCCAGAGCATTGGCTCAAGGTTCATCAACTTCAAAAGAGCCATGGTCCTCCATGACTCGACCTCCAGCCAAGTGAGATAGCTGTGCGCTCACATCAATGCCGAGATAGACAGTCATGCCGTTGCCCAAAATGAAATCTTCCTCGTCACCTTCAAACATGAGGCAGGTCACTTCAGTGAGGTGGACTGGACCAGCAATTGTCTGCAGCATCAAGTCCAACTTCACCGAATCGCGGCGCCCCCAGCAACAGTGACATCGACGATAGTACGAAAATGCATATTTTTGTCATTTCTGTGTACTGAAATGCTATTTTTTGTCATCAGAATATGTTGTCCTCACACTTCAATTATGTCATGTGTTTTCTATGATAATTATACTTCTAATTTGTATGATGCAGCTAAAAAATACAGTAGTTAAGTAAACATTTTGAAAATTCTGTCTTTTGTCAAACAACTGGACATTTTTATTGTCACGAAAATGACCTACTTTTGTCATCACAATTCGATACGTTTACGGCGGGTGTGCTTTTTATCATCTACGGTAAGTTCGGGTCGAATCGCGTCGCTGGAGAAACTCTGGATCTAAAGTCCAGAGAACTGGAGACAATGTCAAGGATCCTAACAGCCTCCAACACGGAGCAGGAGCTTCTCGCCGTTGCTAAAGGGCTGGGTAGCTCAAGTTTCACGGCACGCGACGCGCGCGAGTACCACTTGCGTCGGGACGCTATCGTCCGAGTTACAGAAGAAATCGACCGTCGCGTGGTTTCGTGGAATTCAGCAGATATTTTCCAGCACGGGGAAGTTGGTGGGGTCGTTTTGGTAAAGTCCGAGGATGATGTTCCCACTGAGTGGGTCGACATGCTGATCTCTGGAATTGGTTTGTGCCAAGTCCAACGCAGTAGTCTCGTAGTGTGCGACCACGCGAGGATCTCGGAAATGAACCCGATCTGGAACTAAAGCTCAAACCCTGGGATATCTCGAGTAGCGAATGTCTTACGAGGTTATTGCAACTGATTGGGGGCCATCTGCGCAGCCTTTGGCTTGATTTTCCTTCGTGGAGTCTTGGCGTCGATGTTGCTGTAATTTTGTAGTCGTGTCCACACCTACAGGAACTAGCGATCCGTAATAATCAGGTCTCTATTAGGACCTCTGCTTTGGTTCGGGCATGTGAACAGCACAACACGACACTGAGACGTCTGGAGTGTCGCATCGACAACATCAACATTCTTGCAGCGGTGATGAAAAGCGGACGTATAGGACGTTCCGCTGGTTGCACTATGACCTTACGTTGATGCCAGGCCAGGCCTATGCTGAAGCGGTGCAAGCCTTGACGCAAAGGCTGCCCGGAAATAAGGCGTTGCGGTAGTGGCGCCTGAGATCGACACAATTGGAGCTGGGTTGATGCAGTTCAACCACCAGGAGCTCGAAGGACATGGCGAGTTGGAAAGTTGGCCTTCTTGAGTGTTTTCCACACCTATGAAGCGCACTCGCCACCGAAGAAGCAAGCGAAAGACCAGTCGGAACGTGTTCGCCTCCACGCCCCTGACAACCACGTAGCCACCATGATTTTGAGGTTTGCCGCAAAGTATGCAGCCCACAGGTGAATGTCATCACCGCTAGTGGTTAGCCCTTTCGTCGACCTCTTACTTAAATTATACTATACAAATGTGAGCTATTTTCGTGTAAAAGGGCGCTAAAAGCGCTCTTTTAGTAAATCACGGTACATGTACGATGGCGAATGCACGATGTCTGGGCTTGTGATATAGACAGTCGGTTCTCTAGAAGGGCGCAGAGTGCGCCCTTCTAGATATTTACTGTACTTCGAGTGGTAGTTTTTGATTCGCCAAAAATTTCCATACCATACGACTACCCAAATTAAATGGGTTCCACGTACCATACGTCGTATTTTACGGGAGTAAAAAAAATATCTTCTCGCATCATGACCCTATTCCCGCTGACCAAGAAGGCGCTGTCGGTGCGCAAGGACCCCCAGCACGTCATCTGGTGGACGAGAACGCGGAGGAGACTGCGCTTCTGGAGCGGGTTGAGGCTTACCTCAAGGCGGTGGGCCAGGATCTGCGGGCGCACAACATCCGTCGTGACGTTCTCGGTCCGCCCGCAGAACATTGAGAACGTCTCGGTGCACAACGCCTACATCGCGCTGTACCCGAACATCTACACGTCCCCCGGCCGCCTGAACAATAGCGAGGACAACATTGGAGGCGCCGCTCGCCTACAAGCTGGAGCTGCGTCGCCTCCAGAACTACAGCGTCACCCCGTTGACGTCCGAGAACAAGAAAGTTCACCTGTACCTGGCCAAGATGAAGGAGTCCGACTCGCACATCGTGACCGACCGCTTCCAGCGCATCTTCGTGCGTCAGCTGGACCACGATGGCAGCGGCTCTCGCTCGCAGTACGACACCTACCCGGGCCCCAAGCGCTCGCTGGTTGACGCTCTGAATGCCCTGGAGGTGAACCTTGCCAACCCTCTGGTCAAGAAGTCGTCGCTGCCGACCAAGAACAACCACGTGTACCTGAACATCCTGCCCCAGGCTATCGTGGACCCGCAGTAACTCGAGGGTGTGATCCGCATTATGGCCTACCGCTACGCCGAGCGTCTGGAGCAGCTGCGGGTGTCGACGGTGGAGCTCAAGATCATTGCGCGCTTCAACAGCGAGGCCCCGATCATTCCTGTGCATCTTGTGGCTGAGAACCCCACGGACTACGTGGTCCGCGTGCAGGCGTACGTCGAGGCCGCTGGCCACGATGAGCCTATCTTCACCTCCACCGCGCGACGAGACCCACGGCGAGCTTGACGGCATGCCGATGACGACGCCATACCCGGTGGTGTTCCCGTTCGACAAGAAGCGTCAGATGGCCAAGGCCATGTCGAACACGGTGTACTTGTACGACTTCTTGGAGCTAATCGAGTACAACCTGCTGCGCCAGTGGCGCAAATACGTGCAGCAGCGTACGCGCGGTGGCGGTGCCAAAATCACCATCCCGAATCTGCTGATGGAGACGCGCGAGCTGATCCGGGATACCACGGGCAAGTCTCTGACGGAGACGACGCGCCCGCGTGGCCAGAACGACATCGGTATGGTGGCGTGGCTGTTGGCGCTGTACACGCCGGAGTTCCCGGATGGACGTGCGATCATCATCATCGCCAACGACATCACGTTCAAGGCCGGTTCCTTCGGTACCCGCGAGGACACGCTGTTCGACCTGGCGTCGAAGCTGGCTCGCTCGAAGGGCATCCCGCGCTTCTTCTTCTCGGCCAACGCTGGTGCCCGCATCGGCATGGCCGAGCCCATCAAAGCCCTGTACAAGGTGTGCTGGGAGGACGAGACCAACCCGACCAAGGGCTTCGAGTAGACCCCCGAGGACTAAAACGTTGCCTCAGCCGAGGGCTCTGTGAACGCCGCCACCAGCACGGGCGAGGAGCGCTACGGGCTGAACGACATCGTGGGCCGTGTGATCGGCCTCGGTGTCGAGTGCCTGCGCGGCAGTGGTACCATTGCTGGTAAGACTTCGCGCATACCAGGACGTGTTCACGCTGACGTACGCCTGCGACCGCAGTGTCGGCATCGGTGCCTACCTGGTGCGTCTGGGCCACCGTACGGTGCAGAACGCCACGCACTCGCCGATCATCCTGACCGGTTACCAGGAGCCGAGGTGTACACCTCGAACGACCAGCTGGGTGGCGTGAAGATCATGCACACGAACGGTGTAACGCACCTGACGGCCACGAACCACCTCTTGGGCATCTACTCGATCCTCGAGTGGCTGGCCTTCGTGCCGATGGTTCGCCGCGGCCAGCTTCCGATCCGCGACCTGACGGGCGTGGACGAGATCGAGCGCACGGTGGACTTCGGCTGTAAGGTTCTGGTTGTGCTTGTTGTGTTGCGAGTAAAATGGAAACTAAATTGATGTCTTTGTCTGTTTGCTGCTATCCATCTACCCGAGGGCGCCCTCATGGCGCTCGGTCCTAAACATGAAGTGGTTGGCTGAGGCGTGCCGGAGCAGGAGCTTGCGCAACCGGTGAGTATGCAGACGACGACTTGGGCTCTCTGCGTGCGGACTCAACTGATGGTGTGGTTGTGTTCTGCTCTTGCACGTGCAGATCATTACACTCCCCCCGACTTGTTGAGGGAGCCCGTGCCACTTGACCAAGTACTCAGGTTGGCGGCTGAAGATGCGCTTCTTGACCAGAGCTTCGACAACGTGTAGTGGCTCGCCATCGTCGTCGAAAATCACGGGAGTCGACTTCGGGATCAGACGGCCGACGAAGCGATCAGGGTTGCTGTTGTATACCTTGAGCTTGTCGATGTTGAAGCGTGGGCTGATGTGCTTCAAGTTGGCCGGTAGAGCCAGCAGCGCGACGTTGCCGTGAAGTTCCAGGATCGGGTACGGACCGATGAAGCGCGGGATGAACTTCCGTGAGCGAAGCGTCGTTTCCGCGGTGGCGTGCGAGATGTTCAGGTCCTGCGTCGACAGTAAGGCTAGATCACCGACCTTGAATGGGTTTGCTGCACGACGCCGGTCGTAGAACTTCTTTTGATCCTCTTGCGCATCCCACAGATCCTTCCGAGCACGTTCGATCACCTCTTGACGATGCTGAACAAATCGAGACGCGTACTCCACACGAGACCTCGCCACCGGCTGATCGCTCTCCACACTACCCAATGGGTTCTTAGGGTGACGACCAGAGTCGACGAAGAAGGGCGACAGCTTCGACGAGCTGGACACCAGTGTTGCGTGCACATACTCAATCATGGGCAGGTGCTCATTCCAGTCGTTGCCATGGTACAAAACAGAGCATCGCAACGAGTCCTCGAGAGTCCGATTCTGACGCTCAGTTTGGCCATCGGCCTGCGCTCGGTGGGCAGTCGTCATCGCTGTCTTGATCTTCATCAGCTGTACCAGTGCTTTCCAGAACTTCGACGTGAACTTCGGGTTCCGGTCGAAGATGATGGTCGATGGGATACCATAGTACAGGATGACGTTGTTGAAGAATAGCTTGGCAATGTCTTCCGCAGTCGCCGTGGTGTGCGTCGGGATGTAGACTGGACGCTTTGACAACTTGTCCACCACGACCATGATCGCATCAAAGCCGTCGGACACAGGCAAATGCGTGATGAAGTCAGTCGAGACAACATCCCAACACGCAGCGGGCAACGGATCGGCTGAAGCTTTCCTGCTCTTCGTCCGGTGCTTGACTTGTACCTCATGCATGACTCACAACTCTGAACGTAGGCTTTGATGTCCAGATCCATTCTCGGCCAGAAGTACCACTGTGCCGCAGCAAGCTGAGTGCGACGGATGCCTGGGTGCGCCATGATCGCCGCATCATGCGCGTTGTGAATGACATCGAGCCGAAGTTTCCGGTTGTTTGGCACACAGAGACGGCGTAGGCTGTCGTTGCTCTTCAAATAGATCAACCCGTGAATGACTTCGTACTCTTCCGACGAGCGTCTGGACTTCCACAGTGGCTTGAAGACTGGATCTCTGCCGTATGCCTTCTGAAACGCCCGCTTCGTTTGGTTATCCAGCTGAAGTGAGCTGATCACCGTGCTGTCCTCCATTGACGCTGCGTTCAACCTCATGCACCACTGTGCTGTGCCAACTCCGAGTGCCTTTGTGGCTGGCGGTTTGACGGCCAGCATCACAGCTTGATCCCGGGACGGTATGCTTTGGAGCTTCGCCGTAGCCATGGTACGTCGTGAGACCACGTCTCGAATGTTCGTGCATGTGGTAGACGTCAAACACGCCGTACACACTACAACCGGCTCGGGCTTGGACTCACAATCCTCCTGCCCCTCCCCCGGACTCGATGAAGCATCAGGGGGGCGTGACAACGCGTCCGCAACGACATTCAAAGCTCCTGGACGATGATGCAGTGTGAACTGGAAGGACGCAAAGAAGTCGACCCAGCTGGCCAGGCGACCCGACAGGCGTGGATGCTGCAAAAACCACTTGCACGCCGAATTGTCCGTGTACACTTCAAACGAGACTCCATGGAGGTAATGACGCCAACGTGTAAGCGCCTGCTTGATCGCAAAGAGCTCCTTCTCGTGGACAGGCCAGTTCAGCTCGTGAGGTCCCAGCTTCTTGCTGAAGAAAGCCACGGGGAGATCGTTGCCATCATGCATCTGAGAGAGCACTCCACCAATGCACGCATGGCTGGCATCCGTTGTCACGATGAATGTTTTTTCAAAGTCCGGCAGACGAAGCACCGGAGCGTGCTGGAGCGCGAGCTTAATGGCATTGAAAGCTTGGCGCTGGTGTTCGTTCCATACCCAAGCGACATCCTTCTTGACCAGAGAGCTCAGGGGCAGTACCAACGTCGCAAACTGGTGGATGAAGCGACGATAGTACCCGGCGAGGCCCAAGAAGCGTTGGAGGTCTATGATGTTGCATGGCTCGTTCCACTCTGCGATGGCTCGAGTCTTGCGAGCGTCCACGTGCAACCCATCAGCAGAGATGGTGTGGCCAAGGAAGTCCACCGAGGCTTGTCCGAAGTCGCACTTGTCAGGACGGGCGTAAAGCTTGTTAGCGCGCAGGACTTCGCAGACTTGTCGTAAGTGCTCAACGTGGTCAGCCATCGATCGCGAGAAGATGCAGATGTCGTCAAGATAAACGACCACGAACAGTAGATGACTCAGCAGCTTGCACATCAGGCGTGTCCAGGTGCCTGGCATGCCGGCCAGGCCCATGGGCGCCACGTTCCAATGATAGATCTCATGGTTCGTCCTGAATGCCGTGTACTGTTTTGACGTCGGAGACATGCGCATTTGGTGGTATCCACTCGCGAGGTCGAGAATAGAGAAGCCCATTGCGCCCACCATGCGATCGAAGAGTTGTTCGATGTGCGGTAGCGGGATCTTAGCCACATCCGAGGCGGCATTCACCAATCGATAGTCGATGACCCATCGAATCGGCATGTGCGGGTTGTTCGAGCGCAACCACTCCAAAGCGGGATAGGAACTTGCCCGTCGCGGGATCCTTTTTCGGCACGCCGAAGATGTTCGATACCCAGGGAGAGTCCGACACTTCGACCCAGTTCTTCTTCAGCAGCTCTGCCACAAAGATGTCCAATGCTTCCTGCTCAATCTTCGAGAGGCAGAAGGGAGCTCGGTTGCTTGGCGTCACCCCTGGTTTCAAGACCACTTCGTGCTCGATGGAGCGGCTTGGTGGTAATCCAGGTGGCAGCTCTGCTGGAAAGACATCTGCGAACTCTTCAAGAACCGCTTGAAGCTGCAATGGCACGGACTTCACCTTGGGCGACGTCTTCACTGTGACATGATACAGTTCGACGTACTCGTCAGCCTTCACCTTCGTCTCGAACTCCGCAGCCGCAAGAACACACAGCGGCGACGCGCCTGTACCATCGCCACCGTCGTCAAAGATGCGTGGTAAGGTCTGGTGTCCCAGCGTTGCTAGTGAGCTCGGTCCCAACGGCATACTGAAGTAGCCTGCCTGCACATGGTCATCGAGCTGCTGCCGCAGGTTCGGGGGAAGCGGGTGCTGAAGAAATTCCGGTTTCACTTCCACTGAAGCCACCGTCGGTCCCGCCACCTCAAGACTGCTGTTCACGGAACCGAAGTCATGTACTACACGCTGGTTGGGGAAGCGCATCACTCCGGTTTGCCAATTGATGATCGGGCTGAACTGCACTAACCACGGGTGGCCGAGAATCACGTCTTGGTTTGAAGATACCTCCCATTCAATGAGAGAAACATCGTTGAAGACTCTTCCATCAAAGCAGACAGTCTCCAAACATTGCTGTGCGGTACGCGCCGGGGTTGTCGTGCCATCAAAGCGCTGGGCCGTGACCTTGGTGGCCTCAACGTAGTGCTGCACGAGGCCCGGACGCACAATGTTGCGCTCTGCACCACTGTCGATCAAGACTCGCACTGCCTGGCCGCTCATCGCTCCCTCGAACCTCAACAGTTCACGATTGGGCGACAACTTCGCGTCGAGAGACACCATGTTCAGCTGCAAACTGTCGATGACCTCGACGTGGTCGTCGCGGTTGTCTGCGTAGGCGTCGTCATCGTCGTCGGATGCGTCGTCGTCTTCAACAATGCGGCGAAACGAGCCCTGGTTTGCGCGGAAAGAACCGCGCCCTTGTGGAGGACGAGATGAGCCTCGGGGGTTGTTACGCGCTGGCCGCTTAGGACACGTAGCCAGGCGGTGTCCGGGCTCCTTGCAGTAAAAGCAAAGATTACTTCGCAGACACTCTTCGCGAGACACGAAGCGCGAACTCCCGATCTCCATTGGGGTCGGCTCCTCGACATGATGTGACGACTGCTGAAGGCGTTGTGGACCTTGGCCTCCGCGGTTCACGTTGGTTCGACGCGATCCTACAGCGTGCGTGCGGTCGTACATGAGTGCAAACGAAATTGCGTCTGTCGTGTTCCTGAACTGGCGCAGCTTCACCTCTTGTTTGATCTCTACGACTAACCCCTTCTGGAAATGCATGACCTTGTCGATGTCGCTCATCTCCTCTACCTTGCAGATGATGCGCCGGAAGGCCGACACGTAATCTTCAAGACAGGTGAAGTTGTTCTGGCGCAGGCGTAGGAGCTGGTCACGCAGGTGCTCTTGCCGATCGGGTGTCGTGAACTCGCTGGTCAGCAGCTCCTCGAACTGCGTGACCGAGTGCAGGAAGTTCCCGTTGTGGGAGACGTACTCGCGGTACCAAGCCGCTGCTGGTCCCTTCAAGTTTGCCACCAAGAGCGACAAGGGGCGCTGCTGCGGCGAGTCGGCGCCGTACTTGATGTTCTTCGACTCAAAGTAGAGCTTGGCGCTGAAGAGGTAGTCCGCGACGTCGTCGTCCTTGGTGCCGGAGAACTTCGGCATGGTGATGCCCTCGGCCCGGTACTCGCGCGTGTCTGGCGACGAAGAGTCGGCCACCGACGGTTGCTGCTGCTGCGAGGTGGATTGCTGCTGCTGTTGCTGTTGCAGTGTCACCGCCATCTGGCGCTCCAGCTCGGCTGTCTGTGCCATAAACTGCTGCTGCTCGCGCATCATCGCCGCGAGCGAGGCGAACATCTGCTGCACGCTGTCCGCGTGCTGCATCGCTGCTTCATCCATGTTTGCGCCTACGCTAGACACGTCGTTAATAGATGGCTGGGGCGCGCAAGCTCCTCAGCCAAATCAATCAAATTTGAAGTCGCAGGCACTCCCAGCAGCGCTGCTTCCGACAATGTCTGTAAGCCCCAACGAAGTCACAGAAGCTCGTCCTGGAGCTCTGTTTCCGACAAGTACCAACCACTTGCTCCAGCGTCCCGAAGGAAGCAACTGGTGCAATTCCGTCCGGCGCTAGCTCGAGCCCGCCTCGGAGCACAAAGACTCCTACTACTAGACTCGTAACGGCCACCGACGCGGATGTTACACTCGGCTGCGCACTGTTTGCAAGTGACAGCCGAGGCGACAAGCGGAAGGTCGAGGTGGGTGTCGCGTATGCACACGCGGGAGTGATTGGGCTAAATGCACCAATGAGATGTGACGTGTGACAATGCGCGTCCCCACTCCTCCCCCAGAAAGAAAAGGAGCGAGCCAGGCGAAAATAGAGGTCCCGTCGGCGACGAGCGGAACGAAGCTGCGGACGAGGCAAAGCACGCGGCGCACCCGGAGAAGCTGAACGGCGAGAGGTACAGGTGCGGCGCACCGAAGAACGTAGGCGAGGAAGACGGCGTGCGCAACGGCAACGCGGGATGGAGTAGGCTGGACGGCGTGCACACTAGCGACGCGCAGCAGGACTGGACTGGAACTGGAACTCGAACGGAGACTGGAACTGGAACTGGACGGAAGCGCGCGCTGGAGGCGCAAGTGCAACCAAGTGTAAGGTTCTGGTTGTGCTTGTTGTGTTGCGAGTAAAATGGAAACTGAATTGATGTCTTTGTCTGTTTGCTGCTATCCATCTACCCGAGGACGCCCTCATGGCGCTCGGTCCTAAACATGAAGTGGTTGGCTGAGGCGTGCCGGAGCAGGAGCTTGCGCAACCGGTGAGTATGCAGACGACGACTTGGGCTCTCTGCGTGCGGACTCAACTGATGGTGTGATTGTGTTCTGCTCTTGCACGTGCAGATCATTACATCGGCCCTGCCGACAAGAGCACACAGTACGACCCGCGCGCGCTGCTGGCCGGTAGGCCACGGGCAAGTGGGTCTCGGGCCTCATGGACAAGGATTCGTTCCGTGAGACGCTTGACGGCTGGGCCAAGAGCGTGATCGTCGGCCGCGGCCGCCTTGGTGACATTCCGTGCCGTGTGGTCGTCACGGAGGTGCGCACGTCCGAGAAGGTCATCCCTGCCGACCCGGCGGCGCCTGCCTCGCAGGAGAACCTGATGCCGCAGACTGGTCAGGTGTGGTTCCCCGACTCGGCCCACAAGACGGCGACTGCCGTCGAGGACTTCAAGGGTGAGGACCTGCCACTGTTCATCCTGGCCAACTGGCGTGGTTTCTCCGGCCGCCAGCGCGACATGATCGACGAGCTGCCCAAGCTCGGTGCAGCCATCGTGGATGGCCTCGTCAACTACGAGTAGCCCATGTTCGTGTACATCCCGCCGTTCGCCGAACTGCGTGGTGGCGCGTGGGCCGTGGTATATCCCACAACGAAGGTATCATGGTGATGTACGCCGAAGGGACGCGGTGGTCTACTCGAGCCAGCCGGTCTCATTGCGACCGCAAGAAACAGCCGTCTCGACGACATGCTCGAGCAGCTGACCGCACGTGCCGAGCTGTCGCCCGAGAAGAAGGAGTCCAAAAGCGCCAAGATGGCAGCTGATATCAAGACCTGCGAAGAAACGCTGCTGCCGATCCACGTGCAGATGGCCATGGCGTTCGACGACCTGCACGACTCGCCTGACCGCATGAAGTCCATCGACCGCATCCGCCAGGTTGTGCCCTGGCCGAAATCAGGCAAGTTCTTCTGTTGGCGTCTCAAGCGTCAGCTCCCCGAGCTCACGCTGCACCGCCACGCAGCCAGCGCTGGCGGCTCGCGCCCGACGGTCTTCTTGTGCTCGTGAGTAGGTGATCCAGGGCTGGGCTGTGAACGGTGGCTGTGTGCCGCGTCAGCAGGACGGTGTTCGAGATCTGGTCGCATGGCGACTCAGACGTGCTGGCTGTCGAGCGACACAGAGTGGATCGCTTCGTGCGTGGCCAAGCTCCACCAGGAGCAGATGGCCTCGCGCTGCGAGGCTTGCAGGTCGTGGTGATCGGTCGCAAGAACCATAGGCCACTGTGGCCGGCATCCTGGAGGTGCTCAACCTGCTGAGCGACAAGAGACTGTGGTCGTGCTGCGCCGGGGATCCATCTTCCACAAGTAAGGCCGAGCCGTTAGGGCAGGGATTGTTTTGCAGGTGTCGTGTATGAGTTAGTAGGCAGTGAAGACGTGAATGCATATGTATCGCTTCATGAAAATATGTCTTGAAATCATTCGTGTCTTTGCCATAAAGAACACGAAAATCTAAAGGATGGAGAAGCAAGACTTCAAACGCAGCGATACTTGAACACACTTTTCTTGGAACATTCTAGCTGATGGTGACGTTGCCTGGCCATCTCCTCATCCGGGCGGGCATTCTAGCCTCTTGTCATGCACAACCCGAAGATCGAGTGCAGCATTGACTATAGAGAAGCGCCAACAACAACACTTTCATTGCAGATTCTTCCACATGTAGAGCTTACCCACAACACTACCTTAGCCCTTAGCGACTCCGAAAATTCCAGCTTGAGTATCAACAAGACCACCTGCGTTCTACGCGCTTAGGAAACGCATTCCTTCTCCATGTTGTAGGTCGGCTAGCCGGGCACGTTTCGCAGAGTGTGGAAGACACTCCGCTTGGTCAGAATGTGCCGCAGGACCATATTTCTGGCATCTAACTGCACCCATTCGCACTCCTCGTCCAGCGCAACGTTCGTTTTGCGTACGCTGCGTTTCATTACCGTCCTCGCGAACCCGTTTTACACCGAGTCCACTACGATGCGCTTGATCAGCATTTGCCACATGACCTTCTTCGTTACGAGGATCGCGTGCTTGGTCGTGGCCAACTGCCCGCGCTTGCTCTCGTTGTCCGCTGCGACGCTCCTGTTGCATATGCTGCGGCTCACCACCGTCGCGCCTTGCAGCGACTCGTCCACGATCCGCTTGGTCAGGACTTTCCACATGACCTTCTGGGTGGCCAAGTTCATGCCCAACAATACTATGCAGGCTGCTTGACGTTGTGTCGCTCTTCGGTTGTGCGCTTCGTCTTGAAGTGTTTTGCGATCCCGCGGGTGTAGCAAGGCCGCGTCAATAAATGAGGGGCGCCAGTGAACGCCTGCCAGAATCCGTCCATTCGGACCGTATTTCCAGCAGCACACGCGCTCATACGCGAACATTCCTTCATCAACCCGATCACCCCACCCAAAGCATCAGTCTCGTCACCGCAATCAGGACTGCAGAACGGAGTGTAAACAGCATTTCTGCCGGCGCTCTCCGCATTCACATCTTCTGCTTGTGTCTCTGCTGTTGTATGCTGTAGTAACTGGGTGCAATCTTGGCGTGAAGCTGGACCGGCTTGCGAGAGCTCACGAAACGCGTTCTCTAAGGACTCCTCAGACTCGCTCGGCGCGCTCCCATCGCCGCCATCAGACCCGAACGGTGTTTCTTCGCTGACCGCGCCTGCATTCACATCTTCTGCTTGGGTCTCTGCTGCTGCAACCTGCGGTAGCTGAGCCCGCTCTTGGAGTGCAGCTGGGCCGACTTGCTCGGGCTTACGAAAAGCGTCTTGAACCATTTCCTTTGAGCATACTAAAGCACGTTGGGGGGTCAGCAGTCGTTCAGGATTATTGAAGGCGAGCCCCATCAAGCTCACGGAGCGAGTGCGAGTTGGGGCTGCCCCCGAATAATTCGCCGAGGTGATCGGGAACGAGCTGCTGGCCCAACTGTCCGAGCACACGCATAACGTTAGTAGCATGAGATAGCAGTGAGAACTAGAGAGAGCATGTAGTGCATGGATAACGTGCCCGTTGCGGATACAGCTACCCACCCATGCTCGAACTGATGATCTTGCGCTACTTGGCCCCGAGCGTGGACGAGCAGCCGGTGTTGGTTGTTGCTGAGCATGGTAGGAAGCTAGGTCCTTGCGGGCGTAACCGTGGAGCAACTCAGCAGCGTGGGCGTGTTGTTGTCTGATGGTGGGTTGCTGGGAACGACGGTGCCGCCGAGCAGCAGACTGATAGCCGAGAAGGTTGGGTCAATGCGTTGCAGTACGTACCGCGGGTGGAGACGCGAGCTGCCCCCAGTATAGGAGGTAGGAATAGTGAGCGGGGGCCGCCTGCTGTGCCGAAGAGTCGGGTGCGTGCCGCCGGGCGTGCGGTCGAGCGTGCCGTGGTGGTGTGTCGGGGCTGCAGGGGCCTTGCGCCCGACGGTGCAAACTCTTGACTGGCCCAGAACGAACTGCTCAATGCCACGTTCGGCTGGGGACAAAACACGTACCGGTTGCCCGGTCCAAGAAAACCGCCCGCTTGAATGGCATACTAAACCTACTGGTGACCGCGCGCGGCTTGGTGTGCGTGTGCATCTTGGTGTCAACGCGCGCCTTGGCGTCCGCGTGCGGCTCGCCGTCCACGGTCACTTCGTCCTTCTTCAACGTGGCTTTATCCTTCCATCGGAAAACCTAATTTCCCCGCTACACTCGGAAATACACCCCTTCTTGTTGATATATCCTTCATGACTACTCAAGAACTCACGGATACGATGGGCACCTCGTGTTTGTCCACTCCCTGCTTCAGAAACATGGTTCGCAGCGCTGCTACGCCTCCGCCATTGATTTTGGTCCGGCGTTTTTTTAGGTGCTGGCACAGCTCGTTGAACCGAGCCTTGTTGTAGGATCCGGCCAACATGTTGAAATGAAGAATGAAAGCAACAAAAGAACGAGAGTGTGAAGAATTAGAGAAATCCGAGAAAGGGAGGAGAACGTATTTATCGTTTTTGGCCTCCCATATATTCCAGACTTCAACTGCGACGCCCCACCCACTCCTGCCTGCCTGGTTCCGGCTGTAGCGCCATCTCCTCCTGCCTGGCTTCGGCTGTGGCGACCCACACCTGCCTGGCTACGGCTGTGGCGACCCACTCCTGCCTGGCTTCGGCTGTGGCGACGAATCTTCTGTCTGGCTTCGCTTGGTCTTGGTCAGCGCCATCAACTGTTGTTGGCAAGCTCGAAGATGTTGGAAGCTGGTCGAACCCCAAGTTGAGAAGTACTGGGGTCATGATCGCACAATGATTATGCACGAGAGAGCGACTTCGTCTGTTGCAAGCGTTCGGGGTGGTAGCGTAGTGCGGTAACGAGCCCAAGTATGTAAGGCCCGCGTGCACCTCACAACGTTGACATATGTGGTGATAGAGAGAGGTTTGACAGGAAATGAGGGAGCAGAGGATGAAGAGGCGAGTGGACGATCCACGTTTTCGCGTACGATTCAAGGGCTGACCGAGGGAACGTGAGGCCCTCCAAACTGCCAAACGGAAAATCACCAGGAAGTGCTTTGGCAACGGACAACCCAATTAAATAAGCAGAGCATCTTGTTCTGAACTGCTGTGCGATTCCAATTATAGATTCATTATTATCCTTAGCGCAGGTAACAGATCCACTCGGTAATGATGCCGGCAAGAAGCACCCTAAGAAAAGATTAGGAACAGCCCGCCGTCGTAGGCGAGATAGCGGTATGCAGTGCCGGTCATCAGCGGGCGGCTGTGCTGCACTACATGTTCCGCTCATGACGACCGTCGCAGCGGCGGTTACACGGACACGGTACCGACAACTCCGAGGCCTCATTAGCCACATCGGCTCGCTGCGCCGCCGAAGATTGGAGTGGTTTAGAGTGTGATTCGTGTCGGGAGTTTCGAGTTCCGTGCGTCCGAGCAAGTTGAGGAATGAGGGCAGCGCGATTTATCCAGGTGCTTCAACGGTGTCATTCTGCTGAACCACTTACCGACATACAAAACAAAAGTACTTGTATAGCTGTCACCCCTCCTTCAGTGAAAAAGGTAACAACGGACCGTCTATAACATTGATAGAGCCTAAACATTACCCACTTTTTGGGCAGGCGGGGCGACACCCTTACAAGAATTGCTTTGTGTCTGGGATTGTATGCCAGAGAAGCGAAGAATACATCCGTCCTACTTCAATACTGAAGTCAGTATATGTATGGTTGTCACACCGCCCCGTATTCAAGCTACTCTATGACGTCACGCCATGACGTAGTTTTTACATGGGTAATTACGCTTTCATGTCGCCCCTCCTTTAGCCATACAAAAACTAAAACAGGTAGAACTGTCACTCCTCCTTTAAAAATCTAGCCCAAGCGAAATCAGGTCACTATTCAAATCGTCGAGCGAGAAGCAGGTATGGTGTCGCGCGCACTGAAGTTCATTTTCCTTTTCCCTCCGTCGCTAACCCCTATGGCGTTTTTGCGTACAATAGACGAAGAGCTGGCCAGAAGGAGGGCGGCCAACAACACCAGCGACCGCGACCCTGCTCGCGACATAAGGGCCAGCAGCACGGCTGTTGGGGACCCACGTGATGCAGCGGAAGCACCGCCTGAGGCAACATCAAGCCGCCGTCAGGCCGACCCTGCACAGCGCAATACATTTGCAGCTTGCCGATCCCATTATCCAGAAGAGAAGCTCTGGACCCTTTGAGATCGAAGGGGACTAACCTCGAGGCCACTTGAGGGTAATAATAGAAGTTCAAGAGTACGAGCTTGTGCATCAGGACCTCTACTGTGGAGAATGCCAGCAATCGCGCTTTTCTACCGTCGTCACTACCATGACCGTTCAATGTGAAGGAGCCTTTGGGTACCAGCATTTGTACTTGTGTTCACGATGGCTAAAAGCTGTCATAAATCGATTCATGTGCCTCTGAACAACACCAGTCATTAGTACAGAGTATGCGCTGTCTCTCACGTCTATTTTCCCCTCTTGGTATGATGGAAGAGCAGCATACGCAAGTGAATTTTGTATAGATTCATTCATCTGTATTGATTTAGATAGCACTAGTTTCGGGTGCCTTTCTTGCTTGACCTGCTTGTATTTTCGAAATAGCAACCTGTATTCTTTCTTGAATCTTGGAGACTCTTCGACTTCCGTCGTCATCCGTGGATAATTGCCGTAGCAAAATGGACACTCCCTCTTGGGCAAGGGACAACCGAGATTCCGCTCGGCGCAAAGCTCATGCAGTCTCCACTTCACACCGATCAGGTTCTTCTGCCGGAACTCACTGTAGCGGATGTTGAAAACAGCGAACCAGTCGTCCTCGCCGTTCGCTCCATTTCGGCCGATGATAGACGTCACGAAGCCATCCTCGCTCTGTCGCTCGCGTCTTGAAGGTGAACGATGGGAAACTCGTAGAGAGGATGCCTTATGCGGTTCGGTCTGTATCCGGCTGCATCAGGCATGTACTCCACGAGTCGCCACACTGGAATGGTATGGTGACGTTGGTCGAGAAGCGGGTCCGATGGGGTTGTTGTCGAACGTGGGCCTTGGCGAACGGGTTCGACTTCGAGCTGTGGGTAGGTCGACGTTGGGGAGTCGGGAGTCCTGGGGCTTGGCACTACGGACTCTACTCCTTCGGAAAGAGGTCAAGTATCCTCTCGGTTTTGTTGCTCGGGGGGCGAGTCAGCCGCCAGGTAGTGTGAAGCACAGTTCAGAAGAGTAGCTGTGGGTATATGACTTGCGACGGACCCAATGAGCACGGAGGAAGCCATGCCGACCCTTGTGTGGGAAATGATGCTGGCTCCTTGCAGCCGAACAGGCTTGTGAGTGTAAAGGTAACGCAGCAGTCGTTATTGATGCGGAGCACGAAGTGGTTGAGATAGGGTTCGCACAAATTAAAAAGATCTTGTGAAATCACCTGCTCCTCTGCCACCTCCAACTTCATAGAATCGAGACAACTGGCCATGATAAAGGCGATCCAGTGATCACTATTGACGCCATTATGGTCTTGTTCATTGTTCTCACCTCCCAAGTGCGCAGGCACTGCAACGAAGTGAAGGGTTGGCGGCTGTCAACACCCGCCGACATCTGAGTCCATCCCAACCGGACGGCAGCACAGCAATCGCCATCTTTAGCGCGTTGGCATCGTACAATATCGATGAACGCCGGCCTGCAACTAATGAAGGAAATAGCGCTTCTCCGTGGACGGTATAAACGCTGGCTCAACGCGTTCGCCCTACATTAGTGGAACCCACAACTATATTTCAGTACTTGCGTGAAATTAGCGCAATCGGCCTGGGGTGAATGTTACGTCAGCATATACTATCGTTGAACAGACAATTTGCTGAATGTTGTAGATACTGAAATTGGAATGCTGACCGGACGATGCATCGTTTACGACAGGAATGACTCAAATGAGCTGGGCAGTCGATGCCTCGGGTAAGTTGGAGGTTGTCATTTTCGCAGTAGCCTCTTGGCGGAGCTTTGCGCGGACAGATCCACGATTGATATTGCCCTTGGGGGAGAACAGTTTCTTCTCACTGTAATAACGATGAAATTTTTCCCAGCATGCCCATGTCGGTTGAGGGCATGTCCATGGGGTGGCAGCTTCGCTGGCAGCCAACAGTCGGCCACCTGGGGTCACCGATGCAGTAGGAGGAGGGGTCCAGGTAGCCTTGATATCTGCCAGCTCGGCTCGTAGATCATCCGGATCTCCGAGGGCGATCTCCAACTGACTGGGGATGACGTTAGAGGGCGATGCTGCAGCGGACGGAGTGACTTCATCGGCATCAGCTGAGCGAGCGACGACCCGTGCGAGATCTGCGCGTACTTGTTGTTCAGCAGCTTCGGCTTGCTGACGGTGTTCTACTTCGGTGTTCTGGGCCTGCTAGAGATCTCGGAGACGACCATCGGCTTCGTTGCGCACGCGTTGAACCTCCAGATCGCGATCATGGATGGCTCGATGAAGACTTGCAGTGTGGCGACCAGATGCTTCAAGAAGATCCTGGGCGACGTCAAGACGGCCCCGGAGATCCAGCACCTCGTGATCGAGGGCCGCGGTGACTTGAGCAGCCTGGATAATGCGCGCGCGTTCCGATAGAGATGGCTGCGAACCGGAGGATGGAGCCGCGGCCGGTATAGATCGACCAAGGGAGTGACAGGCGGTGCAATCTCCGTGGCTGTAGGTTGACGACGGGGCAGCACTCAGCAGAGGGACGCCGGCGGCCGACGACGAAGGCGACGACGTGGGTGGAGAAGCAGACATGGTGCAGGAGCTCTACGCGTGGCAGCCACCTGCTCGATAGCCTCACGCGAAGAGAGGGCGGGTATCGTAATGCGGGTTGAAGGATTGTGAGGCGATGGACCCGGAGGGTACCCGAAGGTGACCCGGAGGGTACCCGAAGGTGACCCGAGAGTGAGCCACTTGAATTATGGGACACCTAGCTCAGCGTCCCGTATAGAAGGCCGGCGACTGATTACGAAACCCAGGCTGTTCAGTTCAGAATTTCCAACAACGAGACAAGGTACTTCTTCATATTAGTCTTTGTGTTGTGCGGTTAGCGCCTACGTGTGTACTGTGACTGTTTCCTACCTACTTGCGAAGTGTACTCGGGGTTCTGGATTGATTTGGCCTCCCCGGTAACCTTCTAGTAGCGTAGTGTGTTGCATTGTCTGGACTCAGGAGATCAGCTCTCAGTGTTCGACAGTAGGACACTCTAAACGGTTTAGTAAGGTATTGGTGTGCGTCTCGCACTTTGGTTTGGACCCGCAGACTAGCTGCGGCAGGAGATCTCCAGTAGATCTCGTAAATATTGTACAACAAGTTGTCGTACAGTGGGAAGAGTTACCTCGCTGTACAAGTGCATCCGCGACAGAGTTAACCTAAGTCTCTGCCTGCGAGTGTAAGGAACCCCATATTCACCCCTTCATATTACACGTCTTCTAGGAATTACGCTAGATAAAGATCCGAGTCTTGCTACACAAGGTGAGGCCTAGAGATCTCGGGACTAGTTCTCGTTGTCTTTGGGTATTTGGCTTGCAGGGGTACCCCCCCCCCCCCGTAGTTGCGTGGCAGGACACGTGTGGGAGTTTATTAGGTTTTATCTGAGGGACTCCACCACAGAGGAAAGCGCGACCGCGAAGTATGATCTCCAGGACGGGTTGATTATCCTGCGCAAGGGTAAGAGAGTCGTGCTCCCTCAAGATGACCGGTTGATGCTGGACGTGTTGGTGCACTACCACGACAATGCCGTCGTGGCTCACACTGGGGCTGTGCGGACGTTTCTGGCTTTGCGCCAGCATTTTCTGTGGCGTGGCATGCGCTCGACAGTCGATGAATACATCCGTACGTGCGAGACTTGTGCTCGCAACAAATCTGGTGATCGGCGCAGAGGTCTGCTGCAACCTCTTCCAATTCCGACGGCAAGCTGGACGGATATTTCGATGGACATTGTGACTGGTTTGCCTCTCTCGAAAGGATTTGATGCGATTTACGTTGTGGTCTGCCGTCTAAGTAAGCGTTCGCGCTACTTGCCTACCCGAAAGGATGCTACAGCGAACGACGTCGCCCAACTCTTCTTCTACAACATCGTGGTGATCCACGGTACACCGCGCTCGATCGTCTCGGACAGAGATCCAAAGTTCCTGAGTGATCTGTGGACTTTCATGGCCAAGATCATGCAGATTGAGCTGCGCATGACCGTGTCACACCGTGCCCAAGCGGACGGCCAGAGTGAGAGGCAGATCAGAACGCTGGAAGACGCGCTGCGATGCTCCGTCTCTCACTATGGTGACGACTGGGCCGACTGGCTCCCGTGCATCGAGTTTGCGCACGCCACTGGCATCAACACCTCGACAGGACGCAGCCTCATGGAAGTCGACACGGGACGACGACCAATTCCTGCACTTTGGGTTGCTGAAGATCAAGCTTCGTTCGTGAGTACCAGGGCGGAGGCAATTGAGTCCCCTCGGCGCCATCTGGCTCAAGCGCAAGAACGCCAGCGACGGTACTATGACAGGGGTCGGCGCAATGTGCACTTCAACGTGGGCGACTTCGTGTACGTCAAGGCTCAGCTCCTGAACACCAATCGGATGGCCCGGCCAGACTACGATCCTGAGCGAGATCCGACAGTGAACAAACTGCTGCCTAAGTGGCTGGGGCCATTTCCGATCGAGAAAGTGCTGGGGCCGTCAACATACCGGCTCGTGTTGCCCGAAGTCTTGCGTTCGCACCGGTCGTTCAACGTTGACCAGATCAAGCTTTCCGTTGGGTGCCCTCCGCAGTTCATCGGGCGCCCAATTCGACGTGCAGCGCCTGTTCTATTCGACGACACTGGAAATCGGATTTACGTCGTCGCAGCATTGTTACGGAAACGCCGGCGTCCTGGACGGGTGCAGTACCTCGTGCAGTGGGCAGACCTGCCGACAAGCGAGAACTCATGGGAGTTCGTCACCGAAATTAATCACGTGTCCCGCTGGCGAGAGCTCCTCGCTGCATTCCGCCGACGAACAGCGAATTGAGTCGCGGGGGATGTACTGGTCTAAGTCTACGTGGACAAGCGCCCGTCTCGACATCGATCTCGTCAGCGGTTCCCGTGTCGACGCAGTACCAATCGAAGCTCGCCTCCAGATGAGTCACTCTGCTCCAGAGACGTGGACCAGTCTCCGTTCAACTCCGCTCCAAGTCACTACTTCGTGCTCGGCGAATCTCTGCTTGTACCAGGCTTCAACCTGGCTTTCGTGTTGCATTAGCAGCATCTCCCCCTGGAGACGCCCCTCAGAGCTAGCTACCGGTACTTGTTGCTACTCGCTAACCTCAATTCAATGACATTCTGTCTTTTGCTCAGTCAAGTACAAGTGGTTCACTCCATCCGCCAAGAACCCGCCTACCCATGACGGTGGCGCTCAAGGACTACACGCTCTTCAAGCCCACCAGCTCAGCAAAAAAACTAGCTCAAGAACCGCCTCGTCATGTCCCCGCTCACGCGTGCCCGATGCGACCCCGTGACCCACGAGGCAGGACCCATGCAAGTCGAGTACTACTCGCAGCGTGCCGGCGCCGGACTCATCGTCACGGAAGCCCTCGCCGTCTCCGTCCAAAGCTTCGGATGGTACGGCGCGCCCTGCATGTACACGGTTCGGCACGCGCATGCCCGGTCCTCGCGGCTACATCGACTTCTCCGTGAGCAACTCGGACTCGAAGTGATGGAATCGTGATGACGAGGAGATGAAGTTGTGATGGACGAGAGCAGAGGCTGATCGGGTTTCTATCTCTCGGGTGTATTATACTTAGCAAGCCGTGTAACGAGAAAGTCAATCGGACGCCTCGCAGCCTTGCAATAGGCAAGCTCGACGCAAGAAGTGTGGTATCCACGCCTAAGGTTGCTGGCATCGCTTGTATTCACCTAGAATGAGACCAACCACTCTTGATGTTCAATGTCCATTAAGGATAATGGACATGACACCAGCGGCTTGTCCAGCGCTCGAGGCTGAGCTTCAAACACCCCACGCGCCAGAAGCTTATCAACCGAGGGCACAAGCTGCACACAACGCGACATCGATGCAAATCGCGATCGTCTCTCGGTCCGTCCCGCTGCTGACTTTAGTGGGACGATCACGGCCGAGTGCCTGTCAAGGATCAAGGCACCCGCACACTCTTATGAGGCGCAAAGCGTGCGGCGCTCCCTTCGCCATTATTCAATCCTCCTCCTCGGATGCTCATCCTTCCGCTCAGCAATGAACCAAGTCCTCGCGCTCGCCTTGACTCTCGTCCTCACGTGCCTGCTCGCAGCCCAGCAGGCCGCCGCCGTCGGCGTCTGCAAGCAGTCGGAGCTGGGCTCGCTGCTCACGAACCCCAACACGACGGCGTGCGCCAGCGACTCAGGCGTCGTGTTCGCCGACCTGGACGGCACGCCGTCGGACGCGCAGTTGACGAGTTTTTGTGAGACCGACACGTGTCTGTCGCTCATGGCCGCGATCCTCGCCATCGACCCGGAGGACTGCACGCTGCCGCTGAACGAGAACCTCAACCTCATGAGCAACCTCGTGGACCCCGTAGTGGACAAGTGCACGGCCATGGGCATCGACATCGCCGGCAGCTCCCGTGTCGGCAGCGACGACGCCGTCACCGTCGGCGACGAGGACAGCGCCACGTCCGACTCGAGCGCCAGCGGCTCCTCCAACGCTGCTGCTAGCACTGTACAAGCGTCTGCCGTCTCGGTCGTCGCCATTGCCATCTCTGTGGGCCTCCTTCTCGTGCACTAAGCAGATGAAAGTGTCCAATTGCGTTAGTCATTAACTACATGTAGGCCAGTTCTCAATCTAACTTCAAATGACCATGCCATCACATTTACTCCGTCTACATGCTTTCAAGCTCGGGGCCAAAGTGCTTGACAATGAGCGGGCGCTTGAGCTTGAACGTCGGCGTGGCGAAGTCGTTCTCGGGCGTGAACTGCTCCGAGTGGACGTGGAACTTCTTGACGCGCTCGAAGCCGAAGAGTTTGTACTCTGTTGCCAGCCTCTCCATCTCGCGGGCGATGTCGGCCTTCAACTCGGCGCCAGCGGGTGAATCCGCAGTGCAGAGCTCCTCGAACGAGGCCTTGAGGCCCTTGTCTTTCGCCCACTTAGCGACGACCTCGGAGTCGGGGACGATAATTGCCACGAGGTAGTTCTTGAGCGAATCGCCGTGGACGAACGCCTGAGCGATCAGCGGACTCTTGATGTAGATGCCCTCGATCTTCTCGGGCGCGACGTACTCGCCCTGGGACAGTTTGAAGATGTTCTTCTTGCGGTCGATAATGCGCAGCGTGCCGTCCGCGTTCCAGCAGCCGATATCGCCCGTGTGCAGCCAGGCGTCGGCGTCGATCACCTCCTTCGTCAGCTCTGGCTGCTTGTAGTATCCGACGAAGAGGTTGTCGCCCTTCATGAGGATCTCGCCTCGAGGACAGGGTTTGTCGTGGCTCGTGTAGTTCATCTCGGGCACGTCCTCCAGGCAAATCTGCACGTTACCCAGAGGGATTCCGATGTGGTCACCAGGCGGAATCTCGTCCGTCGAGCAGGAGATCACAGCTCCAGTCTCTGTCAGGCCATAGCCTTCGAGCATCGTCGCACCGAACACAATCTGGCAGAACTCCTTTACATCCTTAGACAGCGGCGCAGACCCGTTCATCATCCGCCTCACACGCCCGCCTAAAGCTTGCTGAGCCTTGCTGAAGACCAGGAAGTCCCAGAACGCGTGCGTCTTGTAGCCGTCCTTGAGATAGTACTTCTTGGAAGCGTACGCCGTGTCAAATAGCCACTCCCGCCGCTGCAGCACCTTGAGTAATCTTGTCATGGATCCGATTCAATAAGCGCGGCATCGAAGGGAACACCGTCGGCTGCAGCTCTCCCAAGTCGTCCATTAGCAGCTTGACGTCTCCCGAGTAGTACCCCACCGCCGCTCCATTGTAGATGAACGTCGTCTGGATCACGCGCTCGAAGCAATGCGCTAATGGCAGACACGACAAGTGAATGTCCGTCGGCAAGACCAGCGTGAAGTCCAGAGCACAAGCTGCTAGCATGTGTGAGTATGGCACCCTTCGGATCGCCCGTCGTGCCCGAAGTGTAGCAGATCGTGGCCAGGTCACTGGGAAGTGGCGGATCTGCCGGCACGACGTTCTTCTTGCCGTCTTCGATCAGCTGGTCGAGCGTCATGAGCTTCACCTTGTGCTCCTGAGCTAGCGCTTTCTCCTCTTCATCAATGTCGTCTTCGAACTGCACCACCGTCTTGACGCTTGGACACTCGTGCACGACGCCCATGAGGACCTTGAACTGCTCCTTCCCGCAGAAGACGACGCTCATCTCGGTGTGGTTCAGGATGAACGGGATCGCAGTGGGGCCCAGCGTGTCGTAGAGCGGCCCAGCGTGTACGCCATGCGGCTGGCGCTGTGCTCGACGATGGACCACTGGTAGCAGTTCTTGGCGAAGACGCCGACGATGGCGCCGCGCTGCAGCTTGAGGATGTGGCTCATGCCCGACGCGGCGGCCTCCACGACCGGCAGGAAGTCGTTGAGCGTCACCCACTCGTAGGCCCCCCGTTTGCCCGCGCCAGGGTCGGCCTTCCGCCAGCCGAAGAGCTTGTTGGTGCCGCTCGGGTCGAACTTGCGGCGCAGCTCGCGCAGGTTCTTGAACAGCGTCATGTCCGGCGTGAAGCCGCTCTTGAGGTGGCCCATGCGCACGGCGCCGTGCGTGGCCGTGGCGGTGCCTTCCAGCTCGTACGAAAACTGCTTCATCGGCGCAGTTGGTGGGGCCATACAACGGAGGGGGTGCTACGGGTCGTATCCTGTTGCTGGACAGACGGCGGATTGAGGAATGAAGGGACAGCGGATCTTAGACACGCAGGCAACTGATGGCCGCTTCGTGGCCGTGGCTATCTGACACCATGGAAGCGAGCTGCTGCCATCGATTCGAGGTGCTGGATTCTGGATTTCCTGGTCACAACAACTGAAGAGGAATAATATCCTAGACCGAAGCCGGACGTCTGCATCGTCTATTTAACGCAAAATGGGCACTTTCAGCTGTTCGGCAGGCAGGACATGACTCCAGGACGCACAAAAATGTTAATGCAGAACGCCATTCCGTTGCCAAGCGGGCGAACAGGGGACGCCAAGTTGAGAAGCGTCAAGGCCAGGAGCTGTGCACTTTAAAGGAAGGAGAGACTGGCGATAGAGTTGTGCTTCTTGGCTACCGCCCAAGAACGACTTTTGCGTTGCATATTCACAATGCCAGATCGTTCGACAAGAATGCTGCCTTCGGACTGTGGCATTGTGCTGTACGATCGCCACGTTTGACTTGCTCGAAGATTTCAATACACTGCCTATTCTGAAGTCGGTCGTTTCTCTCCCAGGTGATAATGGACGCGAAGTGAAGTTTCGCCCATCCTGCCAACCGCTCGCCAGCTGTGCCGTGCGTGAGCTCTTCACTTACAATTTCTCTCTCTCTCTCTCTCTCTCTCTCATGACGCCGCTCAAGAAGGAAACGCGGGCGCGAAGTCCCTCCGCATGGGAGGCCGCGACCGGCATAACAGGCGTGGGGGAGCACTACATGGACATGGACTCGCCCACGACGCCAACGACTCGATCCATGCAACTGCGCCTTCGGAAACACCCGTCCACTGCCTCATCGTCCATGGCAAACGAGGAGACTCAAGGTCTTAAGACCATAGTCAAGAAACCCAGTCGACGACCCGAAGAGAGAGGTAACGTTTCCTATTTACTAAGAAATTTACAAGCTCATTATCTGAAATACTTAATTTATGAACAGTATTCCGCCGGCACATTGGGTGTGCAGCTCGCGCTGCGGCTGGGGTGTTGCTCGCGGGTGTGATTCAGACGGGATCTTCGGCCTCATCGAATGGCTCCAAGCTCCTGCCTTCCTTCTACTATTTGGGTGGGCTGGCTTACGCTGCCATCATGGTAATTTACGCCTCAGCGCCTACGGTTGGCGGGGTTGTACAGCAAATCTGGCAGATCGACTTGGGCGTGGGCCTCGCACTGCTGTACAATTTCGCAGTGTTCTTGTGGATCCCCATCACGCAGGGAAACCTCGTTTCAGTGCCGGAGAACCTCAACGACACGCTGTATTTCGTCAGTTTGCACGACTGGGGACTCGTCTTGCCCTTCATGCTCGTGTTCACGTTCGTGGTCTTCTTACTGCCCATCGTAAGTGAAGCTTGACTGTGTTTGACATTCATCAAGAACTGTACTAACTACAAGGCTCTGGCTGTGTTGCAGCAACACAACGTCAAAAAGTTTGCGGTGATGTCTAATGCTTTCTTCAGTACGTTATTTACTAAAAAAACACTTGCTTAGCTTGGTAGCTAACAAAACTTTGTCTGAATTTAGTGTTAAAGTTCATCGATCCCATGAATCCGAGGGTTGATGGCACCGGTTTGAAGGATCTCAACAACAGTGACTACGCCACGTTGGGGCTCATGAAGAATCTGGCTGTGTACAGCATCGTAGGCGTGGTCGGCACGCTCATCTCGCTCATGACGGTACTATTGCCCACTCCGCTCTTGTAAGTCTCGCAATTAGGAACGAAAGTTCGTGCCTCGCACTAACGTTCAAATGTTTTATGCTAGTGCCACCAAGAAGGTGATGCGGCACATGGCTCACGCACCGAATGACATCCGCAAGATCCTGAACTTGATCATGGACTCGTATTGCTTCCGCGTGAAGGACATAAAGAAGATGGATTTCTTTCGGCTGCGGCTTGACCGACTATTAGGAGCGGCGCAACACAGATTGTCCGAGATGGAGGAACTTCTGGACGACTGCTGGTGGGAGGAGATCGTGGGCGTGGGCTTGTGTCTCACATTCAACAAGAACATCGCCAAGCAATTCGTGAAGCTTTACGCGCGGCTTCTGAAGGATCTACGAGCTATGAAATTCTCCATCGAAGCTGAGAACGGCCATTGGACTCACGTGGTTCTGATGAAGAGGATGCAGCAAAGTCTCCATCTAATGCAGGCAGAAGCGAATGATTTATTGCGGGAGGTCGCAAACAGAGTGCTGGAAGCCTCGACGGATATGCCGGCGCCCAGGTTTGTCCACTTGGAACAAACCGTGGACCATTTCATGAATAAGTACACGAAATTATACGGCGCAATGCTCTCAGCGGAGGTTCATACGCCTGGTGACGTGGGGAAGACCATGTCGCTGAACGTGTTCATCTACTCGTTCCACTCGTTCGTCCACACATTGTGCGAGTTTGAAGAGCGCTTCAACCACAAGAATTTCACTTGCCGATATCGCATTTGGAAGTTCTTTCACGTGATGTGGTGCAGTGTCTACCAAGGAACGATGTACATGAGAAAAATGACGATATTCGCCGTCCGTACGACACTAGCCGTGCTGATCGCGTACTGCGCCTCCACGTTCATCTTCGCCTTCAGTGCGACTGGGCCCACCGCCATCGCTATGGTGGCGCAGTTCCACGTCGGAGGCACCTATGGGAACATGAAGAATCGCATGGCTGGGCTCGTAGCAGGCACTGTCGTTCCGTCCATTCTTCACTTCTTCATCTGCAAGATCTCAGACGTCGTGTTCTACAATGCGGTCAACAACGCCGTGCTGTTCGTGTGGATCGTGGGGTCCATGTACGTGTGCTATAGCTCTTCGTACTTGCGTATGGCGGGAATGGTATCCGCGTACATGGCTGCTTCGGTATTGCTGGATCACAGCTGTCGAACAACCACCAAAGCTCTTTCGTACTCAAGCCTGACTGAAAACTCCATGGCCATCATCATCTTGATGCTTGTCGAAGCCAGTCTTCAACCAAAGAGTGCTCGCGGTCTGCTTCGCTCCAACATCCAGCAGCTTCTTGGAGCATACAGCAAAGTCTTTGGTCGAGTATTTGCGCATCACATCACGAGCACGCGCGCGACTGCACCCAGCGTCAGAGATCTACCAACAGTGAACGAGACAGCTTCGGTCAATCCATCGACAGCCAAGTTGGACGAAGAGGGAACGCGATCTCTACACAAGGAGATTTCCGTCACGTTGCCAGCGATCTTGAAACAACAGAAGAAGCTCGTGCACGATGCCACGGCCGAGCCCAGCTTGTGGAAATCCAAGTTCTCCAATGAGCAGTACACGCAGGTACTAGCTGTGTGCTGGACTTTGCTCGACAGACTTCGACTGCTTTCCGACCTCGTGGAATGGCAAGAAAGGTCGAGTAAAGACTGCGATCACGGAGGCTACCGCCTTAAGCGCAGGAATGCTGGCAGTCTCAACGACGAGTGTACCGCTGCCTTCAAGGAGCAAGAAGAAGAGCGCGCTAACCAACCAGAAACCGTCTACTATACGGCGAGAGCTCCGGCAACAGACGATATTATTCCAGAAGCACCATTGCCACCGCTGCCTTCAAACGCAACGCCAGCAGCAGCTAAAGCTCGGTGGGATCGCAGTCAAAATGCCTACGAGTCTGTGGTCGTGGAGTCTTTCGAGTCCCTCGCGACGCTCTTCAGCCAGGATTTCACGTACAAAACAGCCGACGACTACGCCATTTACTTGCAGATGAAGGAAGCGTTCCGAATCGCAGATAAAGACCGCAGCGGGACTGTGGACACGTCAGAATTGGACGTGTTGCTTGAAAAATTGATGCCGTACACCGGAGACCAGGGGAATGTCCACATGGATCAATACGTGGATGAGTTCATGAGGCTCGTCGACAAGAACCACGACGGGCAGATCACGTTCGCTGAGTTCATGCAGGCCCTCAACGACGGCTTTCGGCTTGAGCTTGAGATCTATGAGAACACGGCGCAGATGATCCCGAGCAACACGGTTCACCAGCTAGGCGATGCGACTGCCGCAATTCGGAGACACGAAGCTGCTTGTTCAATGGCCGTATCGGACGACAGCTCCGCTGTTGACATGCTGGAATCGAGTGCAGCTACTAGCGACGCCGTGTTGACGCTACCTGCTTCGAGCTCAAGGGTGCCTCCCCCTAGATCGACCGTGTTCTTCACTCCGCCGTCTTCTTCATCGGGCATTGGGTCGTACGTGCTTGGCAGTAGTGGCGATGAACGAGAAATAGCTCCACCAAGTATCACTAAGAGTAGTCGGCGGCGCTGGTGGGCTCAGCATCGTACCGATAGTGCTGGTGTCGCGCTACTCAACGTCGAGTCCTTCTCCTTGAACGAGGCTGCCGCGACGTTGAAGCAGAGCTATGGGGAGCTCTTGCTCCGCTCGCTGGACGATGAAGACCAGTACGTAACGATGGAAGATTTCATCGTCATGAGCTGCCTCATCAGCGCGTGTGAAGACATTGCCGCCAACTTGACTCGACTCAACACACTCGCTGCATCGTAGACGGTAAATGCTACGAAACAGCAAAAGAAATCCAAATAAGCGATATATTCTACTGCAGAGCGCCTTCCGCCCCTGCCATCGTGTCTCGTCCTGCGCTGCGTTGTCCTAGCTTGACTGCCTCGTCACCTTAGGCGCGGGCCTCCTCTTCCTCCTTCTCCTCGCCGTACTTGCCGCGCTTGGCCATGAAGTCGTGGAACGCCATGGAGCTCAGCAGCAGCACAACAACGGACGCCTGGCCGTAGATACGCGTGTGCATGATCTGCTGCGACGACGAGATGCCCTTGTTCAGGTGCTGGTACGCGTAGATGCTGCCGACCACCGGCACACCCACCGTCGCCAACGCGCGGTACGGGTGGTCGTACAGGAAGTTGGCTGCGCGCTGCCACGCCTTGAGCTTGGACGCCTCCTGCTTCTGCTCCACGTACGTGCCGTCCATGGTCGCCATGTACATGTCGGGGTTGTGCGCGCCGCGGACCAGGCGGTTCTCGGCCTCCACCGTGAAGGAGGCCAGGAAGGACATGGCCACGAGCGCCGTCTTGGCACTGGCGTTCAGACGGTTGCGGAAGGTCGGCCAGTGCTTGTTGGCCGTGAGCACGCCGGCGCCCACGACGGAGGCGACGACGGCGCCGGTCTTCATGCCGCTCGTGTAGGCGTGCCACGAGATGGCGTCACGGCGCTCGTTCGGGTTGCTGGCCTCCCAGGACGCGTTGTGTTCGATGGAGCTCATGGTGTGTGTGTGGGGGGGGGGCGACTTGGTGTGGACGTGTTCAATTGGGGAATGGCTGCCGACTTGCGGCGCAGCTTTCGTTTCGATGGTGCTGGGTCGGACAGCTCATGCAGTGGAGGTGATGCGAGACGGGGCATACATAAACATTCGGCTAGGGTGAACACTCATTTTGATTATCTGGAATGCAAATTTAGTCTACCAGGAAGCAAAAGTACGTCAGAAGTGGACATAGATGGGCGTCCCTAGAGCAATCACGCCGATCACGCTTTGCATGGTTGTCATGAGCTTGAAGGACTGAAGCGTGTGCAGGCGCTGTAGTTTGTACTCTTTCATCCACTATTCAAATACATCAAGGGCCTAGCCCCCACTACTGCGACTTCTTCTTCCACGCTAGGGCTGATGCGTCTCCGAGCGCGCGAGGGTTGTGCAGTTTGCGGCCCATGAAGAACACTCCAGCCGCGAAGAAGATGCCGCCGACGCCCAGGAAGAACGCACCAAGGACGTAATTGGCGCTGCCGAACCAGCCCACCTCTTCCAGCACCAGCGCCTTGGTGCCGCTGAAGGAGCGCACGAAGAAGTTAGACTGCACGGCGAACGTGAGCGTCGTGTTGGCGGGCAGATCGCGCTCGATGCGGCCGTACGGCTTGCGGAACGGGTGCATGGCGGCGCCTTCGACCCACACGCGCCAGAACTCGTTCTCGACCCCCGTGCCCACGCCATAGTCCGGATCCAGCGCGTCATGCACCCACGCGGTGCTGTTCGTGTAGTCCGCAGTGATGTACGGGTCCGTCGGGCCGTTGGGCGGCGGGATGATGCGACTCATGTTCGGGTTGTGCCACACGGGCAGGTACGCGCTGGAGGAGACGTCCCATGTCGGGTTCTTGTTGTTGTGCGCCGCGTAGATGCGTCCGATGCCCTTGGACGTCAAGTCAGTCCGCGAGAGCTTCTCACCCGACGGCAGAGCCCCCTCATGCAGCCAGAAGATGTCGTTGAACAAGGTATTGGCCACGATGCCGCACGGAAAGAGCTCGCGCTGCTTGGCGGCCGATCTTGACTCGCACGCGCCGACAGTGCACAACTCGGAGACCGTCGACTTCATGGGGTAACACTCGAGCATGGACGTGCCGGCGTCGGGGCGGTACTCGTCCGTGAACTGTGTGCGGATGATGGACGAAACGAAGCGCCGGTGGTTCTGGTAGTACCCGTCCAGCTCGTAGAACACGCGCACGGGACTCTTGACGTCTTTCGGCAGCTTGAGGTTCACGAAGCACGTGTGGTCGGCGTGGAACGAATTGGCGTCGTCGGCCGAGTCCAGTCGGCAATTGGAGAGCTGCGTGACGTTGCCGTCGGCCTGGACGGCGTTGGCCGCCTCGGTTCCTGGGTTGCCGTCGTAGACCACGCGCAACGTCGTGAGTGTGCTGGAGGTGTAGGCGATCACGACACCGAGTGCGATGCACATGGTCGCTATCGTGTAGCAGATGCCAATGGACCATCCGAGCGTGAGCACGGGCTCCCACATGTGCAGTTGCTGCTGAGTCATGCGAGATCCATCGGGGCGGTTGGTGTTCGCGTTGCTGTTGAGTGCGGACTTGGTGGGGGCGTTCTTCTTGCTGCCACTGCTGCTGCGTCGACGTCTTGCCTTGGGCGACGAACGGCGAGACGCTACGCGGGGCATCTCCACGCCTTGAGGCAGCGGCATGACGAGCGACTGCACGTCCACATCGCTCGGTCGAACGAGAGGCTTGGCCGTCATCTTGCAGCGGTGCTAAGTGCGCTGCGTTCTCCCAACTGAGGGCACTTCGAGCGAGGTACGTTGCAGCAATGGAGAAACCAACAACCGTGATGTTGGTTGTCACGAGAAGCCTGAAACCCCTCCCAATTATACACACGGGCTCGGATGGATACTAATAAAAATGTGTTGCTGTATTTCTGTCAGGTCGCCAGCGGCTACGCTTCCTGCAACTTGGAGCCTTGGACTTCAAGACAGGTGGGGAGGAGAGTGCAATGCTAGCCTTTGCCGTCGGGGCCGCCTTACTCCTCGTTGTCCTCGACCGTGAACTTGCCGCGCTTGGCCATGTAGTCGTGGAACGCCATGGAGCTCAGCAGCAGCACGACCACGGACGCCTGGCCGTAGATACGCGTGTGCATGATCTGCTGCGAGGCCGAGATGCCCTTGTTCATGTGCTGGTACGCGTAGATGCCGCCCACGATGGGGGCGCCGACCGTCACGAGCGCGCGGTACGGGTGGTCGTACAGGAAGTTGGCGCTCTTCTGCCAGAACTTGAGCTTGGACGCCTCCTGCTTCGGCTCCACGTACGTGCCGTCCATGCTGGCCATGTACATCTCCGGGTTGCGCGCGCCGTGCATGAGGCGCGTCTCGGCCTCGAGCGTGAAGGCGCCCAGGCCGGGCGAGATGACCAGCGCCGTCTTGCCGCTCGTGTTGAGGCGGTTGCGGAAGGCCGGCCAGCGCGCGTTGGCCGTGAACACGGCGGCGCCCGCGATGGCCGTGGCCACGGCGCCCATCTTCATGCCGCTCGTGTAGGCGTGCCACGAGATGGCGTCGCGCGCCTTGTTGGGATTCTCCGTCTTCCAGGACGAGTGCTCGGGGCTGGCGTCGATGGCGCTCATGGTGATGTTGATGGGGGTATGGAGTCTAAGGGGGGTGGATGGATGTACACACACGCACACGTGCAGGCTTGAGCTCTTGACGGAGACTTGGATTATGGGCCTCGTTGTGCGTGTGGCCCAGGACCTCTCTGAGCTTCAGCTTCGGCGCTGAAGACGACGGGGACGACAGCTCACCCTGTGCTTGGACGCGTCCACCGAGCGCGCTGATTGGCCACGTCGCACTGCGTTTCTCTTGCGACGGGGTCTCTTTAACGGGAAATGGGTCTAGAGACCCAAATTGGGCTCCGAGCACGGCAAAGGCACGACGTGCATGTCAGCGTGGCCCCGGGCATCCTTCTCTCAGCTGCAGCACGGAGGTTTCTTCACGGAGGTCGCACTCTGGCTCCGCGGAATTTTAATTCTGGCGGTAGTAGTGTCGTAGTTTTTTTCTAGTTAAACTACGGCATTATGATAGTACCAGGCCCTGGGCGAGCAAAATGGCAGTGAAACAGGTTGCCGAGGGGTTCTCGAGATGAGCTCGCCTACGCATTTCACTCAACAGCTCTCTACTAGTGATTTTTAAAAAGATGAGGGAACTACGTGCCCATGAAGGTAAAGAAGTGTCGTATCCTGTGGATTGTCAAGGTTGGCATGAAGGAAAGATACAATACATTGAGCGCAACATTTAGTGCATGCATTATTTTATTGAAGGACACGTGCTGCTGGAAGCCGCACTAGAGTCTTAATGAGCCCCTCCAATACTTCAGCATGCCGCAACAAATATTTAATGAAATCTAGCTGAAGAACGCTCGATTAAGCTCTCTCAATCCAGCAGAGACAGCCACTGCATGGAGCTCAAGAAAATGTGACGCAATAGTTTTCGACGTTACGATATTTGGAGATTTTTTATTGTGGTTTTGTGGTTTAAAAACATCCAGTGTACGTATTGCTAGCTATTTTTTTGTTATTGTGGCTTTCATCCGTTTTGGCAAATCGGGTGGTCCAAGATCCGATATATCGGGCCCGATTTGCTGGAGGGCTCCGATTTAGCAGGAGGGGCTGACTATATCTGGCCCGATTTGCGTCTGGGGGCTGCGAGTTGCGAAGCAGGGGCCAGAAATGCCGCTTTTCGCCGGCAAAAGGGACCGCCGCGAAAACATGTCTGGGGCCCTCTCAGATCGAGGTTGTAGCGGCCGTAGATGATCACACAGGTGATTTAGCTGGCCATAGTGCTATGAAGTGGCTATATACAGTGTACTATTGTCCCCAATGTTTTGCAGTTCTAATGCGTCATGAGAGGTGAGGAGGTATGGCCAACTTGGAATGCCTCCCCTCTGAGCCTTATGCTACTAACTCAGGTCAGATATAGCTAAATTGGACTAACCGATCATGTAGAAGCTCCATTTTATAAAAATCGGACTCCGAGATAACACGTCAAATCGGGCGGCAAAATATTTAACAACATTGAACGAATTCCGTCGGTACAGTTATTGAGAATAAGAGCCCATTTGGCGGTATCTCCCCCATTTGGCGGTACCGCCACCGCATAAACGTGATGATGCCAAACTCACATAATGCATTCTTTCACTCTTTTTTCGCATAAATTTGCCCTTTTGGACGCGCATTTAACACAAATTGGACAAAAATCTGGTGATCCGCAAGAATTGGTCTCTGTGACAGGGCGAAAGGCAACTTCGCCCTCGCGTTCGCGTGGTGGGTAAGATTTTCCGAGCTTGCAACGGCGGAATGCGCCGCTGACTATGTGCTCTATGTGCTCGGCGAGAGCTGTGTACATGCACTGTACTCGGTTCACTCCTTTCGGTACCGCAGCACATCGACCAAAGACAGCTTGTCCTGATGCTGTTGATGCTAATATCATGGCCCACGCGATGACTCATGACAACTTCAATTTATCTGATGGCCCCCAGTCGCTGGTGCAATGTCGTCGTTCCGCCCGCCGGCACCACCCGAGCTCGTGCATGTATCCACCGCGGCGCGGGCTGGTGGAGCCAATTGTGTACGAATCCCGCTTCACCGAGATGTTTCATCAAGCAATCTTGGCGGGTGCACGGAAGACAGGGCGCCTGACTGCGTCGATGACGGGGCAACCAAACCTTGGATGCCACCGCTTTAGAGTGGTGTCAATTTCACACTGTTAAACTTTCACAGTGAAAAATCTCTGGCGCCACGTGAATAGTGGTGTACAGTCCCGCTACGTGCATCAAGCTTGGTACGGCCGGTCCTTTCCGGTGCAATGGCCTTAAATTTGTTGCAATGTTTCACTCCTCCCCCTGTGCAGCAACGCTGTGAGGCATTCAGCAGCAGCAGCAGCGCCGCTCGCAGCTGGGCGACGCAGACCACATTGAAGGGTTCCAGTGGAGGGAATACACGCACGCTTGCTCGATGAGTCTCACGTTGGAACGGCGACGAGAGCCGTGCTCGCACGTTGGCGCCGGCCATTCCAGTGCGAAAGCCGGAGCGTTGCGGATCGGCCATTTTCTCAGCAGCCAGCTCATGGTGATCGCTCGCCGAGCTATCATAGGTAGAGCTGTCGACGTCCGGTGTTATCGAAGGTTAACACCCAGACGTCAAAAGTCGCCAAATCAACGCCCCCTTGACACCACCCGCTTGGTCACTATTTCGAAATAGTGAGATGCCACTTGTGGGGGCTGCTTCATTGCATATGGCGGCTCGCATTCTATTTTGTGGCATGTTAGCTCGACTACCGTAGTTGACTACAAGCTCAGGAACGCTAGATTGCCACCTTCTAAGGGATCGGATTCTCTACCCTTAGGCCTACGCACCGATAATACACAAGTAGTCTCAGATAGCAGAACTCTCTTGGTCGTGTGCTGTGCCGCTTGTCTTGTGGCCTGATGCGTTGTCAGCGAACTCACATCATCTCTAGGTTGTATTCCCGTGACTTGCAGGAAGGCTACAACTTCGTGGTGACAGACACGCCATACCTAGCCGCCAACGTGGCTAAGTTGATTGTCAATTCAGCTGACCCCTCCTCTGAGTAGGCCCGTACAACGTGCGGCAATGACCGACAGTCGGCCAGACTAACCAGTGAGCCGGAGGAAGAGAACGGCTTCACAGGTCCCATTCTCCCTCATGGAGTCGGAAGCCAAGTCCATCGACGACTCCAGAGACGCCTGTTCAACCATCGGCTCGTTTCGGTCTAGATGCTGCTGCTGGACGCACTCCTGGCCGACGTGAAGCTCATGACGACGCTCGAGCACGCGCGCAGTGTCCCGTTCGCGGGCATGGCTTGGGACTCACTGACGGACTTGTGCGCCGTCTCGGAGATTATGGAGGGCGGCGACTTACGCGCGTTGCTGAGTGTGTGTGAAAACACCACAGGCTTCGAGCTCAGCAAGTTGACGATCGCTCGGAACGCGGCGTACGTGCTCACGTGCCTCCACTCGCTTGAGACTTAAGTACTGCATCGAGACCTGAAGTCGATAACGTCCAGCTCGCCTCCAGCCTAGAGACCAATCTCACAGCTAAGCGAGAAGACGAAGAGATGACGGCCGGCGTTGGCATGTCGCGGTGGATGGCGCTGGAGGTGGTGTGTGTACGTCGACATGTTCTTGGTCGGAGTCGTACTGCCCGTGTTGGATCAGCATGTCATTTCGTGTTCACACGCAAAAGGCTGCGGGGATATTGACTCAGACCACAAAGTCTCTGAGGTGGTCATCATGTAGATGGTGGCGCTGTTTAGTTTTCATCAGGTTAGTTCAATCGATGCCGGACTTGTGCACGGCTTGTGTGTCTCTGGATCCGACGGAGTGGCCCAAAATTGCAGAAGCGCTCTACCATCTTCATTCAATACTATCGCAGAAGCACCATTGAAATGAGTTACATACGTGAAGAAGTTTCGTTATGAAGACGCATACAAACATTATACATGTTAGTTACAGTGTTGTCATCACTAACTAGATATATCATGCTGCTCCATTTTGAGCCATAAACACCATATCCCGAACTGTGCTAGCCTTCAGCGAACAACGTCGTTTTGTAACTGTGTTACCTGCAGTGGAAAACGCGCGCTCTGAGGGCACCGATGTAGCGATGCATCCAAGCCACTTGCGAGCAAGAACAGCAATAGTCGGAAATTTTGAATGGTTCTGCTTCCACCACGACAAAGCTGATGGGGGCTTGTCGAGATCTTTGACCTCCGCCTCGCTCGACTGCATCAAGTAGCTGCTTAGCTCCCACTCGCAGTCAGTCTTTAACTTGTCGTCCGTCGCAGCTGATGATCTTGACGTTCTCGATCCGTACAACATCTTTAGGAAGCTCTGTCGAGCGCGGTCTGTAGCATCAGTCATTCGCTTTTCAGGGCTTTGAGAACGAGCTGCGTCGTTGTGAACCAAAGCAGACTTCTTCTTTAGCACGAACATCGCATCGGCAAACTGCTCCCGCGCCTTCTCATATTCATCCGCAGTGAAAATCGCCGAATTCGTCATGTAGGGGTCAAGCAACGATATCCACAAAAGGTCGGGGTCTGCCTACTTATCAAACCGCTGCTTCAACAAGGCTGAAAAGCTTCGGCGGACGGATTGCATGATGGATAGCACTTCCATTGCGTATGCCTCCTTCTCGACACTTGTATAGAGAACATCATATATTTGTTGGTTGTCCAGCGATCGTTTGAGTGAAGAGATGAAAAGATGAACAGATATCAGCGTAGGATAGGTCTCTCCATCGAGCATAGTGGTGGCAACGCTGAACGGGACCAACAGCTCGACCAGGCACTGAATCATGAACCACTGCTTGGCACTTGGAAGCTTCAACTTTTTTGTAGATCGATCGTTAAACTCCTTCTCGCCTTCTTCCGACTTAATGTACAGGAAAAAATCTTTCACCGCAGGCTGCAAATCCAAAAAGCGCTGGAGCATAACCATTGTGCTGTTCCATCTCGTCGGGCAATCAATCAACACTTTTAGGGGCTCTTTTCGAGTAGACTGCAGCTCATCTAGTCGATTTCAAGCCTTTTGTGAGCGATGGAAGTAGTCCGCCAGCTTTCGGAACCTTCGAACCGCTTTGCTAACCAGCTCCATATCAGCCGAGCTAATTTCCATAGCCGCCGATTTCTCGGCTTCTGCAACAAAACTGGCAACTTCCCCGCAAAGCGCATCAATATCAGCTTCACTAATAAACTCTTCGTCTTCACCGTCGTCGTCCGAGTCCGGGTCATTTTCCAAGGCATCCAGCTGCTCATCTATCCACTGGGTTTCCGTTTCCACATACTGCTCACTGCGCACACAGACGTCGTTGCCGAGAGTACTGCCAACTTCGCCAGGACTAACACCGGTGCTGGCAGCATCAGTAACTGCTATCGCCTTCATTTGTTTCATCTCCTTTCTGCAGAAGCGCTGCGGCTACAACGAGGTGAAGTGAGTGCGCTGCGCATGATCGATGATTGAGCCCAAGGAGGGTGCATCCACGTTTCATGTTCGACGCAGCATCTCGTAGAAATCGAACACACTTCTTGGGGTCCAGACGCCACCACGCAAAGCAACGTAACAGTACATCTGCAATGGCTTCTCCATCGTGTTTTCCAGGAATAGAGGTAACTTCAAGTGTCCACGACTTTATGTTGAACAGGCTGTCAAGGTAGTGAACAGTTAAGCTTATAAAGCTTTCACACTTTATCGAAGTCCAAATATCCGACGAGGCCGAATAGAAGTCACATTCGTCGTCGCTCACCAGCATCACTCGCAGTGACAAACGGCGCTCTGAAGCATTCTCGTGGACACGGAGCGCGACCGTTTGTCTCGACGGGATCTTAAGAACAGTGGTTGCGCTGTTTGCAAACCTTATCGCCTTCGCGAATCCTCTGTCGCCGATGATACTTGTAGGTCGCAAATCCGTACCCACCCATTCCGACAAAATGCCCTCGAAGAAGCTCTGTTACGATTCATCTTCTCGTTCAAACAAGTTCACCAGTTGGTTCGATTCTTTCAGGGCTGCTTCACGCCGCTCATTTTCTTTGAAAGCCCGTAAGGCCTCGATGTGGGATTTCCGCATGTGGGGGCCAAACAAACTCTTTCCCTTCTTGATGGAAAGCTCCTCCTTGCATCCAAAGCAATAAAAGCTTTTGGCGTGGTCGCGGGTGAGGTCTTGCCTTGGAATATCTTTGTACTTGTCGTCTACCACACATACGACGAACTGCCAGTACGCCTTGTCCCGCTGCTTAGGGGCCTCAAATGCCCTTCCAGCCGGGCAACTCGTGACGCCTTTGGCGGTCGGGACCTGTTGAAGTTGTTCGTGTGAGCTTGGGCTGAAAGCTGAATGGTTTAACCGGGCTGCATTTTGCATGCGGGTTTCGGATGGCGCAGTCAGCCTTGCACGCGTTGGTCCCGACGGGGTACTTGTCGTTGAAAGAGCTCCTCTTGGTGTAGCTGTCTTGGATGGAGTTGGGCGCTTTCGTGCTGGTCTCCGCGGAGAGGTTATTGTTGGAGTTGGTTTTCTTGCCTTTTTCCGAGGTGGCTTTGGCAACAACGCTGGGCGGCTTCTTGGAGACGACGCTGGACGGCTTCTTGAAGACGACGGTGTTGCGCAGCTTCTTGGAGGGGGGCTAGCCACCGGCCAGACGTGGCCTCGCATATCGGAATGAGCTTCCATGCTCACAGGCCCGTGAGTGTGGACTTCGATCTGGGCGGCGAATTGGAGGATGAGGCCGACAACAGACCACTGGTCGTTGATCTGAAGCTCACTCACGCAGGAAATGGACGGCGCTCCGGCATTTGAGTTCTTGTCCATCCCGAGCACTTGATGTGGCGCAGCTTGCTTCGTGAATGTGGCATTGACGAGCTAAGACATGGCGTGCTTCTGATTGGCGTTCAAATAACCTTTTTGACCAATTATATGGCTTAATTTGGTAGGGTGTCAAGGCGACGTCGATAACGACCCTTCACCAGGTGTTGCTGACGTCCAGTCGACGTCCAGAAGCCGGACGTCGACAGCTCTAATCATTGGTAGCAACCGCGTACCGAGCAGTCCTCGCTCAATGGACGCCATCTCGCCATCGGTGGTCGTGCTGAGACAAGCAGCAATTTTCTGGACATACCTTTCTATCTCGATATTGTACAAAATCATTTATCTCGGGTATCTATTTTCAATCTATATATTAAGTTTAGAATACACATCTGATAAAACCAGTTCATAACGTCTTAGAGAGGTATTGGATTTCATTTTGCCCATCAGTCAGACGTGACGGCTCACTTTCGCCGCACGCAGCGACTAACGGAGAGCCAAACCTGCGCGAGCGCCAGCGTACCATCACACCCGCAATTCCAGAGCAGCGCTCATGGCACCTTGCCAATACGACAGCAACCATGCGGCAGCGAACGGAGGATCTTCGAGTCCGTCCAATGGTGACCACCACCTGTCCGTGAACCTGGACATCGACTCCTCCGGCGTCCCCATGACGTCCGCCAGCGACTTCTACGTCGACCTGCAGTCGCCTCCGCCTCAGACGCAGTCGATGCGGCTGCGACTCCGCAAGCAGGCGTCCAACAACTCGATGCTATCGGCCGAGGCGGCCGAGAACCTCCGCCGGCGAGTGGCTCGCGTCAAGAAGAACAAACACACGAAGGAGGTGCGAGTGTTCAAGCGGCAGCTGCAGCTCGCGGTGCGCATCGCGGTCGGCGTCATGCTCGCTGGCGTGGTGCAGACTCACGGGTCCGACCGGGAGTGGCTGTTCCTGCCGGCCAGCTACTACTTGGGAGGCCTCACGGTCGCCTCCATGATGGTCATCTACGCAGCAGCCAACACCGTGGGCGGCGTGCTGGAGCAGGTCTGGCAGATCGACGTGGGCGTCGCCATCGCGTTGCTCTACAACTTCGTCGTGTTCGCCTGTGTGCCGATCACCCAGGGCGACCTCATGACCGTGTCCAAGAACATCAACGGCAGCACGTATTACGTGAGTTTGCACGACTGGGGCGTCACACTCCCGCTACTCGCACTCTTCACGCTGGTCGTGCTGCTGTCGCCGATGGTACAGTTATAAGCTGGTTTGTTGTAAGAAGTTCTTGAGCTAACCTGTTTTGTTGTGATTTGGGATACTTAAGCAAACAAATGTCAAGAAATTCGCAGTGAGCACGAACTTGTACTTCAGTAAGTTGCCGCCGTACGTTGAAACTAATTGTTAGTGGATCGACTAACCTTTCTTGTTTTTGTTTTTTTATGCAGCGCTGACTCTGGTTGACCCGATGAACCCTATTTTCACGACAATTCTCAAGGACAACTCGAGTGGTAACAGCTACTACGGCACGGACAACCTGTTGAAGCAGCTCGCCATTTACAGCGCGGTTGGCGTTGTGGGCACTTTGATCGCTCTAGTGGTCATGGTGCTGCCTTACCCGATTTTGTACGATCGACAACAATGAGGTAGCCTTGTAGTAGACTGCGAGTACTTACTTACATTTGATGTTGTGTGTCCGTGTAGTGCGATGCGGAAGCTCCGGAAGCACATGGCGGCTTCGCCGCATGACATCCGCGATATCCTCAACTTGATTGTCGACTCGTACTGCTTCCGCGCGAAGGATATCAAGAAGATGGACTTCTTCAAGCTGCGCCTTGACCGGTTGCTGGATAATGCGCATGAACGTCTCGCTACGATGGAATCGCTGCTGAACGACTGCTGGTGGGAGGAGCTCGTGGGGCTCGGAGTGTGCTTTCACTTCAACAAGACCGTCGCCAAGCAGTTGGTGAAGTTGTACGCAAAACTACTGGCAGATCTGCACGCGATGAAGTTCGCTATTGAGGCCGAAACGTGCCACTGGACACACGTTGCGCTGCTCAAGAAGATGCAGACACGATTCTACGTGCTTCAAGTGGAAGCGAACGATCTGCTGGAAGACATTTCACTGAAGATCGTGCGTTCATCGCGAAGTATGTACCAATGGCGTTGTTGTTTGTATTATTTCATCAATCTAACAGTTTCTGATTGATTTTTAGGTATGTCCTCGCCGAAATTTGCCAGTCTGGAGCAGGCGTTAGAACGTCTCATGACAAAGTATACTTCGCTCTATGGGAATCTGCTTTCTGCTGACGTCCACACCGCCGACGATGTGGGCAAAACGATGCCTCTGAACGTGTTCGTGTACTCGTTCCACGTGTTCGTGATCTCGCTGCTGGAATTCGAGAAGAAATTCAACAAGAAAAACTTTTCGGCGCGATACCGAGTCAAGAACTTCCTCAAGCTGACGTGCCGCAGTCTGCTGCAGCCCATCAACTACCCACGACGGCTGATCATCTTCGCATTCCGAACAACATTGGCGATCATCATTGGAATCTGTTGCGCGACCTTCATCTTCGCGTTCAGCTCCACTGCGCCGACGGCTATCGCGATGGTTGCTGAAGACAACATCGGCGGAACTTACGGTAACACGGTGAACCGTGTGGGAGGTTTGGTGGCTGGAACCGTAGTGCCGTCCATCTTCAGCTTCTTCGTCTGCAAAGTATCGAGCGACTACGTGTACAACACGCTCAACAACATCGTGCTGTTCATTTGGACTGTGGGGTCCATGTACGTGTGGTTCAGTGGCCGCTATATGGCGCTCGCAGGCATGGTGTCCGCCTTCATGGCAGCGTCGGTCCTGCTTGACCACAGCTGTCGTAGCACATCGACCTCAATGACGGTGTCTTACGCCAGCCTTACGCAGAACGCCTTGGGTATCCTCATCCTTATGATCGTGGAAGTCGTGATTCACCCGCGCAGCTCTCGTGGATTACTCCGTAGCAACATCCAGCAGCTCTTGACGCAGTATTGTGGCGTTTTCCACGACGTATTTCGCCACCACGTTGCGTACAACCAGCCTACTCGAATCGCTGTGGGGCCTCTCACCGAGGAGGACATCGAGATAGCCAACGCGCTGCTTGGTCGCAGCAACGTGAAGGTGCTGAAGGACCAACTGAAGGTCACAATCCCCCAGTTGCTAAAAACTCAAGCCAAACTGGTCAACGATTCCGCCATGGAGCCAACGTTGTGGAAGCCTCCATTCTCCACGTCCAAGTACACGAAGGTCCTGAACGTTTGCCGCGAGCTCCTCGACAGACTGGATGTTCTGGTAGATCTAGTGGATTGGGCTGAGAATCGCCGAAACAGCGCGAAAGACATGCCGTTGCGTCGCTGGGATCAAAGTCGGATAGACGCCGAGTGTACTGCCGCATTCACTGCAGCGCAGGAACCTCCTTCTCCCACCTCCGCAGCCGTCACAGAGATGGTGGGAGGGGACGATACCGCCGAGAAACCCCCTTCGCCTGCTCCGTCCTCGTCGCTGCCCAACGTTACTACTACACCTCCTGCTATAGCGAAGATCAAGTGGGACCAAAGCTTAGCTGTGGTTGAGGCAGGCGTCGAAGAAGCTTTTGACACGCTCGTAACTCTCTTCGGAGAAGAATTTTCGGGTTCTACGGCGGAAGACCACGCCATTTACCTGCAAATGAAAGAGGCCTTCCGTATCGCCGACGTTCACCGTCGCGGCGTCGTGGATGTCTCCGAGCTCAGTCTATTGCTGGAGAAACTAATGCCGTACTCAGGCAGTCAAGGGGTAGAAGGAATGGAGCAATACGTTGATGAATTCATGCAGTTGGTGGACAAGGATCACGACGGGAAGATCTCGTTCAACGAGTTCATGCAGGCGTTGAACGAAGGCTTTCGACTGGAGTTGGAGATTTACGATGATCAGCCACAGGTGCCAGTGGCCGACGTGGTTAGTGGCTCGAACGGAGCTCAGCTCACGCACTCACAGAGTGTGCGTCTAATTCGCAAGAGTTCGCTAGGCCGTCGAAACTCAATTCAATCGACTCAGACCGATGGATCGGAGGATCCCTCCACCCCTGGAAGACACAAACGCGTCACCGTTGTGTCACCTCCGCCTCCCGACTCGCGACCCCGCGCGTCGTCGAACTTCGTCGACATGTCGGTGTTTGAGACCACAAAGTCCGATCCGAGTGCGTTTGACCCCACGGAACCTAACACCCAAGCAAAAAATGCCACTGGAAGTCGTCCGTATCGCTTCCGCGGTATGTCTTCGGCAAGCGAGAGCTCGGCTCCTGAAGCTTTGCTGAATGTCGAGGCATTCACTCTCACAGAAGCGGCGGCGGCATTGAAGCAGAGCTACGGCGAATGCCTGCTGGGGTACGTCGACGACCATAGCAGACGTGTTACGATGGAGGACTTCATCGTCATGAGCTGCGTCATCAGCGCTTGTGAAAGTATCGTCGAGAATTTAACTCGCCTGAATACGCTGGCAGCCTCATAAAATGGCTGCCTGCCAAGCGAGAACTATGGATTGAATTGAAAAGTGAAAAGTTGTGCATACTTCTAACTACTCGAATTTGATTCTGAGTTTTTCCTCGTAAATTCCAAATGTTTCACATCATAATCTTATTAAGGTTTGTATGTCGACTTACCAATATCAGTGATTACTGTCAAATTCATTCTGTAAATAGACTTTTTAACGCTAGTTGGTTTTGGTGCCCACTCCCTTTAATAGTGCCCCCCTTGTAACAATGCCCCAGGTTGGCAGGGGGGTACTGCTGCAATACCCCACGGGGCATAATTACAGTTTTACAGTAATTAATGATGCATATCCTGGTCGGGTTGGGGTGACGCCCTCCCGGGAAGCCTGGGCAAGCATGCTGCTCGCCCAACGCTTCCGGCAGACGCTTCACGGCGTCTGTCAGTCTTTGACGGGTCTCTCCCTCCCCACATCTCTCTCTAACCACCCCTCTCACCCCCAGCTCCCAGCAACGCAGCCACGACGCCGCCCGCGGAAGCCCGCTCGCCATCTCCGGCTAGGTACGTTAAACGTGCAATCCGTTGGCTCCCAGCGCAAGCAACATGAGACGCTCCCTCGAGACCTGTCGGCCTACCGCGTCGACGTATTAGGTCTCCAAGAAACCCGCATACCCTATCAAAGTGAGCAGAAGGCTGGCAAGTACCATCTCCTGACTCTACCGACATCCAACCGATGGCATGGCATTGGTTTTGCTATTGTACCTCACCTGCGTAAGTTCCTGTATAAGTACTGGGCCTATTCGGACCGTGTTGGAGTCGTCCAACTACGCATGCCCAAGGTCCAGCGAGCGAACATCATCAATGTGTACTCACCGCACAGTGGCTACACCTCTATCGAGGTCGACCGTTTCTACGAGGATCTTCATGCAATGCTAACCTAACTCTCACAGCGCGATACGACATTTATACTGGACGACTTCAACGCAAAAATTGGACAGCAACGCGAACACGAACCCTTCTTAGGACAATGGGGACGTGGCCGACGCGACCGCAACGGCCACGTACTCGCCTCCTTTTGTGGCGCTAATGACTTGTTTATTTCTAACACTGCTTTCCGAAAGCGCGCTTGCAACATCACGACGTGGACGCTCCGACTCACGCAACACAGCATCTTCAACCAAATTGACTACATCATTTGCAGCCAGCAGAATAAATCCCTGTGTGCCAACGCACAGTCGTGGAGCAGTATCCTCACACCGACCGACCACAAGCTGGTCACGCTGGACTTTGATCTCCGCGCACTCGGTGGGCTCCGGCGTCGAGTTGCCAGAGTCCACTTCAACAACGCCGAGACTCGCCTCGCCACGCACCTCCTAGTGCACGACCAACGCTCCCGACTACAATACCGCCATCTACTATCCGCTACGATCACACAAGGGGGGTTCGCCAAATCAGCGCTGGGCGACGACGCTGAACACAGCACTGGAATCAGCAGCAGACTCGATTGGATACCTTCCACTCGCCAAAAGCGCCAAAATGCCGGATCCAGAACTAGCACGTCTCTCCTGCGAACAACGACGACTCCGTCTAGCCATCTACAACGACCGTGCGCTGGACGTCGATGACCTCCGCCGCCGACGCAACCACGTACTTCACAAAATCAGGGAGCGCAGCAGACACCTTGCTCGCACTTATATTGACGAGAAACTAACCGCCATAGACTGCTCTAGCCATTCGGCTAGGATGTTCGAGGCAACGCGAGTGCTGCTTCGACAGCGCTCACCACTAACGTCTCTATGTGACTCCACAGGTAAATACATTCTCCACCGCAAAACAGCAGGAGCCAAGATCAGACAACACTTCAAGGAACAGTTTTACGACCCGAGCCGACAGCCCGTCCCCAGCGACAGCGTGGCTCGCCCTCTGGAGAGGCCCATTACAGCCGACGAGCTCGCACGCGCCTTCCATCGCCTTCGCAATGGCGACCTGACGCCATCCCAGCTGAGCTACTCAAGTACGGATCTACGACACTAGCTCAACCTCTCGCTGCCATACTCAACGACGGGTTCTCTACTGGAGCAAACATTCATCTGGGCGACGGAATTCTCCTTGGACTTCCAAAGCCAAACAAGCCGGCTGGTCAATGTGCCAGCCTTCGACCAATTGTGCTGCTCAACAGCATTCGCAAGGCCATCTCGCTCGTCGTTCTCGAGCGCATCTCCCCGAAGGTCGAACGCTTTCTGTCCCCTCACCAGAGCGGGTTCCGACCCAGTCGCAGTACTGCCGATGCAGTATGGGCCCACAGGTGGTTAGCAGCACGGGCGCAGAGATTCACGGAACGGTTCCACATACTGGGGATCGATCTCTCCCGTGCTTTTGACACAATCAACCGCGACAATCTCCTTCTGGTTCTCGAGTCGATTGTCAGCAGCGATGAGCTTCGCCTGATCCGACTACTCCTACAAGACACCAAGCTCGCCCTCCGATTCGGCAACGACTTGCTCTCTCCGTTTGAGAGCAACACAGGTACCCCCCCCCCAAGGTTACTCACTCTCCCCTGTTCTTTTTGTTGTTTACCTCGAAGCAGCCTTTGTAATGGGCCTACTTTGGCTCACTACTTTAGCTTACACGTGTGCGCGGGTATGTGAAGAAGCGTAGCTTAGTTTACCTTAGAGTTAATTATACTCGGGCCTCCGAGTATAGATTAATCTAAATAAACGATCCAAATAATGTTTTGGGTTAAAATGAGAACTGCTATTTTTGTTTTATGTTTCTGACTTCCTCTAAATGTAATATTCTAAGATAGGAATCTGCCAACGGCTGGTTGGCAGAATTCCAATGCTATGCATGTCGCTCATTGGCTAAGAGATGCTGCTCTCAGCCAATAGGAATCCTAAGTCTCTATGGACCACCCGTCGTGGTGGTCGTAAATGTATGTAGCATTTGGTGTGTCTACACCAAGGTCGAGAAAGTCTTTCGAATCTCTAACAGACGTCGTGTCTGTTAGAGTTACAAGTGACTGTAGCCACTTGTGCGTGTAACCCTGTCACACCATCCCCCCCTCAAGGTTAGACGCGCCGAGTCACGGCACGCCAATCAGGAAATTGACCATTCGTCAATTCTTCACGTTGGGAGAAAGAAAACTCGAGCTCATTCCGCAATGAGCTCGCCGCAGAAGAAGACTACCGCCGCAACAGAGGGTCATCTCTCTGTTGCTCAGTACCATGAGCGCCAGCAGGCAAAGCGCGACGCGCTCGCTGTTAAGGCCGCGTCGGGGACAACTCAGTCGGAGATTGTCCTCGAAGGTTCCTCTGTAGTCAACGACGCCGTTGACTATGGGAGTGACGACGTAGTTTGGAGATGGAAGAGGGCGAGGCCTCTTCTAGCAAGCGCAAGGAGTCTATCGACAGCGATAGTCTAGACCCGCATGCCGGGTCGAGACGCCCTCGTGAAAGAGACGACTCGGACGCTTCGAGCTCGAAGCGTTCGCGCGGCGAGAGCGAAACTTCGCTCTCCGCTGCTGAGGCTTTAAGCTCCCCGCGTGAGGTGGCGTCTTCAAGTTCTCCGCGCGCTGCTCAGGCAGCGCGCGATCCGTGGATGCCGTCTACGTCAGAGATCGCAGACCGTGTGGGCAACACTGTGCCTCCAAACGAAATCCCGCTGTACGTATGCAGCGGGATCCACGATGATGCTGTGGCGGAGGAGCAGCACTTTGATCCGTTAACGAATCAAAGGCGCGATTACTATATCGGACTCTTTCACGAGCTCCGATACTTCTCCAGCAAGAAGACCTCTTCTCGCAGCAAAGTGCCTGAGTGGCAGGCACTTTGTCAAAGTTGGAATGCTTTTGTTGAGAACTTCAACAAGAAGCCGGCTGCTTACCGTGAGCGGGTTAAGCACGCCCGTGAACGCTTCGAGACATTCTCGACGCGCGGGAGGTTGGAGCAGCTCCACAGATCTTCTGTGGACACTGGTATTCCATGCGCTGTGCCCGAAGGCCAACAGTGCACGTTGTATCTTCCGGGTGCGGCGTGCTTGAGCGACCGCGACCTAAACGGGTACACGACGATTCGTGTACCTGCGAGTCTCAAGGATCTCCGTGCCAAGTTCTTGGCACGTGAGGAACGCGACGATCGTGGGGCCTCGGGCGCTGTAGGTGACCACAGCGCTCGCACTACCTTCGCGTCGGCAGTGCGTGGTGAGCTTCGTACTCCCTCACCATTTCCGGAACGTCCTGCAGCAGGGCGTCCCGTGGCTCCCATGTATCTTGGTGGGGCGGAAACCCTCTCCAACGAATACGATAACGAACCGGCTGCCGCTTCCTTTTCGGGATACTATGGTTCACAATACGCTCAACAATCCAGCGTGTTGAGCCGCGGACGTCGCGGATCGGAGGCGTCGGTGGTGGGAACACGCCCCGCGCGTCTGTGCAGGGCACAGACGCGCGGTTCTTGGCTTTACTTCGTGTCGTTGCGGCTGACACTGTACAAGTGTCAGCGGCATTCTGCGGCTGCTGCGTTGCAGTCGTAGATCCTCCCCCACTTAAGGAAGGAGCCACCATCCCGAGTAGACTCGGGAGGCGTGGGTGCCAGATGGCATTCACGTAGAACGGTGTATGCCCGGTCGAGGCATGCACCGAGTTGTTGATGGCGAACTCCGCCATCGGCAGGCACTCGCTCCAGTGTTGGAACGAGTGAGCGTAGCTCTTAAGCACGTCTACGAGCACGCGGTTCACGCCCTCGGTCTGCCCGTCCGTCTGCGGATGGTCCGCAGTCGACATCGAAAGTTGACTCCCAAGAAGTGTAAACACTTCTTGCCAAAGGTGTGCAGTGAAGCGCGGGTCCCGATCCGACACAATGTCGATCGGCATGCCATGGTGTTTGAACACCATGTCAACGAACAGACGCGCTGTCTGCTTCGCAGTCACTTCAGCGGGTACAGCAGCAAGATGTACCATCTTGCTGAAGCGGTCAACAAAGACCACAACGTCCGTGTTCCTCTGGCTGTCCGGGGGAAGACCGATCACGAAGTCCAAAGACATGGACTGCCAACACTCTCGTGGAGTTGGTAGTGACTGCAAGGGAGCCTGCGCGAAAGGCGCAGGCTTCACACGTTGACAAACCTCGCAAGCACGGACGTACTTGCACACCCATTTATACTGGTGGGCCCAGTAGAAGTCCCGCGTGAGAAGAAGGTATGTCTTCTCACAGCCCGGATGCCCCGCAGTCGGTGCATCGTGATACTCATACATGATCCTGAGTCGCAGGTCATGATCATTGGGCACGACAACGCGGTCCGCGTTGTCGTCGACTGCACTGTAGAGTAATAACCCGTCATGCACCCGATAACGGTGTGCACGAGCACGAAGATGCTTCGGCAGCTTCTGACGAGCTTTGTCAGAAGGCGCTGAGCCGTAGGCCAGCAAGAGCTTCGCGTCCGCGTCGTGCGCGAACGCGACCTTCACGTCGTCCAACAGTGACGACGTTAGGGTGCTCGATCGCATGGCGTCAATGGCATTGACGTCGGCATCAGTCGTGGCGTAGTCCGGTCGACGCGAGAGCGCGTCGGCCACCACATTGAGTCTTCCGGGTTTGTACTCAACCCGGAAGTTATACTCTGCGAAGAATGAGAGCCATCTCGCCATCCGTTGCGAGATGTGCGGCGACTTCACAGCCGTCCGCAGCGACGCGTGGTCTGTGTAGACCACGAACGGTTTGCTTCCGAGTTGATACACTCGGAACTTCGCGAGTGCGTACTTCATGGCAAGGAGTTCCTTGTCATGTACCGGGTAGTTGCGCTCAGCTGGCTTCAGCTGACGCGATTGGTAGTAGACGACACGATCACGGCCCTCGTGGTCGTGCTGCATCAACGCACATCCGATTGCGAAGTCGGAAGCGTCACACACACAACGTGGAATGGGCGATCTTGGTCGGCCACCGCCAAGATCGGCGCCTCAGTCAAGCCCCGCTTGACTGCATCGAAGGCCTGCTGACACTCAGCAGCCCAAACCCACTCGGCGTCCTTCTTCAGGAGCTGTGACAGCGGGCGTATCATGCCCGCGTAGTTGTTCACGTACTTGCACAAGTACGTGGCCAAGCCAAGGAACTGCCGCAGTTCCTTGACGTTCGACGGCGTCGGCCACTCATTGATCACTCTGACCTTCCCAGGGTCAGGGCGGACACCGTTCTTCCCGACGAGACACCCGAGCACGGGTATCTCGCTCGCCCCGAAGATGCACTTCTTCAGGTTCGCATAGATCTTGTGCTTGCGCATGAGCGCAAGCAGCTTCCGGAGATGCACCTTGTGCATCTCAACATCGCTCACCCCGTCCGTAGCCCGGCTGTGGGCGAACACATCGTCGAAGTAGCTCGGTGCGAAGTCGCGCACCGAGCGCAACAAGTGCGTCACGCACCTGTTGAAGGTCGCAGGGGCTCTTCAGACCCTGCGGCATCACTAGCCACTCCCAGAGCATGCGGCTCGGCGTGCTCACGGCCGTGAGAGGGATATCGCTCTCACGCATGAGGATCTGATAGAATCCATCGTACAGATCAAGAGCACTGTAGATAGTGTTCCTGGCCATCGAATCGATGATGACATCTTTTCGCGGTATCGGTGTCTGCGCCGGTATCGTCGCATCGTTCAGCTTGTTGTATGCATGAACGATGCGCCAACCGCCCTGTGGCTTCTTGACACAGAACGTCGGAGCACTGTGCGGGGATTTCGATTCCCGCACTTGTCCAGCTTTGCGACGACTCTCAAAGAAGTCGTCGGTCGCCTTGACCTGCTCTCGCGGCAGTGGCCACTGCCGCGTGACACGGTACTTCGTCCCAGGCACGAGATCAATCTCGTGCTGGATTCCCTTGTCCTGCGGAAGCTCCGCAGGAATCTCTTCCGGAAGTACGTCCGCGTACTCCCGTAAGATCTCGTAGTAGGGACTCGTTTTCAACGAGTCCCAGCTCTGCTCTTCAAAGCGCTCCTTCTTCGTCTTCGCACTGAGAGTGTCCTCGCTCTCAGTGGTGGTCTCCATGAAGAACTGCCTCAGTTCTTCATACTCGCTCTTCGTTCTCTCGGCGTCCGAGAGAACGCATATTGGTCAATGCGTCCATCGTGCAAGTCACGCGCGAAGCGCTTCCAGCTCATGACTGGAAGCGAAGTCAACTCCGACGCTTGCGTCGGAGGATTAGCGAGAGTTATCTCCCTGTACCGGAACCCGGCACAGGTACGCGTCAAGACGTTCAACGTCTCGACGTCCGGCTTCTCAGCCTCCGTCTGCCCGGCAGACATTCCTTGTAGCGTCTCGGCCCCAGGCCGAGACTTGCGCAGCGACCTTCGCATGCGCCGTCTTCTTGTTTTGCGGAGCCCGGCTCCGCTTGGTTCTTGACCTCGTCCAGGCCCAGCCGTGGACGGGTGTTCTGCTTTAGTACCGCCGGCGGGTTCATCCCGCGGGCGAGCGACTTCAAGCCCGGCTTGGTCGCCCGGCGCTTCGTCGTGCAGCCCGGCTGCACGACAGCATGCAAGTTTTTCCGGTGCGGGACGTTTGCAACCGTCCGCACCGCCTGCAGCGTCGGCTCCCGGAGCCAACACGCCATCTTCACCTCGACGCCTGTTATTGGCGGAGCCCTCCATTACGGAGGGTGCGTCGGCTCCCCGAGCCGACGAATCAAATTCACCCAAGCCATCGACTCCCGGAGTCGACGGCGTTTCATCACCTTGGCTCTTATTATTGGCCAAAACTGATCCAATCAGATTCGCGTCAGCCTCCACGGCTGAGGCGTGTGACTCGCCTGCGTCATCCGTGCCCCTTGAGGTCAGAGACTCTTCCTGATTTGCTGAAAAGCGGGTGTCGATCTCTGAGATCAACACATTTTCTCCTTCAGCCGTCGGCGGCGACGCCGACGCTTGCTGCTCTTGCGCGCGTGCTCGCGCGCGCCCAGGGCGCTCCGGGACAGCGGCATTAGGCGCTGTCTCGAGTGGGGAGTCGCGCGCACCTGTCGGTGCGTGCGTAGCGGCAACAGGGCCATCGCTCAGTGTTCCGCTGTCGCGACCGAAGCGCACGAGAGTGCGCTTCTCCCAATCGATGACCGGATCATGCCGTGCAAGCCACGGCATGCCCAATACAATGTCAAACTTATCGTCCAGATCCAGGACGATAAAGGTCTCGACAAACTCTTGGTCTTCATACGTGAAGCGCACGCGTACCATGCGCTTCTCGGTCTTCACGACGGCACTCGTTGCCAGTCGTACTTCCAACATGCTTCGAGGTATCTTTAAATCCTCGAAGTCCAGTCTTGATAGAATTCGCAGTCGAACAATGTTCTTCGACGCGCCAGAATCTACCAAAGCACGGCGAGAGCCGCTTGTTCTCATCGAGTTCACATTCAGGATGACAAGGTCAGGCTTGTCATCTTGGTTCTTGCAGTGAGGATGAACCTCACTGGGGGCTGCAGTCCTCAGTTTCGCGTGTCCAAGGTCGGCACGCGGAACTGCATTACCAGTAGGGCGCCCCGCGCCTACTGGCGTCCAGCGTTTTTTGTTTGGTTGCGACGGTGCCCGGCACCGCCGCGATAGCCACCCTGCTGGTGCACGGGGGCCGTGCACTCCCGAGCAAAGTGACCGACTCTACCGCAACGGTAGCATCGCACATTGTTTCCCTGCGACTGCTGGGGTCCAGCAGTTGCAGCACTCGAGAGGTCCATGGGTTCTGGGCCTCCCGTCCTCACTACCGGTCGTGGCTGTGGCCTCGGCACATTTGCATGCAGCTTAGCCTGCCGCAGGCTAAACTCCTCCTGTATTGCAAGAGTAATTGCAGCTTCGAGAGTACTCGGGTACTCTCGGAAGAGATAGGTCTTCACAGGCCCATCTCTCAGTCCCTTCATGAACGTGACGACCTTGGTCACCTCGTCGATCGGATTGGTCACGATGTTCGAGACCAAGTACCGTGCTCTCTGAGCGAAAGCATGGACATCATGCTTGCCCTGCTGCAGGTCGAGGAACTCCGCCCTCGACCGGAACTCGTTTTGCGGGGGCTCAAACGCTTGTCTGAGCTCCTCCTTGAAACCCTCGTACGTGCTAAAGCACGTAGGATCCGAGAGTCGGCGTCCATACGCCCAACTTCTTGCACGTCCGCCAAGACATGACATGGCGAACGCAACCTTCGACAACGGGTCGACGATACGTCGAGCCGCAATGGCAGTGTCGAGTTCGACAAGCCAACGGAGGAGAGGTTCGCCCTCTCTTCCGACATAGTTGCTCACATTGAGCTTCAGCGATTGCGCGCGTGGTGTCGTCCCGGACGACACCGCGGTAGTAGCAGCAACATCGCGTTGCTCCTTCAGGATGAAACTCAGAGCAACACCGTGTTGCTCTGTCGGCGTTAGCGTACGCAGCATCGTAGCTACAGCCGCCTCACCAATGACTGTTGGCAGTCGTTGGAGGGCCTTCCACTCTGGATCCGACAGGTGGGGGCAGTCAGCGCGTGCAACGTGAGTTGCAGGCGTAGTGGAGCTTTCCATGGGCACCTCTGTATCCATGGGAAGGTTCTCAGCTCCGCGTTCGTGCGGTGACGTACGAACTCAGGTAGTCGGTCGTTGGACGGACTACAAAGTGCTACCAGGTGTAATGGGCCTACTTTGGCTCACTACGTTAGCTTACACGTGTGCGCGGGTATGTGAGGAAGCGTAGCTTAGTTTAACTTAGAGTTAATTATACTCGGGCCTCCGAGTATAGATTAATCTAAATAAACGATCCAAATAATGTTTTGGGTTAAAATGAGAACTGCTATTTTTGTTTTATGTTTCTGACTTCCTCTAAATGTAATATTCTAAGATAGGAATCTGCCAACGGCTGGTTGGCAGAATTCCAATGCTATGCATGTCGCTCATTGGCTAAGAGATGCTGCTCTCAGCCAATAGGAATCCTAAGTCTCTATGGACCACCCGTCGTGGTGGTCGTAAATGTATGTAGCATTTGGTGTGTCTACACCAAGGTCGAGAAAGTCTTTCGAACCTCTAACAGACGTCGTGTCTGTTAGAGTTACAAGTGACTGTAGCCACTTGTGCGTGTAACCCTGTTACAGCCTTACGCGATCTTGCCGGCCAACTTGACGTCCCCCACGACCTCCTCGCGGACATGATTGTATACGCCGACGACGCTGACTTCATTTGCAGACACGAAGATATCGCTACCCTGATCGAACTCAAGCACCAGCCATACTCCACTCAAGATGAACGCTTCCAAAACGGAACACACAATTGTTCACCGCAGCCCGACAGCCCACACCACTCGGATCGCTCGTGCCAAGGATGAAGCCTGGCGCAACACTCGCAAGCTCGGCTCTCTCCTCGGCGACACCGAAGATCTATCGCGCCGTAAAAACCTAGCCACCGCAGCGCTCCACCGGATGTGGAAGATCTGGCTTCGGCCGTCAAAAACCTCGCAAGCGACTCGAGTCCGCCTCTACAACAGCTACGTATTGCCCATCCTGCTTTACAACTGCGGGACATTGGCGTTAACACACTGACCTCCTTGGCCTCGAAAGTTTTCACCGCCAACAACTCCGCAAAGTCATCGGCGTGGTCTACCCTCGAAAGATTTCCAACACCAAGCTATACGACCTTACCGGGACGGAACCGCTACGCTATCACCTCCTGCGCAGCCGATGGCGATTGTTCGGCCATATCCTTCGCCGGCCCGCAACTATCCCTGCATACCGCTACATGGACGCTTAGTTCAGGCCGAGCGAGTCAAGCAAATGGAGAGGCAGACAACGGCTCACGCTTCCGATGGTCCTCGACGCCGACCTCCAGACTCTTTCTTCCGGGCACCGTCTTCGTCGTTCTTCCGATCTTTACCTCCTTCGCCTTTGCGCGCAGGATCGAAAAAGCTGGAAGCACCTGACGGAGGCCCTACTTGCGTACGTGCCGATTGACGGACTCTGGTCGAGAGCAGAGAGAGAATTAGAGAGATGAGAGATAACCCGACGCATGCGGAAGTTGACCCACCAAGGTGGTAAGACGGCTCGCGTAACGCGTTCACAATACAATAATGATGCATACTATATGCACGGACATTTCCTGCATGTACACAGTGCTAACACTAAACTGGCCAGGCTGAAAATACCCGTAGTATTATTAGGGGGAGTCGATCCTGGCAAAAAACGTGCTGAGTTTTAGGGCGATTTGATGTTGATTGTAATGTAGTGTAATGTATTACGTTTTCGCGTTGCCACAGCTAGGCTCAGCTTTGCTAGTCGACGGCATAAGGTGGTGTCCGCATACGTCGGGTCCTTCTTCGCCGGCAGTGTGGCGACAATTGCCCTCTCGAGGGCTTTCCATTTAGGTTTCTCTTGTGCAAGCAGCCGAAGTTGGTCCAGGTCACGGCGGGTCTCGAGGCGATAGGCGTATCCGCTCGAGATAAGGTCCGCATCGAGCACAGTCGGTAGGGTCGTGCGTGGGCGTCCACGCCAGGTTCCCTTGGACGACGAGTCGAAGTAGGCGACCATCTGGGTGTACGCTGGGATTTCGGGCCGGCGCAGGATGTGGCCGAACAGACGCCATCGTGCTGCTGTGATTCTGTGGCGGAGCGGGCGTTCCTGACAGATTTCGTAGAGCGTGGCGTTAGAGATTCGCTGAGGGTAGCGAATGTTTAGTACGCTACGTAGTTGTCGGCGGTGGAAGCTTTCGAGCCCGCTCAGCTCGGACGGCGTCAGTGCCCACGTTCCGCTGTTGTACAGCAGAACAGGAAGCACATAGCAGTTATACAGCCGGACTCTGGTGGCGTCACTGACGTACTGGGGCCGGATCCATATTGTCCAGAGCCGACGTAGCGCGCCTGCTGCGAGTATTTTGCGTCGTGTCAGATCTTCTGAGTCGCCGAGTAGACTGCCAAGCTTCTGTGTGGAGCGCCACGCCTCTTCTGTCGCCCGAGCGTGTCGGGAGTAGCCCGACGAGCCTGTACATCGCTGAATCATGGTTAGTTCTGTCTTGGTTGCATTCATCTGGAGGGACCAGCGTGCGAACACTGCTGGTGCTTCGGCTTGGATGCGCTGGACCAGCTCGGTATCGCGGCAGACAAAGTCTGCATCATCAGCATAGACGATCATTTGGTCGAGAAGGGTCCGATTCACTCCGAGGTGGGATGCGAGGTCGCGTAACGCAGCTTCCACGTAGATGACGAACAGGACCGGTGAAAGCGCATCGCCCTGCGGCGTTCCGATGTTGCTATCGAAGCTGTGTTAAGCCTTGGACCCGGAGCGCAGAGAGAGCTTGGTGTCGGCGAGCAAAACCTTGATCAATCGGACCTCGTCGTCGTGTAAGAATGTCTGGAGTACTTCTACAAGCTTGACGCGGTCGATTGTGTCGAACGCGCGCGAGAGGTCGATGCCGAGGACATGTATGGTTTCACGATAGCGTTGCACGCGGGCACAGAGCCATTTGTGCGCCCACACGGCGTCAGCAGTGCTTCTGTGTTTGCGGAATCCGCTTTGATTGGGGGACAGGAATGTGTCCACCGCAGCGGATATCCGTGCGAGTACGACGAGAGATAAGGCCTTGCGAATGCTGCTTAACAGCACGATGGGGCGGAGACTGGAACATACACCTCGGGGCTTGTTGGGCTTGGGCATGTTCCTTCACCGAGTGCGAGGGGGGTGCCTTGCTCGAAGCTGCAGTTGACGAGGTCTGCGAAGAGAGGCGCGAGGACTGAAGCCCCGTACTTAAGAAGTTCTGCTGGGAGCTCATCTGGCCCAGCGGCGCGTCTGTTGTTGAGGCGCCGAAAGGCTGCTTCGACTTCTGTTGCTGTAACAGGACGGGTTAGAGATCGCGGTTCACGATCCGGAACAGGATGTGGCCGCCCCGGGTCATAAAACAGCGTTCGGAAGTGATCGGTGATCATCTTGTTAGTAGTTTGTTGCCGCAGGATATACTTACCTTCTTGGTCGTGGAGTAACAGCGGTTGGGGTCGATGGGGGCTAATGTCTCCAACTGCTGCATACATTCGTGCCGAGTCGCTCAGATTTTCGATGCGTGTAATCCGCTCGTCCAGTTTGCGAGATGCGATGGCTCGGCATCGCACTCGGATTTGATGGAGAATCTTGTTGCGGGCGGCTCGGAGCTCGATCGTGTTAGCGGCGCAGTCGTTGTAGATTCGAAGCTGAAGCGCCCGCTGGGCCTCAGAGAGCAGCTGAAGTTCATCGTCGTGATGTCGTACGTGGCGGTGGTTAGGACCTGCGAATCCTATAGTCCCCTCGGCTGCTTCTCGGATTCGATCGAGCGTGTCTGTCCAGCGCTGGAGAACGGTGCTGCCTTATGCTGTTGGCTGTGAAAGCGCTGCCTGAAGCGCGTTCGTGTAGTCGTCTCGTGCTGTGTCGTCGTAGATGAGATGATCTCGTGCTAACTTGAGTGCTGGATCTGGCTTGACCGTGCTGTAGCGGAGACGGTGAGTGGCCGCGTTCAGGATGAAGTCGGCGGTGACGAGCTTGTGGTCCGACGCCGTCAACGTTCCACCCCAGGATCGTGCGTCCATGCAGAGCCGTCGGCAGTTCTGAGGGCATAGGATATAGTCGATCTGGTTGTAAATACAGTGATTCGTCCGGCGCTGACTCCATGTTGTTTTGTGGCGGGCTCGCTTTTGAAAACCTGTGTTAGTGGCAAAGAGAAGGTGAGTAGAACAGAAGTCAGCTAGTGCGTGGCCGTTTCGGTTGCGTATGCCTCGTGCATGTGGTCCCATGAATGCCTCTCCGTTGATCTGTTGTCCGAGCTTGGCGTTGAAGTCGCCGGTCACGAACGCGATGTTGCGCCTTGGTAGTTGGTCAAGTGTGTCGCTGAGATCAGCGTAGAATCGATCTACTTCGGCGAGAGGCCGACCGCTGTGGGGAGCATACGCCGTGACGATGTTCACGGCGCCTGCGTGGGGGAGTAAGAGCTGAACGACGCCGATTCGATCGCAGTGTGCCCAATAGCAGTGTAAGTAGGGGCGGACGCGGGGGGAGATGGTAAAGCCGATCCCGTGGCGCTCCTGTACGGCTGGTAGTGTGAGTAGCGTGTAGTCTCCGATACGTTTCTTGTCGAGGGTGCAGATGCGTGTTACTTGGATGCCGAGAACGTCGATGCGGTAGCGCCGGAGGTCCTGGGAGAGCGTGTCCTGCTGCTTGCGGGTCGAACCTAACAACTGGACATTAAACGAACCTATCCTAAAACGGTTAGTTTGATGCGCGCGGCGAGGAGAGCGCGATAAGAGGGTGGGAGGTGTAGTTGTCGCTAGTGCTGCCGGCTTGGGGGCGAAGGAAAGACCCGCTAGGGACGTACAGATGCCCGAGAGCACCTGCCGGAAGCGCGTAGCTAGCATCATGCTGGCCACGCGTTCCGGGGGGGGCGTCACCCCAACCCCAACCAAAAATTGATGTTGATTATTTCGGCGAAATCTTGTTGATTTGAAAAATCATCATGATGATGTCGAACTTCAAGTGGTACCGCTTGCTGTTCCCTCCTCGACCTCTGATACAATTTCAGCTGTTTTTGAATTCCTTCCTCACCTAGAAATTGTTGTGTATGTGTTTAGGCAAGTTTTCACACTATCGCTTTAAACAAGTTTTAGATGTCAACTCGCGAAGATGGAGACGTTGTGAGCTGCTGGACAGTGTTACGTTGGAGTCGGCCATTGCTAGGTATAAAGCTGAATATAAGAAGATGTATATGCACTAAGCAAGAGCCTGCGCGTGCTGGCGAGAAAGGAAGTGATAATTCGCTGTTTTCACCAACTACATGCGAAAACGGAGTGAGTACCCTACTTTGATTTGTTGATTTTGGGGACAGAACGTTGCTGATTATTCGGCCCCGTCTCTGTTGATATTTTTGTCGCCATTTTTAAGGTTCGACTCCCCCTAATAGGGGGAGTCGAACCTTAAAAATTACAGCCCTTAGTCTTTCTCTAAAAACCTTCGTCACCCACTGAATTTGCCGTCTCACTATCTCGGTGGCTTGAGCAGAAGCCTTTTGTGTTCGCTCTTTTGCTGCATCCTTTGGCTTTGCACGTGCTCCAGCCGCCATGGGTGCAACAGAGACCCTTGAATTGAACGCTTTTTATACAGCCCGGGTGCTTGCAACGCTTGCCACCTCCATGCTCGATGCAGTACCCCTTCATATCTCCCTTCGACAGCCCCCACTTCACGCAGCCCTCTGCTTTACATGTAATCCGGCCGCCGTGAGTGCTGCATAAACCCTTTGAAATCGCCAACTTCGAGCAATCAGGATGAGTGCATCGAGCGCCACCCCCATGACTGATGCAGTGCCCACCGACTTGCGCCGATTTCTCGCACCCCTCAGTTTGACACTTGCGCCCCACAGCGATGCCCCTCTCCTTGGCGTGTTTCGTGCAGTACCCACCGTTCAGCCTGTATTTCGGACACCCCTCGACCTTGCACGTACCCTTACGCTTGACCACTCCGTGCTCAGCACCATGTCGATGGCAATAGCCTTGAACACTACCGATTTTCTCGCAGCCTTCAATTTTGCATAGTGTGCCACCTCCGTGGGTTCGACACAACCCTTTAGAGAGAGCTTTCTTGCCACAACCTTCCGTCTTGCACATAACAGAACCTCCGTGAGTGGTGCACAGGCCTCGGGCTTGATACCGCTTCGTACAACCTGGCACCGAGCAGTTCTTCTTGCTGCCGCCTCCTCCGTGCTCCTCGCATTTGCCGTGAGATCGCACCAGCTTGTCGCAATTCTCCACGGAGCAAGTATTTCTTCCACCATGAGCGGCGCAGCGACCACGCCAGCGAGATATCGCTGTGCAATCCGGATACGTGCATTCTCTGACCCCGCCGTGAGCGATACATTTCCCCTTGGCTTGAGCTTGCTTCGAGCATCCTGGATGCGAGCAGCAAGCTCTACCCGTCTCGGTGAGAAGCTGCGCCGGTTCAGCATCTTGATTGTCGGCTGTGACGGCTAGAAACTCATTGGCGAGCTCTGAGCACGTCGCATGAATCTGCTCGCTGCACCTTATCATGGAGTGCACGCGACCAGCAGCGAACTTGAGACCCCACGCCATCTGCACCCCAAACTCGATTGAAGCTTGCTGTGACGCTGACCGAGTGCTCGCCATGAACTCGTCCCGACTCCATTTCTCTGGATCCTCTTCTTCATTTTTTGCTTCTTCTTCTTCTCTTCCTTCTTGTTCTTGCTTCTCCATCGTCGGCACAAATGGCAACGTGCGCTTCTTGCTCATTGAAACTTTCACCGATAAACTTCCCCCCTCCCCTCCCGTGGCGCTGAGCTTGATCAGTCCGTCTGCTGCCCACGCCTTCGAACTCGAGTGATCCGGTACAATTCTCACCGTCTCGAAGCGACTTGAACTTGGAGGAGAAGCTCTCGCTTTCCCCCCATTACCTTGAACAATTTTCTCATTGCTGTCCACGAGCGTGTTGCCATTTTCCGCGTTGAACTCGTCGAGGAAAAACTCGCGGTCGCCGCTGGGTGAAGAAGTCGCGGTTGTTCCACGGTCTCCGATGCTCTCGACACGTGGCGGAGGCGGCTTTCCGGCGCTAATACTGAGCGTTGGGCGCTGGTTCTTGGACACGCGGACTATTAGCTGCTGGGCAGGGAGCTGTATCGCCGGTGCCTCGAGCGCGTGAGCGGCGGCGGCGGCCGGGAAGGAATTCACATTCGGTCCGTCCATGACATTAGCGTTTGAGTTTTGTTCTGAATGTAATGTCGCATTACCAGATAATTGCGGATAACTCGCGTACTTACATCGTACTTATGTCGTACTTAGCGATCGATTTGTAGTTTTTGATATTGATTTTGATGTCTACAGTACCTTTTTTTACGTCTCTCAGTATAATTTTAGAGAGACCTGTGTCAAGCGGAAGTGTGCCAGGATCGTCGCTTGAGCAGGAGAATGAGTGTTGGCGGCCATAAAACTACGCGTAGCGGTACAACAAGCGGTGAGGAGCAGCTGATAGTAGAAGATGCGAACGAGATGGATTTCTTTCTCAAAGCTTTCAGGTCTACACGCTGTATAGTACACGCGCAGTACGTGAAAAGTTGAAGGCGCAGAGCAAGGAGATCGCGGTCCTGCGACCTACCAGTGCGATACAGTGGTTTCGAGAACGCTACGGCAGGTGTAAGCCTGAGCCTAAAATATTTGACAATATTGTGGCAATACAGGACGAGCAACAGGAAGTTCGTGCAGGCAGATTTGCGGCTTCGCTTCGAGAAGAAGAGGCTACACGAGGAAAGAATGATCCTGGGACTGCTGGCAGGGAAGAAATTCCAGCTAATATTACTGAAACCGCGGCAAGTGATGGACACAAGAGCCAAGTAACTAAGACGACAGCGATATAGGCTACCGCGGGGGGTGTTGCTTTCCGCAGCAGTTTGGATGCTTGCTGTCCAGAACTCCACCGTGACTGATGCACTTCCCTTTGGCTTGAGCTTGTTTTGTACATTCTGGATGAGAGCAGCGCCGTCTACAAATTGCCAAGCTTTTTGCTACGCCAACGTCTCCTCTGGAGGCAAACAGTCTTGCCAAAGCGTCACTTTCCACACGAGCCGCATCGTCCTCGGTTATTACGCAGCGAGCAGCGGTAGCAGCACCGCCGTGCTGGCGTATTGAGGTCAAGTCGCGCTCAGTTTGAGGGTGACAGAGTCGTAAGTTGGTTCCAAGTTGAGATTGAGCCATCACGCCAGCAACTGAGGCCAACCCTACGGGCAGCTTCTTGACCTCTTCTGCTGCATTGTTGTCGACATGTTGGGTACTTGCACTCGCAGGGAACTGCAAAAGCGTATTTTCCCAGTCAAATCCATCCAGGAAGAACTCTTTGTCGGCTTGCAGCACCGGTGTCAGCCTGGCTGGTGGGTCAATCGATTCCTTGTAGGCATGTCCTCCTCTTGCTTTCGCTCGCGATTCAGATCTTGTTCCACCGCAGACTGCATCGCTGGTAGCTCACATATCTGGGCTGCGTTATCGAGGTCCTTGGCGTCCGTTCGAAAAAAAAGTATGAAACCATTTCCGTAAAAAAAAAGAAGGCAGACGCCTACTTTGACATCTATCTTAAACATTTTATTGCATGCAGCTGGCTATACGGTGTGCCTGCAAGGTATCTTTTTATCTATGGTAAAGCAATTAACTCTTAAAGACTAGAGCCTCTACTCCTCTGCTATTCCTCCATCTTCCGCGGTCTTGTGATGACTGACGCAGAGTCCCTGTGATTTTACGCGCTTGTTGCAGCCTTCTACTTTGCAAGCATTCCAGCCGCCATGCATACAGCACAAACCCTTGCATTGGACACTTTTAGTGCATCCAGGGTGCTTGCAGCGTTTCCCTCCGCCGTGGGCGACGCAATATCCCTTCAAAAGCCCTCTAGAGAGACCCCACTTCTTGCAGCCTTCCACTTTGCACAGTACGCGGCCGCCATGAGCAGAGCAAAACCCTTTCGAGGAGACTGGTTTCTCGCAGCCTAAGTGCTGGCAACGAGCCCCACCTCCGTGAACAATGCAATGCCCTCCAGATTGAGCTGACTTCTCGCATCCTTCGGTGCGGCACGTGACTTTCAGGAAGAGACCCAACTCCTTGGCGTGCTTGACGCAGAACCCTCGACAGATTTGGATCTTTAAGCACCCTTCAGCTCTGCATTTGCCCTTGGGAGTAACCTTGACAACGCCATTCTCCACACCATGCTTGTAGCAGTAGCCGCGCTTTTGACGCACCTTCTCACATCCCTCGACCTTGCAACGATCGTCTCCGCCGTGGAGGTGGCACAGTCCTTTCGTGACAGCCCTCGCTTCGCATCCTTCGAAGCTGCACACTGGGAAGCCGCCGTGAGCAATACACAGCCCCCTCTCTTGAGCTTTCCTCGTGCATTCTGGCAACGAGCACTTCTTCTCATGCTTCGCACACTTGCCACTAATACTTCTTATGACGTTTTTGCAGTTTTCCTCCGAACACTCACGCCGCCCATCATGCTTATCGCAGCAACCTCTCCAGCGACCTTCTTGAGTGCATCCCGGGTGTTTGCACCGCGTAATTCCGCCATGAGCTCTACATTTACCAAAAGCCTTCGCGTATCTGGTGCACCCAGGGTGAGAGCAATCCATGTAGCGCACAGCAACGCTACTTGGTGGGATTATTCCACCTATTTCCATATTGGATAAGACACTGTTGAGAACCTCGGCATACGTCCGATCGCTCGGGGACATCGTCGAGTTAGAGCTGACGTTGGCAGTCTTTGGTGTACTCGAGCTGAATAGCCTCGTATCTTCGGGAACTTGTTGGCTTGCATCCGCGTTATCGAACTCGTCCAGGAAGAACTCGCGGTCGCCGCTTGACGTAGAAATCTGCCACTCGCACGTAGTAGGAGCTGCTGCTTTCTCTTCGAGTTCGGTACTTGGGTGGCGTCCAGTCTTGGGCTTGCACGCGCGCTCTATGAGCTGCTGGAGCTCCTCCATATCGTGGAGCTGCGCTACGAAGTCGTTGACGTCCGATGCGTCCATTGGGAGCGAAAAGCTTCTGCGAGGATCAGGAAGTCGTGTACTGAGCGACTTTTGGAAGTAGTAGTAACGTTTTCTCGTAGTGTAGTGTACTTCTCTACTTGGATTCAATAGCGTTTTATCGCTCGTGGACAGCGCAGTAGCCTTTCACCCTAACATTTGTGTCGCATCCCTCCGCGTCACACTTGAGTTTGCCTCCATGAACGCAGCACAGCCCCTTGTATTGGACGCTCTTGTTGCAGCCTGGGTGCTTGCATCGAGTGCCTCCGCCGTGCTGGACGCAGTATCCCTTTAGCTGACCCGAACTTAGCCCCCACTTCTCACAGCCCTCCACCTTGCAAGTCTTGCGGCCGCCATGAGCAGCACACAAGCCTTTCGTGACAATCGGCCGGTTGCAGTCGGAGATTTTGCAGCGCGTGCCTCCTCCGTGACTTAAGCAGCAGCCTCGGGACTGTGAGATCTTCGTGCAGCCCTTAACTTTGCACGTCTTGCCGACAGTGAACCCACGCTCCTGGGCGTGCCTGGAGCAGAATCCGTGGCACATTTGAATCTTCAGACACCCGTCCGCCTTACACTTCGGCTTCTGATGAACCTTAACCACGCCCTTCTCGACGCCGTGCTTGTAGCAGTAGCCGCGGTTCGACATGGCCTTCTCGCAGCCTTCAACCTGGCACATCTTGGCTCCTCCATGGCGTTTGCAGAGGCCTTTGCTGGAAGCTCGAGCCTCGCAGCCCTCAGTCTTGCACACAGCAAACCCTCCATGGGGCACACACAAGCCGCGCTTTTGGACCTTTGAGGTGCAGCCCGGATGCGAACACTGCTTATAGCAACGACCACCATGCTCTTCGCACTTTCCGGCGCTTCGGATGAGCTTGGAGCAGTTATCTTCCGAGCACACGCGACGCCCGCCGTGCTCAACGCACACACCGTGCCAGCGAGCGGTGGATTCACAGCCTGGATGTTTACAGTGCGAGACTCCTTCGTGACGCATGCACTTGCCCTTCATCTGGACCTGGTTGGTACACCCTGGCTCGGAGCAACAAGGCCGTCCGGTAGCTGTTAGCCGAGACGAGGTCTGATCGTCTTCCTCGTCGTCTGAAAGAGAGCTAGATTCCATGCACCTGATCATGGAGTGCAGTCGACCAGCGGCGAACTTTTCCCCCCACCACATCTGAAGAGCCAACTCTCCTTTAGCCTGCTGCGTGGCCGAGCGAGAGCCGCGCATGAACACACCTCGACTCAAGTATCCCACGACCTCGTGTTCGTCTTCTTGACTCAAGACTCGAGGCGTTGCTACGGGCAACGGACAGGGAGCATCGCACCGCCAGACTTCCCTCACTCCCTTGTGACTGCACTCTAGTCTGCACTGGTACAAGTATCTGTGTTAGATAGAATCTCGTGCTTGGGTCTTGGCTGGGTGGCTGTTCCACGCCACTGATGAAGGTGCTATCCGTGTCGAATTCGTCCAGGAAAAACTCTCTGTCGCCGCCCAACGCGGAATATTGGTCACGGTCTCCGCTATCTGCAAGCGTCTCCGTTGTCGACGGTAGTGCGTCTTGAAGGTTGAGTTCCTCGACTACGGATTGCTGCACCTCTGGCGTTGCACATATCGGAGCGCCGAGGACGCCGCCCACCGATGTCGCCAAGGCCTCCATATCACAGGGATTTGACAATGCACTTGGGCCAATCATCTCCCAGACCAAGATAGATCAGAGGCCGGTGGCTCTAAAATATCTACAAGGACATTGAGTTCGCAGTTTAAGCTTACTTCACTTCATCACTATTTTACACGAGTCTTCTTGGCACACAGGTCCTTTGCACCACTCGACGCCGAAGAACGTGGAGACGCCGAAGGTCGGGTCTTGAGGGTCAAGTCCATCCAGGCGGTGCAGGACCTTGCGGTAGCGGAGTGCCTTGAGAGCGATCTGGGCATCGCTGGAGTTGGCGTGCGGGTCTTCGAGCGCAGCTTGCAGGAGTCGCTGAGTGTTGGCGCAGAATCGATCGCGGAAGTGTTTGTCGCTGTAAATAAGTGGACGCGGGGCTGCGTTGATGCGATCTCCGCAGACCCGTCGAGGTTTTGTTGGTCTCGCAAGGTCTGAAGCTTTTCGTGCAGCCTGTCGATGTCAGCGTTGCGTGGCGACTTGGAATCCACCATGTTGCTTTGATCACACTGGTCTTCCGTCATACCGAGAAACTTCACACCCGTCGCGCTAAGTGCGGGAAGATCGGTGGGCAAGGAGCACAGTCGAAGCGGTAAGAACATCACACGTCAGACGTTACATGCGCAAGTCGGGCGTTTTTTCAGTAGGGAGAAATCATGCCCAGAGTTCAGCTCCGGAGCCCTATTGCCTCTTGCAGCCCAGCACCATCGCCTGTAACCGCTCTCGTTTGAGCCAGTCCCCTCACTTGCAGACTAGCAATGGTATGCAATGGTATCTTGCCGTGCGGGCCCGCAAAAGAGGTCGAAGATTTTTCCTGGGACCCGCTCGGCCCCTCAGCGGGAGGTCCCGACCTGGATCTGTTACCGCGAAGGACAACTGCTCTACATTTCCGTCATCTATTTACATACTCACGTACTCAGTTTCCTTTAGCGGTGCCTTCTCTCACGGAGGGGGGGGGGGATGTCCGCCGCATCATGCGCTGCGAGATGCTGTCATTGCAGCTGCACGCACCAGGCTGCGACGGCCATTGCACGTAAGCAATCCATTGCCGTGCTGTTCACTCATTCAACGGGGATGTCCGTCCCCTCGTGCGGCACAGCGGTACAGTACAGTAACCCCCGCCGCTAGTCGCTACGACGAGCCTCAACTAACGTTACCGATGCAAAGCGCAATAGGTTTGAGAATATCTCACTTCGCTGACGTTGCCCTCGAGTTTTAGTAGATTTCTGACTACATGGCTGAAAGCCACCTTGCATCCATGGCAAACCCCACATTATTGCGAAGAAGCGCAGAGTTCTAGAACTCCGAAGTGTGTCCCCCAAGTAGCCGACTTTGCTTTTAAAGTACACAAAAATCAGCAAAGCACTGGTGCCGATACTCCGAATCAATACTGCATGTCGGAGTTCTAACGCAACGCATTCGTGAAAGTCTTGCACTCTTTCCTTCCCGTTGCCTTTCAACTTTGTGCAATAATACTGCTGGTTATCTCGATATCTCGACCTGTGGTTTATCCAACAATTTTGCCTGTCCGCAACGTCGTTGAACTTGGATTTAAATTAACACCACACGGATCTCGGTATATTCATAGCCGAGTGCATCGGTTTGCGCGACTGGACCTACGTAGCGAAAGCGGGTACTGTGGACTGTGAAGATTCAAAGTCGGTGGCCGATCGTCAGCAACAATCGAACCCAGAGCAAAATGGTGAGAATATACTGGTGGCGCAGCAAGACAGCACTTTCATTGCTGGCAGATGGTATCCAGATATCAACGCTGGCTAGCTGACCATTAGTTTGCTATTTCAGTCCTACCAAACTTGTTGAGGGGCTGACAAAACCTTCAATATTCTAAAACTTCGAGACTCGCTTCTCAATAAGTACTTAAGTAGCAATTACCAGCGATGTTCTCCTGCTTGACATCGGAGATCTTTACTGCAGTCCTTAATAAAAACAATGGAATTTTCCGCTAAAAGGTCGATAACAATTAGAGAGACATAAGAATTTGCCATAACTCATGGCACAGCAAAGCCATAACTCATGGTACAGCCATCCATGCCGGGCAGTTGCTTTCAGCAGTTACGTGATCCTAGGAACTGCAGCTCATTCCGAGGAAGATGCTTTCCGTCACAGTGGGTCCTCGACGAACGTCATCGACGTCGTTCGGCCATATCTTTCCGGCCGTCAGTTTATCGCAGAGGTCTGTAAAAACTTAGGTAAGCAAGACCCACGGGGCTCATTTCTGTATTCTCGATCGGCCGGACACACGACTACGGCCCGAGAAAGGGCCCTAAGAGACACATCCACGCACAATAACTGAGTACCACACAGGAGCAACATGACGCAGGATCACCCGGACATCAACGGCATCCCGAATTTTTTGCAGTCAAGCAGCACTGATCTCGGCGGTGCCCTCGGACATGACATGTTGGACCACTTGAACGAGAAGCTTCGCGCCTTGCGAAACAACACCAAGCGGCGACACCTCGACGGGAGAGCCGAGAGCGCATCAAACCCGCCGCGCATACGCCTGTACTACAATGACGAAGGCATTCGATCGATTCTGCGCCAATGCTCACCGACTCTTGATAGCCGCGCTCGAAGACCCGCACGCCAACTCCAACGATGCCCAGATCGCTGTCAAGGTACTGCGCTACCGCAAGGTCGCTTGGATAATATTGATCCTCGAGGCCCGATGTTCGACGTCTCCACGTTCTTCGGTATCGAGTGGTGCAAAAGTGGGCTATAAGCTGGAAAGCGTCAAAGCGGTCATAAAGTAGCTCGATGGGGAAGGAGAGGATATAAAAGGTTGGAGTACAGCGTTTAATTCGTAGTAAGCCCATCAAGTTGACGCTCGCTGGGGTCTGGTCGTAGCCCGTTCATTGGTTTCGCGAAATATCAGTGAAGACCGTCGCCAACGTGATTAAGGAGTTGATGTCCGAGAGAAGCAGTCTCCAGAGATTAGGTGGTCGTAATTCGCTGGGTTTCCTACGCGCAATGAAGCATATTAGTTGCACGATGTGATCCCTGATCCTCAGCTACTTTATGCTGCTGTTCTGTAGAACATGATAGGAACTGTATTATACTACTAGTAGTGCGTTTGATATGGTAGCTGCCTTACTAGGATAAGGCAACTTTCGCGATGCATTTGCCTGCCGACTCCGCACTGCTTTTCCTGAGTCTAGAATGGAGGGGTGGCTGCTTGTCCCGATTGCTCTCGGCAGCCCGGAGCTGCTACATCTAGCGAAGTTCCTCAGTCCATTACCAGAGTCATCTGAGCCTCAAAAGACTCGTTTGCAAGTGCTCGACGAGAGCTCGGACGGCTTCGAAGGCGACGAAGAGTTTTTCCTGAACGAATTCTTCAAGAAGGAGATTGTCGACCCTGTTAGCAGGAGACCAAGCCATGTATGGAGAATGGGTTCGTGTGGGGGAGCGATGTCGACAGGTCACCGGGCATTGTCATGCCCATTGCAGACGAGAGTACGAAGGCCAGCGAGAAGGCATCGACTCAAGTCACAAAGGACCAAGGAGCTGGTGGCGGTGACGCGAAAGATGCCCAGTGCGCAGCTCCTGTTTCGAGACTATCAAGCACGCTCGGTACTGATGACTGTACACGAAGACGCAATGCCAGGGTGTGTCAACTTGGAATTCTTCCGAGGTAAATGCCGTCGGCACAATCCTAAGTGCGCGCGTCCAGGATGTGGGGACTACGTGCGGTCAAATGGTAAATGCATCAAGCATGGCGGAAGGGCGAAGCGATCAAGCCAGAAGTATATAAAGCGCGCCATGCCCATTGCTGACGAAAGTAACAAGAGCACCAAGACGGCATCGAGTGCAGCAAAGAGAAGGACGACAGTGGTGGAGACGTGAAGGATGCGCAGTGCGCAGCTCCTGCCTCGACGGCTTCAAAAGCTACAGCCGTGATCAAAGTTGAAAAGGTTCAAAAGCGCAACGGGAAGATTTTTAAATGGGTCTTATGCAGAACAGGTCTTGGATTTGATCATAGCGTACTTTTTCTATGATCTCGTGATTGGATCATGTTTTGACGACAAAAGCCACTTCACCGTAGACTACGAACGACCTCGAGCTCACCGCAGTGGCTGCAATGGCGCTGGTGGGTACCGGTATCACCAAGTTGCGAGCAGCTAGGTGATGCGGGGTCTTCCAGCCCTGGTCGTCCAACCCGCTATGGACCGAGCCTCCTCTCCACCCAGGCTGCCAGAGCGAGCTGCTGGACATGGAGCTGGAAGATGCAGCAGCAGGCCGCGGCACGCCGGCGTAAGGCGCCCGAGGCTCCCTCGAGCTCGTCGCTTATCAAGTCGCCGCTTGCACGAGACAACTCCTCCGCTCCAAGAAGAAGGTGGGCGTGGGTGCGCTCGTCGTGTGAAGCGCGGCACGCCCCTCGTGATCGTGAGCCGCCGCGGCGGAGCTCGTCTCGATGCTTTCGATGTCGCCCGAGCCCGTGGATGTCCATCCTGCAGAAGGAGAGTCGCAGGTCTGTGGAGCTCACCGTGGGCACCGCGGCGCTCAGGTCCTGCTACGGCAAATGACACCCGTCTGAATTTCGCTGCGCGGGCGACGACTTCGGCGTGTGTTGCGCCCTAGGCCCGTGTTCCCGTACGACGGTCAGAGGTGGCAGCTACTGCTTCCCCGCTCACGAGCTCTTCGGACGAAGACAAGGCGTTACGAGTCGTAGCCTACGACGCCGTCTACGGCGACGATAGACGCGGACAAGATGAATGGAGCATGAGGACACCAAGGCCATGACGGCGGTCGGCCCGCCCTCGCCCGCCATCGCCGCAGCATTGACCTCGAGTATTCCACGACAACTACAGACTCAAGTTCGCCCACGCTTCGTGCAGCTCGACATACTGTGCTGTCCAAGCTCTACGACGAGGATTCGGAGTGGTGGGGAAGACGCAGTTCGCCTCGTTGATGAGTTGTAGGTCAAGTCTCGCCGCACTCCCAAGCGGTCAGCACGTTTTTGGGGCACCCGTGCGCCACTCCGCGCACCCGCTACAAGAATGAGAAGGATAATTCGTGGCACCCAAGCCCGTGACTGCGTGATAAGCTTCGCCAAGCACTTCTCGTCGGTTGTCATATTCGCTACGGAGGGGCAACGCGAGGTTCGTGCAGGCGAATTCTTCACCCTGCAGAGCGCTGGCATCGCATGGGAGCGCGAAGCATGTCAAGCGGCGTGAACACTGAGGGTTGGCTGCCATACTGCTCGAAGGCGCTCGCAGGAGCGACTAGACCGTGCTGCCTTACACGGTAGCGTATAAGTCATTGCTACGTCCAATGCATAGTTTACATATCGAATCGAATACAATTGCCTCACTATATAAGAGAGCCCATCATGTAAGGTTACCGTCTATGCATCTTGCTGCGACTACCAGCTCGATAAAGCAGCAGAATACTGCAAAGTGAGGTGCAGGCTTTAAGAAATGACTAAAGACGTGATTGTAAGGCATCGGGGCCTTGCTACTGCATAATGTCTGCTCATTCAACGTAGACCACCTTCACCTACAAGAAGTCCTGCCATTACTTGGCAGGGCAGAACGTTGAACGGAGCATGGAGAAGAATTGTCGTGTCATGTTCCACTGCTGTGGCTGTTTCGTTCAGATCTACCGATTCGGTCTCATAATCAGCATGTTCAAATCCCAGACCTGATCTGCATAAGAACCAAAATAAAGGCAACCCTGTCAGGCTGCCGGACGGAAGGGCAAGTGCCACGATCACGGTGGCTGGGAATACTGTTCGCTTTCTGGCTGTGTCATTGGTGCGGAGGAGAACGGCTTTTGTGTCTGGCATGGAGGCTTCAAGCAATGCAAGACGGAAGGATGCGACGAAAAAGTTTGTCTTCTGGGCCTCTACAGCTCTCACGCTCGACATTTGCTGTGTGCCACTGAAGGATGCGAGAAAGGAAGCTATTGCGAGCGCTACTGCCGTCAACACGCGATCGAAAGGGGCCTGAAGCCAACGAAGGCATGCAAGGAAAAAGGTTGTCGACGAGCCATCTGCAGCCGCAGCTACTGCTACAGACATTGTATCATGAAGAGGTTTATCAAGACCGTCCGGTCGTAGAAGTTGTGGGGTACTGGTAAGGACAAAACGCCAATATATTTGTAGTTGTTATTGAAGAAAATTGCACGGACGGAGGCACCAGTCTAGCACAGTCGAAGCAAAGGCCACAGTACGCAAGCAATGCACCCCGAAGTTGGCTTCGTAAAGAATGTTTGGGAATTGTTTCCGAGAAATTGAGTAATTTAATATATGCACCCCATAAAAATTCCTCTTGAATCCGATTCGAACTAAACCGTTACAGAACCGATAAGGGCATTGCGCAGGAGTCGGTGGATGTTTGTTCCCGTTGCTACCAGCAGCGCAGGGTTGCTACGCCCGAACCAGTTCCTCAACCAGGGGCCACACTCACAGGCGTGGCGTGAACCTCTAGCATCTGATCCGCTAGAACGCGCGGCCACTTCCGATAGAGACCACGAGTTTTTCCTGGACGAATTCTTCAAGAAGGAGATTGTCGACCCTGTTAGCAGTGAGACTGCCGAGACCAAGCCATGTATGGAGAATGGGTTCGTGTGGGGGAGCGATGTCGACAGGTCACCGGGCATTATCATGCCCATTGCGGACGGAAGTCCGAAGACCAGCGAAGAGGAGGCATCGACTCAGGACGCACAAGACCAAGCAGTTGGCGGCAATGGCGGTGATGTGAAGGATGCCCGGTGCGCAGCTCCTGTTTCAAGACTATCAAGCACGCTCGGCACGGATGACCGTACACGAAGACGCAATGGCAAGAAGTTGTGTCAGTATCCAAGGTGCGTCAACTTGGCATCTTTCAGAGGCAAATGTCGTCGACACAATCCTTCATGCGCGATTCCAGGCTGTGACGGGTATGCGTTGTCAAATGGGGGTAAATGCACCAAGCATCGTGGGAGGGCGAGCGGTTCAAGCTCGGGGGTTATACGCGTGACTTGTCCATTGCTGACGAAAACAGCAAGACGACACCCAGTGATGCCATAGAGGACAAAGAAATTGGCGAACACCATGGAGACGCGAAGGATGCACACCGCGTAGCTCCCGTCTCGACTGTGATCAAAACCGAAAGTGGTAAAAGGCGCAGTGCTGTGTGCGAGTACCCGAAATGTTCCAGGTTGGCATTCTCCGGAGGAAGATGTCGTGCGCATGGCCCTCGATGCGAGTACCCAGGATGCGGGAAGCATGTGGCGTTGAAGGGAAACTGCCTCAAGCACGGAGGAGGGACCAGGTGTTGCGAGCCGGAATGTGAAAGGTGCGCCGTGTCTGAAGGTAAATGCGCTGCGCATGCTGGAAGGGTTAAATGCTGGTACCCAGGATGTGTCAACGCTGGCAAGTCTGACGGCAGTTGCATGGTGCACGCCAATGAGTCTCGATGCTCTCGTGTCAACTGCCACAATGCTGCGGTCTCAGAAGGAAAGTGTGCTTTCCATAGCAAACCCAATGAGAAGTGCTCATTCCCAGGCTGCTCAACGTACGCAAGCATACCGTACGCTACCAAGGCGTCTGGCACGGAGGCTTCAAGCCCTGCAAGATTGAGGGGTGCAACAAAAGGGTCTGCGCGCAGCAGGCAGAGACGCTGGCCGACTTGGGCTTCTTCCTGGACGAGTTTGGCTCCACGCGCGCTGTCCGCGCCAAGTTGCTGGAGAGAGTCATCGCGCGCCTGGGCAATCGTTCAGCAATTTCTAGCCATTCGCGCTGAACATGAAATATCACAAGATGAACCCGAAAAAGAGGCAACTGGTGGTGAAATTGTGGGGAATGCTGCAACAGTCTCTAAGCTGAAAAACGTCGAATATCGAACGACCTCTTTATTTTTATATTGAAACTTGAAAATTCACTGTAAAAATACTGTCATACAACAATGATACTTTAAGTAACAAGTTCGGCTCAACAACACTTGGTGCCGATGCTCCCAACAGTAACCTTGCTGGGCAACATGTTTCTCGCAGCCTTCATCGCCTTGATGTCACTTCGGGCAGCCCGGTTGTTTGGAGGTAACACCACCACCATGCCGGAAACAATATCCCCTCATAGCTCCGGACAGAACTATCATGTTAGTGCACCATTGAGCCTTGCAGTAACTTGAAGCTTCGGTCTCACGAACGCCAGATACGGTCAGCGGGCCATCGAGATGGACAAGCAGAGTCGTCGATTCTTTGGCCAGATTGCCTCCAAGCGAATCAGGAGCACCTCTGTGGAGGACGCAGAACTCGCTTGGGTCTCCATTTCGTTGCACCCACTGCAGGCAGCCGACGGCTCTGCACGTTGTATGGCCACCACCGTGACGAATATTTGAATTGCTTGGAAGGTTTTCGCTGCAACTTGGGTGAGAGCCGATCAAATCGTCTTTGGACTCAGCTTGCGGTGGTGTTTGATACCCTTCGATTTCGTTCGCACGCATCTCGTTCAGCTTAGCCTCAGAACTGTGCTCCTGGCAACAATCTTGCTGTTGCCGCTTGTGGCACCCTTCAATCTTGCACTTACGTCGGAGTGGAACTGTGCCTTGTTCACGAGCATGTCTGTAGCAGTACCCCTTGCACCCAGAAGCACTCAATTTTCCGCACCGTGATGGCGGCATAAATGCTTTGTGACTGCTCTCCGGGTGCAGCCCTCAACCTGGCAAATGTGGTACCCTCCATGACTGCAGCACAAGCCGCGAGCCTGAATTTGCTTGGTGCAGCCTGGATAACGACAGAGCCTCCATGCAAAGGGGCCCCGTACGCCAACTTCCGTCGCATTGCGACCTTCGCGGGCAACATCAGCTTGCCCCTCGGCTGGTTTCGTGCTCCTATCCAGTACCGAAGGCATTGCGATGCCAATCTCCACATTGCGCACAGTCAGACTGGCCTTCATCACCTGATCCACGATGTCAGCCACGTTGGTCCACTTCGTAACCGCACGGGTTGTCTCTGGCTGTGGTGACGCCAATACAATCTTAACTCCAGTATTGATGTTGGTGCTGCCAACTTCACAGTTCTTGCTGCCAATATCTCCACCAATTCCACTTTCCGGCTCCCGCTCCGTGGCCGCATGCTGTGTCACTTGCTCGACATCTCCCAGTCTTCTCTTATTTGAGTCAACAGGAGGCCCACCACCCGCCTGTTGAATCTCCAACACCCACTGCAGTGCACGTTGCAAGGCCACAATCTCCTGCTTTTGATCCTCCAGCTTCTCACGAACCGCTCGCGTCGACCCAAAGGCCCCCAGTAAGAAACTCAAGTCCACCATGATCTCGTCCACTTCTTCAGACTCCTTCTCGCTGCTGCGTATGGCAAACGCTCCCTCTTTCGAGTCTTCTTCTTGCAAGATTTGGTAATCATGGCTCACGAGACGTCGCAGGCGCTTGATCTCGCTCTGCTGCTCGTGCAACTTGGCGCGCACAGCGCGCGTGGAGCCGAACTCGTCCAGGAAGAAGGCCAGGTCTGCAATGACCTCGTCCTGCTGCGCAGGGGTCAGGTCCGACCCCACCGCCTTGACGTCCAGCATCGTTTCAACTTGACCAGCGTATCCTTGTCTCTACAGTTCCCTATCCGACTTTGATACCGAAAGGCTTTCCTGGCAGTGACTGCGACAGAAGCCCCGAGCAGCGGCACGCTTCTTGCATCCCTCCACTTTGCATTCGTAGTAGCCTCCGTGAGCAGCGCACAGGCCATTTCGCTGGCGCTGCTTGTTGCAGTTGGGTTGGGTGCAGGGCAAGCCACCGCCATGCCGAAAGCAGTAGCCCTTCTTCGGTCCATAGTTTTTGGCGTGGTTCGTGCATTCCGGTTCCTTGCACAAGTTATGCCTCGTCGTGGTTGCGTCCGGGATAAGTCCGTCCTTGGGCTCTTGCGTGGTGAACACATGCCGGTGCTTGTCACAGAACTCACTCGCGTCTCCGTCGCGCTTCACCCACTTCATGCAGCCAATGACCTTGCAGGTTTCGTGGTGGCCTCTGGGAATCCGAGCCAAATTACTCGAACTCGTAAGCTTCCCTGGGGTTGGCGGCGCTCGAGCCTGACCCACTTTACTCTCAGCGTTGTGCCTATGGCAGAAGCCTTGGCTCACTTGAGTCTTGGTGCACCCCTGCACCTTGCACTTGTACTTGGCCAAAGCACCTTTGTTTCGAGCATGAGTGGCACAAAATCCCTTGCCGCCGGAGACGATGAGCTTTGTGCAGTGAGGGACGTGGCACAAACTGCCTCCTCCATGTAGCCGGCACAGTTGACGCGTGATGGCTTTCCTATCGCAGCCGTCTTCTCTGCACGTGTAGTAGCCGCCATGACGATAGCACAGCCCGTTAACTTGAACTCTCGAGCTGCATCCCTCTTGAGAGCATGTATACTTGAACTTGCTCGCTGGTTCCTTCCCTGCGCTGACGTTTGTCTTCTCGTTGTTCGTCACGGACACGTTTTTCTTCGAGATGGGCTGAATCTCCTTGATCTGCTTGGGCAACTCAACAGGGTCGCTGGAGTTATTGTTATTTAAACTTCTCGCCTCGGCGCATACCTCATTTACGCATTTGAGTGCGTTCAAGTAGGCAGTGACGACGGAACTGTTGACAAACTCGGTGCCCACCAACGACGCGATATTAGTCGCAGATTGAAGACTACGACCGCCACGCTCGTCCTTTGCACCTCGCTCTTTTCGAACTGGAGACAGCAGCTTCAGCATGACGTCCACTTCCTTTTGACTCGCCTTACCGGGGGCAGCACTCGGCGACGCCGCCTTGTCCTCATCACGATGGTGAGACGCAGCATTTACAGCCTCACCCGCTTTTGCATCCTTGCCCCTGACAGCCCTCGTTCCTTTAGCTTCTCCATCAACTCGGACGATCCCTTCCTGCTGAGTCCTTGATTGTGCGGAATCTTCTAGTACCGGTACCGACCTCAAGGCACTCGCCAACTTTTCCATCAGATTTGACGTCAGTTGAGGGGCCGAACCTGGTTTCCCGCTTTTCCTTAGCTCCTGGAACCAGTTCACCGTGCACTTTAAGCCCGCGATCAGTTGGCTTTGACTTTGTAGCCTGTCGCGCACGGCGCGGGTCGAGCCGAAGGTTCGGAGGAAAAAGTCCACGTTTGTCATGATGTCGTCTACGTGTTCCGGCTCCTCCTCGCAGCGTTTTGTAGCATTTTCCCCGGACTTTGTGTGTTCGTGATGATGATCTTCTTCTTGTTGCTGCGCACTTGTGTCGCTCTGACTGCCCAGCAGCTGCCACACCTGCTTCTGGAGCCGCTCGATGTCGCTCTCCTGGGCTTGCAACTGGTCGCGCACGGCGCGCGTGGAGCCGAACTCGTCCATGAAGAAGACCAAGTCCGCCATCGTCTCTCTCTGCTGCTCCGGCGTCAGGTTGGCACCGACAGCCGTGGGGTCCAGCATTGTTATTTCGCGCACACCTTCCTTCCAGCAGCTTGTTGCGTGACTGGTGAATTTTGATAGGACGGGATTGTTCTGGCTACCATGTCTCTTTATTTTTATCTCTAAGTTTAGTCTCTTTATATTTATACACTATTGAGAAATGGTTTTTGGTTCCATTATTTTAAAATAACGGACCCAAAATAGACCTAAAGCACAATATTCATTTCTATTTCGTTCATTTCAAATAGTATTGTTTTTTACATAATACAAACGATCATACATAAGTGAGAAATTTCCGAGCGGTGTTGGGGAGGGTTGCATTGTCGTCATGGCGGTTGGAAGTGCTGCAAGTTCCCTGACTGCGTCCGACGCTGCCGAAGAAAATGAATGTTGTGTTTTTCATGACTGAAGGATGCGACGAAAAGGCTTGCTTCAAGGTCCTCTGTGGCGTTCACGCTCGAGGATTGATGTGTCGAATCGAAGAGTGCAGGAACGGAAGGCGATGCGGCGAGGGGGTACTGCCGTCGGCACGCCATCGAAAAGTCTCAAACCAGCACAGTCATGCAACGCTGAAGGTTGTGCGCGAAGCATTTCATCGGCGTGGTCTTTGCTAACAAACATTGTGTTGAAAAGGGGTCTACCAGACTTAAGATCCGCTCGTAGAAGTTGACAAGCGCAGTAAATTGGCAAGTCAGAAACACAGGATAGGTAAACACGTGACAGCTCTTTGCAGTTGTCAAAATCAATCCTTTTCACTTCACGCAAGATTTATGATACATAGATGTTGACTACGCAGAAAGACCCGAGAATTTCGCGTCACGATGATCTTTTTGAGGCCAAACACACTTTTGGGTAGCAACTGAAACAATGACTCTAGAGGAGTGGGCGTTCCTGGACGAATGGTGTGGAGCGATGCGAGCACTGTTTACAGACACGGGGAGCTCCGCGACGGTATGGCAGTGGGGCCCAGACTACAATCCAGCTCTCCAGTTCCCCCGAGAGACAGCGAGTTGACTTCATTTGAACGCGCAGAGCAGCTTCGGACACTCCGTGAGGGACTCGCTCTATTCGCGGCAGTGGCGTGGATTGATGCAGACGCACTGGTCTCACTGCTGCAGTCCAAAGGGGTATGCGCAGTTAAGAGAGAGATGCGAAGACACGCGTTTATGATGGCCGAGCTGCCTGTGTTCGTTGAGATCGGAGTGACTCGGAAGCTGTCCAAAGACCCAAGCAAAGACTTCGCGTGGGTTGAGGACGATCTCGTATCGCTCTGCTGCCAGCTGGACGAGCAAAATACCAGCGAGGCATTCCAGGAGGCATGGGCAAAAATTGAAATGCACTCTACAACCGAGTCGCAGTCGTTGAGGGGTCTCGCAATTCCGATTCGGATCATTATTGGCAAACCGGAGTACTCGAAAGCTGGAGGCACTGCGTCTCAGCGAGTTTGGAATGCCATAAAGAGCGCATTAAACCCTGACCAAGTCCAGTGGGGGTGGTTTACGCCGATCTTGAGCAGGAATTCCACAATGGCGAGAAGACCCAGGTCCGCATGTTACGCCTCTTACCTCATCAACTCCATCAACGCAATGAACGTGCGTACGCGCGCTGGCTCCAGTGCTGTCTTTATGAAGTTGGTGACGGAAATGAGTCGTGGAGTTCTCTTATCGGCACTAAGTTTCTGCCTCGTGCCACGACACGATTCTCAAATCGCGTGCCGCATGATCTCAACGTTATTTTGTGAGATGACTTGCGTGGATGATCAACGCGGCGCGTTCGTGAATTTTGGGTGCGTCACCTTTCAAAAAGAGAGCGGCGTGGAAATGAATGCGCTTTGCTCAGCGCTGGTGGTGACTCGCTCCTGTCGGTCGTTCGCCTTCAGCCTCTGCCCGGAAGGCTCGGCTTCGGAAGTGAAAACCTGGATGTGGATGGCGTACGCATTTTTCTCGAGCCGAGCTCGCCTGCGCTCCTCTGTGAAGCAAGTTACGATCTACAACGCTCGTCTAAGTCGCGTCATACTGGATACGATATCTAGGATTCTAACAGCCACCAATACGGAGAAGGAACTATTCACTGTTGCTACGGGGCTGGACAGCACAAGTAACACTGCTCGTGACACACGCGAGTACCATTTGAAGCAGAATGCAGTGGTGCAAGTTACTGAACAAACAAACGGCCGTGTGGTATCATGGAACTCGGCGGATATACTTCGACAAGGTGGAGTTGGCGGTGTAAGGCTGGTAAACCCCAACGATAACGGCTTTAGTGAGTGGGTGGACGTGCTGGAGGACAGCTATGCAGTCTTTGGATTGATTTTCCTTTGCGAGGCCGACCCATCAATACCCAAGGAATTTTTGAAACATGTAGGAGCTGACACTACGCAATAGCAATATCTCCGCTGATGCTTTTGTTCGGGCGTGCAAGCAGTACAATCCGCCACTCCGTCGTCTTGAGTGCCACTTCGACGATATCCGCGTTGTCGCCGAGACATTTGAGTGATGAGTCGAGTATGCTGACGAATAACCTTCGCTGGTGGCACTGCAGTTTGGAGCGGTTCAGGAATTTTAGGGCGACATTTGGGGCCTTGACTCGTATGCTGAGTGAGAATACAGTGCTGCGCTACTTGACAGTGGTTGGGGACCGATATTATCTACCAACGTTAAAAGCTGGATTGATGCAGTTCCATCTTCAGGAGCTCGAAGGCAACGGAGAGCTGCAGGTCGCGTGCAAGTTGGCGTTCTTGAGTGTTTTTCACGCCGATGAAGCGCGCCCACCTTTGAAGAAGCAAGCGAAAGACCAACCCGAACGTTTTCGGCTACATGCCCCAGACACGCACGTGATCACCAAGATTTTTGAGTTTGCGGCGAATCATGCCATTCGAAGTGTGAGAATCATCTCCCCTAGCGATATTGAATAACGTTAGCATGAAGGGGATTGTGCTACATTATGAGAACTGGCATTAAATTCCTTGCTTAATGTTTTGAGAACATGGCACTCTTATTGGAATCGATGTGAATTAGCAAAGTGAGGATTCGACACCTTGCACCGCACTTGACTTCGTCCGAACGCCTACAAACTCGCTTGTAGCCCATTCGGAAGAACGGCATAGTGACAACAACATTTCCCCAACGTACTACACTTGCGTGTAATAATCCTGGTGGACCACTGGATCAGGAATCGGTAGGTACGTGCACCACCGAATCGCTTGTTTGAATGTTGAACTCGAGAGCTTATATCGGTATCACGGAAGATGAACTCTGTCCATTGCTCGCCGCCGTCTCATATTCGCGTTAGTGTGCGTAGCAGTAGCCGCGGCTGTGCTTGCGCTTGGTACATCCGTCCACCTTGCACTCGTAATAGCCTCCATGGGCACCGCATAGACCTTTTACAAGTCGCGCCCTGGTGCATCCAGGTTCGCTGCAGGTTTGTCCACCTCCGTGCCGAAAGCAGCAGCCCTTCTTCTCTCCATCAAACCTCCCCAACTTTGTGCATCCTGGTTCCTTGCAGAGGTTGCGTTTTCGTTTACCGCTCGCTCGCCCCGACACTCCAAGCTCGATGACATCTACCTGCGTGGGGTGCGTTGAAAAAGCTGCGGGTGGTGGTGCAGACTGTTCAGAAGCAGGCCTTTGGCCAACCTGCAATATCTCCGTCTGAACTGGCGTTCGAACCACTTTGCCCTTTGCCTCCGCAGGTGGTACCAATGCCACGTCGTTGTCGGTTCTCTGCTTTCGTTGGCACCAGTCCAATGTCCGTCGCAATCCTACTATCTTCAGCTTCTGGATCCGCAACTTGTCGCGCACTGCTCGCGTGGAGCCGAAGGTTCGAAGGAAGAATTCCACGTTTGTCATGGTCTCATGGACACCTTCTGCACCATTTCCGTTGTGATGGTCCGTGCTGTCAAATTCGCCCTCTTCTTGGTGCGAACTCGCATTTTGTTGAGGGTTTGGCAGATAATTCACATGGCGCTCGAGACGTTTGATGTCTACCTCCTGCTTCTCAACTCGAGACGAACAGCGGACGTGGAGCCGAACTCGTCCAGAAAGAAGGAAAGATCCTCCATAACTTCATCCTGTTGCGCTGGTGTCAGGTCGGCACCAACCGCTTTGACGTTCACCATGTGAACTTCCGACGCGACCGACAAGCGAAATCCACGTGTGAAGCGGGAATCATCTCGCGTCTATTATGATCGTGTTGGGGATAAGGACGACAGTAAATTATCTAGGTAAGGTTCACGCAGTGCCCAAAGCATTTTAGTGCTATTTATGACACACTTCTCGTCTTGTTCCATTCCTGCTTTTGCGCAACATAATAGTTATAATCTGTCCTCCAGCAGGGCGGGAATTCGATACCCTCTTCGACTGTACTATTCCAACGGCTCAAAAATCTGGAGGAGGCGGTGCGGTGGACATAACCCTTTGGTGTATGAACGTCTGCAGCATCCATCGATTTTGCACTCTCGGTATCCTCCATGGGCAATGCAGAGGCCCTTCAGCACCCGCTTTTTGTTGCAATCCGGCACCGTGCACCTTGGCCCCCCACCATGGGGAAAGCAGCAACCTGGCTTAGGACCACCGTATCTCGCCCTTTTCGTACACCCTGGCTCCTTGCATACACGGCGTTTCCCCTCCACCCGCGAGGTCCTGTTCTCCTGCTCTTGATCGCGGATTCCACTGCCAGCCACGGCCAGCTCATCAACGTCGCCAACTCTGCACTTCGTGGACGCAGGTTTCTTCGCTACTCCCTCGTTCGAGTCTTTGGGTTGGCTTTCACGTCGCTTCATACCTTCAGTAAGCTTACCATCGTCTACCCACGGTTCAGCAGGGTCGTCACCTCCATCATTATCGTCGTCGTCGTCGTCCAGAACAATAACCACTTGATCATTGTCATCATCATTTTCACGGCTCACCGCCAATTGACGCCCAGACAGAGCAGGATCGGTCCCCAGGTACTCCACGTCGCTTGATCCAGCACTATCACTATCGTCATCTTCCCCTCTGCGATCTTGGAACCATTGCACGGTGCGTCGCAGCCCCACGACCTTCCGTTCTTGATTTTCAAGTTTTTCACGCACCGCTCGAGTGGATCCGAAAATTCTTAAAAAGAAGTCCAAGTCCGCCATAGTGTCGTCTACACTCTCCTCTGAAAATTCATAATTGCCTGGCGACTGGTTCTCGCTATCTGTCGTCTTGCCCTCCTCCTGGGGAGAAGGCAAGCCACGGTTCCGATCCATGAGGAGATATCGCACTTGCGTCTCGAGGATCCCGATCTCCCGCTGCTGCTCCTGTAACTTGATACGGGCGGCGCGCGTGGACCCGAACTCGTCCAGGAAGAAACTCAGATCCGTCATCGTCTCGTCCCGCTGCGCAGGCGTCAGCCCGACGCCCACCGCCGTGACGTCCATGGCCAGGTGAGCTGGGAAGTCCCTGCAAGAAGTTGACTAGCAACTGTCAAATTGTATACAAACGATACGCAACATACCTTCAATACCTTATACAGCAGACAATCTTCAACTTGCACCCCCAGTGTATCAAGCCTGCGCCTTACCTTTATCTTTTTGTTCATCCTGGTATCTCCCAGCCTTGTATTCATCGAATCACTTCGCAGTCTTTTTGGCGTTCTCAATCTGTGCTTGGCTCAACAGCTTTTCAACTGACCAAGGCGGGATAAAGTTCTTCTCTTGACGGCTGTGAAACGTTCGCTCGAGGTCACGGTCACGGTTATTGCTGTAAACACGCTCGCGACCACGGCTTCCCAGTCAAGAGCGGCTGGATATGCAACATTGACGGTTGTGGAAAGTTTGCTAAGCTTAGTGCCAATGGGCACGGGTATTGCTGTAGGCACGCTCGGGAGAAGGGCATTGCCGTTATAAATGCTAAGAAGTGTCGTGCTGACGGCTGTGAAGCGTTCGCCCGAGGTCGCGCTGCAGGTTACTGCTGCAGACACGCAAGGAAGCATGGTATCATCGTTAGTCCTGGCAAGAAATGTAGTCTTGACGGCTGTGAAAAGTTCATGCGAAGGGTTATTGCCGAAGACACGCTCGAGAGAACGGCATCGTCGTTAGAGGTGACAAGCCGTGCCGCGTTGAAGACTGTAAATTGCTTGCGGTTGGTAATGGTCGTGGGTATTGCCGCAGACACGCAAGGGAGAATGGTATCGTGGTTGTAATAATTGGCAAGCGGTGTAGCATCGACGGCTGTGAAAAATTTGCGGTCGCCCATGGACAAGGCTATTGCCGTCGACATGCTCGAGAGAACGTCATTAGCTTCACGGACGAGAAGTGCAGCGTTGAAGACTGTAAAAACTTGGCGGTGGTACGCTACAGAACGAGAAATCGTGACCAGATGCGGGTTCGAGGGGTGCCAGAATCTTCACAGAGGTCAGGGGTACTGCGAAGACCACCAGTCTCACGAGGTCAAGCCGACTTGATGCATGCAAGGAAGCATCACCACTACCAGCTCCATCTTCAGAGCGAGTAGATACCTCCTCCAGCCAACCCGGTTCAAACACCAAGACGATAAAGCGTCGAGGTCCCCACGTAACCTGCAGAGCCGTTGGCTGCATGAAGTGGGTGAAGCGCAACGGAGACCTGAGCGAAATCTGTGTCAAGCACCGACAAACAACGACATTGCATGAGCCCGCTGGTGTGTCTGTCATCCAGAATGAGAACGGGCCTGTCTCCAAAGTAGCGAGGGGTGGTCGTGGTTTGTGCCAGGAGCCAAACTGCACCAAGTTTGCGAAAAATGACGGGCCGAAGAAGGGCTACTGCTTCCGACATGGCGGTGGGGTGACCTGCAGCCAACCAGGCTGTACCAAGCAACGCCAGCGACACGGTCTGTGCGCGGCTACTACGAATGCAAAGTGGACGGATGCAAGAAGCGATCAATCTTGAGCGGATGTTGTCACGTGCACTTCAATGAACTCAAGTCAACTTCAAATGGTGGAGTGCCAGTCGAGCAGCAATAAAGATAACGCAAGAAACAGCACCTTGTGGAGATATTTCCAGTCGTCTGACCATATTTCAGAATCTTGCTTTCGAGTACAACAGGCACGACCCTTACGAAATGCTAGATGTGACGTCGGTTGGCTCCGATCTGACACCTGCACAGCTGGAGGAGACGCTGAGCGACCTGGCCTTCTTCCTGGACACCTTCGGCTCCACGCGTGCCGTCCGCGCCAAGCTGCGAGCGCAGGAAAGCGACATCAAGCGCCTCGACCGGAAAGTGCTCCTCCCGCGCGACAAAAACTTGCATCAATCGGAAGAAGAAGAAAAAGAAGAAGAACGAGAAGAACGAGAAGAACAGCAAAGAGAAGGACAAGCACAAGAAGGCGTCGACGAGACGATGGTCGACGTGGACTTCTTCCTGCGCACCTTCGGCTCCACTCGAGCGGTTCGAGAGAAACTGGAAGCTCAGAGCCAGAGGATCGTGGGGTTGCAGCACACCGCCAAGTGGCTTCAAGAGCGTTGGAAGCCGACCGAGGAGAGCTGCGATGACTCTCGTGATGTGGAGTACTTGGGCACGGGGCCGGCGTCAAAGGCTGATATAACAGAGAGCGGCATTTCTCAAGACGAAGATGAAGATGTCGACGGGACGGACAACGGAGACGGCAGCGAGCATGAAGAGCCTGGAGATGATGGCGACGTTGTGATGACTTCACGTGGGCGGAATGCAGAAGATAAGAAGGCGGAAGGAGCCGACGTGGAGCCAACAGAGATGCAGCGCAAAGTGATGGCCCCGAGAGAAGATGAATGTGGTGCTTCTAGTGCCAGCAGTGTTGCTGACGAGAGCGACTCCACCCCTCACAGCGGATGTCGGTCGGTAAAGTCGGCGTTCTCTGTGGAGTTCCCGACTGTGTGAAATATGCCAAGCTAAAGCACTTGTGCGTCGCTCACGGCGGCTTCCGCCCGTGTGAGGTCCATGGCTGCAACAAGAAAGTCGCCTCGCAGAACCGTTGCTTCAAGCATGGTGGGGGTACCAAGTGCAAGATCGATGGTTGTAACAAGATCGCACAATCTAGTGGCAAAGGACATTGCACCAGACATGCTCGCGAATACGGAGTGTTGCCCAAGCTCATCTGCAAAGTGCCGGGGTGCAGCGACTTTCGAGTGAGCAATTTTTATTGCCGCGAGCACAGTCGGTCTGATAAGGACAAGCAAGAATCACAGAAGCGAGCGCAATCGTTCGGTGGAGGGGGGGGGGGGCCATTTCCGCAACTCGCAGCCACGCCACGTGCAGAGCCCTAGGATGCATGAAGTGGGTCAAGCGAAACGGGGATGACAGTGAGTACTGCGTCCACCACAGATGTCCTTCAGCATCGCGTGACGACAGTCCCAGGGACTCCAACAGCAACCAAGACGAGCAAGGCGACATCAAGCCCAAAGACCAAGGTAACAACGGACGCCCCGCCCCACCTGCAAACAACCTGGATGTCTGAAGGTCGGGAAAAACTACGGAGTCAAGAAAGGTTTCTGCTTCGAGCACGGCGGTGGGTTTACTTGCCGTCAGCCTGGTTGTAACAAGGAACGCGCGCTAAAGGGGCTGTGTGCTGCTCATGGCGGCTTCCACGTGTGCAAGACAGCAGGATGCGGCAAGCGTGCGTTTGTGAGAGGCTACTGTTACCAACACAGTAGTGTTGAGCAATCGGACAGTAGGTATTCGAACGGGGTGTTGACCAGTGGTTAATAGAGTAAGTTGAAGTTTCCCCTACAGAAGAGAAGAAGGCCGCCAGATCGGATTTTTCAGTAGAAAGCACGCGTGATCCACGAGATCCGGCAACTCATTCAACCAACACGATGCTGGACGTCAAGACGGTGGGCGCTGAGTTGACGCCCGCGCAGCGAGATGAAACCATGGACGACCTTCATTTCTTCCTCGACGAGTTCGGCTCGACTGGAGCTGTTCGTGCTGCACTGCAAGAGCAAGAGAGCAGCATCCGGGGCCTCAAGGAGCAAGTGCAACGTCTTTTGACCCCGACAGGCGAGGGGTTGCAGAGTGAAGAGGAGGAGGAAGTTGCCGCGGCGGTGGAAGATGGTGACGAGGAAATTGGGGGGAATGGCGTTGACGAGATCATGGTAGACGTGGATTTCTTCTTGAGAACCTTCGGCTCCACGCGTGCGGCGCGTGACAAGTTGTGGCAACAGAAGCGGGAGATTGTGGGCTTGAAGCGGACGGTGCAGTGGCTGGAAGAGCGGCGTAGAGAGCGGCAGCAGAGCGATGACTCGAGTGATGTGGAATACTTGACCAAGCCAGCAACGCGTTCGATGCGGGGAGAGAAGCTAGAGATGGAACCGCAAGGTGGCCCTTGCATCATGAACTGGAGTCGTGAGGTCGATGAGATCGTGGGCTCGAGCGACGAAAGTGATGGCAGCAGCATGGAGATTGAAGACGCTGGCGTAGAGATGGAGATGGTCAGAGGCATTGGGGACGGTGGCATCATTGAGAAGGCTGAGGCTGTGGTCATCGCTTCCTCCGAGCACGAGTGGCAAGACGAGGACTTTGAAGATGGAACTTGTCTCTTGTCAGACTGCACCAACACGGCTCAAGCGAACGGCTTCTGCTACGCTCACGGCGGATATCAGGTGTGCTATGCTCTTGGTTGTAACCGGAGGGCTGCTGTACGAGCTTTTCATCGCAAACGCGCCGTATCCAGCGACACGAATGATCTGCACACTGCTGAATACGACGGTAATGGAAAGAGCGCGAAGAACCAAAAGGTGTGGGTCCAACTCGACTACTGCGATAAGCACTTGGATGAAGAGGAACTGGATGGAGATCACGCAGCCGAAGCATCGAGTCAAGCGCAGCCGCATGAGACCATCCGCGCTACCGATCGTCGTTATCGTCGCCACAGCGTGTGCAAGTGGCTTGGGTGTATGAAGTGGGTGATGAGAGATGGAGACCCGAGCGAGTACTGCGTCCTTCACCGAGCCCAAGACGGCAGCTCAGTGATCTCGAGAGGAAGTAGCGTGGCATCATTCACCCACTCCGAGGACGAGTCGAGTGTTGAGCAAGTGGAGGCCACGGAATTCAATGGCGAAAAGGACGTCCAGCGCGACTACAAAAGCCCCGTCCTCTGCAAAGAACCAGGATGCAGCAAGCAGGGATATGTCTACGGAGACAAGAGGGGCTACTGCTTTTAACACGGCGGTGGCGTCACCTGCATCGTACCAGGATGCCCCAAGCAGCGTCAATTGAAGGGGCTATGCCGAGCCCACGGAGGTTACCACAAGTGCGGCGTGGAAGGCTGCCCGAACCCGGCCAAGGCTTCTCGACGCTACTGCTCACTCCACATCCTGGAGAGCAGCAGCACCTCAGAAAGCAGGTCCGCCACGCCTAAATGAGTTGCCAAGCCGCACTCGAGTTCTCTAGGTAAAAGGCAACAAGTTGGAGTTGAAAGACTAAAACGTTTTTGCTCGATGTGAAGTCCGTGGGCTCGGAGCTGACGCCCACGCAGCAGGACGAAGTCCTGGAGGACCTGGGCTTCTTCCTGGACAACTTCGGCTCAACGTATGCGGTCCGTGTCACGTTGCAGCGCCGAGCAAAGAAGAAGAAGACGGCGACTTCTGCTTACCGGACGATGAACAGGCTGGAGACGATGTGGAGTCCACATCCACATTGTGGACAGAACGATGGCTGACTTGGACTTCTTCCTCCGAACCTTCGAGTCGACTCGAGCTGTGCGTGAGAAGTTGCAGAGCCAGAGACGCGAGGTTGTGGGCCTGCAACGAGCATTGCAATGGCTCCAGGAGCGGCGAGGGACGATGAACGAGAGCAGCGGGCCAAGTGAGGTGGGGTATTTATGCACTGTGCGAGAGGCGACACCAACAGAGGGGGAAATCTCGAGTCGAGAGATCAGAGCCAGAACAATATTCAAGAGCTGCAGGTGGAGGAAATCGACTGCAAGAAGCGTAACTGTGGCGAAAAAATGGGAGTAAGTGGCTCAAGCGAGCCCCACGAGCATCAATCGACGCTGCCGTGGCACCGAGCACGCCCCAATCGAAAAGAACCATCGAATTTTCGTGACGACGGAGAGTAGATCGACAGACGCAAAGACAACAAGAGCGGCGAGTGATCATCAAAGACGGCTGTGGTTTGGAACACGAAGTTGTTTTTGCTGAACGGAGCGTTGAAGGCAGCGATGATGAGAAGCGAGTAAAGCATTGCAATGTGCAAGTGAGCTGTGATAATTCCTATCGCCGAAACTAAAGCTGACGACGAGATTCAGGAAGAGCTCAAGTCACCGAAGAACACTGATGAGGATTCAGCCGTAGGAGTCGAGCCGATTGAAGGTGCTGAGTACCGTAGCGCTGCGGCGGGTAGATCTCCACTCAAACGCAAGACCGGGACCCTAATTGCCAAAACGGCCCCCAAGTAAAGGGTTTGTGTTGCCGTCACGGCAGCTACCGCATGTGCAAGGCTGATGGTTGCGACCAAAGGGCGGTGTCCTGGTATCGGTGCTTTCGTCACGGTCCTACCATGGTCTCCAAGCTGCTGAACTCGATCAGGGTGACAGATCCAACAACATTGAGATGGAGCAGCAAAGTGAAGCTCCATTGGTAAGCGTTCTAGGCACACAACATGCCAAGCCAAGGATTGCATGAAGTGGGGAATGCGGAATGGAGACAGCAGATACTGCAGCGATCATCAAGACAAGGCACTGCAGAGTGACGATTCTACACCAAAAGGCGTATCAACCGAGTCGGAGCAGTCGAAGTCTATTGAGCCTGCTAAGCCGATGAAACTCTACGATAAATGCTCTCAGTGCAAGCAACCTGGCTGCAAGAAGCGAGCCCGAAAAGTACTGCCGCAGGCATCGTCACGAGTGAAGCCACGATTGAACGCAGACATGCTGGTCTTTCAAAGAAAATGGATTCGTATTCATACCTAATATATTATTATACAGGCTCACGACACAACAACTAATGTTACCAACCCTCTTGAACGCTACTGGGACGACACATACTTGGCTCACGAAGCTTACGGCAGCATCGGTTGCTGGGGGTCCGCGTGGTTGGTGAGCAGATCCACTGCCACCTCAAACGTTGTGAGATAGTAGCCGAGCTCGCCAGTGATGTCTTGAGGGTCGCACATCACCCGCAGAAACTCGCGCGTGATCAACAGCTGCGACATATTGCTCGTGACCAGCGCGAACAAGTGCACCGAAATGAACTCGTCCGTGGTCATCGAAGGCCGCAGCACCATGTCCAGCTCCTCAACGGAAGTGAGGCTGCTAGTCGTTCCAACGGATGACGGAGAACGGGACGACCCACACGTCTGGAAAATAGCCCCCGCAGCACGAGCCAGGCACTTGAGTTTGTCGAGCGGCAGCGCGTAGTCGTTCACGCGGCGAAGCTCGCGACGAGCATCCTCCCAATCGCTTCCCGATCCGGCCACAATGTGCGGCGGCACGCCGAAAAAGGACTGAGGCTTGGTCTGAAGCACCTTGATCTTGTTTTTCAAAGCTCCTTCGTCGTCACAGTCCGTAAGCGTGTGCAGCGCTTCGTGAACATGGTCCTCCAGGGGCACAAGCACGCGCTTCTGCACAAATCCACACACTGCGTGCTTGATCTCGTCCAAGAACTCGTCGTAGTCCGGCTCTGTGCGCTCCGAGCGGGCCACTGCAAGCTGACTAAGCAGCACCTCGTCCCTGAGCATCACGTCCTTGATCTCACCCATCTTCCTCGACACGGTGTTCAGCAACGTCCGCGCCTTACGCTCCGGCATGACCACGTGCTTGTCGTCAACACTCATGCGCACGAGTGCAGCCACAAACGACTCGCATGCACGCGCGACCTTGTGGCTAGGCGCCGCGAAAATCTCCGCCACCAAGTGCGACGCGTTCACTTGGTTCTTGAGCAGGAAACATCTGCAACCACCGCGATCAAAGACGTCACAATGGCGGTGCACGCCCACGAACTCCTGCAGAAGCAGCACGGCCTTCCTCCGGCGTGGTCCAAGGGGCGCAGGCGCCACGAGCGCCGCCGTCTGCCTCAAGAACGAGTCAAACACCACGCGTCTCTGCGTGTTCAGCGAGCCTCGGAAGTGGAAGAATTTCTTGGGCAGTCGGAACCTCCTCAGGCCTCTGAACGTGCCCCACAGCGCTCTCTTGACGGGTGCGTCGGCCAAGCTGATCTGCTGGATCTGCGAGTAGAACTGCATCATCTCCTTGAGCGTCTTCCTGACCTCCCAGCGCTTCTGCGTCTCCGCGTCCGACACCTTGAGCACAAACAGGTCGTGGCCCTCCACGTTCTCCACCCGCACGACGCGCACCACCACGGCGTAGCGGATGTGCAGGTCCAGGTACTCTCTCGACGCGCAGTGCGGGTCAAAGGCCTCCTGCCTGGCCGTCTCCTCCTCATCCAGCGAGGAGCCGCGGCTCACGCGGCCGCAGTGACACAGGCGCATGGCCGAGGCCGACGCCGTGCGCGGCAGCGCCTTGCCGGCGGTGCAGCGCTGCTGGTGGTCCTGATTCTGATTCTGGTCCTGGGCCGGCCCGAAGGCGGCGATGAGCGCGTCCGCGCCGTCGTCGTCGTCTGCGTCCGTGGCGTCCTCGTCGCTGTCCTCCACGTCGCTGAGGCAGCAGAGCGGCTCGGCCTCGGGCTCGGCCGCGGCGGGGTCCTGCAGCTCCACGTCCTGGTCGAGCGTGGGCGCGCGCCGGCGCTTGCGGCCCTGGGACGCCGAGAGCTGCTCCACGAGGCACTTGCCGCCCATGAGCCGGTCCACGGCCGCGGGCTCCAGCGACAGCTCGGCGAAGTCCTCGTCGCGCAGCAGCTCGTTCTCCAGCGGCGGCGGACTCGAAGCCGCCATGTTCAACACGCCAAGAATGAATGTGGCAGCAGCGCGGCCAATTCTTTAGTGAGCCCGGCGATGGTCCCATCTGAAGAGCAGAAAAGCAGTTGCGGTAGAAGTACCGTTGCGCGTCAATTTTGTAGAATTATGATAAAGTTTTACCGTGTCGTTTAGAGCTTTTGCTCATTTAACATGTGACGCGTTATACAAGGTTATGTGAAAGTGCAGGAATGAACAAAACGTTTTGGCGGGTACTGTACCGCTGCATAAGGATTTGAGATTTGAGATGCCACCACGCCAAACCAAGAAGATGTGGACTGATCATGGGCATTGCCGCGCTCGCGGCGCAGCTCCCGCCGTGTTCTCCACGCAGAGGCCCACCTGGCCGGTCAAGCGCCGCCTGCTGCACGCCATGCGGCGCTCGGCAGTTGCTTGCAGCGTGCGCCGTGCTCTGACGCGCGGCGCACCGCCAAGTCTATCTAGCGAAACCTGAATTTTCGGCCAAACAGACGGAAGAGCAACTTCCGACATCCGGAACGGAGCACCGAATTAATTGGCAGGGCACCGACGCCAAACCAAGCAGCGTGCGACTCGCTCGCTTGCTTGCTTGAAGCCGCAGCAGCACCACCAGTGTTACAGCCTCGCTCACCATTGACTTCAAGAAGGTCTCGTCAAGCGAAGATGTTAGGGCTTCTTCTTGGTGAGCCTCATCACCTTTCGGACCGCAAGTTCCTCCCCAGGCCAATGGCCCGGTTTCAGTGTATCAGTTGCTGCGCAAGCACCAGGCGCGAGTCGCTCGCCCGGCTCTCAAGTGCCATCGCTGGCGTGCGTCCGAAGGAGATCGACTCGACGGTCTCCGATAAGAAGGTCGTGGATACCAGGCGGGTCAGGACACCTAGCCTGTCATGACCAAGCACCCGCCAGAGCTCTCAGATACCTACTCTAGTACCATGCAGCAGCAGTACCTAGATGACCAGCTCCATCTCGACTCGACCTTGCAAACACGCGCCGACCGGCAGGCATATCTTGGCCCGTCTTGAGTTGAGGCTGTTGGACACGCTCAAGCTCCAGCATTTTACACGAATCTCTCTAGGCAGCGTCGCGACGTCGCGCACTGCAACTTGTGGCGCGGCAACGTTGCGAGCCGCTCAAGTCCCAATCCCGCGGAGTGGGGAGTGGCACCGCCATCGTCATGGTGACGCCTTGACTTGCGCTTGGTACAGGTACACTACATTTGCGTGGTCCACACCTCTTTTTGCCCGAGCTAACGAGCGCCTTATCGAAAGCCGGTCCCCGCCGAGGAGGAGGAGCAGGACGAGGAGATCATGACGTCCATGGCCAACGGGGTGGTCAAGCTGGGGGAGCTGCCGGCGCTGGAGGACGTGCCCCCGAGCGAGCGCATGCGGCTGTTCCGCCAGAAGCTCAAGCTCTGCTGCGCGCTCTACGACTTCAGCGACATGCGCAAGCAGGTGCGCGAGAAGGAGGCCAAGCGCAACGCGCTGCTGCAGATCGTCGAGTACATCTCGGCCGGGAAGGTGGCCTGGGACCCCTCGGTGGTGGCCGACCTGCTCGAGTGCGTGGGCGCCAACATCTTCCGCCACTTGGGGCGCAGCTCCAACCCCACGACGGTCAACGCCAACGGGAACGTCGAAGGTGAGGGAGGATATCCCCCCACTCTGCTCTACCTTCCTCTCTCTTGCCCCCCCCCTAATGTATTGGTGGTGTTTATCTATTGCAGCCGCGCCGGAGGATGACGAGCCGATGCTGGAGCCCTCGTGGCCGCACATGCAGTTGGTGTACGAGATCCTGCTGCGCTTCGTGCTGTCGAAGGAGGTGGACTCGAGGACGGCCAAGGAGTACTTCAGCAAGAAGTTCATGATTAAGCTGCTGAATCTGTTCGACTCGGAGGACCCCAGGGAGAGGGACTACCTGAAGGTCCGGGAGTGTCTGGTCATGGCTCAAAGAGGGGAGTCGTGGATCGCTCACTGACTGGATTCGTGAATTGTTGCTCGGATACTTTTATTCGGTGTATGTTGCAGACGATTCTGCACCGCATTTACGGCAAGTCGATGGCGCTGCGTTCCTTCATCCGCCGCTCCATGAACGACATGTTCTACACGTTTGTGTACGAAACGGAATCACTTCAAGGCGTGGGCGAGCTGTTGGAAATCTTGGGAAGGTGCGTTTGCGTAGATGCCCGTTGGGTTGCGTTACGCTGAGTTAGGCCGTGATGGGCAGTGGCTCACCCCTTGCGTCTTGACCATGCAGTATTATCAATGGTTTTGCACTACCGCTCAAGCCGGAGCACCAACACTTCCTGGAGCGCGCGCTGATCCCGCTTCACACGGTGCGTTCTCTTTATTTCTCCACGTAATGAGCAAACAGGGTATCCGATAGATCTAAGATATCTAACTAACCGCTGCTATCGTCGTGTGATCTGGCGAGTAGGCAGGAAATCTAGCCATGTTTCACCAGCAACTGGCTTACTGCACCACGCAGTTCGTGGAGAAGGACCCTCAGACCGCGGAGCCGATCATTAGGGGGCTGCTCAAGTACTGGCCGGTTACTGCTAGCGCCAAAGAGGTATTGCATTGTCTGGATGCCTGTCAAGCGGGTTATTCGGGTCTTGTCACTCATGCGTGTTTCTGTTCTACTGTAGATCCTGTTCCTGAATGAGCTCGAGGAGATCATCGAAATGATCCAGATGGAGCAGTTCGCGGCAGTAATGCGGCCGCTCTTCCTGCGGATATCGCAGGCTGTGTGCAGCAGCCACTTCCAGGTCTCTCAGCGCGCCTTATATTTATGGAATAACGAGGCTCTGGTGCGGCTCGTGAGTGCACGGCGGGCCGAGATCCTGCCGCTGATCTTCGGCGCGCTGTACCGCAACTGCGAGAACCACTGGCACAGCACCGTGCAGACGTTGACGTACAACGTGCTCAAGCTCTTCATGGAAATGGACTCGCAGCTCTTCGACCAGTGCTCAGCGCAGTTCGAGGAGCGCGAAGGAAGGTGAGTCAGCATTCATGCATGCAACGTCTGCGCAGCCCTGCTCTTGCACGGGCTCACTCTCGTTTAACAAAATCCCCGATCTGCATCGCTAACGGTATTTATGTGTTTATGTGTCCTTCCTGACTACAGAGCGCAGCAGACGACGGAGCAGCGCCAGTTCAAGTGGGCAGCCTTAGAACACCGCTTGCAGGCGCAGGGACCAATGTGACAGAAGCGCACGAAGTCCGTTGCTGCCGCCACCGAACGATGACAACTACAAATAACGCGATACAGCCACGCCATCACATCACACCCGACTGCGGAGGGCGGCGGCGCGAGCAGTGCGGCGAGTCAGGCGTCTGTCCGATCTGCAAACGGTTGGTATATTCATTTTATCGGCTCGAGTAGATAGGCAGGCATGACGGACGCGCCAGTGCAAGCCGCTCGCTCTCGCCCCATCGCCCGCCGCTTTTGTCTTGTGCGCGCGCCGCGTTTTGCATGTTTCTCTATCTCTTGCCTTTTTTGCATTGCGCTTCGAGGTGCCCACATAACGTATCAACGCCTCGACCCGCTCGTATCAATAGCTTTTCATTGTGAAGGAAGTTATCCAAGTGTTTCAACCATCGCAGTGCATGGCATGGAGCTCCAGGACATCAGCGCAAGTGTCGTACGGCTTGAAGTTGCCGCAATAGCTACGGGTAATCGAAGGGAGCACCACACTGGACACCTAATGACGCCATACATCGATGGAACGTCTGGAATTGCCACCGTCGTGCACCTTTGCTCAGACTGCTCAGTCTGGAATTCCCCGACTAGGAGGCAGATCGATCGAACGACTGGCGAGTGCCATGACACCCCCACAGCGTGTTGCGGAACGTGACTTCCTCGCCAACATCACTGCGGAACACGCTTCGTAATGCGAGGGTCGCAGCGAGCCCCTACAGACTGGGTCTAATAGCCGAGCGTGTTCGCCGTATGCATGGCAATCGTGTTCCCAACTATGCGCTCAGGTTTGACGCTGCTGACAGTGCCTCCGCGTTTGAGGTGGGCACCGAAGCTGAGACCGTTGTCAGCAGTGCCCTTCGAGTGGATGTTGAGCCAGGGAATCAGGATCCCAACACTGCTGATGTCGCTGATGCTGGCAATGGAGGCTACAACCACCAGGTACCTCACAGCGATCGCGGCATTCCGTCGGAGGTCGCTTCAGCGGATCAGTGCGAGACGGACGTCATTCAGCTGCTAACGAGGATACGCGCAGACATTGAAGCTTCGACGGCGATGCCGCTGGAGATGACCCCACCATTCGTGCCACTGAGGAACACCAACGGCAGGAGCAACAACAGTAAGCAGCAGCACAGCAATGGCCGCGTCGACGCAAGGCCATGCCGGTTGTGGCATCGAGCTGCAGCACGACGTCATTGCTCCCCCCCTCGCGGGCATTTCCAGCCGCACACGTCACAGGCGCGGCCGCGTTGGTTGAAGGCACGCCCGTATCCGTTAAGGCCCGTTAAGCGTCTAATTAACCCTATCGAACGGGTTCAGCCCGCGAAACCCGCGTAGAATTACCCAATCAGCGATTTTTAACTCGGCGCTGTTTTTGGCGGTCCTTTCACCCCCTCCGTCAGCATACAAAACCCAAGTAAATTGGCTTGTGTGGTCCTCATTGGCTCCCCCCGGGGCGGATCGCCCCCCCGGTGTGCGGCTGAGGGCTCTTTGGTTCATTTCCGCTTTCGGCCGCAGACGACCTAAGGAAGAAAAGATGCTGTCTCGTGTGGTGCGCGCCGGTGCGCGCTCGTTCGCGACCGACGCCAAGAAGGCCTCGGGCTCGGTGGGCCAGATCACGCAGATCATTGGTGCCGTCGTGGATGTCCAGTTCAAGGACAACCTGCCCCCCATCCTGAACGCCCTGGAGATCAAGACCCAGGACAACACGCGCATCGTGCTCGAGGTCGCCCAGCACCTGGGTGAGAACACGGTCCGCACCATCGCCATGGAGGGCACGGACGGTCTCGTCCGCGGCCAGGAGTGCGTCGACACGGGCAACCCCATCATGGTACGTTTCAAATTTTCAGATACCTCTTCAGATTTTTGTTTAGCACAAGTCTAGATCAAAGTTATTTATATATTTATTCTGTATTTTTTTTCTTATTTGGAACGCGGTTTTAGGTCCCCGTGGGTCCCGAGACGCTCGGCCGTATCATGAACGTGATCGGCGAGTCCGTGGACGAGCGCGGCCCCATCAACGCCAAGCGTTACGCGCCCATCCACACGTCGGCCCCGCTGCTGACGGAGCAGGGCTCTGGCGCCGAGATCCTGGTGACGGGCATGAAGGTCGTGGACCTGCTGGCCCCGTACGCCAAGGGTGGCAAGATCGGTCTCTTCGGCGGTGCCGGTGTCGGCAAGACGGTCGTCATCATGGAGCTCATTAACAACGTGGCCAACAACCACGGTGGTGTGTCGGTGTTCGCCGGCGTGGGCGAGCGCACCCGTGAGGGTAACGACCTGTACTACGAGATGATCGAGTCGGGTGTGATCAAGATCAACGAGGACGGCACGACCACCGGCTCCAAGGCCGCCCTGGTGTACGGCCAGATGAACGAGCCCCCTGGAGCCCGTGCCCGCGTCGGCCTGACCGGTCTGACCGTCGCCGAGTACTTCCGTGACGTCGAGGGCCAGGACGTGCTGCTGTTCGTCGACAACATTTTCCGCTTCACGCAGGCGTGCTCGGAGGTGTCGGCTCTGCTGGGCCGTATCCCGTCCGCTGTGGGTTACCAGCCGACGCTGGCCACGGACCTGGGTGCTCTGCAGGAGCGTATTACCTCGACCAAGAAGGGCTCCATTACCTCGGTGCAGGCCATTTACGTGCCCGCCGATGACCTGACGGACCCGGCCCCGGCCACCACGTTCTCCCACCTGGACGCCACGACCGTGCTGTCGCGTCAGATTTCCGAGCTCGGTATCTACCCGGCCGTGGACCCCCTCGACTCCAAGTCGCGTATGCTCGACCCCCGCATTATCGGCCAGGAGCACTACGACGTGGCCCGTGCCACCCAGAAGCTGCTGCAGGACTACAAGGGTCTGCAGGACATTATCGCCATTCTGGGTATGGACGAGCTGTCGGAGGACGACAAGCTCACCGTGGCTCGCGCCCGTAAGGTGCAGAAGTTCATGTCGCAGCCGCTGCACGTGGCTGAGGTGTTCACGGGCAAGGCCGGCAAGTTCGTGCCGCTCGTCGACACGATCTCGTCGTTCAAGGACATCATCGCCGGCAACTACGACGACCTTCCGGAGGCCGCCTTCTACATGGTCGGTGGCATCGAGGAGGTGAAGGCGAAGGCTGCTGAGCTGGCGGCCGAGCTCGACGAATAAGTTACTCGGTTCGATATGCAGAGCGGAAAAGCAACCCAACTCCTTCCAGCGGAAGAAAGCGGCGTCTAGTGTGCGGCACGTGAGACCGGAAATTGAAAAAGCAACAAAGTACTCGAGCAGGCCTCTGCGGTTTGTAATTGGACTAGCTTTCTTTGTATCTGCTGCTTCTCATTTCATTTCGACGTGATGTGTACGAGCTCCAACCTTCTCCCATAAAGCAATGAAAAACATAACTCAAACACTCCTGTCGTTCGTTGTTCATTCATTCCGCCATGAAGCTACAGCTACGCTACGTCAAAACGTTCAAGAGTGCGTGGCGACTTGTTCATTCACCGCTCGACACGTGTGGTCGAGGCGGATCGTCGGACCCAAGGTGGTGGTTTCTGGCACAAAGTCGTGTTGCCGTGGTCTTGAGTCCTCACACTCTTCTGATAATCTACTGTGGCTTGTCGGCACTTGTCGAGACGCAGAAGTGCACATGGACAGCAGCAGGTGTATTGCTTCAGTTCATAGTGGACCGATCACCTACCTTTTCCAGCGGTGTGCACAGAACGAGCCTAGCCTACAGTACAGTCATCATTGAGAGACCCCGAACGCACGCGTCTTTTGCTGTTTCTCGATTTATGACGATCACGAATTGCGGCGCAACACAGAGGACAGTCCTTGGGCAGCTACACCACGCCACGCCACGCTCCTCTCTTCTATTTTCTAATCATATTCGAAGTCCTCATCGAAGTCCTCGTCGTCGTCATCGTCGTCCACAATCTCGTCGTCGTCCTCGAGCTCCGCGGCCGCGATGATTTCTTCGTCGATAGCCTTCCACTGCTCGGGCGTGGGCTCCGGGTACCGGGACAGGTACGGCAGCAATGCCAGCTGACGCGAGATCTTGATGGCCTGAGCCACCTTGCGCTGCTGCTTGGCCGTGAGGCCTGTGAACCGGCGCGGGCGGATGCGGCCCGTGGGGGAGATGAACAGCCGCAGCAGGTCCACGTCCAGCGCCAGCTCCACGACGTCCGGGTGGTTAGCGGCCACGAAGTACTTCCACGGCTTGGTCTTGTCCTTCCGGAAGGGCTTCCTCTTCTCGGCAGGCAGCATCCAGTTGAGCATCTCGGGCGAGACGGCGTAGCCCTGCTGCCAGTGCTGGAACGGGTCGGCCACGTCCTCGTCCGCGTTCACGCCGATCTGACTCTCCGCGAGGCTCAGGGACGCGTCGTAGCCCGGCATCTCCACGTACAGGCGGTCGTCCTCCACGTCGCCCGTGTAGCTGCCTAGGGCCACGCCCTCCTCGTCGTCGTACTCGCCGTCCTGCGCCTCCTGGTCCCACTCGGCCACCTCGCGCTCGAACTTCTTGGCCCACTCGGCGGGGCTCAGCTCGGCGTCCTCATCGCCGTCCTCGTCATCGTCGTCGTCGTCGAACTCCTCGGCGAACTTGAGGTCGCTCTCGTCGAGCTGCTGACTCAGGTACTTGACCGCGTCCGGCAGCTCCGTCAGGTCCTCGTCGTCCTCCACCTTGTCGAACGTCGACTTCTTCTTGAAATCTAGAATATAATACAGTAGCAACAAAGGTTAGCACTGGTTTATCTGGTTATGCACTAGTGGTAAACCTGTTGCGTTGCGTTGCAACAGGTTAACACTAGCCTAAAAGGTTTGTGACTTTGGATACGCACCCTTCTTGCCGTCGTCCTTGCCCTTGGTGGCCATCGAGCGGACGCCGCCAATCACAGACAGCGCATCGTTGTGCACGGCCAATGAGCGCGGGAGCTGCGCACGCAGCACGGCGGACTTGGCGCCAGGACCGGCACGACGACCCAGCGCTAATGCATTGATACGCACGTTTAGAGAGAGATCGGGTTAGGGAGTTCAGCACTAGCCTAAAATTTAGCACCACTTAACCGCCGCAACACGCACCAGCGATCGCAGACGCGCAGGGACGAAGCCACACGCGCACCATCTTGACGTCTCTCGGATGCTCCTCCACCGCTCGCTGCTCGGGGGTTTGCTTCTGTGGTTGACAGCGGAGCTGTTCGCCTATCTCGTGTGGACCCCTCCACGAACGCGTCCATTGGATAAAAATATGGTGTTGCAAGTCTGTGTACACTACATAAAATACACACAAAATGCACACATCCAAGTTGAAGTTGGTTCATAATAAACCAGTACACTAGCGGCCACAGCGAATGAAAAAGTAACTTCAGTCCTCCTGGCTCGCACTCGTGCGTCCGCAAACCAGGTCGTCCGTCATCTAAATGCAATCGCCGTTCATGAAAACCTATCTGCCTGCCTGCCACCTCCTCTCTCTCATGTGCTGCTGTTTCTCCCGCGCTCTGCGCGAGGAGTGTTGTGACAGGATCGTCGCAAGCAGAGGACAGAGCTACACAGTCGCCGCCGCGCCGGATCCGCCAGACTTTGCAGCGCGAGCGTCATCCGGCCACAGCAGTAACAATGGAGCCCTCGCCTCCTCTTGGTCGTCGTCCCCTCTCCTCCTTCCCCCTACTGCGATCTTCGCTCTACCCCATCTCCGCCCGCTTGGTCCAACTCGTTATCATTCGCTGCTATAGTGTCCGCAGGCAAGCTCGTGCAAGGCGCTCGCCGCGATCTGCTCTGCAAAAAGACGCAACTTAGGCCGTTGACGATGGAGCCTTCGATGCTGCCATCGACTCTATTTTCCGCCACTTCTCCTGCTCTTTGTCCTTCACGTCGGCCATCGCTTGCTCCTTCAGCGAGTACTCCTTTGCACACTGGTCATAAAGCGCCATGTCGTAGTCCATGTAGAGCTTCAGCACGTTCTGGGCGAGGCCTTCGACTGTCGTGTTCCAGTGTCCCAGCGAGTTTCTATGGAGGGGGCCGTAAATGACCGGCAGGATCAGGTGCGCGTGCTGCTTGCTCAAGCATCCGTTGTTCACCAGGTGCTCGTTGTTCCACAGGAACAGCGACCGCTCCGAGACCTGGAAGTGCTGGCTGCCGAGCCACTTGGCCAGGCCGTTGAAGAGTGGCTTGTGCACCTGCTGCAGCTGCTCGCTGCCCATAAGCTCCAGGATCTCCTCCAGCTCGTTCAGGAAGATCACCTGCTTGGACGAGCACGACCACGGCCAGAACTTGATGATGCCCTGGATAATGGGCACTGCTGTCTCCGGGTCCTTTTCTACGTACTGCGTGATGCAATAGGAAAGCTGCTGGTGGTACATTGATACGCACTTGGGCTTGTGCAGCGGCACGAGCGCGCGCACGAGGAACTGCAGGTGCTCGGCCTTGAGCGGCATGGCGAAGCCGTTGATGATACTGCCCAGGATCTCCAGCAGCTCGCCGATGCCGTTGTGCCGCTCCGTCTCGTACACGAACCGGTAGAAGACGTTGCTGATGGCCTTGCGGATGAAGGACCGGTGCGACATAAACTTGCCGTAGATGCGGTGCAGGATGGTCTTGAGGTAATCCCGCTCGCGCGGGTCCTCGCTGTCGAACAGGTCGATGACCGCCAGGCAGAACTTCTGGTCCACGTACTTCTTGGCCACCTTGGCGTTCACCTCGCCCGACACGATGAAGCGCAGGAAAAATTCATACACCACTTGAAGATGTGGCCACGAGGCTTCCAGCACGGGCTCGTCCTCCTCCGGGTCAAAGTCCTCCGTCTGCGGGGGCAGCGCGCGGCAAATGTTGACCGACACCATCGACATGATGTCGGGCATGAGCGTCTCCGTGAAGATCTTCTGGCCTCCGGGGTTGTTCACGTAATCTACCAGCTCCAGCAGCGTCTGGCGCTTCAGGTCCTTGCCCCTGCAAAATAAGACCCGGTTAGATAAAACCGAGTTTCTGGATAAGTAAAACCCAAAAATCTGTCTCTAAAGGCAGAATAAAACTCACCGCTTGTCCGAGGTGGGGTCGTCGAAATTGAAGATGACCGAGCAGAGCTCGAGCTTCTGCTGGAACAGCGCCTCTCGCCGCTGCAGCGACGTGTCCTTGAGGTGCGGCAGGTCCTTGAGCGCCTGGATCTTCTGGTTGCGCGCCATGAACGAGCGGCGGCGCTCGCGCTTGGGCAGCGACACGTCCGAGCGCGCCACTTCGCCCACGGGCGAGCCGGCGCCAACGCCCTTGGCCGCGCCGTCCACGTCCATCCGATCGGGGGAGTTGGCGCCCAGGTGCTCTCCGTTGTTGCTAAGCTTCCGTTTCACCGTTTGCAGCATCCCCTTCATCGCTTAGTTACCCCGCCAGCGTGTCTTCTAGTCCGATGGGGGGGGAACTCTCTCACTCACCCACCCAGTTGAGGATTTTCAAAACCCAAATCAGGTCGTTTCCGCACTGTAAATGAGAGAGAGGAAAAAGTGAGTGAGTGATGAATGGCAACTTGGCAACACCAGGTTAGCCACTTTTTGCCACGCCAGACTTTTAGCACCACTTAAAGCGACAGGGTGGGTAAAGATGGCGGGGCGAGTCAAACCTAACCGACCGGCAAAAGAGGCCCGACGGAGGTGCAACCGACGAAGACAACACACGCGCGCGTACGTACGCTGAGAGATGGAGCTGCTGGCCGCCGGTGACTGCGCGGGGGGGCTGGCTGGCTACTTGCGACTGCGTGCTGCTGGTGGCCGTCCGCTGGCTTCCCTTGCGAGTCTCTCAGTCGCGTTTTCTTTCCTTCCTTTTCCTCCCCCCTTTCGCCCTCCACGCACACCCAGTTTACTTCATATAACCAAATACCCTTGGATAAACGATATTATACCATCCCTTTTACAATCGGTTATCACCTATCAAAACCAATCGCCTTGATAATATGTTACATTAAGTATCTATCTATATGAAAACCGCTACAGTACGACTGCCGGCTGGCCGATTGGCACTATACAAAACTCAAGTGGTTTGTGTAGCGGATAGGGGATCCTCACGCCACCTGGTTGAGGCAGGAAATAGCAATCGCATGGGCGATTTAGACGCCGATTTACGCCCATGGAGCGCGAGCTCTCGCGGCGCTGCCGACGCTGCGTGCGCGTGGCCGAGTTCGTGACGGTGGGCGCCGCAGCGTCCAGCAGCTCAAGCACCGTCCGGACTGGCAATGGTAGCGGCGCCGCGAGCGCAGAGGGCGACAGGACGCCGTTGTTCGCCGGCTACGTGGAGGTTCTGCACGCGCGCAACGCTTGGCTGGCAGTGCGCGTGGACATCTGGACGATCAGAGACACTTGCTTCCGCCAAGGTGCAAATGCAAATGCAAATGCAAATGGCAGTAATCTCGGCAACGCAACTTTAATTAATCAGATTATGATACAATATTTGGCAGTGAAGGCGGGGGGTGCGTATCTTCACGAGTCTCTAAACGATGTTGCATTGGAGGCGCCGAGTGAAGAGGCAATGGAAAAGTTGCAGCAAGTCAAGCCACTTGGGATAAAGGTTTCCTCTAGGGGGGATGAGCTGCCGGCGTTGACAGGCGACGAGTTGACTGCAACACTGGAAGAAGTGGTAACGCAACTTGTTGCCGCGTTTCAGGAGGTGCAAGTGCAAGTGAGTTGCAATGGCAATGGCAACTGCAAGGTTCACTTAACCGATGAATTAACCTTAATTCAATATTTTTTACTGTAGGCATTGCAAGCTGCAACATCGCAGCGAGCGAAATTCGAGTACGAGATGCTGCAACATCATCCCGACCTGGAGGTGCTGGTGTTAACCAGCTCCAGTAGTGGAAGCTACGTGCTCTTTGCTCTACCATTACTGGGAGACAAACCTCAATGGGATCCGAAGAAATTGTTAGAGACAGAGGACCCGGAGCTGGTTTTCATCCCTCACGGATTCCACGCCCCCAACTTCTCGACTGCAACGGACGGATTGACGATTTCCATCGGATATCCTCTAAAAGATGATGCTGACATGAAACTTGACGGCGCGTGGCCGCTTTTCGTCGAGTGGCCCGCTAGGATGTTGCTGTCGAGCCAAGTGACGCAGACTCCGCCGTCAAGTAAGGCACAATCTTCCGTCGAATTAATCGCGTCCTGCAAAAAGGTGAGTTTTCATTTGGAGTGTTTGTATTGAGGCTTGTGCATTGTTGCTGATGAGAAATCGACTGTGTACTGTAGATGTTTCTCCAACAGTGGAGGAGGCGCAAAGAATTTATTGCAGAACTGCGTCGCCACGTGATAGGTAAGCGTGTAGTACTGTACATTCAGTGTCGCTCTGATGGGTGTTTGTCTAACCTATAGTTTGGCTTTGTTCTTTTGAGTAGTTTTAGAGTACGACGCCGTGGACTTTTCGCAGGTGTTTTTCATGCTTCAGGAGCAGTTGGACGCGCAGTCCCCACTGCGTATCATCGTGTTGCGGCTGCAGTTCACGGCCGCGTTCTTCTTGACGAACTGCACGAGCGACTTGCAGGTGGCGATGCTCGACGGAGAAGGAGCTGCTGGCTCTGTTGCCGTGGCGCTCGGTGACTCGAGCACTCCTGCCAGTCCAGACAGCCAAGCGGACGTTGCTCAGTTCCTCCATGCCACTCGGAAGAGCTTGCTCCGCCACTTTTACGGAGAATGAGGCGCGCTATGAAATCGATCGTAGACGTTGAAAGTATGAAACATCATGTAAAGCTTGCCGCCATGAGCGTCACCATGTTTCACTTCCTTTCCAGTAGACGATCAAATACACCGGTGCGCCATGGTCAGTTTAGTCAAATCACGAATACTATATCGCCTGTCTCCGCCTCCACCTACGTGGAGCCTCCACGGTGGAGGCCGCCACGCTCGACGTCGCAGATTACAACTTGCCGTTGAAGCCCATGCTTCAACTGCACTGACCGCACCTCGTCTATTTTGCACAATTTCACCATGTCTCCATGCATTGCGAGCGTCCATCCCTTCTTCGTCGGCATCAAACCAGACCGCACCAGCTCACCAACCTCCAAATGCACACACTCCATCACCTCAAGTACCCCCCCCCTCACGATTAATGCCATCGCTATCATCGTAACTGCAGCGAACCGAACTCCATGCTGCTTCGTCATCGCAAGTGGCTCTATTCGTCTGCAGGTCGCCAACTTCAACTTCCAGCCGTATCTATGCACGTCACCATGCATTCACGCTGCAGCAGATGCGTCAAGTCAACGCAGCAATGCTTACCCTCCATCCTCCTCTCTAAATCCCCCACCACAATTGCATCACTTCCCATTCCTCCGCGTCTCTCCACCAGCGACCTCTCACACTCTCACCCCCCCCCTCAATCCATTGCCATGCGCGAGGCTCTGTTAACCCCCGAGGACGAGCAGTACCTGTCCCTGCTGGAAGCTCGTCGCGACCAGCACTTCACCCATGCGCCATTGCTCTCCAACTTCCGAGTCCTCGCGCTCTTCTCGTACGATGACGATGACGTAGACGGCCAGACCGCCGACAAGTTCGTGGTGGGGGCCAACGCCGAGTGCGCCAACATCGGCGGCGCCACGTGCGCCGAGCGCGCGGCCATGGCGCAGCTGCAGCTGCTGCCCGTCAAGCGCGTGCGCAAGATCTACATCGTGTCGGACTCGCCGCAGTGTTTAACACCCGGCACTCTGTGTCGCGAGTTCCTGCTCTCCAGCCCCTTGATCAGCGAGGACACGCCGTTCGTGTCACGCGCCAAGAATTGCCGCCCGTGCGTCACCACGTTGAAGGAGCTGTACCCGTTCCCGTCGCTCTACGACCGACTGCCCCGCACTCAAGTGTTGCCGTTCGCCCGCAACTTTTGCTGCCAATTCGCTGGCAGTAGTAGTAGTAACCTGCAACCGCAAGAGGGGGAGACACTCGTCACTCCGTTCATCAAGTTGCAGCTCTCTCGCATGTCTCCGGACGAACAGGAAGTGTACTTGCGAGCTCTAAAGGCGACGGAGAGAGACTCAAGGGACGACCTCTTCCCGTTGAGGTACGCGGCGGGCACAAAGTTCTCGGACGGGGACGTGCGCGTCACGTGGCAACACAAGACGCTCGAGTACGGCAGCTCCCTGGACGCCATCTCCAAGCTCATCCCGTTCGTCGAGGACAAGCAGTACAATACGCAACAACCCGCCAAGCCCGAGTTCCTGATGCAGGTGGACCAGTTCGGCATCCTCCACGCGCCGTTTGCACGCGCACGAGCCTATTTCTTCGAGTTCGGCTTCCTCGACACGCCCGTGCTGGTGCATGACGCCAAGGGGGAGCTGCACCGCGTCCCTATTGGAACGCTCGTGGCCGAGTCTCCGGACTGTATCGCTGCGTCTACGGCCATGATGAAGTAGATCAGGAGACTATTGGTCGCTTTCTTCGATGAGGGCGGGGCTGCTGCTTCTGACTCGACTTCGTCTTGCTCGCAGCACCTTCATGCGCGTCTGGATCAACGTTCGCATCTGCTGGAGCTGCTCGGGTGAAGCTTGGCGGAACTAATACAAAAGCATGAAAAGGTGTTAGGATACTACAAACAAGGATAATACAATAGCCATATTCATAACGTACAAGTGTCGGGAGCAGCTCTTTGAGGCTGATGGTGCCGTTGGAGTCCCTGTCGATGGAGTAGAAGAGGTTCTCGACGCTCGTAGCGCTGTTCCTTCGGTCGCTGCCCTCGAGACCGCAGAACCTGACCAACTGCGTCCATTCTTGTTGGTTCAAGTCCCCGGATCCGTCTTCATCGAGTCGAGCGAGACCTACAGCGAGTTGCTCGACTTGTTTTACAGTGTAGTGAGGTCCGAACGGGTTCTTGCCCGGTGACAATGCTGGCGTGGATGTAGAGCGACGCATACTGCTCGCAGTCGGAGATATCGGTTGGCGCTGCTCTGCGTGTTCTTTAGGCACTTTAGGCTTGGAACTCAAGAGACAGACGTTCGCGACGATCTTCTGGCACAACTTGATCTTGCGTTCGATGTTGCTGTTGCGACGCAGTTTCTCCGGGCTGGTAGGCGGCGACTCGGCTGTGGATTGCTGTAGTATTGGCGCCGATGCACTCGAGTTTAGAGAAGATGATAAAGCATCAGGATGGTCGAGTTCTTGCACTTGTACAGCGGATGAGGACGGTGTGAGCTTGGGGAGAGACACGTTGCGAGCGAGGACGATGACACTCGCGTCCATTTTGATGTTTAAACCGGTCGACTCCATTGACGAGCGTTGCAGTTGCAGGCGCTTCGTTGGTGTGGATTTAACTGATTTGCTCAATGGGGAGGCAGCGTCCTGCAGCTTATCGCGCAAGAACTGGGACGGCTCGACATCTAACCTCCTGAAGGCTCCGACCGAAGCTTTAGCCACCGCAGCCGCACGACGTTCAACCTCCAGAGGATAATTGGTCAACGTTTTCGACGCTGCTGAAGAGAGTTCCGGGGTTGGTTGTGGACTGTGGTTCACCATGGCACGAGCTTTGGCCTTCGCTTTGGCCCTCGCCCTGCCCATTTCTTCCGGCGTGGAGAACAGCGGAGCGAGCGCCGCCACGCGCTTCTTCTTGTCCGCGACGTCCGCCAGCAACGCAGTTGAGTTCTTCGCGATACAACGGAGATGTTGCGCTTCTTCCGGTCCAAAGACCCCATGTTGAACGCCTGAAGTGACCGAAGTCACGGAGAACGGCGCTTGCATTAGCAAGACGTTCGCTGCGTGGGTCAAAGCCGTCGACGCGTCGGGGAACAACGGAGCTTCCGTCATCTTCGACGGAGATTCAGCCTCCAACAGCGACGACGGCGTAGCGAAGGAAGTATCAGGAGCCACCTGATCGCTTTGAGGCTGTTGCTGATGTCCTGCTTTACGCTGCCTCCTCTGCTCCTTCTTCAGGCGACGCTGGTGCTTGGCGATAACTTCGCGGGCGATGCGTTCGAACAGCTCCTTCCTGTCTCCACCCACGGTGTGATCGCGACGGACGAACTTCCAGGCCGAAGCAGAGGCAGACGACTGCTCTCCTGTGGTCAAGATGTGGCCGACACACGTTGCTGTTTGGTCCCAGATCTTGACCACGCCATCGGCGCCTAACGAGAGCAGTTCACCAGGCCACGGAACTCTCTGCAGTGACAAGACACCGGCATGGTGCGCCATCCAGGACTTGGTCGACGACACCACTGGGAGAGCTGCTGGTCCTTCGACTATCGACGCCCGACGACTGGCAACTCCCCCTTCAATCGCTTGAATGTCAACGTGGTTGTACTGTGCGTTGGATGATCGACGACGCAGAATCGCCGAGCGTCTCGTTGGTTGTGTTTCAGACTGAGGATTCCCAGTGAGGAAGCGGAGATCCCAAGCGAAGATCTGGCCCGTTTCAATGCCAACGTACAGCATCTCTGGGTGTGTACTGGTAGCTGCGTGTGATGGTTCAGGTGAGACGCTGGTCGAGCAAATGGAAGTGACGCCGTCCAGCTCGAGTTTGCTTTGTAGAGGCCGGGACGGGGTGGACTCGACCATCACGAGTCGCATGAGGGGGTAAGCGATGCTGCTGCGAACGCCGATCGTTGGCCAGACGAAGATGCCTCCTGTCACGTCGGCGGAGACTAGTAGTCCGGGCGTTGCAGGGGGAAAGTGAAGCGCTCGGATCTCTCGAGTGTGGACAGAAGCGCAACGAAATAACAGCGTGATACGGCGGAGATCGTAGACTTGTACCCCGCCAGCGTCGTCCGCTGTAGCGACGAACCTCGTGGTATGCAACTCGGTTGACGATGGCGGAGGTGAACACGTGCAGCACGTGATACTCGACTTGTGCGCCTTCTCTATAAAGTGCACCACTTCCAGATTCGACTCTCCTGGCGGCGAATCCAAGACGCAGATCATCCGATCTTCGCCCGTTGATACTAAACACTGCAAACACATCGAGTGAGAACTCGAGCTGGAATACTATCTGCTAAATACAAGGAGCTTACATTGGCATGAGAGCAGAACACGAGCGAGGTGACGGTGCCGTTGTGCACCATTGTCTTCGTCAACAAAGCTCCAGTTACCGGGTTGTACAGTCGAATTGCACCGTCCTGTATAATAGTACAGTCATTCACAGTTAGCTGCAATGCATGGCCTCGTTAGACATTTTCTCTAACGAGATGCGTACATTTGTCGCCACGTAAAGCTTTCGCTCACGAGGGCTATCAAATGCAATAGCACAGACATCAGCATCTCTGATGGAGACCGGCTCCTCGATCTTCGCCCCCGAGTTGGCACTCCACACGGTGATGCGGTTCTCGACGACCCCAACGAACGTATTGGCCACGGTGTTGAACACCACGAACCGTGTGGGGGCGGTGCCAGGCGAGTCGTCCACCGCTGCGTCCTCTTGTCCGACCGACTGCATCACGGCACTGAAGCGATACAAGCGCAAGTTCCCCGTGATGATATCGCACGCTGGGCTATCAGACGCTATGCTCGCTGCTGGCTCGTGGTGCGGCTCGTGAGCCTTCTCGGAGCTTGTTCCCCCTCCTGGTCCGTTCGACGAGGTCATGAACATCCGAAAGCGACACAAATTGGGCGTGTGGAGCTCGAAAGTCTGCAGCATCGAGGCGAGATGGTTCCCAGAGAAGCCCTTGGCGCAGCGCGTGATGTCCCAAAGCTTGAAATGTCCGCTTTGATCCCCCGTTACCGCCAGACAAGTAGAAGAAGACACGAACTTGGCGCCCATCAGGCAGTGGTGGTGCCCTCCCAACTTCGTCTTGAGCGTTCTACCGGGAATCCCCCAGCAGTAGGCTTGGTACTCGAACCCAGAGCTCAACAGTAAAGTGTGAGCGGAGTCCAGCGTCAAGACGGCTTGCTGGTGGCCTCGCAGTACGAACGAGACGGTTAACACAGCGGATGGGCCTCCGACAGAGGAATTGGTGCCTGCTACAGTCTCCCAGACCGTGATCGTGTGGTCGAACGAGGCCGTAGCAACGTAGGGCGTCTCTGGGATGTCTAAACACGCAGCTAAGCGCTCCGTGTGATGTCGGGGGAGAAGCATCGGAGGCGGTGGAGGGGCTGCACCAGCGTGCATCGGTACCTCGAGGTCCCAGAGCTGAACCTGATCGGTGGATCCGCCAGCGACAAACAAGCGCTTGAGTGGAGGGGGACACCACTTGACGAAGAGCGCTGGGAAGCGACCGACCAGTTTTCCATTGAAGACGTAGGAGCCGACAGTGGCGTCGATGATCGACCAGAGCGAGATGCACAGGTCGCTGCTAGCGATGGCCAACGCGTTCCGAGACGGAACGTGCTCGGCGTCCATAACTTCGAGAGAGTCAAACACGTCCACTTGTTTCTCGCCCGCCTTCTTCTCCGCAGCCAACTTCTCGCTGCAGTTGAGTTCATGAAGGAAGTTCATGTCGAGGTCGAACATCTACAGCAAAAAAAAGTTCTGTAAGTTTTTGCAGTCTCAATACAGACTTGAGCATCACATCTCACGTACTAGAATGCGTGGAGACTTGTGTTCGATCAGTGCAAGACGCTTTAGTTGTGGGAAGGCCTTCAACTTGCTCACTTGGTACGGAAAAGTCCTGTATTATGTCAATTGTCAGTAAAATATAGCAAGAATTTACTACATGAACACCTCGTACCGTGCTGCCGTGCCGCTGCTGAGAGGTTCTTGCCGGTAGACTATCGTCGATCGCGGAGGGGCATCATCCGGATCCCCGTGGGTTTGTCCCTGGTCATGATCATTCTCGTCATGAGGTATCCGCGTAGCCACCAGTCCAATCGCGACACAAAACGACGTGAACTCCTCCCAGTCCACAACTGCATCGCCATTGATGTCGATCTGCTCAAACATCTCGAACAGCAGACCAACCAACGCAGTCGCGCGGCCGAGATGCTGCATCAGACTCGGTCGACTGCGCATCAACTCCCAGAGCAGAAGTCGAGCAAACTCGACTTTGGGAAGCCCATCGTCGTCGGGGAAATACCGTTCGATCCCGAGGAACTCGTTGCAACTGAGAGCGGCACAGATCCCAGCAACGCTCGACAGCGGGTTCCGATTGGGGATCTTGATGTCGGGCATGAGGTCCAAGAGGAAAATCTGCATGCTTTCAATCAGAGACGCCGTGACTGCGCTTCGGACCACAACGTTGCTGCGGTCGTCGGTGGCAGCGTGGAAGGCCCAGTCGTGGTGGTTCCCGTGGCGTCGGAAGATTTTACACAGCACCACGACATTCGGCTGCTTGCCGATCTGTCTTCGTACAGATTTCGGGTCGTGCGAGATTCCGAATAAACGAATGCGTTCCCCTGCATCAAACACGAATCTCTTGCCGCCTGCAGCCAGTGCTTGTGCTTCGGCTTCAGCTTGAGCGCTGTCGACTGCGTGCAGGTCGCAGGTGAGCGAGAACGCGTTCAGCTGAGGGGATCCAGCGATCTCGTCCTCTGCGTACGTGACCAAGCAGCCCACGACCTCGACATACGGGTGCAGTTTGGCCATGGAGAACCGCACAACCTCCCGCTCGTTCGCCTCCTTCGACTTGGCGCGGGTTGCTCGGAAATTGTCCTCCCCGAAGAAGGAAGCATTGGGACTTGAGCTGGTGTGGTGGCTCCTTGAGGACGTGTCGGTAGATCGGGCACCACGAACAACCTGCAAGACATCGCCCTGAACGATTAATTCAAGCCCATGGTGTCAATCAAAGTGTCCGATTGGAAGCCAATTTTTCAGTTTGTGTCTTGCACCTGCGCGTTGAACAGGAGGAACACGAGCTCGACGATCCACGGCACGTTCTCGTCTTCATCTCGTCGGAGTCTCTGCAACAAAGGAAAACAATTTAACGTCATGCTTTATCAACAACAAAATGGACACTTTAACTTCCGATTGCCAAGTTGATCGTACAAACACGACGTGGGGCTTGGACGCCGGCAGTGGCGTCACATCTTCGTCTTTCAGTGCGTCCCACTCGCGAGCGGAGGTCACCGCATTGGAGTCAGCGTCCATTGCATCCCCAAATCTGTGAACCGTGAAACGACACCAAGTTACTAGAGTCTGTCGTTTTTAGCGAGTTATCTATCCACTCCTCCACCGCCTCTTCGACGGCCATGGTGCTGCATGAAGAAGACTCGGATGAGCTGCTCTCTCGCCTCTTTCAACGCTGCAATGGATACGTCAGCCAACCGCCAGGAGCACGGCCTCAATCTATCAAGAGTCGACGACTAGGGGCCGAAGGCCCAACTCTCGCTGTGACCAACCTCCATGATTTGGCTCGTGAATTGGCAGCAACGGAGCGAGCTCTCCACCCTCACAGCGAAGAAGCAGCAGAGTGTGCTATCCCATCAGCTACGAGCAACCAAAAGGGGCAGAGCCCGACATGGGACGAGCTGGAAGAGATCGTTCGCGAGCTGCATGAACTGTACCAACGCGGTGACGAAGTGATACTCTCGCTTCGGGAGCAAAAGTACGCCGAGTTACTTACCAAAGCTGCAGTGAGGACCTTAACGCACGCTTGCTTGAGTGGTGACCGTGGAGATCTGGACGCTTCGGGTGTGAGAGTGAAGCTTCTGGAGCTGGCGGTGCGGCCGACCGAGCAGTGGCGCTGTCTAGCGTTTACATTGTTCTTGAACGCAAGCATCGCCTCAGTTGCAGCGATATTGTCGTCGTTGGAAGACTCGTCGATTGCTCGAGCTCAGCACCTCGATGTTAATTTGTTCAAGCTGCTCCGAGAGATGCTGGGCAAGGCTGTCGTGGTGTCAACGACGACTCTAGGGGACGAACTGTTATCCAGCCTTCGAGGTAGGCGTCGTGGTCTCGATTGGGTCGAACAAGCGGTCGGGTGTCTGGAGTTTTTCGTCAAGAAGGCGAACGGGAGCTACTCCTCGGACCGACTGAGGGCGTTAGATGAACACACGCTTCTCTTCTTGGTGGCTGAGGCTAGCAACCGAAGTCGCATAGATTCTGAGCTTCAGCAGAAGGCGATTGAGCTCGTTGTCGCGACGATGTACGCGTTCAAAGTCGTCCCGGCCGGGAAATCGGTCGGTCCAGAGTGGCAACAACCGAGCAAGGACCACACGGTTTGGAATTGTGGCCTGCCAGTCGCTGCGGTGGAGCAATACGTGAGTCTCGAGTTGCTGCTGTATCATTTCTACAACGCTCCGATCGCTCGCTTGCAGCGCTTGGCTTGCATGGTTCTTGTGGACTTAGTGTGCGAGCAGCTCCGACGCACTGGCAGCCGGGAAGGCATCAGCACGGCAGGTCTCGATCAGATATGGCGCACGTTTGTGGAGTGGGAAGACCCGTCCACTGGCATACGGCAGGCTTTACTCTCGCCATATATTTCGAGCGCTCGGGTTGTGAAGCAACTGGTCCCGAGCTGCTCGTTGGTGCCGGAGAAGCAGCTCAATGCGTTCGTGAACCAGTTCCGCTTGCTCACTCAGATCGACGCGTACTTCGGCGTGAATCCAAGCATGGACAAGGCTATCAAAGTGGCCAAGAGCCATAGTAACGGCAGTATCTCGGAAGAAGTGCTCGAGCAAGTGTCCAAGCAGCTGCTCTCGAATCGCGCCGTGGAACGCTATCGTGGTGAGCGCTGGCTGGCGGAGCTTCTAACGTACGGACAGGACGACGACGTCTTCACGTCGTATGACAGCAAGGCAACCACGACTATAGGGTCCGTCCGCAAGCACCCTGAAGCAGTTCTAGTCCGCCCAAAGCCTGAAGCTGCTGCTCAAAGTCCCCCTGCTGGAGAAGAGCTTGAAGAGACGTTCTGTTATGACGAAGGGGGAGAGATCGGCCTAGCAGCTCAAGCGAAATTCTGGGAGTTAGCGTCGCGGACAAACCCTCCCGCACTCCGTGAATCCTTTGCAAGGGTGTTGACACTGTTTGTTAGACGAAAGCTGCAACTCAGCGTAAGTATGAGACTCTCGTTAGCGTGGCTATTGATGTAGTAGATTAATGGTGTCTTATGTGCTATGTGCAGTCGGGTAAAGCAGAGGTGACGACGATCGAAGAGATCAACACGTGTTTGCGCGTGCTTCTCGATCATCAAGAGAGCGAACCAGCAGTGTTGATACCCGTGATGCTACTCATCCTTGATATTTGCCAATGCGAGTTGTCATACATCGACAAGCGATGGCAGCAGAGGGACTTCTCCTCGTCTTCTATTTCTAGCGATAACCAGCACGAAGACACCTACAAGCGGGTGGCGTGGTCGGACTCGTTGGCGTCGAGGGTGCTGAATGGGGACGTGGCACTGGACAAATCTCTGCTGCGGCAGATTGACACGGAGTTCTTGTTGCACGTACTGAGAGTACTCCACGAGAGCTCCAACAGCCACCAGTCTATTGAATGTCGTCGGGTCTGCTGTGGAGTGGAGAGGTCTCTGGTCGGGGACGTTGCAGCGTGCACGGCGCTCATTCTCACCGATGCTCTGTCGGATAACAACACCGCACTCGCCAAGCTCGGGGGCCTGACAGCTTTGACTCCGTTCCTGCAAGCTTGCGACACCCGTATCGCTGTGTAAGTGCTAACGCACTGTTTTCACTTGGTTGAAGGCTGACAAGTGTTGTTTGCTGTGCTCAGGTTCATGGCCAAGCTCATCGGCCAGTTGGTGAAACAGGCCGACGAAACTCAATACTCCGCATTCCTCCGCGAGCTCTACGTCGCCTGCGTCGAGGCCGACGACGAGAACGCGCTGTACAACTCGTACCTGCACACGCAGACATTGCTGCACGACATCGACGCGCGTTACAACGTTGAAGACGAAATGTAGCCATTCCGACAAGATCCCCTTTCAAAGTAGTTTGAATGACGTTGACAGGGATCAGAAATATAATAGCCTTAAAAATCACATACCGAGATCTTTGAAAATATCTTTGCAAACACCTTTAGAATATGGTAACCACTCAGATCGAATTTAGCAAAACGACTGGTCAGTACACGTCCGCACTAAATCCGAGAGATCTGAGGGGATCCTCATGCCATTTTCATCGCGAAGAATCGTACGTCGCAGGAAGTTGTGCCCCTTGTTGTATGTGCTTTTGCCGGCAGGAGCTTGATGCCTCTTGCGCCTTCTCTGAAGGCGCCCCTGGTTGGGCGTAGAGTTCTGCCGAGGATTGCTTGCCTTGGTGTCTGGGTGGGTGGGGCAGTTGCTGAAAAGCGGCATACCCTGTCGAGATCCTGGGCATGGAGGAGGGCCCCTCGGGCTGCGCTGGCAGATAGCGAAGTATCTGGAGATATTGTGTGGAGTTCTTGCTGCAATTTGCTCGGACCATGAAACGCTCCAGACATGCATCGAGTCAATACAATACATGAATCTATTCGTTCTTGTGCGCGTTTGGCCGACAAGCGCTCGAGACCTCTTGCGCCTCTTCTCCTTTCGGGGAGGGAGGCGGTGTCGATTGGGTGGAGAGCGCTCTCGCTGGAGGCTTCCCACGCTGCCCGGTGTTCCCTAAGAAGCTGAACGACTGCCTAGTAAGCTGGTGGCGAGGTTAACCGAGCACGAGGAGAGCGCCTCGAGGTGACTCGGCAGATAGCGAGTCCCGGGGATATTAGGTGGAGTTCTCGCTGCAATTGGCTTGGGCCATGGAAAGCCCCATACATGCTTGAACACGAGTTGTAGATGGAAGTTTTTCGGATAGGATAGAGTTGGAACGGGTAACATGCTCATCGTACTCAAATGACAAGACACAAAGCTGTAGCTAGTCAACTTGGCTTTCATCCCACGTCATGTTCACATTTACGGGAGCTGGTGGAACGGATCTGAGCTGTTGGAGGAAGACGCTCCGCTCATCATGGCCTGCGAAGGCTGCGCTCCTGCCGACTGGCCCATGGACGCGCCGCCTTGCGCGAACTGCTGCTGCATCATTTGCATGTTCATCATCTGGGGCTGCGCCATCATGCTCATCTGCGGATGCATCATCATTCCAGGCTGCATCTGGTGCTGGCTCATTCCTTGCATCGGCATCTGCATGTTCGGATACATTTGCTGCTGCATGCCCGTCGAGCCGTCGGTGAGCTGAAGCTGGTTCATGTTCATGCTCAGCTGCATCATGTTCGGCTGCATCTGCTGCTGTCCCTGCATCGGCATGGCCATCACAGGCGTGGGCTGATCAGCGCCGCGAGCCTTCTGCAAGTCGTTCAGTGTCCGCTTCTCCTCCGGGTTGGCGGACAGGGTCTTCTTCTTCTCGCTCGCCAGAGAGTCAAAGTCTACGATGTTGTTCTCCGGCAGGAGGTTTGTGCGGAACGCATCCGCTTGCTGCTGCGACTGAGCTGCCACATTAGAAGCTGGGGCTTGAGAGCTGCCGTCGAATACAGACTGCTGCACAGGGGCATGAGCTTGGACGGGAGCAGGTGCGAAGCTCAGACCCGCAAGATCCTGCAGAGGGTTTTGGCTCTGCGGCGCATCGAAGATCGAAGGCTGCATCTCCTGAGCAGCACTGGCGGGCTGGGCCGCAGGCTGCACATCCAGATCCACGCCCAACAGATCGACACTCGCGCTGCTAGCAGCCGCGGCCGCAGTCGCCTTCTTGCTTCCGCGCTTCTTCGCCTTGCGACTGCTCTCCTGCTCCGAGGTTGACTCGTCATCCGTCGACGCCATCGACTGCCGCCGTGTTCGCGACTTCTTGCCGGATTTCTCCTTCTTGCTCTTCTTCGACTTGGACTTGGACTTCTTGGACGTCTCCTTCTCTTCCTCGACAGGCGGGGGCGGCAGCTTGGCCGGGTCGAAGGAGTACGAATAGTTGGCCGGAGCCTTTTTCCTGTCCTCCTCGTCGCTCTCGCTCTCCTCCGAGTAGAATCCGCTTTGCTTCTTGCTCTTGCTCTTCTTCTTTGCCTTGGCCTTGCTCTTGTGACGTCGTTCATCCGCCGACTCCGTCTCGGAAGACTCGGAAATCGACAGCTCCTCACTCTCGCTCTGCTGCGACGCGTCGCTTTCCGACTCATTCTCGCTCTGCTGCTTCTTCTTGCTCTTCTTGCTGCTCTTCTTACTCTTCTTCGAGTCGCTCTTCTTCTTAGCGTGGCGACTCTTGCCGTGGTGGTGGTGGTGGTCCGTCGAGCTCAGACTCTTGGGCTCGTACGCCTTGGACGCGTTGCTCGTGTAGTCCGAGTAGGCCTTGGGCCTCTCCGTGGCAAAGTCATTCTGGTAACCCCCTCCGCTGCCATTGTAGCCGGCGTTGTAGCCCCCAGCGCCGCCTCCGCCCGAGTAGGACGACGACGAACTGCGGATATTCGCCATCCAGTTGGCGCGACCGTCATTGCGCGGCATCTGCTGCGCGTAGTGCTCCGGGATGGCGTCCGAGTTGGGCCCGCGCGCCAGCTTGCCGCCGTACTCGATGACCTTGCCGCCGAGCCACTGGCCGCTCTCCAGGATCTTGCTCTTCCAGTCGCCGGCGTCGTGCGCGGCGCTGCTGGCGCCTCCTCCGCCGTAGGATCCGCCCTGGCCGTACGGGGAGCCGAAGCGGTTGCGGTCGTGGAAGTTGCCGCTCGACGAGAAGCTGGAGGAGCCGCCGCCCCCGACGGACTTCTGCATCCACATGGCTAGAGGTGGAGGACTTGAGGTCTTAGTGATCGATGTGGAAATGTGAAGATTTTGTGACAGACCTCTCCCCAGTTGAAAAGCATCTGATTATCGAAGCGGTTTCAGCCAATGAGAGAGGTTGAAGCGGGGTTTTGACCAATAAGGAACGGCGACTGTGGGGTTTTTGTGGAGACCATCACTCCGACAAACTTTTTTTAGACGCGCGAGAAGGTTCAGAAGAGGGCGATGGACGAGAGCGACGGCGAGCGCTGGATGGAGGGCGAGGACGCGGCGGAAGAGGAGCTGCGCCTGCTGGAGGCAATGGGCAGCGTGTCCACCGCCATGCAGCAGGTGAGCGCGCGCTCGGAACGCGCTCTGAGGCGGGAGCTATACCGAATAGACTGGCAGATTCTCTGACATTGACACATTTTGTGCTCTTTGCTTCTGTGCTGCTGCAGTTCAATCAGGTGCTGGCCAAGCTCAACCGACAAACTGTGGAGCTGTCCAAGGAGCTGGGCACGGCCGAGAGGCAGCTGGTGAGTGGCTGTAGCAGAGCTGAAGACGCAGGCAGGGTCTGATAGAGCTTGTGTGTGTCATTTTTCGCTGCCAGAACGCGCTGTATCTTCCTTTCCAAGCCGCTATTTATGCGATGCAGAGCTCTAGCGACCGCCGGAGGACGACGCTGTCAGTGCCGACAGTGACGGCCGTTGCCACGCCCGATGCCCAGCGGACAGAGCTGTAGACGCTGAGCGACGACTTCCACTTCCTGTAGCTTGTGTGACTGATAGAGCAATGGCCAGTTGATGGTGCGTGTATGTAGTCTGTAGTTTTGTTGTTTATTTGCTTGTTTTGTTGCTGTTCTTACACAAGTGCACTGGGTCGGACGAACGGTCGAGCTACCACGTCAAACACACATGGCGAGATGAAGGCGAGACGGACCCGTCGTTTGCAGCGCGCTCTGCGCGTCCTGGCTGCTATGCAGTCAGCCGAGGAGGGAGTTTATAGGGAGCTTAGTTGGGGCCCACCATCTCCTCGGGGCGCACGAAGCGGTCGAACTCCTCGCCGGTCAGGTAGCCCAGAGCGATGACGGTCTCGCGCAGGGTGGCGCCGTCCTGGTGGGCCTTCTTGGCCACCTTGGAGGCCTTGTCGTAGCCGATGTGCGGGTTCAGCGCGGTCACGAGCATGAGCGAGTTCTTCATGAGCTGGTCGATCTTCTCGCGGTTGGCCTCGATGCCCACGATGCAGTTGTCCGTGAAGGCGCTGCAGCTGTCGCCGATCAGGCGGATCGAGGACAGCAGGTTGCTGATCATCACGGGCTTGAACACGTTGAGCTCGAAGTGGCCGTTGGAGCCGCCCACGGTCACGGCCACGTGGTTGCCCATGACCTGCGCGCACACCATCGTGATGGCCTCGCACTGCGTGGGGTTCACCTTGCCGGGCATGATGGACGAGCCGGGCTCGTTGGCGGGCAGCGTCAGCTCACCCAGGCCACTGCGCGGGCCCGAGCCGAGGAAGCGGATGTCGTTGGCGATCTTCATGAGCGAGCAGGCAATGGTGTTCATGGCGCCGCTGGCCTCCACGACGGCGTCGTGGGCAGCGAGGGCCTCGAACTTGTTGGGGGCCGTGACGAAGGGCAGCTTGGTCTCCTCGGCGATGATCTTGGCGATCTCGGCGTCGTAGCCCTTGGACGTGTTGAGGCCCGTGCCCACAGCAGTACCGCCCAGCGCGAGCTTGCACAGGTTGGGCAGCACGCGCTCCACGCGCTCAATGGAGAGGGCGATCTGCTCGCGGTAGCCCGAGAACTCCTGTCCGAGCGTGAGCGGCGTGGCGTCCTGGGTGTGGGTGCGGCCGATCTTGATGATGTCGTCGAACTCCTTGACCTTGGCGTCCAGGGCGTCGTGCAGCTTGTGCAGACCCGGCAGCAGCACGCGGTGGATCTCCTGCACGGCGGCGATGTGCATGGCCGTGGGGAACGAGTCGTTGGACGACTGGCCCATGTTGACGTGGTCGTTCGGGTGCACGGGCGACTTGCTGCCCAGCTCGCCGCCCGCGAGCTCAATGGCGCGGTTCGAGATGACCTCGTTCGTGTTCATGTTGGACTGGGTGCCCGAGCCCGTCTGGAAGACCACGAGCGGGAAGTGGTCGTCCAGCTTGCCGGCGATCACGTCGTCGGCCGCGGCGATGATCTTCTCGGCCACGGCGGCGTCCAGCTTGCCCTTCTCGAGGTTGTACTTGGCCGCGCACTTCTTGACCACGCCGAAGGCCTTGATCACGGGCATGGGCATGCGCTCGCGCGCGCCGCCGATGGGGAAGTTCTCGAGGCTGCGCTGCGTCTGCGCGCCCCAGTACTTGGAGTCGTCCACCTTGACCTCGCCGATCGAGTCCGTCTCGACGCGGAAGGTGCTGGCGGCGCGCACGGCCTTGACGGTCATGCGCGAGGAGGCTTTGCTGACGGCGGCGGAGAGCATGTCTGCTGCTGCGGGGGTGCGAGTGGGGTCCGACGTGATTGCGAGACTGAGGGGGAAGCGGGCGCCCGAACGAATCCTGGCCGCAGCTTCGAGAGCGGGTGACGTGTGAGGGTGTGGCTCGGCTTTGAGCTCTTGAAGGCAGCAATGCAATTGTGCAGGGCGCCGCTCCGCTGACCAATTGGCGCTGCCCATCGAGCGAGATCCTGACCAGGGAAGGGGCGCGTCTCCGATGCAGCCATCCGGACAGGTAGCGATTGTATGTATTTGGCTCGAAATGGTAAAACCGGTAGGAAGGAGATAGACGGGTATTAGGAGACAGAGGTTTGTTAAAGCTGAAGCGATCCTTTTCTTTGTGTGGCACACGCGTTGAAGTTGACCCACCGAGCGCTTCGTGGCTCTTGAGTCGGAGCAATGGCAACCGCGCCAAAAGGCCGATCTGCCAGAGATCGACCCGGAGGTCACTTCGCTCCGGGTTGGCTTCACCCACGGACACGTTCGAGTACAGATCAGCGGCAGGAATCTTCACAAACGGTCGATCGTTGGCAGTCCAGGGGCAATTCAGGAACTCGCTGGAGGAAATGGCAGGTTGCGACGGAGAAGGGTCTACCACTCGCGGCAGAACTGAGTGGGGTGCTGCCAAAGCTCACAACATCTGCGACCGTGATCTCCCCGCTGTCTAAGACACGGCGATACAAAATCGCCAGGCACGCGAACGTTCGATCTGCCCCACGACGGAAAATCTTGAGCAGCAGCAGCGCGCGTAGCTGCGGGATCAACTGGAAGTAGTCGCAACAGTACTGCTGGGACCCCTCCAAGCTTCTGTAGAACTCGAGCTCGACTATCAGTCGAGGCTGAACGGGGTTTTCACCCGCCAGGGAAGTCTTCGGCACGAGGGCCGTGTCGGGATAACGCACGACGCGATACTGCGTCCCTTGACATACCATGTCCATGAGCTCAGCACATGCGACGAAGTTGGTGGGGTCGTAGGCTTGGAGCTGGCATTGTATCCGTATGAGAATCTCCTCGTGCGTTCGGTATCTTGCCTTGGTGACGCACAGATCGACCGTCGTCAGCGGATCTGTGCCATCTCCAAAGTAGCGAGCCTCGATTATGAAACTTTCGAAGTTGTTAAGGTGTTCCCGAAGGAGTTTCGTCGCCACTTCTTCAGATAAACGCTCGTCGCCAGGAGAACCTCCACGTCGTGTCCACCGTCTCGCACTAGCCGACGAAACTCGCTTATGGCGCCCTCAACATCCCAAACCGTCACTCGCCCGTGTGCGCTTGAGTGGCCATGCAAGTGAGGTAAGAGAATCCACTGCCATCACTCAAGCGGCTTGAACGTTGACAGTGCTTGAGCAGCCACCTCTCTCGCCTGCTGATGCACAAGTGCGCGTCGGCGGCACCTCATCGCATGCATCTCTAGCTGGTGTTTGCGCGATTGCCGTTCCTGCTCGAAGTCAGCCGCACGCAGTCTAGTATTGAGGCTAGCAATGCGCTCCCTCGTGCTCGTCCTTCGGCTCGTCGTCACCAACTCCAACTGTACCAGTGTCTGACTTTGCTCTGCTGCTTGGACGATTTTGTTCATTGTGTGCTGCTCGCAACTGTCAAAGCGACCGAAAAGTAGCACACGGAGCTGCGGGTGAGAGGCAACAATAGAGAGCAGTGGAAGCAGACCGTCGGGAGTAAAGTCGTTGCCGGACTGACAGAAAAGAGGAACAAATTAGTAGGCGCATTAGATTTCAACAACAGAGTAACATGATCGTACCAGATCCAGTCGATAGAGCCTCAAGCACCGCTGCATCATGCGCACAAGTACGTGAACACTTCGATTGCCAAAACTGTTGCGTTGCAGGTCGAGAGCTTCAATTCTTCCACTCCAAGCAATACCAGAGACCAGCACACCAACCATAAGATCGTCCAGCCCACAGTTAGCAAGCGAAAGTGCTGTGAGAAGAGCGTAGTTGGCCAAAGTGTAGTGCAAAGCGCTGCCAGTGCGTGGCGCGATGGCTTCGAGACGTGGGGTCAACTGTGTTGGGTTGGCAACAGTAACAGTCCTGATCGCCGTCGTTGGTACTCGAAGCAACTCACTCAGTGCACGAAATCCGCCGTCACCGATGTTGTTGTCCGCTAGAGACAAAGTCCGCACGCTACGATTGGAGCGCAGTGCACGCAGTATACGCCTCGTGCCCTCTTCAGGCAACGCATTGTCTTCAAGTCTCAACTCGGTAACCGAATGGTTATTACGCAGCGCAGCACCGAGAGAATCCGCCTCGGCTATCGTCAGTACGACGTGCTTCAAATGGCAAACCTCCAGCTCTAACGACGACATTTCAACCCACATAACCGTCTCGCGGAGCACCTCTCGCTCAATTGCTGCTTTGTTCCTGCGTAGGTAAAACTCCATCCTTGATCGATACAACAGAGCGTCCGGTTCGTCGTCATCCTGGTTGTTCTGCACCTGAATAGCAGTGACTGCCGTCGGGCACGAATTCTTCATCGCGTCGGCTAACATCTGCAGCCCCAGGGTCGACAGTTCATTGCCGCGCAAATCAAAGCTCATGCCCCGCGCCTTGGCAGCCTGCAGCATTTTACCAAGAGCCCCAGCTCCGTCGTCGTCGATCTGGTTGTCAGCCAGATTGAGGGAGCGCAGCGTCGTGTTGGTCCCAGCTCGGAAAAAGGCGACCCACTCCGTCAACGCCTCGCAGTTCAACCCGCAGTCAGCCAGCACCAGCGTCGTGACTGTACGGTTCTTCATCAGCGACGTGGCTAGACAAGCCGCGCCATGCTCGCCCAGTCGGTTCCCGGACAGATCCACGTGGGCGAGGGTCGAGTTGGTCTCCAGAAAGTCTGCGAGCTGCACCGCCAGACTGGGGGTCACTCCACAGCGGCGCAAGCTCAACTTGGTCACACTCGAGTCCTCACTTACGCACCGCAATAGTTCCGCCAGCGACGTCGAGTCCAACTTGGCATCGTCCTTCACTTCTACCGCTGTACCGCCCATGGTTGTGAACGGCTTTGTGTCGTTTCATGATCCAAAGTATCTGCTCCGCAATAAGTAGTCAGCTCAATACTGGAGGCCTAGTATGCACTTATTCTGGGTCAACAAAGATCCAAACGGAGGTCAAAAGCTGAAGAGATATCCATGTCAACTCGTCGCTGGTTCACTGCGTTGCTGCTTTGGAGCTGTGGCTTCTTCTGCTATGCAACGTCGTCGAGCATCGACGAGATGTGGCAAACGGCGGACAAGTTGTGGCAGTCCGACGACCTGGACTCGGCCATGACCGTCCTGCAGCGCATTGAGACGCTGCAGCCAGGAGATCGATTTGCTCTCGTGGGGATGGCGTCGATTTTCCAGGGACGGAGGGACTTTGATCGGGCATTGGAGTTGCTGGACGTAGTATTAGCCCAAACACCAGAAGACCCCAAGGTGCTGCAGAGGATCGGCGAAGTCTACACGGACAAGCGCGAGATCCCCAAGGCGCTGGAGTTTCTCCACGCTGCAGAGCTGCAAATGCATACAATGGATACAGACGAGGTGGGCGACCTGTCGCACCGCTTGGCGTTGGCATATCACCATGGAGGAGACTTCGCCACGGCGGAGACGTTGTTCGGTCGTGTGGGCGAAAGAGGGCGCACTGCAGCGTTCTACTTCGACTTCGGAGTGACTTTGGAGAAACTCGGCAAGGCGCGTATGTCGTTGATACTTTATCAGCGTTGCTAGCCGGAAAAGACTGACGGAAATGTTTGGGTGGGGCAGATTTTGGCGGCAGGGGATGCGTACAACCAGGCACTTGACATTGATCCGAACCAGGCAGAAGCGAGGATTAACATCGCCGCACTTCATCACCAGTATGGCGACGTGAACGAGTCCATTCCTCAGTATCTGGTGCGTTTTGTCTACTGATTTAGGGTTATCGAGCAGTGAAGGCTAACTTGTTGCTGCAGCATGTGATTAACTCGCCGTCAACACCAGCGAACCTCAGGATCATGGCTATGGGCAATGTCGGTGCAGCCTATGAAGTCTCCAGCGACATTGTGAACGCGTTGAGCTGGTACGAGCGGGCACTAGAAGAAATCAATTCCTCTTCAGAAATCATCTTCACAGACAGATTTACGACTCAGTCGTCACGGCTGCATCTCATGGTGCACATGGCGAGGGCCAAGCTGAGCGCCTGCGTGTGGACAGACGCAGAAAACGACTTTGACTCTCTGTGGGCGACGGTGACCAACCTGCAAATGACAGTGGGCAATCTGTATGTCTTGACGCCGTTCGACTCGTTGCTACACCCGATTTCACCTCAAGAAAGGAAAGCGCTGGCTGTGCATTTCTCTATGAAGTACGATGTCGATCTCGCTAACAAGAAGAACGACAGTTTATCGACTGCGTTTCAAGTGAAGCCACCCGAAAACAAACGTACCGAGCAGTTGACCAGGCTGAATGTTGGATATCTATCGTATGACTACTCGGACCACCCAACTACTCACCTGATGGAGGGCACATTCGCGACCAGAGATCGAGATTCGATGAATATTGTAGCGTTTGGATACGGACGAGATGATGGCAGCGCATTCCGCCAGCGAGTGGTCGAGAGTGTCGACAAATTTGTCGATTTGTCTACAGTGTCCTTCGAAGAGAGTGCTGCGCGAATTCGGAGTGAACATATACACATTGTTATGGATGCTCAAGGACACACGCGCAGAGGTCGCATGCAAATTGTGGCAGCCCGGCCTGCGCCAATCGTTGTAAATTATCTGGTGTATCCTGGAACCTCTGGGGCACCTTTTGTGGACTATGTGCTCGTCGACAAGTTCGTGGCACCTCCTGCAGAATTAGCCTCGGCATTTACGGAAAAACTTGTGGTGATGCCTCACTCCTATCAGGTGAACTACTACAAACAAGTACTCCGGCAGTCCGAAAGGATATCTCGTCGATCCGATTTGTGGCGAGCTGACGATGACAAGGAAGATGAGGACGATGGATTCTTGTTCGTGAATTTCAACAAAATCGACAAATTAGAGGCATCCGTATTCAGCACGTGGATGGGCATTTTGCGGCGTGTACCTCGGAGTTCGCTGTTGTTGCTGGACCCTGGAAGACACGTGCTGGATGGTAATATGACTCAATCCGTCACGAGTCATGAAATTAGGAAGAACCTCTGGAGGGAGGCCCAAGCACAAGGAATTTCAACCAGGAGAATCCGATTTGTGTCCAGGTGAGTCGAATACGAGCGTTAACGTTGCGAAGCTAGTTATCTAACTGTATACTGCCAACCCAGAACCCCAAAGCTTGAACACCTTCAACGGCACCGTACGGGAGGGCTCTTCCTTGACACTTTTATTGTACGTTGAATAATCTCTTTGAATTCGGACATATTACTTACTGTTTTCAAATGCCCCCTGCATGTAGTATGGAGCGCATTCCACCGCGACCGACGCGCTTTATGCCGGACTTCCTGTGTTGACACTAGCCGGTGACTCTTTCGCAAGGTGCTTCGTTGTACGGCGTTTTTTTTCTAAGTTGTTTGGCTAACCCTGGGTTGACTGTGCCAGCCGCGTGGGACTCTCACTACTGGAAAATCTAGGCATGCCAGAGCTGGTCACCTTTAGTCGCAAGGAATATGAGGATCTAGCAGGTACGGGCTCCAACTACATTCGGTTGTGCACTAACCAACCGTAAGTCTGACTTTCAATCATGTATGAACGAGTATGTCTTTGATTATAGTGTATCTGTCATCGACACCTTCCGTTCTCTTACAATTGCAGCGTCGGCTTCGAAGTGATCAAGTCGAGATTGAGCAACCGTTATTCCGCACCAAGCAGCACACCGAGCATTTGGAAGCAGGTCAACGTCTGATGCACGACATTTACTCACTCACAAATCGTACTTTTCATCTGGTGGTTGGAGGTAGGAGCAAAGTTTGGGGAAGTTGGAACGATGTGAGTGGGTGAGTGGGAGCTTTAACTTATACGTTGGGTATCCTTACTGTTCGCTGTCTTGGTTCCTTTCGCTTCACTTATTCGCTTGCTTGCGGAGGTTCTGCGTGGGTGTGGTGCTTTCTACCTATGGTCTCTAGTGGCTGTGAGCCCAGTCCTGTGTGCGATGCTTTCGCGCCGTGGTGGGCTGAATCCACATCATCAAAGTTATCGGACCGTCGTCTTGAGTGTTTGTGGTGGGCAACCGGCAATCGCTCCGAGTCGGCGTGCGCTGGAGCTCGTTCGGCATGCGACTTGTCACTTCCGTTGCTATTTGAATTTGCACCACTTGAACTACTTGTAGGAGATGACACAGGTTGCCGTGGCCGCGCACGAGTATTACCCGTGGACGAGGCATACCGCTTGAAGGTGACAGGATGATTAGGACTTAACGCTACTGGCATTGGCGTAGTCATCGTTCCTGTGCTCCCGGTTCCACTTGGTCGTGGTGACTGCTTGTCTGCTCTTAATGCCCCCTTCGGCTGAAGTGGGTTATCCATGATCCTCCCACCGCGTGACCGCCCTCCTGTCGGTGTTCCCGTAGACGGCGAAGGGCTCCCGCTTGAGTTTACCGCCGTGTTACCGCCACCATTAGATGGCCCTGAAGCACCCTGGGCATTTCCAATTAGTCCCGCGAGATCCGTCCGAGAAAGCCGCGGAACAATCGATGGTAACTTGTCATCGTCGTTAGTTTTGGCTGCCATGGACGCAGGTGCAGGCGTATATGTGATCGCGAAGCTCCCGTCGTCATCATCATCTTCGTCAACATTATCTTGCAAAGAAGCACACGCAAAAGCAGTGGGGAGGCAACCAGATGCGCCGGCCGTGCCGCGCACCCATGGGTGACTGAAAATCTCGGGGATAGTGGCTCGCTCGTTTGGGTCAGGCTTGAGCATCCGAATTACAAGATCTGTGAGCGCAGGACTCAAGTCTGGGTCCAGCTTAAACTGACATCGCATGATTCGGTTCCGAATGACGTTTTCCCTCGGTCGATTAGTCCCTTGAAGATCAGGGCCTTCGAAGGGGAGCCGGCCGCACACGATTGCAAACAGAATTACACCGAGACTCCACACATCGAGCGGCGGACCTGCATTGGACGTGCCACGAAAAACTTCCGGTGCCAAGTACGATATAGATCCGCAGCTCGTTTTCATCATCGCACCCGGCTTGTAGAAATCGCTCAAACCAAAGTCGGCGATCTTGGCTGTGGAAATATCGTTTTTACTGGCAAAGACAAGATTTTGCAGACTTTAGCGTTGTAGGACGTTTAGGCAATTGAAATTGGTACAAACGTACTTGGTGAGTAGGATGTTTTCCAGTTTGAGATCTCTGTGGCAAATGTGTTGGTTGTGAGCATAGCCAACACCTCCAAGGATCTGAGAGAATAGCCCAACGCCATCCTCTTCCGACAGACCACCCGGAAATTGCTTGATGTAGTGAAACAGATCGCCACTGTACACATAAAACACAATATCAGCAACCGTTTATCGAAAACAATAAGCTCTGGACATTGATTCACTTACCCTTCCAGCAGCTCAAACACCAACACAATATGGTTGGGTTCGTTGATCACGCGCAGCAACTTAATAATGCTCGGGTGATTCAGCGCCTAGCATCATAGCTTCGTCAATCCTGCACCGAATACCATAGAACAAGTATAGCAGCTATACATACCGTCAGACATTGGATCTCCGTCGTAGTGCGCTCCACGTCTCCCAACGACCCCATCTCGCTTTTCTACATTATAAAACACTGCGTCAATATAATACTCCACAACCAACAATCTCCTTCACCCTGCCAGCCCTCACCAGAATGAACTTGAGCGCCACTTTATCGTTCGTGAGCTGGTGAACCCCGAGTCGCACTTCTCCGAAGCCCCCTCTGCCCAGCAGCGTGGTCACCTTGTAGCCCCCCACCACGTTGGCCACCTTCTCGTCCGTGCTGTTCTGCGCGTCCTCGGCCCCCGAGTTGGGCGCCTTGAAGGACCTCCCGGTGGAGAAGAAGAGCATGTCGTTCTCCTCGATGCACATGATGTCGTCGATCTCGGCGCCGTCCGCGTTGAAGACCCGCGAGGCCATGGGCACCATCTCCAGCCGCTGCGACGCCGCGCACAGGAACTCGTCCCACGTCCAGTGGTGCTGCACGAACAGCACTGCAACACAGTACTAAATATTAGCATTCTGCTCTCAATTGTACTAGGGATCGCTTATAGGGCCACCTTTGGGGTTGTCGAAGTGGCCGTTCTTGAAGGCCTTGATGGGCTTCCCCTGCACCGCGTGGTCGCTGAAGTCGTCCATGTCGTCGAAGTCCGCCATGTTGAGCCCCGTACTCAGCCCCGCGGCATCCGCCGGCGCTCGTCGCTCGCTGCTCTTTGACGCCCGTTTCCGTTCTCGGCCGCATCCCAGCGCGGCGCCGCTCAATCGGCGCTAAATATAGGGCGATGGAGGATAATAAAAGGCAACTGCAACTTCATGACCATCACTCCTGGAAACCTTTTGGATAGAATACGATATGCGGTTAGAGAGGACCAGTCGCTCCAACCAACGGACACCAACGAACTAAGACCAACCATGTCTGCCACCGTGATCCCCTCGGTGGGGCCATCGATGGCTGAACACCTCCACGGCCTGCGCGGCGGTGCTCGACCTGACTTTCAGGAACCACTCCCCTCGCCTGCGCAGCTTCAAGAGCTCTTCGACCATCACCGGGCTGATGTTCCCCTTGAGGACTTCCTCCGTCGGGTGTGTGAGACTCGGCCTACTGGCACGGCCACTGCCACCTTTCCATTGATGCTTGACTCCGGCAACTTCTTCCAAGGGGTGTCGATGCCACGCATCATGGACTCTCTTATTCGGGACAACGGGAACTCGGTTCTCAAACGTCTACTGCGTGAGCATGCTTTCGGCGCGATCGACAAACGCCGAGATGGCGGCTTACGCATCCTGGTTCGCACAAGCGAAGCGCAGCAAGCTTTGAATGGCGAAGAGGTATCGATCATGGGGAGGAAGTTCCGGATTGGGCTAGAATCGCCTCTGGCTCAATGCTTCTTCCTTGATCGGCCTCACACCCGCGGAGGAGGCACCCACCGTGATCGGGTCCCTGGCCTCTCGTGGGGCTAAACCTGTGTACTTCCGACCTGCTGCCTACGATAAGGTCTCAGGCCTTTGCTCTACAACGTGGCGTTTCTACTTTCCAGGGGAAGAGGCTCCACCAAGCCTCTTCCGCGATGGGAGCCTACGCTCCTACGTCCGTGTGGGGAGGAAATCCTACCGATGCTTCGGTAAGAATGACGCGTCTGGCGGCCGACCTCGCCGTCAAAACCCACCGGGGGAAACCCCGGCACTGCGTGTGCATCAGCGCACGAGAGAATCAAGTGGTGACGACGGACCCACGGCTGCAGTCACCGGAAACGCTGCTGTGGCCACGCCAGCTCCTTCAGATCCAGGACAGACTGTCGCTCCCCAGGAAGCTGTACCGTCGAGTCACTCACCCCAGCCTGAGGAGGGTGGTGGGGTGCCGACTCAGTCGGCAGACTCGCGCGCACGCTCCATGTTGGGCAGGGAGGTGGTCGGTGCGGTGGAGCCGGTCCACGATGACGAGGCAATGCTGGAGCAAGTCTCGGGGGGGGGGGGGGGGGGGGGAAGCGCGCTCACTCGCCGAGCCATTCTCCGCCTCGCTCCCCAACGCTGCGGGTTAAAAATCGCTTTAACGTACTTGATGATTTCGACGGCGATGCCGACCTAGAAGTCGCCACAGCCAACGAGGAGGACGCTGTCATCTATCAGATTCTGCCTAGGGTGTCTGCAGCTACTAAAGCCCGAGTCCGCCACCGCTTCATGTCGAAGCGCCCAAAGCACTCGTCTGGTTCCCGAGACCCCGACGCCGATGAAGCCATCACCAAAGCTCTGCAGGAACTCGAGGAGACATCGCTAACAGCTCAAGCGGCAGTGGACGCCGACGCCATAGGGGTGGCCGAACGCCACGTCAAGGCGGTCAAGTTGGAGTTATCCAGGGCCAAAAGCGCGGAGAGTCTACTTAATTCGATAGTGGCGGCTCCTCATGCCTGGCAACTTGCACTCCAAGCTTCCGAGGTGGTCGATCAGTTCGAAGACTTCATCTCGCTACACGCTCTGAACCGGCAATTGCTCCGCCTGCCAAACGCCAGCTCCAAGTCGTTTACAGCACGGCTCGCGACTGTCGATCAGTTCCACTCTGGGTCCCGCTCTCAACTCATTGCCTCTATCACAGCTGCGGCAGGGTCATCCGAAGAAGGTCGCATTGGCTGGCTCCACGCGCGATGTGTCAGTCTCTTCGAGCTACTATTGATTCTTATGGCTACTCACACGTTTCGAGACGACTCGTGGCTCGCCATCTTCGCGACCAGCTCCCCGTCCTTCTTGAAGCGTAAAGGGCTGCGTCTTCTGGCGGAAGCCACGTTGCGAGATCTGATCCACTCCAGCTACGGTGTCACGGTTGTCACGGAAAGCCTTTTTCGGCTGCCAGGCCTCGCCACTCTACTCGAGCTCTCTGGGTTGCAAGCTTCCGCCGACACGGTCTGGATGGACCTGACGCTGTCAGAGGTGAACCCAGCGACGGCTGACCAGGATATGGGCCCCGACCGCAGCTAAGGTCTTGCCGGACTGGCATAACCTCAGCGTGCTCTCCGCCAATTTGAACGGGATATCGCCAACTGGCACGGAAGTGGCCCACCTCGCCCGGCGCCATGCCATTGTGTGTATCCAGGAATCCAAGCTGCGTGATGCGTCTCAAGCCTCGACGTTGCGTTTCGTGGTGGAGGCTTCGGCCAAGCGCAAAGCTTTCATCAATGACAGGAACGAAAATCACTCGGGCTCAAGGGCCACTCGTAGCGGTGGCATCGTGACGGTCATTGACCCCAGCTTACCCGGTTTATCATCTGCGGAGGAACTTGTTCAGCACCGTCGCGAGGGCAGATACTCAATCGTACGACTGGTGATCGGGCCTTCGGTGGTGTATATCCACAACATATATGCCCCCAATGACAGCAGGGAGCGCAATAACTTCTTCGCAACGTTACCTCGGTCTTTCCCTGAGGATGTTGTCCACATTGCGTGTGGCGACTTCAACTTGACGCTGAACCCCTCGCTTGACGCGCTACGACCCGCGTCAGACCCGAGCCAAGCTGAATGTCGGGACTGGATGACTGCCCTGGCACTGGAGGACTGTTGGCGGACCCATCATCCAGCGGACTATGTTTTCTCCGGGCCCACAAGGGCAAACAGGATAGACTACATCGCCGTCTCGGAGGACCTCTGCACTCATCAGTACGCTGACTCCGCGTACGTGAACCTGGACAAAGGAGGAGATCACCTCGGCGTCCAGCTCCAGCTAACCAGTTGGCATCATCCACGCGGTCCGGCTTCATGGTGGGTGCCCCGGTGGTTACTCGACAACGAAGGTATCCGAGAGGAAATTCGTACGGCGGCCGCCGAGCTGCTGCGTAGCCTCCCTAGCTCTGACAATCCAGGCGTCCTCTGGTCAGCCTGGAAATACCGGGTCCGTAAGTACCTCCAACGCCAATGCAGTTTCCTCCGCGCGCGAAATCGTCATGTTCACGACGCCCTTGTCCGCCGTCTGGAAAGGCTGTCATCGCTGCGAGCAGTGGACTCCTCCCCAGCGGTGGCCATCGCATGGTATAGTGCCAAGCGGGACGTCGAACTCATGTTGGAGGAACGTGAAGTCTACAGGAGAAGCTATCGATTTGACTATTTAGCGACTGCACTGGAGACCAACTCGTCGGCCTTCTTTCGTCCACCGGAGCCTGCGCGGCGGGTACCGCTCGATCGCGTCGAGCTGCAGGATGGGACCGTATCCACGGATCCGGCAACCATCTACGAGACTTTCCAGCAGAAATGGGGCTGTATCTTCGGCGATAAACGATTTGTCACGGACTCACAAGACGTCGCTGTCGACCTGTCTGCTCAGGACCAGCTCTCAATGCAGTGGAAGATGTGCTTGCACCAGCCGAGGCTCTGGACCACGACAGCGAGTTACCAGAGGAATTTACAGAGGCGATCATTTCGATGCGGAGCGACGGTACACCGGGCCCCGACGGATTAACGGCACGCTTCTATCAAATCGCTCCAGACATCTTTGGGGAAGTTTTGGCTCGGGTATTCGACGGTCAGTTCCAGCGCGGCACTCTGTTAAGCCACCAGAACCTTTCCGAAGTCTTCTTGCTGCACAAGAAAGGGTCGAGAGCGCGCGTGGAGAACTACCGACCGATATCGTTGATGCCAGTGGAGGTAAAAGTGCTTTCCAGGGTTCTCGTCGAGCGCTTAAAGCCTCTGATGCACAAGTTGGTCCATGAGGACCAGCAAGGTTTCATCCCCGGTCGCTCGCTCCATCACCACCTGTTGTTGCTTTTGGACCTGCAAGCCTTCTGCCAGTCCACGGGTCAATCGGGGTTCGCCGCTTTTCTAGACTTCGAGAAGGCTTACGACCGAGTCGATTGGAAGTACTTGCTTCGTGTCATGGAACGACAAGGGTTTGGTCCCCGCTTCCTCAAGTGGATCCACATTCTTTACTCGAAACCAGCTTGCTCCCTCATGCTGGACGGCTGGAGCCAACCCAAATTATTCCCGTCTCGTGGTGTGAAGCAGGGTGATCCGCTCTCGCCGTACTTGTTCCTGCTGGCAATGGTCCCTCTGGGAGTGATGCTTCGCCGTCAACCGGGCGTAGGTATCCCTCTGCCTATGCGTCGCATTGCTACAAGCCTCTTCTTCGCGGATGACTCGTTGCTCCTCGCAGCGTCCATCGAGGGGGTACACGCCCAACTTCAGACAGACCAAGTCTATTGCGCGGGCTCCGGAGCCAAATTAAATGCCTCCAAGTCTAGACTGCTTCCGCTGTCTGGCACCTCCGCCAGGATAACTTCGGCTCCGCTGCCGGTAGTCGCAGCCGATGAACGTGTTCGATAACTAGGCATCGACTTTGGGTATAATGTTAACGCCGAGGCCACGGAGCGGGACCTTGACCAGAAGCTGAGCCAAGCACTGCGACGATGGCAGTATCGCGCCCGCACTTTCGAAGGCCGCAAACTGATAGTGACGACGATGGTACTCTCCTTGCTCTGGTACAACGCCCTTCATCTCGTCATCCGTCCGACCACGATGCACAGATGACAGCGCATGATCATTGACTTCGTCGTTTACAAGAAAGTACCACCCGCCTCAGCTCGGATCCGCCTTACCACCGCAGAATTGGCAGTGACTCCGACAGCGCAAGGAGGCCTCGGTGTCCCAGAACTCGCCTTGTTCTTCACGCCACAAGATGCGACTATTCCAAGAGTTTGCAGCGACGGTCGAATTGTCGACCACATCTACGATTCCGCTCTGGGCAGTTCTCCCCCTTTGGGCCGCCAACGGCGGTGAGATTTCACGCTCGACCCGTCTCGACGACATATTCTACCTATCCGCCCGTGGTCGTCAACCTGGCCACGTCACGTCATGGTGGAAATGGGCGTGGCGCCAGTGTTACCGGTCTCTCTTCGACTTTCTGGAACCTATTGGAGCCACTTTCTCTCTAGCTGACTTCATGCACTGGTTTCTCGGCCGCCATGAACTGTTCCGGTTTCGTGATGCCCACGCTTTGTTGATGAGAGTCTTTCAGAGACTGTCCGTGGTGATCCACGCCATTACAACCAGCACCGGTGGTCTACTCGTCGTTCTCCAACGTCCAGACTCAGTCGCCGGTCTACTCGGCGTCACGACACAGTCACGCTTTCGGTTCTTTCCTCATCTCCGCAAGCAAGATTGGACCGCGCTCCTCCGTCCTCCGACCTCGGCATGGGAGTCTCGAGCCAAACGCCTTCATTGCGAAGTTAGCGCGCTCAAAGGTCACTCCAACCGACTGGCGCTAGTCAAGCGATGGATGCTGCCTACCACCTACGACATCCAGTTTCGGGTGCTCCATGAGCTGATGCACGTGAACAGCAAGCGTTTCTTTCTCCAAACCGGACGCCGCGACCCGACCACCTGCCCCAGACAAGATTGCTACCAGCGCGAGAGTCTGGCCCACTGCTTTTGGCTCTGCTCACCAACTCAGCAGACGTGGTCTGCACTACGTCCAATCTGGTCCCTGCTACTCCGTTGCACGCCCTCCTGGTTGGGCTTTCTCCTCGGGACCACGGAGCTGCTTCACTCGAGCTGGGCAGCGCACCACGAACTGGCATACGGCTTGTGGCTGATAATCCGCGGCATTTTCATGCGAGCCACCTGGATCAACCGAACCAACGACGCTTTCGGTCGGGAAGCTGCTAGCCCCAAGGTCATTGCTGCCGGCGTCAAGTCCTCCTTCATTGCCCATTTGCGCTCGCTCAACCGTCGACGCCACATGGTCAAGGTCGACACAGCCACTCTGTACTCCTTCATCCAGCGCCTTGTCTTCGGCCCTGAGGATGACTCGACGAGCCGCTGCGCGGATACTCCACGCCCCAGAGTGCCGCTCTGGATCGCCCATCGTTAAGTTGCATATTTCCGTACTTAGTCAAATCAGCATCAAACGAGGTCGTCCACCCGTAATAGAACTCCTTCCAAGAAGTTCAGTGGGAATCTACAGACTGAAGCAAGCTCGAGCTAGTGCGCGGCCGCGTGCGTGGACCGGAAGCCCCTCAAGAAGAAAGACACCATGGCCAGTGCCCTCCCGCGCCGCATCGTCAAGGTACGCGGCTCTAACGGCGCCTTGCTACCCCCCCCCCCCCCCTCTCCTCCCTGTGGGGCGCTGGATCCGTCGGATCGAGAGACTGACACTGCGCGTATCTGCAGGAAACCCAACGGCTGCTCGCTGAGCCTGGTGTGTGGAGTATGATTACTTGGAGGGGATGATGTTGTGCGCTAACGGAGTGATGTTCTCGTATGCAGTCGCCGGTATCAGCGCCACGCCGTACGAAGACAACCTCCGCTACTTCCAGGTGGTGATCGCCGGCCCGCAGTCGTCGCCCTACGAGAGTACGTGGGTCCTGTCCTTGCGATATAACTGCAGAGGGGTGCAGGCGTTGATAGGGCTCTTCTTTTCTTGTGCTTGATAGACGGCATCTTCAAGCTGGAGCTGTTCCTGCCGGCGGACTACCCCATGGCGCCGCCCAAGGTGCGCTTCCTGACGCGCATCTACCACCCCAACATCGACAAGCTGGGCCGCATCTGCCTGGACATCCTCAAGGACAAGTGGTCCCCCGCCCTGCAGATCCGCACCGTGCTGCTGAGCATCCAGGCGCTGCTGTCGGCGCCCAACCCGGACGACCCGCTGGCCAACGACGTCGCGGACCACTGGAAGACGGACGAGGCCGGAGCCGTGCAGATGGGTGAGTGTGTACGAGGATATGGTTACTGTGAAGCGCTATGGAGAGCTGACTTGTTGTGTTGTTACTTGTGGTGCTTTCGCTGTTGTGTAGCTGCGGAGTGGACGCGTCGCTATGCTTGAGTTCACGAGAAATAGCAAGAGCAGAGCTACGCTCTTCGATTAGTTTCGCTTTTCACACCCCATTCTTTTACAATTTTTTTTCATCTTTGCTGGAAATGTTTGTTTTTTAGGTTTTGTTTCCCCCTTAGCTCTAGTTTGCTTCAGCTGCGACAACAGCCTTAAAGTGTACCATGCACTCGTCGCGCGTCTTCTCCGGGTTTGAAAGCTGCCACGCCAGAATGCGGTCGAGCAGCGCCTTCATATTCGGTCCAGGCTTTACACCAAGCTGTTTCACGAGATCGTTTCCCTATTGAGACGCAGCAATGCACGAAGTAATTAGTTGACTGTTGGTCACAAGCGAGCAAACCCCAGACATCGACAATACTTACATTGAGCAATGGCTTCAGTTCCCAGACGCCATCAAGTCCCGCACCACTGACTTGTGCGTTGAAGGTGTCGTAGCGCTTAGATACCGTGGCGCGGGCCTCGTCATCGGATCCACCGTCGACGAGTTCTTGCACCAAAGCGACATCACGACAGAGCTCCCAGTGGGCGCCAATGCTGCGGATGAGAAGACCGACCTTCACACGGTCGAAGTCCTCTACTGTAGCCACCTGAAGTTCGCCAACGTGCGCCAGAATATTATCCACATCCTTCGCGTCGCGGTTAGGCAGCTTCAGTGAGTCCTGCACAACGAACGTGGCGACCGAACGGCGGCGCTTGTCGCGCGCACACAGTCCACGGAACGGCAGCAAGAACGAAGCCAAAATGCGCACGTGCAGCTTGTGTTTCTCCTCCGTCGACAAACTATCGACGTCCACCACACCACCAGTCGACGGAGCAAGATACTGGTACATCTCCGACACGTAGGCATAGCACCGGTCCCACACGTTCTCCCCAACCTGCTCCACTTCACCGTCCGGACGACAAACGGGAGTCTTCTCCAGCAGAGCCGAGGGCAGGAACACGCTCTCGCACAAGTGCAGCTCATGCAGCAGTCGCAGCGCACGTTCAGGATGCGCAGCGCTGCCCGTGAGCATACCGGACAGCTCCTTGCCGACACGTTCTCGACTCACCTTGCGCACGAGCGCCACCTTGACCTCCTCCAGCTGCGCCGCGGTGCGCAGATCCTCCTCCAGCGTACAGTTGAACCGCGACGCGAAGCGCACGGCGCGCAGGACACGCAGCGGATCGTCCAGGAAGGTCACGCGAGGCTCCAGCGGGGTCCGCAGCCGTCCGAATCTCAGGTCCTCAACTCCTCGGCCGGTGAAGTCCTCCACCTGCCTGGTGGCCAGGTTGTAGAACAGACTGTTGATGGTGAAGTCGCGGCGCTCGGCGTCCTGCTGCGGCGTGCCGATCTCCACGGTCGGGATGCGGTTGTCCTCGGACGCGTAGGTCTCGGCCCGCAGGTTGACGAAGTCCACCCAGCCCAGGTCGTCTCCGATCTGCATGGTGGCCGTCTCCAGGTGCTTGCTCTGCTCCGGGTTGGCCTTGATCACGCCCACGGCGTGCGCCTGGCGGCCCTGCGCCGTCTCGAAGGCGTTCACGAGGTCGGCGAAGGCGCGGCCGGTCATGCAGTCCAGCACCACGTCCACGTCGTCGCTGTCTCGGCCCAGCAGCTTGTCGCGCACCCAGCCGCCGGCCACGCGCAGCACGGCGCCGTTGGCTGCGGGCTGGGCCGCCACCTCCAACAGGAAGGAGAAGAGCTTCTCCTCCGCTGCGGTGAGCTTCACGCTGGGCTGGAGGTCGTTCTGCATGGCTGGAGAGGGCTCGTGCTCGTGCTCGTGGACGCGCTGCTTCTTGCCGGGACTGCTGGAAGGCGACGCCAAGCGCTTCACCATGCTTTGGGGTCGGTCAATGGCGATGACAACAGGGCTTGTGTTCGGGAAGGGCGCTGTATTAAAGTTGTAGTGGAAAGATAGATGCTTGTTGTGGTCTGGAGGTGAGTAAAAGAGTGTTGTCTTTTCGATACGGATCGATTATTCAGGTGGCGGACCAATTGGAAGATGGCGGACGATGGCATCGCGGCGGCGGAGATCGCCAGGCAGATCGCGGCACTGCGGCCGCGGGTGGAGGGATCGAGAGGCGTCATGGCGTACCTGGTTAGTGGAGGCGATGGCGGAGGAGACTCTTTTATTGGTGAATGGCACTAACGTTGGGATCCGCCTGCCTCCAGGACAAACCGCCGAGTGACAAGCGCGCCGATGTAAACAAAACGTTCCTGGCCAGCACCATCCGAAGGTTTGTTGGCGTTGTGCTGCGTTGAACACACGCAGTGAGCTGATCGTACAAGTGTGTGTTTGCTGCAGTGTGGACTCGCACAACCGACGGCAGGAGGAAGACAAGTGCTGGACACTGCGGCGGATGGAGCGAAAGCTTGACGAGTCCCGCGATCGGCGGAGATCCAGCCGGAGGAGTCGCAGTAGAAGCCGAAGTCGGGATGCGAGGAGGTCCGATGGTAGGAAACGCCGACGCAGTCGCAGTGCAAGCAGAAGTCGCAGTCGGAGCAGCTCGCGGCGGCGTCGACGGGATCAGAGTGAGCGCAGCACGTCTCAGGTTGCACGCAGTCGAAGTCGCGACCGTGGAGCGGTTGGTGAGGGAATGCGAGAGGATGAAGACGAGCGCAGCTACTGGGCAAGGAAGAAGGAGGAGAAGACTCGTCAGCTGTGGGAGAACCTGCACTCGGAGGGGACCGTGTCGGTGGAGAACGCACCCGACTTCAGCGCCGAGGAAGACTCTGACGACGACGATGTCAAGCCGACTAAAGTGGAATCACCTGGTCGTAGCGAGAAGAAGCGCAAGAAGGAGAAGAAGAGCAAACATAGCCGGAAGAGAGACAAGAAGGAAAAGAGACGGCGGAGCCGCTCGTAGATTTCAGGACCACTCGGTTAAATCAAACATGGTGTTGCAATGTGCAGTATTGCATGCAGGTTGATGATGGACTTCATAACAACGCGACTTTCATGGTGAACAGGACGTGCAGGCACGTAGGTAGTCGGATTAGTAGATACACACAAATGCAGGGCCGGCACGCCGCACTATTCTCTATCTATCTCAGATGACGACGCTGAAGTCGTTGCGCTTGTCGCCCGGCATCAGCAGCTTCTGGGGGAACGAGGCCGCCTCGTTCACCGTCTCAATTCGCTCCAAGCAGAAGAAGGCCACCTTGGGCGACTCCTTGGTCTCGCGTACGCGGAATCCCACAGCCTCCAGGATCTTGGTGAAGCGCGCGTACGTCATGAACTGCGAGTGGCGCAGACACAGCAGCGGCAGCATCAGGAACAGCAGCCCGCCCTCCTTCAAGTGTTGTCGATAGAGCCGCAGCATCTCGCCGCGCTTGTCGGCGCCTGGCACGCAGTTGAGCACCATGCTGGACACGAGCACCTGGAACTCGCTCTCGGGCTTGAGGCTGAAGAAGTCGCGCTGCTCGATGCGCTCGTGCCTCGAGTTCAGGTCGATGGCGCGTACGTCGAGCCACGGACACGACAGCAGCTGCGTGTTGATGGCGCCCACCTCCAGCACGCGCAGCGGCGGCTGCTTGGCCTTGGGCCGCAGCTCGAAGCGCGTGAGCAGCTGGAAGACCCACTTGGACGTGCGGTGGAAGCTCGTGCTCAGGATGCTGGCGTCCTGGTAGGCCTGGCGCCCGCCCAGTGCGTCCAGCTGCTTGTTGATCTCGGCCACGCGCTCGTTGCGCTCCCGCTGCTGCGCCGGGTCCGTCGGCTTCTGCTGCTTGAGGCGGTCCAGCTCGTGCGTCAGGCGGTGGAAGTTCGTGGTCACCTGGCGCGCCTTCCGTCGCGACTTCATGCGCGGCGGCGCGATGTGCAGCGCCTTGCGCGACTTCTTGGCCTTCTTCGCCGCCTTGGCGCCGCCCGAAGCGCCCGCGGACTCGGCAGCACCGCCGCCAGCCGTGATGCCCATGTTTTCGGGAAATGGCTACACTGTCGGTGTTAAGACCTGTATAGTGTCATAACCTACGGTATGCCATATTAGTCTTGCGTGTCATTAGCAGCTTCAACTACATGTACTGGAAATGCTGCGCTGCGTAGTCTTCGGTCTCTCCTTGCTGGCGGCATGGCGCGCTGCCGCAGCCTTGCAGGACAGCTCCGCCTTCCGACGAGACCCTTGGACGATGCATGATCCTGGATTCCCCGTTAAAATCGACGTGGCGCCGTCGCAGGACGAGCTTTGGATTGTTGCGCACCAGGAGGAGGAGGAGAGCGAAGCCCTCCACGGTGCTGGATATGTCCGTGGCTTTCCCCAAGGGCTTCAGCACTGACGAGGCGGTGGTCACCATGTCCTTCTTTGAGCCGAGCGGCGGCTCGACGAGCGACGCGGACTTTGCGTTGGTCGTCGACTCGCAGCTGCAGTACGTCAAGCAGTACCGAGTGGAGCTGGACCCGAACAAGGCCGGCGACCGCTTCGTGCTGCGTGTGTATGTCGAAGCCAGTGCTGTTAGAGTGGGCGGGACGGAGGTGGAACAAGGTGGGGCCAAGCTGCGCGCGTTCTACGCTCGGTGGGTGGACCTCAGTCCGTCGGAGCCCATGTTCCTCTCGTGTGAAGACCAGAAGACTGAAGACAGCGCTACTGAGGAGCAAGAGCGAGTGTCGGTGCACCCGCCCGCCAATATGCCGCCTGACTTGTGCAGTTGCTACACTATGGACGGCCGCGTGCCAGTCCGCAAGTGGTACTTTGACGACCAAACGTGAGTTTAGTGCTCTTTCCCTGTTGCTCGTGCTGTGAAGGTGCTGATCTGTCCAACGTTTGCTGTAGTGGTGCGGAACGATTGTATGGAGAGGCGTATTCTGCTGAGGCTATTCATGCTTTGGTCGAGGAAGCGCGGAAGCGTGTCGCTGGGTACTCTGCTGCTGACGCGTTCCTGTATAGTGCGCTGGACAAGTACCCGCTGAAAGACAAACACGTGCTCATTTTTGGCAGTAGTGGGCGTCCGTGGATCGAGAGCTTGTGTCTTGCGCACGAAGCAGCATCTTGCACCACCGTGGCAAGGAACAGGCTTCGATATAACCACCCCAAGTTGCAGACCTTCACTACCGACGAGTTTAACGACGAGCGTGCAGCAGGAGAGAGCTCCCTGCACTTTGACGTCGTGCTTGCAGTCAACACGATTGCAAGGGAGGGTCTTGGTCGCAGTGGAGAAACCGCTCGATCCCGACGGAGACCTGAAGGCTATGCAAGAGCTGCGTAAGTTCGCTGCACCTTCGTGCAGCGATGCGAAGACTGCCGCGTCAGTGCTCCTTGCTGTTCCTGTTGGACCCGATACGCTGGTGTGGAATGCTCAGCGCCAGTACGGTCCTCTGCGACTGCCTCTGCTCCTGCAAAACTGGCAGCTTCTCGACAGCTTCGGGTTCTCACAGAACAACTTCACGGCTCCTTTCACTGTGTCGCACCTGTCTCTCTTCGTGCTGCAACCCTCTGCTTCTTGCGCCCAAGCACACACAGAGCTGTAGGCAGCAGAGTGTTGGAGCATCAACTCGCAGTTGGCATCAAATTAGAAGCACACGGGCTATCAGACGATAACACATCGATCACACTCAAAATTCAAAGGCTTGGCGAGTTACATGTAATCTTACGCAGTGCAATTATGGCTTAAGCTGCTCAAAGCTAAGCCTGGGAATGAATTCCTTAAGATCCCGTACGGAAAACCGGCACGGTGACAAGCGCACCTCTCCAAACGTACTGGACGTGGCAAATGTACTGACCTAATTCCAACCCGTTGATCACCGGGAAGGTTGGCCCAGGGCAGCAGATCGCGCTTATCAACGCAGTGACTGCAACTTTCGGGTGCCGAACGTTGATCATAGCTGCTGGATCCGGATGAGGTTCAACCGGACCTGCCGGAATTCCATCCGCGAAGTGGTTAATAATGCTCGTTGCATCAAACTGAAGCTCAATGGCGATCTCACGAGGAGGGCACCTTCTGGTGCCTCGTATCTCCGCTGGTGGCGAGGAATGGGCTATCATCAGTGGACTGACATCGCCAAGTGAAGCAGCCCAGCGTTCATACACGCCCCACGCTTCCGAGTGCACACTTTCGACTCGCAGAATTCTTATGTCCTCTCCGTCCAGTTCCTCCTTCTTAGCGCCAGCAGCCACCATTGCCGCGATCACTTTCTTCGGGATTCTGGATGAGGGCACAATTGGCGTTTTCATTGTCTTCTTCGCGGTCTTCTTCCCCTTCCTTGGTTTTTGCAAGAATGGGAATGCACAATCGATGTTTTTTTTCGCCTGCACATCTACGGTACTTTCGATCAATCTAGTCAAATTCTATATTTCAGTCTCAAATATCGTGGACTCCTTTTCTTTTGGGAGTGAGGTTTGGAGACGAGTCCCCAAGTGATCAACGATTCAATTAGGAGTCTCGACTGGAATGGGGTCCAGGACTTACTGCTTCGTGATGAAGATGTCGACCCGGACCCTATCGAGGTGTGCACAACATCAGTGGATGACTGGAACCGCTACGTCAGGTCGCCAAACCAGGCGATGGAGCCCAAGTATATGGAGTGGCGGGACGGAAGAATTTGGATCGTGGAGTGTGCGGGGGCTATAGACTCCCTTACTGCCGGAAAATTCATTGTGGCGATGTGCTTGGCGACCGGGACTGGGGATGAGCATCTGGAGCCGTATAGGATTGCCACGACGAAGAACCACCAGCGGATACGATACTGGCTGAGCCGGACTGCAGCTTCGGACCGAGTGTCGATATTGGAGCCAGGGGAGGCTATAGGGGGGGGGGGGCACCGGCCCCCCAAAACATTTTCCAGCAACTCGACCCTATTTTCGAGCCTCCACGTTACGCAACTCACCCCCGTATTTTTGACCCACCCCACCCCTGACCCCCCTTACGATTTGGGTCTGGTTCTGCCCCTGGTTGGATCGACGTCGGGTTCTTAGGCAATAACTCGAGGCGCATGAATGGCTGAATGATGTACGTGTTCGCGTAGCCATATTACTCGAGGCGCACATGCACCTCGAAATGCCCATAAATTCATTTTAAAAAATGAATTTTACGGTTAAAACCGTCAAGTTGTTATTTACATGTTAACGGACCCGAAACAGAATTATTTTCAAAAACTATGAGTTCCCAATAGAATTAGCGGATATTTATTTATTCATTTCCAGGAATTTTTTCCTACGTTGAAGGCATCTTATCTTCCGACAAGTCGCTGCTCGCGATGGGGAACAAGGCGAGCCGTTCGACGTCGGCGTCGCAGCTGGCACTGGAGGCGCTGCTGGCGCGGCCCAGCGCGCTGCAGCGCTCCATGTTCTCGTTGCATGCGACAGCGCACCATGGCGTGCCCAGCAACGCGCGGGCGCTGGCCTTCTGCGGGCTGCAGGGCCTGCTGGCCGTCGGCACCGCCGCGGGGGCCGTCAAGCTCTACGGCGGCGAGGGGCTGGAGGTGCTGCTGGACGCGCCCGAGTCGGCCTCACACCTGGCCGTGGGCGTGATGCACTTGCGCTTCACGGCCCGCCAGCGGCTGGTCGTGGGCTACACGGACAGCTCGCTGCGCGTGTTCGACCTGGCCGTAGCGGGCGGCCCGACGCTGCTAAGCTGTGTGCCCGATAGCTGGACGTCCAGCGCCATCACGAACCTCGAGACCATCAGCTACGCCAACTTCCCCTTCTTCTTCGTGGCCACCGACGACGGGGACGTGCACGTGGTGCAGGAGGAGACGGGCCGCGTCAGCACGTACGTCATCCGGCCGCAGGACCTGTCGGTGCCCAACGCTGAGGGCGTCACGGCCATGGCCTCCCACCCGAGAGACAGCAACCTGCTGCTGCTTGCCTACGACACGTGCCCCGCCGTGCTGCTCTGGGACTTCGCCAAGCGCAAAGTGGTGCGCGAGTTCACGCTCTCGGGCAAGGCGCACAAGCTGTCGTCTCCGCAGTCATCCCTGGCCCCATCGGAGTCGTCGGCCGACAGTGGAGAACTCGTCTGCAACTCGCCGCAGTCGCTCTCGTGGCACGGGAGCGGCAAGAGGTTCGTGGCCGGGTACAAGCACGGCGGCTTCGCGGTCTTCCGCACGGAAAAGTCGCACGGCTTGTACCGCCACGTTACCGAGGCCACCCCGGGTGACCACGTTGCACCCGTGAAGCAGATCAAGTGGGTGTGTGCCCCGCCGACTTCCAGACACGCTGCTCTGCCGGGGGCCATTGTGTTTTCTGGCGGCCGCGCCGATCCGAGTGAATCCAAGTTGCTGACTGTGGTGCACCCGCCACCTGACGGCCGTAGCAGCGATGACACGCTGACGGACCTGTTCAAGTCGGAAAAGCTGACGTGGCTTGTTGCGACGATCGAGTCCGCCAACCATGCGGAAATCGCGGCATTCGAGGCCGCGCAGGACCAGGTGGACTACTGCGCGAAGATGGCGCCGCTATCGCTGATTGTGTTATCTGGAAACCCTCTTGATGGCTGCCTGCCGACGGTAAGCGTGCAATGCCTGCCTTGCTTCGTGAAGCTATGCGATGGTGACAAGGAGGAATGGGAGTGGCGAATGGAGCGCCTTCCCGAACCGGCAATTGTTCCTCCGCTGTTGCAACTTAGCCTGCTCAAGACATTCGCTATCGTGAATCTTTCCCACTCGGATAGCGCTCTCCAAGATGATTTGCTGTCAACGTGGAACCAAGCGAAATACAACTCCGTATTCCGCTTGTGTGAGAGCGGCGATTTCGAGTGGCCCATCAACGGCGGAAGCATTCTCGAACCAATGCTGAAGGGATTTCTTGCAACAAGTGGGGCGCTGGATAATGGAATTGCTCCGAACAGCATGTTGCTGCTTACGGGCCATGCCAATGGATGTGTGCTGTTTTGGGAAGCGCGGACTGCGGGTGATCGAGCTAGTAAGGGTGCTATCCGTCTTCTTCACGTCGTGGACACACCGCTACAAATGTCGCCGCCTCCAGTCAACGCAGTGGTTACGTGCTTATCCTTTTGCACTGACTCACGCACTCTAATTGTTGGATTCGCTTCCGGTGAAATTGCTGTACTCGAGTTCGATCAGCTGAAACAGCGAGAGCCACCTGTAGCTGACGCAAATGTGATCGGTGCCGAGATATCGGAGCAGGAGCAGAACCTCGAGCGCGGTGACGACTCAGGAGCGTTGAACGCGGATCAAACATTGCAAGGAACAGGTCAGAAGGAGGCCGTGGGGTTCCGTACGCTATTCTCTCTTCATGTGCACACCGAGCCAATTTCAAAGTTGGCGCTATCCTCTTCGTACGGATACGTGGCTATTGCGGATGCAGCAGGCATGGTGTCACTTGTCGAGTTGAAAACTCAGGTGTTCCAGCTCTTGGTCTGTGATATTGCTCCAGCCGCCGATGAGCCAATGTCGGTTGACTCGCTGCTTATGAGTGAACTTGTACAGACGACAGAAATTCCTGGTAGTGGGTCGTCACCTCCTTCGTCACAACTTGGAAGCAGCGGCAAACGTTCCCCAGGAAGACCAAGTACTACTGGTGCCGACGGGCCTCGTCACAATGTGATTCAGCACCGCGAAGTGATCCCCGTGCTCTTCGTGGGACGTGGTAGCGGAAAATTGGAAATGTATCACGTCCAGTCCGCCACCAAAATGGGAGAAACGCTCGTGGATCCAGAGAAAACTACGAGCCTGTCATCGATTATCATGGTAGACGGAGATGGCAAGCGTATCGAGATCCCCGCGCGCAAGTGGGTCGAGGAACGCGGTGGCCAGAGTGGACTAGATCCTGCCGATACACAAGTTTCACCGAGCATGATCCAGCCAAAGCTCGCACAAGACGCAAAGACTGATGCCAGCCAATCAACCGAGCAAGTGGGCCCACCTAGTGTTGATTTTGAGCTCACCCAGCAACTTGTTCTAGAGGCCACGAAAGTTGCTTCATCGGCAGCTCAAAGTGGGGACCTGTCGACTTGGACACGGGGGAATGCCATCCAGGTCACCGTCCCGGTAGGATCGCTTGGACTGCATCTCTTCATGGAGGTGGATCAGCACGCTGTGGTGAAGGGATTCGCGGAAGACAGCAGCACGGCTGCTTTGCTGTCAGGCAGCGGGGTTCGTGCTGGTCATACGCTTACTGCAATTAATGGGGTAGAAGTCATGGCGCTCAACCGAGATGCCGTATGCGGCGTACTTGATCAGCTTCGGGAGCGCGCAAAGGTGCTCACTTTTGCCGAGGGCTTTGATCCTAATGAAGTCGGAGCCTCGGGCGGTCTAGTTGTTGACACGAAAGACATAGCGGAGGTTGAACGCCCCCGATTCTTAATATGCACATGTGGCAAAGCAATCCACGTGGTGCTGGCGACGGTCCCCCGAGCAGCGGAGATGGCGATGGGCCCGAAGGAAATCCCAGCTCAGCCTCTTGCAAGTATTGAACTGCACGGTGCTGTTCTTGTCACGTCAATTGTCCGAGTGCCCGTTGGCGAAGGAGTCGAGAACTGCCTCGCCGTCATCGACCAGAGCAACCGAGTGTACGTTCTCTCCTTGCTTTCCCTGAAGCCGATCTGGGAGGCGGAGTGCAACAACTTTGGCTTCGGACTCGGCCGAAGTGGCCTGGTGGACGGCATCTTGGCCGATATCTCGTACGGTGGGGAGCTCGTTGTGGCCAACGCGTTCGGCGAGATGGAGCGTTTCTCGCTATTTGCCGAGTCGACGGCGATGGAGAGCGCGATGCTCGAGCGCATGTCTGTCAAGACCCGACTGCATCTGTCTGAGCGCGTCGCCATGTTCGACCAAGCGGCGTCTCCGTCAGCGGCGGACAGCGGCAAGAAGCGGGGCATCGCGGCGGATGCTGGCAAGATGTTCAAGAAGCTGGTTCTCAGCGTCACCCAAGAGGCCACCGACTTGAACAAGGTGTTCCAGTTCTCAGCCGAGGAGGACGAGCGGAGGCGGCTAATGGGAGATCGATCTCCAGCTAAAGATGCTGCAGCTGCCGAGAGCGCCACCGCCAAGACGGAGACTGGGCTGAATGCTACGAAGGACGCGCTCATGCAGGCGCAGCAGGTATATAGTTACCCCTGAATTGATTGTCGAGCAGAATCATGGTTTCCCTTGCTAACACTTTGTGTACTGGTTATCTGTAGCGGCTAGCGGAGCGCGGGGAAAAGCTGAACGATCTGGGCCTCAAGACCGAGCAAATGAAGAAGACGTCTGAGGACTTTTACCAGACGATGAAAGCTTTCAACGAGAAGAACGCCAACAAAAAGTGGTATGAATTCTAAGCAAGGTAGGTAGGCATGCAGCCTGGCAGGGGGAGGGACAATGTATGAGCATGTTATGTTGCATCCATCTTTCGAACGTTCAAAGCTGCAGTTAGTCAGTCGAACTTGGCCCAAACGAGCGTGAGTCCTTGAAGCGGTCACGAAATCCAAGCACGGGCAACAGGCGCGGCATCGTCGACGGCGACGGCGACTTGAGGCGTCACACTCGCTGGCCATGCCAGCTCGCCGAAACGGATGCGCACGACGACGACGTCCACGGGGTTTTTCCAAAACGCCGAGACTGCGTCATGGGCGGCGCTCGAACGAGTGCTGTGAACAATGCCATACAGACATTGTCCACGACCTCTTTGACACGTGGGAGTGCTTGCAGATGTTACTGCAGCCGCTAGTGGCACGCTACCGCGGACGTGTGCAGGCGTTGCTGCTTACACTGCGTGGCGGAGAGGCACTAATACTTTCCACGTGGCTTGGACTCAAGGAATCCGTCGAACTGCCAATCCATCACTTGACACACGTAGTCAGCAATGGCGGCCGGACTTGCTGCTCGAGCGTGGCTGTTCCCAGTACCGAGCGTGCGAGCTGATGCCCTTGCTCTGCTGCGTCGCTAAAGTTTCGGCGAGTGAAGGTGCAAGTGTATGACCCGCCATCATTTCCACAGCTGAGAGGGTCACTCAGCTGTCCAGACACTGCCACCAAATTTGTCGCCGGCCGGCTGGAATAGTGGCGGTTCTCCGTTCCAAATTATGTGCAAGCTAAACCAAACTTTTGAAAACAAAAGCTGAATTTTACAACGGAATTTTTTATCGAACAGAAAATGGCTCGAGTGTACGATAAAAAATTCAGGCGGGTCGGATGCTAGTTGATGGGTTTCACCACTATTTCCGGGACGGCGCATAAACCCGACCCAGGAGAGATGTCACCTTTCGAGCTCATTGCCACTTTCGCCGAGCGTCGAGCACACCGATTGACCGACCGACCACAGAGCCGAGCAGCGCCCTAGATCATGGCCACCGACAACAAGCAGCTGCAGCAGCCCGCGCCGGGCCTCGAGGCCGAGCCGCTGCTGCCCGCGGACGTGCACGACATCGCCGAGGAAGGCTCCGACATGACGCGCGACATCTTCTTCGCCATCCTCAAGGAGACGCAGGACGGACCGCCGCGCCCCAAGTCGCTGCCCGACCAGAGCGAGATCCTGCACGAGGACATCGGTGCGTATATAGCGCCTTAGATACACTATCAATGCTGTGCTCACGCGCTGTCTGTTGCTGATGGACAGGCAAGGCGTCGGACATCGCGCGGCCCGGGGGATTCCGGCGCGACCACGTGATCGCCAACCTGGGCAACAGTCCGCACGTGCCGGCGTACGTGCAGGACTCGTTCCTCGAGTCCATCCAGCCCACGCCGGGCTTCCTGCAGTCCGCGTACGGAGACTTCATCGTGGCCAGTCTCGGACTCGCGGACGACGACGACGACTCTGACGTACGTGGCGTGTGACAGATGTGCTGCAAGAGTGGGCAGCACGTAGTCTAACTGCACGTCTGTGTTGTTGTGACTAACAGGAGACAGCAACGCCGCTGCTGAGTCGTGCGTGGAAGCGTCGGCCGGAGAAGCAGCAGCCCGGCGCGACCGTGGGGAAGACGGTGTTCACGATCCTCAAGTCGTTCATCGGTAGCGGCATCTTGTTCCTGCCCAAGGGCTTCCAGAACGGAGGCATGCTCTTCTCGCTGTCAGCGCTGTGCGCATCCGCCGTTTTGTCCACCTTCTGCATGCTGCGGCTGACGGAGTGCTCCAACGTGCTGCTGCGCGAACCGGGTCGCACTTCTGTGTCGTACGGACTGGTGGGAGAAAAGGCGTTCGGCAAGGTTGGTCGTGTGGCTGTCAACATCTCGCTCGTGCTCTCGCAGATCGGCTTCTGCTGCTCGTACCTGATCTTCGTGGAGAAGAACATCGGCGAGGTCATCTTGGCCATCTTCGGGGTCCAGCGGACGACTGCGTCCTCATCATTGACGCTGCTTGCGCTGCAGATCCTGCTCTACACGCCGCTCTCGTGGGTGCGTCGCATCGAATACTTCGCGCTCACGAACCTGTTCGCCGATCTTCTCATCCTGTTTGGCCTCGTCTACATCATCACGTACTCGGTGCAAACTATCGATGACGCGCCCGTGGGCACTGCGACTTGGGAGAACTTCAACTCGACCAGTTGGGCCATGATGCTGGGTACTGCCGTGTACTGCTTCGAAGGTATCGGACTCGTGCTGCCCATTTACGACGCCATGGACGATGACATCAAGCACAAGTTCCCGCGCATCCTGTCGTACTCCATGCTGTTCCTCGTGACGCTGCTGTCCGTGTTTGCCGGTCTGGTGTACGCCGCATTCGGCCAGGAGACACAGTCGGTTGTCACGCTGAACTTGCCTAGTGCCCAAGACAGCGTCACCACGATGTCGGTGCAGCTGACGTACTCGCTGGCACTCGTGTTCACGTACCCGCTGATGCTGTACCCCGTGGTGAAGATCCTGGAAGGCTACCTGTTCCCTGCCCACAGCCAGAAGGGCTACTGGCGCTGGGAGAAGAACGGCTTCCGCTTCGCGCTCGTGTGCCTTACCGCTGCTATCGCGTACTTCGGCAAGGAAGAGCTGGACAACTTCGTGGCCCTCATCGGTGGGTTCTGCTCGGTGCCGCTGGCATTCATCTACCCGTGCCTCTTCCACTCGCGTCTTGTGAACGAGAGCCGCACCCTAAACAACATCGTTATCACGGTGGGCATCTTCACGATGACCTTCGCGACGTACCAGGCTGTGTCGACGTGGAACTGAGGCTTCTCGTCTTAGATTAAAGCTTGCAAGTGCTGCTGTTTTATCGTGAAAAGTCCAACATCGAAACCTGGATTGACCTGACAGTCCATTAAGGAAATGCTAGTCGCTATCGTAGCCTATACACAAGTTTCTCCACGTATTCCATACTTACGCATTCGCTCTTTGACGAACTTGCTCGACCAGTTGGAAGAGGTTGATCTCCACTGGGTTGTTGAATCCGCTGGGGAGGTTGGCGCCCGCCGGAAGCCCCAGAAGCCGGTGAGCATCAAACCGCAGCATGGCATGCTGCTGGTCAATGGGCAAAACGGGGGCGCGGTTGAGAGCGTCATCCACGGGAAACTCCCCGTTCACACGCTCCTCGAATTGAAACTGGCGGATCCGTAGCTTCGGTGACAGCCGTATCGACACCACAAACTGAACGCCGACATGTTCGCGCCAAATTGCTGACTTACGATCCAAACCTGGCCAACCTTGACAAACGCCGACCTCCACGTTCACCGTTTGAAAGTCCAGCCAGTTTCCAATGCCGTCGGGTAGAACTGCTCCAACACAAACACTGGGTCCAAAGCTGCAGTCTGGCTCCGCCAGCACCGCACCCGCTGGTGGTTCTTCGTCGTGGCAATCCGTATACGGCTCAAGATGCTCGTCGCCAGTCCCCGTCGCCAAGCACATCGCCACAATGAATTTTCCGGCAGTAAGGGAGTCTATAGCCCCCGCACACTCCACGATCCAAATTCTCCCGTCCCGCCACTCCATATACTTGGGCTTCATCGCCTGGTTTGGCGACCTGACGTAGCGGTTCCAGTCATCCACTGATGCTGTGCACACCTCGATAGGGTCCGGGTCGACATCTTCATCACGAAGCAGCGAATCCTGGACCCCATTCCAGTCGAGACTCCTAATTGCATCGTTGATCACTTCGGTGCTCGTCTCCATACCTCACTGTGGCTCAAAACGACAGAGATAGAATTTGACTAGATTGATCGGAGCTAACGTTTCATGTATTAAGGTACGGTGCCAGTCGCGTGCAATCTGCCAGTTCCGTGCCACTTTAGCTTCAACCAATTAGAATGCCGTAAGTATTTTTAAAGAACCCTATTGGTAAAAAGTCTGTAAGCGCTACCAGCCAGTAAAACCCGCCAAACTGTATACGAACAAGACACATTTCCCGCCAGTTTGAGCTCAGTCTCCTATTTCCTGAAGCCTACAAACCACCCACCAACCCCGCAGCGACCACCTCGACAATGCCCGCGTACGAGATCGAAGACCTCAATTCTGCAGTGAAGCGCGTCCTCGCCGGCGACAGCGCCCGCAGTGTCAGCGACAGCACCCCAATTCCGTATCGGACCCTTACGAAATGGGTCGCGAAGGGGAAAATGGGCATCTTCCGCGCATCTGTTCGTCACGGCCCGGCTCCGCTGCTCTCGCAACCAGCGGAGGCATGCTTGGTCGAGTGGATTGTCGGGCGCCAACTGGTCGGTCACCCCGCAAGTCGCAAGGAGATCATCTTCAAAGCCGGCACCATGAGCTCCATGGCCACTGGTCAAAGGGTTGGTGGCGGGTGGTACCGCCGCTTCATGGGGCGACACCCGATGCTGGCAACCCGAACGTCTCAGGCGGTATGCAAGGCCCGCAACGCTGTGACCAAGAGCGATCTCGAGCAGGTTTTTAGCTCGTTGATCAAGGCTGTGGTCGAGAATCGTTTGGACGCGTCTCGCGTGTTCAACATGGACGAAACAGCGTTTCAGACCAACAAGGGATCCAAGCGTGTCGTGGCGGTTCGAGGCTCCAAGAACGTTTGGCACCAAGACGTTGCGCTCAATTTTCACCTCACGCTGGTCGCGTGTGGCAGCGCGTCGGGGTGCATGGTGCCGCCGCTTTTCGTGCTGCCGGGGTTGACAGTCAAGCTCGAAGTTCTAGATGGCTGCGCCATACCCGGAGCTGCCGTCACCACCTCGAGCTCCGGGTTCATGAATGGATTTCTCTTTCTTGAGTGGCTGAGCTTTTTTTCGGCCAGCGTGCCCAAGGACGTGCAGCGACCTCTTCTCCTGATTCTGGATGAGTGTTCGTCTCATTACTCCGTGGAGATCATCTTAGAGGCAGTTCGGCTTGGCGTGCTTCTGTTGTTGCTTCCTTCGAACGCGACCCACCTGCTTCAACCACTGGATGTCGCTGTGTTTTCGTCGTTCAAGGCGAAGCTACACCGCCTAACCGAGATCTACGCTGGCGAGACTGGACGCAATTCGGTCGACAAAGAGGAAGCCATCCGGATGGCAAGCGCGGCATGGGTAGGATGCAAGATGGGTGAGAACATCAAAGCGGGGTTTGCTGGGTGCGGCCTTTTCCCTCCGTCCAAGCCTCGTATGGACATGTGCATCGACAATTTCCGGCGCAACGGAACCCCCGCATCTACGAAGCTGGCAGCGTGGCTCCGGATCAAGGAGGATGTGCAGAAGGAGGTGCTCGTGCTACCGCCGTCCAAGAAGCGGGTGCGCAAGACAGCAACGGTCGCCGGTCGTCTTTTGACCAAGGAAACACTGGAAGCGATGGCACAACCGATGAAGAAGCCCAAGAAGGCAGCCAAGACGAAGAAGCATCCGATGGCAACGAAGGCGACGAAGATGAAGAGGGTGCCGTCTCCGGTGCCGGAGCCTGTGCAGCTGCAGTTCCAGTCTGCGTCGAAGCACGGTGAGGCAAACCAGCAGGATAAAGTTGTGTGGGAGGCGATAGTTCAGTATAACCAAAGAAAAAAGCTTTTGCTGGGGCAATTTCCACCACATTGTCTTCATTGTTTTTGTTGTTTATTTCCTACTTTCTATAGTGATACGATATCCCTCTGTATGCCTGGGCCCGCTGTGATGTCCGGTTTTTGAGATTTGACGATCTCAAACCGTTATCAGAAGGGGAACCCGACTCATGGTACTTAGCATACTGGCGGTCAATCCGTTCACTCGGTGGCAGCCGTCGGTCGCTTTCGCAGTTCTGTGGCAGCCCCCTAATGCTCTAATTGACAGTTAGCCCACTAGTCTTTTGGTTGAGTTAATGCTGCCAGGTGGAATCGAACCACCGTCCTCTCGGTTATGATCCGAGGACTTTACCACTAAGCTATGGCAGCGCTGCCTCTGAGCACAAATCATACTATATTTATACACAAATCACATAATATTGTGTACCATATTGTGATATCGTATATCCTGTCTTATACGATTTCAAATGGATGCAAATCATTTTGTACAGGTTGTTTCGGTGCTGTCATGAGAGCAAAAAGAGATTTGTCCCCCTTACAAAACCACAGATAAAATGCGGCAGATAACTGGTCCTGCCGTGAATGGGTTTGCAAATAGTCAGCAACTCCTAATTGAGCTCTCGTTTACTGTAGAGCCCAGTAAAACAGTCTGCTAACAGAAGAGATTGCGCTCTCTTCAGATATGCGTTTACATCTCAAAACTAATTGCCCAATAAAAGTTATGAGCAAAACAGTGAGCGGGATTACATTAAGGCACACAAGTGGCACCGTACCTTACAACAAAAAGTGATGGAACGGGTTGTGCGTTCTCTCATTTCTGAAAAATCAAGGAAGGGGAAGAAGACCGCGAAGAAGACAATGAAAACGCCAATTGTGCCCTCATCCAGAATCCCGAAGAAAGTGATCGCGGCAATGGTGGCTGCTGGCGCTAAGAAGGAGGAACTGGACGGAGAGGACACAAGAATTCTGCGAATCGAAAGCGTGCACTCGGAAGCGTGGAGTGTGTATGAACGCTGGGCTGCTTCACTTGGCGAGGTTAGTCCACTGATGATAGCCCATTCTTCGCCACCAGCGGACATACGAGGCACCAGCAGGTGCCCTCCTCGTGAGATCGCCATTGAGCTTCAGTTTGAAGCAACGAGCATTATTAACCACCTCGCGGATGGCATTCCGGCAGGTCCCGTTGAACCTCTTCCGGGTCCAGAGGCTATGATCAACGTCCGAAACCCGAAAATTGCAGTCACTGCGTTGATAAGCGCGATCTGCTGCCCTGGGCCAACCTTCCCGGTGATCAACGGGTTGGAATTAGGTCAGTACATTTGCCACGTCCAGTACGTTTGGAGAGGTGTGCTTGTCACCGTGCCGGTCTTTCGGTGGGATCTAAGGGAATTCACTCCCAGGCCTAAGTTTGAGCAGCTTGCATCGGATGGAATATTGTTTTGCGCGGGGTTTACATGTAACTCATACACTTTTCAGTTTTCATGTAAATCGTCTGGTACTTCTAACTAGTTTCCAACTGAATTGGCTTCCGCAGGAAGCAGAGGGTTCCAGCGCGAAGACAGGGGTCAGCAAATTCTTGGCAATTTTAAAAGTCAATAAATGGCCACAGCAGCTAAATTAAGGCGTGTACTGATGCTCGTCCGCTTTGGCTCAGTGATGCATCAATGCAGTGGTCGAGTTCGGACGAGGTCTCTGTGGAGCATGCGCCTAGCTTGGAGGAGCTGGCGGGCGCCACCCAGCTAGTGCACGACCCCGACAGCTGGGAGGAGGATGACCAGGAAGACGAGGAGTCCCAAGCCGATGTGCACTCCGAAGTCCAATTAGATCACATTCCGCTGGACCTCGGCCCAAATACTGAGAAAGTTGATCGTGCGGCGGTTGATCGCGGCCCCGCCGCTGACGTAGAGAACGAAACGCGGGCTGTTGAAGAGTGCAGTCTGGGCACCGCCGACGAAGATGCTGGCCAACCTTCCGAGCAAATGCCTTTCGACCAGCTGCCGCACCTCTCGCCAGAGCCATTGCACCCCAAGAAGATCTCCACCACCAGCAAGTTCAAAGAGAGGCAGGCTGCGCTTGACCCCGCACCTCAAGTGGCGACGCTCTTCGACGTCCACCCGCTGCTGGAATTCGCTCGCACGCACTTCAACCTCACGGCGCCGAGAGCTTCTCCTTTCCACAAACCGGTCGAGTTCGACCTCACCAAGCGCCTGGAATGGGATAAGAAGGTCATCTCGACCCCGTTGACGCGCCTCCCGAAGGACCAGGCTGCTATCGCAGTGCAGGCGTTCCGCAATGTCTCGGGCTTCATGGGGAACCGAGCAAGCGGCAAGAACCAGATCGATCACTGCTTCAAGTTACTGCGCAACGTCGTTCCCCGATCGCCCGCACTTAAGGACGAAATCTACTGCCAACTCTGCAAGCAGCTCACTCGAAACCCCAGCTCGTATGTGTCCGTCCAAACTTGTTATCTGAATCCGTGCTAACTGCTCCCATTGCATGCTGTGACCAGGAACGCAGTTATGAACGGGTGGTTGCTGTTGAACGCATGCCTCGTAACTTTCCCGCCATCCGCGCCGTTGGCTGAAAGTCTCGAGAGGTTCATCAGTGTGCACATCGGTGCTGGAGGCGACTCGGAGGCTAGCTCGGAAGTGTCGGCGTATGCGCTGGAAGCACTGACGTCGCTACGATGCTGCGCCACGAAAGGCGAGCGCAAGGAAATCCCCAGTGCCGCTGAGCTGCGAGCGCTGCAACGGCACGCTCTTAACGACATCACTGTCATGCTTGCCGATGGTTCGGTTCTGGCCATGCAGGTCAGCGCTTGGACGACAAGTCGCGATCTGGCTGGACTCGTGGCGCGCAAGTTAGGCGTGTGCCACGAAAAGGCCTTCGCGCTTTTCGAGACGAATGACGAGGGGGAGGAACACCTCGTGCCCGACAATGAGCGTGTCATGGATTTGTACGCGGAGTGGGAACGCACTCACGTCGATGTGAACGACCTCAAGCAGAAGAAAAAGAGGAAGACAACAAAAAGTGAAAACCCGACTGGGGAGACGAAAGCGCCGGAGGTTGAAGGGTATCACCTCACGTACAAGGCATACTTGTGGGTGCACGTCGACGACGAAACTGCAGCAGACGTCGGTCTGTACTACCTGCAAGCCGTCCACAACGTGCTCAGTGGGCGATATGTCTGCGATATCACCGTTGCTGTCGAGCTGGCTGGGTATCAATTGTACTGCAAGCTTGGCAACGACGCAACTCCAGAGCTGGCGAATCTCACGTAAGTTACACAATATGGAAATGGTTGGAGAGTTTTGTACTTATTGCTGTGTTGTGCTTGCTGACAGGAACGAGATCAATGAATACATCCCCGGTCCGCTTCTCAGTTCGACCAATCGATCAGCAGTGGCGGAGCAAGTGCTATCTAGCTACAAGTCGTTCATGAACAGTTGGTGCGTGCAGTCTACACAACAGGCTCGGCTGGCTTACTTGAGGCTGTGTAAGCGCCAACCGTTCTACGGGTTGACGCTTTTTCACGTTCGAAACTATCGCCAACTCGCAGTGCTGCCATCGCGTGTCATCCTGGCTATCAACGACATGGGGGTCAGTGTCCTAGGCGCCGACAGTGACGAAGTGTTGGCGATGTTCCCGTATGCTGACATTGCCAGTTGGGGATACAGCGCAAACTCGTTCGTCTTCGTTGTGATACGCGGCACCGAAGAGACAGAGTACTCGTTCAAGACTACCCAGGTGAGATGCTCATCTGGATTTGTACCTATGATGCGATCATCTAACCGAAGTTGGCTGAGCAGGGCAAGAGCATTAACGACAACGTGGCCGCTTACGTCAACTACATTATTTCATTAACCACTTTCGAAAGCGAGTAAGGGATAAATACATGCCAGCGCTATTGGCTCAGACATATGAATAGCGCGCTGCACATTGTTGTGTGGGTGTGTAGCTCAATAGAGTATCTTTGTTTCGTCTACCTACGATGGATGTCCTTCGGAGGTGAATCGATTCCGGCCTTCTGCAGCAGCTTCGTATTGAGCTCCGCCTCCAGTAGTGTCATGCCGTACTTATCTTCTTCAGCCCTGCGCCGAGCGTCTTCGGCCATCTGCCGTTTCACCAGCTGCTGGTGCTCGCGGTTGCGTTGATTCACCCTTCCCTTCACCGCGTCCTGCTCCTTTTGCCACGTTTGGAAGTCCGCCTTGAACTTGGTGGCGTAGACAGCCTCCTCCTGCTCCAGCGACAGTCTGCGAGACCTCTTATCTTCTCTTTGCAACGTCAAGGCTTGCATCTGCACCCGTGCAGCCTCTCGCTTCTTGCGCTCCTTTTGCTCCAGCAGCTCAGCTTCCCGAGCGCGCACAGCTGCCTGCACAGCAAGTGCACGGTGCTCATCTTCACGCGCCTTCTCCTCTGCACTCTTCACATTGAGTAGCGCTAGCTTGACCTTCTGGTTCTGCTTTGTGAGGATGGCGTCGAGCTCGGCGCGTCGTGCAGCTTCTTGCATCTCTAGCTTCTTCTCGTACGCCTTTTGTAGCTCCAGGTCTTCTTGCTGTTCACGAAGCACAGCCTCGCGCTTAAGCTCCAGCTGCTTCGCGTTTGCCTGTTTTACCCGAACGACTTCTTCCATATCGGCAGCCTTGCGCTCCGACTTACGACGCTTCTCTTCCTCACCCAACAGGCGAAACCTCTCGAGCGCTCGACGCTCGTTGCGCTCCTTGGTCTCTTGAGCCACACGTACGGCCTCTGCTTGAGCTCGAAGGTCGTGCTGCCAGCGCTGAGCCTCCAATTCGACTTGGTCTTGGCGCTGCTTCTGCTTGGCTTTCTCCTGCTCACGCCACACGGCCTGTTGCGCCGCCTGGACGCGCGCGTACATGTCTGCGGTCGCCTTCTCGTCGAGGCGTCTGCGCTGCTTGTCGGCTTCCTGCCGCGCCAGCTGCTCGCGGTACACGGCTGCAGCAGCGAGACGTTTGCGCTCGGCTTCCTCCTTGGCCTGTTGCACCTCCGCCACCTCCTGCTCGAAGATCTGTATTTTGCCAGTCGCGGTGATCACGTCACATGTAGTGATTGATTAGTCCACTGTTTGATGACGCACACGACAGAAAGGTAGGCCACTTACGGGGACCCACAGGTTTGGCGGCTGCTTGCGCGGAGGCCGCCGCACGGGACCGAAGCGCTCTTCATCATAGTCGTCGTCCTCCCCACCCTGTTGCTTTTGCTGTGATGACCGGTCTTTATCGTCGCGGTTGCCTGCTGCAGGTGTCCCCGACGTCTTTCGGTTGTTGCCCGCGTGCTGCGGCGCAGGACGCGTCTTTGATGGCACCAGACGCTCTCGGTGAGCTACACGCGCGAGTTCTTCACCCACATGACGCAAGATGAGGCGACGAGAGGTTGCATTCTGCGGTGCTTGACAGTGCGCCTTGATCTCCTGCACGTACACGCGGTTTCTAGCCTCCAGCTCTTGCTGGGCCTCCAGCGCCGCGGCACGCTGCTGCTTGACGGCGCGGCTCTTCTCCACCAGCGTGCGCTGCGCCGGCGTCAGCACGAGACCGCCCCCAGCTACCATCGCTGATGTAGTGCCGAGCAGTACCAGTGCAGACACTCTAGGCACTCTATAAACAGCGCGGCAAGCCGCTAATATTGGCAGGTAATGTTGGGCCGTGCTTCAATCAATGACTGGGAAGGTACAGTGCTGGCATTGCATTGATTCTAGCTCTCGCTACCATCGCGACAGATTTTTAAAAACCTGCGATGAAGTTCAAATCTTCTTTTCAGCTGATCGTGCACTGACACCAAAACACGTACGGTATCCCGGTGTTAGCTGAAGGCTCCTCGAACGGGTTTCGGACCAATGCCTCTGACTCAGCTGGCGGCCAGCACGCCTTAAACTTCTTGTTCATCTTCCTCGAGAGCAGTGTGACTTGCCGCCTCCCATTTACACTTGAACCAGGACTCTTCAGAAATGGCGCAGAGGAGACTCCGAAGTTGTTGGCATCCTCGTTCTGCCCATGAACTCGTGTCTGCTCTGGGCGTTCCTCGACTTCTCTTTCGCTGGTTTTCGACACCCTCTTCACAGAAGGCTGTCGCTGCAACAGTGAATCGGATGACGCTCTGCTCAGTGCTGGTTGGATCGGAGTCATGCTCCAAAAACTGACGGAGCGCGTCTTCATACGCAGCATACCGCCGGAGCGACGCCTGGTCGTGTCCCATTGCATCAACTGAGCCAGTTCATTGTCCATGAGAGCAAACTCGAGCCATTCCGTATACTGAAGCTGGCAATCTGATGTCGCCAGCGTCAGCAACTTCGTGCGAAAGTGCCTTCGAAGCAATGGGCTTTTCGCTGCATCGGAAGTTGAATCAGCGAGCTCACGTCGCCGTGGCTCGTGTACTCGATGGCCTTCAGCGTCTGCTACCATCCGATTTGTTAATAGACAGCACAGTAAATCTGAATTACAAGACGTGTTAGCAAACCACCGAGGCCTACAAATTGACGCAACGTACTAACCTGCAAGTTGTTCGATGCCTTGCTGATTTAGGTACTGGTGGTCATGGTGATCTGGAATCTGAAAAAGCAGCTGAGCCTTTTCTTCCGGGGCCCCGCGACTTGCAGCCGATAGAAACTATAGCAAACCATCGCATCGTTACACCGCTGCACATACTAAACGGAATAAACGATAAAACTAACCTTGATCAAGTTGTAAAAGGAAACGTTTCCGTAGCCATCGGGCTTTAGAAGGTAACAGACTCGTCCAAAGATATCTACTGGCCACTGCCGATAAGTACGTAGAGATTAGATATACATCCCAGATGAACCCAATTGCACAGATCATATTCCCAAACGTACCGTGCTAAACTCCCTCGACAGTATTCCCTCCAACTCTTCTTGTCGTAAACCTCGCAACTTGGATCGGCCACAGATCTTCCGTTGAAAGCGAAGAAATGTAAACTCGTCCTGCAGCCGCTCCATCTCCAAGTGGCTGAAGTGCGTCTGCTTAGCAAGAACGGCGAATTCCGCTTTGCGCAGCTGAGGTAGCCGGCGAATCGCTGCTCTCATGTCTTCCACAGACTCATCTTTAAAGCCGTAGAGGGTCCGGGCCTGCTGAAGCAACTCGTGTGGAGAAATCTCAGTGGCCGTTTGGCACTGGTTCATAATGATCTTGTAGATATAACTTGAGTCCCACTGCTCCATTTCCTACGATAATGACGACACGATGAGCCTACGTGGCAGCAACTTCCCCAAAGCAGAGCAGCGTACCATGTGGAGTTGAATCTCGTCCATCGCAAGGCGAAAAAAATGCAGTGCAACCAGTAAATGGAGTATGGTGCCGTCATCTTCTCGAAGCATGGTGTCCCATACCTCGTACAGCAACGGAAGGGGCAGCTCGCCGACCCAGAGGGAGACGAACCATTTGCAAGACAGCAGCGTTGCCACTAGCGGCAAGTCCGCCTGAAAACATCACCAACTATGAAGTTAGTGCTAACTACCAGCTTACAACATGCAGCCTCCATGAACTAGTTACCTTAGCCAGTATAGGGTAATGTGGCACCAGCTTCCTCACGACTAGCTCGTGGTACAATTTGCAGTCCTATCAACAACAAGCCACCGCAAAGGGTGTCAACCGAAAAGAACCACAGTCACTAACCATGACACAGAACACTCACCACTTGAAACCCGTGCAGCTTCGGTGTCCGTGCGAAAAAGTCGTCAGGAAACACTCTGTCCCCCCCCCACAGCACCAACAAGTCAGTGGTTTTGACTTCACCCCAAATGAAGACACCACGCTCCAAACCTCTCGACGACACTGGCATAGACCCAGAACGTTTCCTCCTCGTCCCTCTTCTCATTGACGTTCCCCAGCAAGAAGCAGAGCACGTCTGCGTGGCCCTGCACGTAGCCCACACGAGGGTTTCTCTGCAAACATCCAGAGACACACGAATATTAAACAATGAATGTTCTCTTCTCACTAATTATTAGCAGCTGCGTGGCTGCCGTACCACGCTGTAGGCCGCGAGTATATTCCTCAAGAGGGGGAGGAATCGCTTCGTCACTTGAGGCGGCAGCTCCTCGTCCTCGTCCAGCGCCTCGCGCTCCTCGGGCCGCAGCAGGAAGAGGCGCATGGACTCGCCCGTGCGCGGCAGATCCAGCTCGATCTGGCGCAGATCCTCCTCGAACTGGGGAGACGCGCACTGCTCGCTGCGGCGCACGTACTCGCGGTAGTCGAGCGCGCTGTTGTCCCGGAGCTCGCGCGCGCCCGACGTCGCGAACCAGTCGGCGGGCATCTTCGTCAGCTCTGCGTGAGAAACCCTAATAACAATGTGGCAACTTCAACTTTGAGTAAATGTGGTGTAGCATATAGGGTAATGAGTACATTAGGGTTTGTGGAAACGCTCAGATCTTTATCAGTCTTCTTTTTTGGACTGAGACCAGCGAAGAAGAGGGAGGGGAGGCGAGCAGCATGTCGTCGGTTCAGGTGGCGCCCACGCGCATGTAAGCCGCGGTCAACTGCCTCTGCTGGTTGTGTACGTATAGTGTGTATCGGGGTGCTGACGCTGGTCGGCTGGTTGGCTGGTTGCAGGGCGCTGACGATCTTCAAGGGCAAGCGTGTTGGCGCGAAGAAGGGTATCTTGAGCTCCTCGCCTTTCAGTCTCCTTTTGGTCGCCATAAACCCTAAGTCCATTGCAACTTTGCTGAATCGATGTAGGGTTTGAGCTGCTGAAGAAGAAGGCGGACGCGCTGAAGATGCGCTTCCAGGCCATGCTGCGCGAGATCCAGAAGGTCTCTCCTTGACTATCGGCTTGACTTGACGGAGTTACGCTAATTGGCGTTATGGTGCTGCGAGCAGACCAAGATGTCCATGTCCACGGAGGCGTCCGAGGCCTTTTTCTCGCTCACGCAGGCGCAGTACGCGGCCGGCGACTTCCGCAACAAGGTCATCGAGTCGGTGAGCACGGCCGAGATCCGCACGCAGAACCGCATCGACAACGTTGCCGGCGTGAAGCTGCCGGTGTTCACGGAGGTGGAAGTCAGTCGCGAGAAGAGCGAGAACATTGGTCTGGCCGGCGGAGGTGGCAAGATCCAGAACTGCCGCGAGAAGTTCCGCGTGCTGCTGCGTGCGCTCATTAAGCTCGCGTCGCTGCAGGTTGGTGTGCTATTGCTAGGGCCAGGAGAAGCTGGAAATTGAAGACTGATCGTGTGTGTTGTGGCAACAGACCTCGTTCGTGACGCTGGATGAAGCCTTGAAGGTGACCAACCGCCGCGTGAACGCTTTGGACAATGTAAGTGCTTTGAGCTGTTAGAATTGATGATCTGCCGCTGCATATTTGCTTCTCGTGCTGATATCTTCTCTTCATATCTGGGTTAAATATGATGCAGGTGACGATTCCTCGCATTGAGAAGACCATTTCGTACATTACGAGAGAGCTGGACGAACTCGAGCGCGAGGACTTTGTGCGGTATGTCAATGACCTGTACATATTGTAGGCTGAATTGACCCAAGCAGAATGTTGGTTTCTTAATGTTTTTGATGCCCGTCTTCTTTGATGAACACTGCAGTATCAAGAAGGTGCAGGCGAACAAGCAGGAGCACCAGAAGGCGCTGCTGGCGAGGGAAGCTGGTACGACACAACGTGGTTGCATTACCTTTAGCAGAAACAGCCTAACCTTTGCGCATTGTGGTGCTGCTTTCTACAGCCGAGGGTGCCAAGACGGACAAGCCTGCGTCTGCCTCCTTGGACGACGACCCGTTCGCGGACGTTGTGGCGTCGGACCGCGACATCCTCGCCCAGTACGAGCCGTCTGCCGACGCAGACGTGGTGTTCTAAGCGAGAGAAAGAGAAGGAAGTAACGGGGGCTGCTGGACTGTGAGTAAGTGAGGGTCGTTCTGCCCATGAGTCATCGGGCTGTAAAAAACTTCAACAATAAAAGTTCATGAGCCCGAATCCGCCGTTGACTGGATTTCACTATGGTCGCTCCCTATCCCTGTGTCATTCGAGTTCCTGGCCAGTCGTAGAGAGCAATAATGGAGCCCATCGCCAAGCGCCTCAAGCAGTCCGCCGAGAGCGCCCTGCAGCAGAAGAAGAAGGCTGAGGAAGAGGAGGACATTGCAGACCGTATCAAACGGCTGGAGGCAGAGCTTCAGGGCTCCGGCAGCGAATCCAGCGACTCGGAAGACTCGGATTCCGACTCCGACGATGACAATGACAAGACCAAGGAGGCTGCAGTCGTGAACCTCTCCGCCTATGCGTCCGAGCGCATTGAGGCGCTGCCCGAGAGTATGCTACCGGCTGCGCGGCCCTCGTCCAACCTGCCGCCACCCAAGAAGAAGCGCAAGAAGACGCAGCAGGAGGAGAACGAGCGAGCCGCCAACAAGGCGCTCGAGATGCTGGGAGACGCGCTGACGTTCCCCAAGAAGGTTCCGCTCGCCTGCAAGCCCTGCAAGTTCATCGGCAAGGATCTGGAGGACTTCAAGGCGCACAAAGCCTCCAAGGAGCACTTGGAGCGCGTTCAGACCGGAGACAAGACGCTGAGCTGCGTGTTGTGCAACAAGTCGTTCACGAGTCCCGCGCAGCTCGACGAGCATCGCGCCGGTAAGTGGCACAAGCAACGCGCGCAGCAGAAGAAGGCGCGGCACACAGTGAAAGTCTGCTACGACTTTATGCGTGGCGAGTGCAAGTGGGGCGACCGCTGCAACTTTGAACATACCGAGACCAAGGCCATGCGCTCCGGACGCGCGCTCGACAAGACGCGCAGACGCGTGTGCGATAACTTTGCTCGGACCAAGAACTGCCGCTTCGGCGACAAATGCCTCTTCTCGCACGACGCCAAATAGTAGGAAGGGTCCTCCAATTGATAGAAATCTAACCAGCACTTGTTGCACTCACACCCTTACCAGCTTGTCTTTTGCTCCAATGCTTCTTCATATCAGAGACTATGCAATTCAAGGCTTGGTGTCTACAGCCCAAGCTGCTCTCTGATGAATGCCTCCACACGCTCCAGCGTGAATTCTCCGTCCAAACGGCGTGCGACGTCTACGACGGCCTCTTGTTGCTGCTGGCCGCGGCAGATCAGGATCACCGGGAGATCTGCCATCTCGATCGAGGCGTCTGCTTCTTTGGCCACCATTGCTGCGAACTTGTCATGACAACACAAGAAGCAATTAATCATGGAAACATTCATCTTTGCTTTAATTTGGGTCCTTACCTTGATGTGGACAAGCTTTCGTGCCAGAAGCTCAAGTTGCGTGTTGAGTAGACCACAGGCGTAGTTCTCCGAGTGATAAAGGTGCACGACCATATCGTTCCCAGGCTCAGCGCTCTCTTTCTTCGAGGTGAGGGCCACGAACTCCTCCGGTGTGATGAACTCGAGCTGTCCAAAGACCTTGCGCTTCTTCACCGCTTCTTGCATCTGCTTGACGCGCAGCTCAGCGTACTGCGCCAAGAAGGCGTCGTCTACCAGGTCGCTGTCGTCGCATTCGCAGTCCGAGCCTCCTTCACACTTGCACTCCAAATGTGCAGTTGGATCCTGCGTTGCAGCAGTGGAAGAGACGGTGGCGCCTTTGGCGATGCGGTTGAGCACTGCCTGACGCTCCGCTTCCTTCCTCAAGCGCTGCGAACCACAGCAGTTAGCGCCGTTTAGCCCTGCTCACATATCCCCGTTGGTACAGCGAGCGCACCTCTTCCTTCTGGTGGCGCTTGTGTGCCTTGTAGTCGTTGATGACCCCCTTGGGCCCCGTGTTCGCCGAGGCGAAGTCCCGCCCCTTTCCGCCGCGGAAGCCGCGCGTGGGCTTCCCCCACGTCTCTCCGTCCACAGCCTTCTGTCTCCACGGTCCTGTTGGGTCCGCCACTGAGTGCACTCGCTCCGTGATCTCTTCCTCGTCGTCGCTACAGCACACAAGATCCAATAGACATACATCAGATTCTTTGCCACCCCGAAGCGCAAGACGTGGAACGACGCACCTGGCCTCCGAGTCCGAGTTGACTCGACCGCCCAACTCGTCCGAGTCGCGGTCCTGGAGCACGTTGTGTCGCAGGAAGAACTTCTCCATCGTCGGCCAGATCCCGCTTTGCTTTAGTGTCGCTTTGGTTGCGATTGATACGGTGCCGCCAGGGAAAAAAATGGAAGAAGATCGGAGTACGACGGTGGACGCTCGTCCAGCGTGGCATTCGTCTGCAACTGCAACAAGTGTTTTGAGCCTTGCAAGACGTTCGCTCCCAGCGGAGAATACGACCCCCAGCTGGCACGAAGTTCTTTTGCATCCACGTTGCACGGAATGGAGAACACCACCAACTCGTCTTAAGCAAAAATGCACATTACACAGTCCATGAGAAAAGAGTCAACTGCACTGCACTGCGCTCTACAGAATGCTTCCTTCCTCCGAGGTCGAGCCGACGTACGGGGCGATTGAAACTTGTCTGACTTGGTTTGTCCTGCACGTCTTCGTCTTGCTTCCCTGTCGGCTGAAACCCCCTTTGGGCTGTCTGCATATTCACTTCTGCTGCTACGTCTTCTTCATAAACCTTTCGCTTGTGAGGGGCGCTGGTAAGCTGAATCTCGATGTGGAATCCGAGCCTATCGCCACTCACACCTGACTCGACCCAGAGACGCTTCCCTAGCTTAGCCCTTGCCCGACTGCTTCATGAGCCACTGGATGACCTGGTCGATGTTGACGAGGCGCAGCGCAGAGATGGGGATCACCAGCCACGGGTTGTCCACGATGTAGTCCAGGTTCAGCTCGCGGATGAGCTCGGGCTCGGAGATATGAGGCTCCAGATCGATCTTGTTGGCCAGCACCAGCAGCGGCGTCGTCGCCAGCTCACTGAACAGCACGGCACAAGGTCAACATACAGCTAAGACAACAGTCTCCAAGCCCCAGCAGCAGCGTACCGGTCCTCTAGTAGGCGGTGCAGCTCCTTCCGCGCCAGGGAGATTTGGTCGAACTGGTGCAAATACCACAGCCACAGAAGGTTAAAACACCGGAATCGGCCGCCTAATTGCCCTGCGACTGCTGAAGCGTACCGCGTTGGCGTCCACCACATATATAATGACGTCACAGCCGCGCGTGTAGCGGCCCCACTCGCTCCGGTACTGTGCCTGCCCGCCGATATCCCAGCACTTCATCTGTACGCCTCCCTTCTTCACTAGCTTCACGTTGAGACCGATGGTCGGGCACGTCTCCACGGGGTGGCCCATGGCCATGACGTTCAGCAGCGTCGTCTTGCCACTGCAAGCCCACGACGTAGCGCGTGTGAGAAGAGAGAGATCCAGGAGCGTAGCCACAGAAGCAGAGGAAGAAGACGAAGACGCACCTGTTCTCGAGACCCACGAGCACCACCTCGAGCTTCTTCGTGTAGAAGGCCTGCAGCATCTTCTGTAGAATTCCTCCCATGGCTGTCGCTGTGCTTGGCTGTACTTGAGTGTCGCGTCTAAGAGAGTCTAAAGCCTGGCTGGAGCTGGCTGGGGCTGTGGATGACTCGACCCGCTCGCTTCTTCTTTCGTTTTGAACAAGGGGAAAGAGCTGCCATCTGACCCGGTTTTTGCCCCCTCGACTGATTTTTCTCGTGTGGCGCACGCTAAGAAGTGTGTGGTATACACATATGTATCCCTGTCGAACATGATCCCTTCAAGCAGGTAAATGGGCAGTTCGAAAACTTCTTCGTCGCGTCATGCGGTTGCAGCTAGGAGTTACCACGCACGAGTGTACAGCGCAAGTGTAGCCAATGCAATGATAAAACCGTGTACTCGCGCGTTTTACAAGTGGCTGCGTACGTCGTGGACCTCACTTTCACTTTTGCGAAGCAAGCAGTTTTTCGATTTTCAAGCAACGGCCCGTAGAAGGCCGTGCCGCGAGGAAGTTATGCCAGGCGAAGCAGGGCAACAATGTGCCTACATCGTGACAGGGTCATCTGAAGGAGGACCACCACGCCTGTACCGGGTGACGGAAGACACGTCGGGATTTAAGGAGAAAGCGAGGACCGATTCGAGTGTGCATGATGAAACCCACCATTGCAGCACCAACCAGCTCCGGATCAACTTCTGCATCGCCAAGATTCTCGCTGTGGCTCTGTTTATCGTTGGGGTGGTTGGGTTGATTCTCGTGTTTTTCAATGGCGATGGGGTTCACCTCTTTTCCGTCGATTTCGCCGACATTAGCGATGATAAGCGCAAGAAGCTGCTCGACACGTACAACTCAAGATTCAGCAACGTCATGTCAGGCATCAATAAAACCATTGAGATTGCCATCCAGCCGTTGGTCGCTGTCGGTATTTTGTGTCTGGGTGCCAAGTGGTTCACTAGCAAGAGCGAGTTGAATCTCTTGGTGGGGATGGCCCCAACGCTTATCGGGGCTGTGATAGGATTCTTGGTATGCAACGGACCGACCTCAGTCAATGTTCAGCTAGTTCCTGGAGAACCACAACTATGGATGCTGACAGAAGATATTCACGCGGTGTACGTCACAGCACCTGACGATAACCCTCATCACTAGACGAGGGGGTTCTCAACAACTCGGCGTTGAACACCATGCTGCGAACTCGTTATATACCGGTCGAAGACGTGGCAACTACGTGCAAGGGGATGTCGTTCCGATTGTTCGAACTGTTTGGACTGCAGATCGAGCTTCCCCATGTCATTTTTGGTTACCCAGAGAGACGTTGGCAGCTTGATGCCCTTCCCTCGGCGATCGAACCGAAAGTGACCTTAAACCTTCCCATTCGGGATAGTGGAGATCACGGTAGTGCCAGTACCATGGATGCAGACCCACTTGCACCTCGAACGCTGTATATCATGGCTCTGTTCGAATTATTTGAAAATCTTGGTGGAATGTGGAGCTTACCTACTCACCATACAGATGACCCTGGCGCTTTTTACAATTTTGTGAGGTGGAGTCGAGCGGCTGCAATGAATTTGACGACCAATGAAACAGAATTACATGATGAGGTATACCACGACGACGAGGTGATGGTGGGTGAGATGATGGGATTTGCTGGGGATAACTTTGTCCCAGCCATGATGCTACACGATCTGCTGGGGAATGCGGCGAACATCGTTGAGGAAGAAGTTGAGGCTGTCTATCATCTACACCAACTTGCAGACGCGCTTACTTATACATCACTTACCTTGAAAATTCCAGTTCGCACAACAGACGCCGCACGCGAGAACCAAACCATTCCAGTCTCGGAAAATTGCGGCTCAGACGGGTGTATTGTCGAAATGCGACCGAGCCGTTCGTCAAAGCAACGCCGTTATGTGAAGATGGAAGCCCAAGTTCCGATGGCATCTCTGGCTGTAAACTCGTCATCTCGTCTCTGGGAAAACGTATTAGCGGAGACGAGTTCAACTTGTCGTCCACCGACGGGAAGGCGACTATCATGGTAACGGGGCTACGAACAATATACTCGCTTACGGTTGGAATTCTTAACTGGACCTCAGAGAATGTGGCAGCCTTTTTTGGAGCCAAATGTGCTGACAAAGTGACTAATTGCTCTAGAGTCCGGCTGAGCACGGAGTCGTTGCAGTAGAAAAGCAAGGTATTCCTAGCGAGCGACAGCACCAATTCGCTGGACGATGAGTATGACATTGGAGAGGCTTTTAACACCCCTCTGTCATCGATTCCCTGCGACCTTTTAGTCTGGCAAAAGCTGGTGCAAGTCGACAGAAGTTTACCGATGCTGCTTCCTCGTAATTTTGCTTATGTTGACGAGGCAGCAAGGGATTATCTTCACGGGATCACTAATGAATCGTGCTCGAGCCAAGCCGACAAATTTCTCAAGAACACCGTGATAAATCATTTGTTTGCAGAGGAAAGTCTACAAATGAGCTACACCGCGGGCCTCCAGTTCGCGTTCAAGAACGGCGTCCTGCACGCCATTGATGGTAGTGACTTGGCGGGGAACGTTCACCAGTTTAAGCTCCAAGTGTCTATTCCATCTACCAACTGTATTCTGTCGAGCGTAGGTTGTTGCGTGCTGGTTGTGCTTAGCCTTTCGGTCGCCGCGCCGCACACCCACAGTAAGTCCATTATTGAAGGCAACAGCTCAGCCCCCGTCCTTGCTGAAGCCATGACGAATACCGACAAGTTTCCACGCTCCCTGCTCAAGCTCTCGGTGGAACAACGTGATACGGAAGGGACCCAAGCGCGCCTAGTCGAACTGGATCAGGTCGAAATGGCAGCGGCAGAGTTCGTCGAGAAAAAACAACCAAGTTAATCCAGCACTGGAGAAGTCGGCACCAACGCACGACTTGACTTCAATGGATACTCTGCACGACCAGGAAAACTAATAAACAAAACAATGACATTCGTATTCATAAATACCCCCGGGTGCAAGACAATGCCTACATTCGAACACATCTGCACACACACACACATATAATGACTATCCTCTTGAAGTTCCTTGTAGAACGCGAATATTCCCAGCCTCCGAGTACCCTCGCGCCCGAATGCGCCGCGGCGAGTTGTCGGATAGACGCACCGACGAGGACGAGAAGCGCATGTCGGGTATGGAAGCTGCGCGGAAGTCGATCCGATCCTGTCGCGTCTTGAGTGGCCCCATTTGCATCGCTAGGGTGGATTCGGCAACGCTGTCGGGAGCTTCACTGACTAAGTCGAGACCGAGGAATAGTCCCATAGACTTGTCGATGTCCAGGCCGTGGCGAGGACAGTGGTGAGCGTTCTGCGCTACTATCTGCTGTGCAGGTAGACGCGACTACTTGAGCTGCTCCACGAACGGGTGGCACGAGGCGCAGTCGCGACATTCGAGCAGCAATACCTCGCGCAGCCGCTTGAACTCGCGGAGGCGGCGCTCCTTCCGGTAGATGTCGCCGGTCTACTGGTGGCACGTCTCGATCGCACACTCGAAACTCGTGTAAGTTAAAGTTAAGTTGCTCGATGAAGCAAAGGCAGCGTAAAACCGACATGACGTTGGAGGAGTGGCGGTAGGGCAATAGAAACCGGGATGTCGTGATACAGTTTCGATGCATTCAATAACTCTGGAATATACAGGGTGATCCCGCACTTCCGATGATGTCATGTACAAAATGAGTTGTGTCTTATCGCTTGAGCGATGGTAGGCAATTCAAATAATGTTGAGTGGCTTGGGTATAAGATGTACACATGTTTTATAGCTAGGAAAAAAGATTTTTGAGTAAATATTTTTCTTAGCGGTTAACACCGATAGCACTCGTGACATCGCTGCTCGTGACATCGCTGCTCGTGACATCGCTGCTCGTGACATTGCCTCCCGGCTAATAAAAGTGCAACACGCACGGAATGTGGGATAGAGGCTTGCATGTTAATGTTAATGACAAACGTACTTATATCGAAGTCATCCAATACTTGCATGTTTCTTATACCAAGCGCAACACAATGCAACACACATGAAATCTAGCATTCAAAATTAAAGACATAACTGCACAACAAACTAATAACGGGGCTCGAGGTCGAGCTTATCCAAGTCAGCATATGAATGTCCTTGCAAATATCGAGGATGTCCTGATGGAATATTTGTCCCACGTCGCCGTCATGGCATATGCGGTTCCGGTCGTGGACGAGCGGCGTTTAAGCCACTCTGCATGGCCGGTGTCCCTCTTTTTCAGGTTCGGGACGATGTCGGCACGTTTTTCCCGTCTTGTCTTGGATGCAGCTAAGAGAACAAGAAAACATTCATCCAAATTAAACTACAACTACATCGACAAAACCAACATGATGATGGCAACCAGTATGTTGTTGCGCAAATTCGTCTATCCGACGCTCAGTAGGGGTACAATCAAGTGTACCCATTACATGAAGAGTGACGGGTGTCACTCTCCCGAGTACATGGTACATGGTACCAGAAGCTCCGCAAGCCAACCATTTGAGTTTGTGTAGGCTTTTATATAGTTAACTTGTAGTTTGTATTACGACCAAGTTAACCTCTACCAAAATACAGTCAGTCTTATAACCTACTCCTTTGTAGCAAACCGTTCCCTTTGAGGCCGGGAACTCGTGAACTGTTCACCTGGATAGTAATATCCGCACGCTCTTCCTCTGCGCATTGTGCTGTGACCCCGTCACAATCACAGCATCCATCGAGAGAATCCACGATCAGCCTCATAGCTCGAACTTCAGCTTCTAGTAGCCTCGCTGTGTGGTGCTTAGCCGTCAGCTCCTTCTTCAGCTTCTCGATTTCTTCTTCTGCACGACGATATTTCTGCTCCCAGTCCTTGGCGGTGCTGGCAAAAGCTTCGTGGCTTGCTAGCGAATTCTTCTTGTCGGACAACTTTTGCAGAAGTGTTTCCTAGTCCCGCATCCTCTTTTCGTGAGCTTGCTTTTCGACGGCCACTTTGTCCGCATGATCCCTTTCGCGCTTATTAATCATAAACCTCTGAACCTGTAAGCGCTGTCACTCCGGTTCTTGCTCTTGAGCTTGCTTGTTTAGTTTAGCCCGTAGTTCCTGCTGTTCTGCACTTATCTTGTTCAACTCAAATTCTCTCGAATCCAAACGAAAGACGAAACTGTTCAAGCGTGCTTCCTTGCGCGTCAGCTTCGTCGCACTAGTCTCCACCAGGATTCGGACAGCACTTTTTGGAGTCGCATCGGCCTGGATTGCCTTTGCTTGGCGGGCTTCTTCCTCAGCTTTCTCGAGTTTCGAATTCAGTTGGCGGGATACTTCCTCCACTTTCGTGAAATTCACTTTGAGTTCACGGGTCTCCTGCTCTGCCTATGTAAGATTCACCTTCAGTCGGCACGCTTCCTGCTTCGCTTCCGTGAGTTCCAACTTCAACTCGTTTTCTTTACTCTGCATTGCAGACAGAGTGGCTCGAAGAGCGGTAGCAGACGACCGTTCAGCATCCAGATCCTCTTGAAAAAGCTTAGAATCTCCCTTTAACCGGATATTTTCGGTAGCAACAGCATCTTCATGTTTTTCCATGTTGCTATTAGCTCGCTGCTGTCGTGCCTGAGCTTCCAGATCTTGCACCTTCTTCTGTAACTTTGGCATCTGCTCTCCGTGCTGCGCAGCGAGCTTGTCGAGCTCTTCGTTCCATTGCTCATAGGTCATATAGTGATTTCCAGCGTCAATCTCGCGCTGCGGCTTTAGAGCCTACTTGAGCTGTCCGATTGCGTAGCCTTCCTGAGCTTGCAATTGCTCGTGAAAACCCTTGAAGTTGATGAAATTTTAGGTCTCCGATGCTTGCTTGTAATCAACTTGACGGCCTTCGTTTCTGGTTGCCTTGTAACGCTTGGCGAGGTAGCCAACTTGTGACAGGCTCAGGTAAAACTGATCTAGCTTTGTCCAGCGACCGCGTCGGCGCTTTCCAGCCTTCATCCGTTCGTGCATCTTCTCCAATGCGTCACGAGCTTGTGCAACCTCGTCCAGTGTCAGTTCCCAGGGCATCGGTTGGCGGGGCCACATCAGTGGTCATCCTTGGCTCGGCTGGATCCGATATGCCACCGATGGAGCCATGGGCAGCAGCGCTGGCTTCGCCGCCACTGCTCGGAGAAGTCGCAACACCGGCACAAGCGCAACGTTAGCCGCTTGACGTGTCCTTGGAGGCTGCACGGATTTCGGTCCTGTTTTAGTTGCGTAGTTGCCTGACGATCGTGACCTGGTTGCCCTCTTGCCCTCGGATGAGGGGCTACTGCCGCTTGCCCCTGACGTTCTTCCACTCTTGGAGGTAGCAGCAGCTTCTGCCGTCCCAGGCTTGCTCAGGGTTCGTCGTTTACGCGCCACCGGCTCCGAGTCTTGATTGGACTTCCGCTTGGTCCCGGAATCGCCTGGAGCACTCACTTGACGAGTTGAGGTTTTGGCTGCTCGCTTGGCGTGGCTGGCATCCTGTTCGGTATCTGTCGCTATGGTGATGGAGGCGGCTGCACTTCAATTTTAGGGTGAGTAGCGCGTGGGCTAACAGGCTTACCCAAAAACACTGCGAAAACGAATAGTCTAGAACCCGACATAAAGGGATATGACTGATGGGGGTGAGACCGCTACCGCCTGTGCAGGTACTGCATACTTAACCGATGGTAGTGGTAGGATGTATAGGTATAACAAGAGTACCTGTGCTTAAATATTGCATGCATCTTCCGCCAAACCCTCTAAAAAGCTGACGTGTCGGTTTTGGTAGGAAAAACAATCGCTGCGATTTATATGTCGGTTTATGCCAGAAAAACCGACATTAGATTTGAATGTCGGTTTTGACCAGAAAACAGACATTAGATTTGAATGTCGGTTTTGACCAGAAAACAGACATTAGAATTTTATGTCGGTTTATGCTAGAAAAACAGACATTAAAATGGAATGTCGGTTTTGACCAGGAAAACCGACATTAGAATAACATCTCTGGATAGCGTGGAAATTACATCAAGAGCTGGCAAACAAGGATTTTGAATTCGTATTTTAGCTCTTCTGCCTTCTATGTTGATAGGTTAACAGCACCGTTGGAGGCCATGATTATAATCATGGAAACGTACATGATCGGAAAACATGATTTGTCCAGGATTGGTAAGAAACATTTCTTACCGAGTGAGGGAGAAACAGCGCGACCAATTTAGCACTTGCGACGCTCGCGGAGGAGGCGAATGCGATATATTCTCGTTCTGAGGAGGCGGCGTTTCCAAATCGAAGGTTTCCCGTGAAGATGCCGAGCAACGCACGCGGAAGCGGCCAAGGCAGTGAGACCTACTGCGAAGGCCAAGGTGAAGCGAAACAGGATACTGGACGGCGAGAGCAACGACGCTCATACCGCGGTCCGGGGCTCTGCATGACGCCAACTTCAGACGCGACCAAGAGCACGCTCGACGACGGAGAAGGGTGTGAGGACAAGAGAGAGCACGACAATGAGCAAGCTGCGATCAAGGGTAACTCTGTGGGCAGTGATGGCGATGATGAGTACGATGCTGCGGGGGCTACTGGGGTCCTGCAAGTGGGGTGTGCGTCTAGCCGCGATGGTGATGGCCACGAAGAACACGGCGGGGACGACAGTGCGGCAATCTCTGAAAGCGTGGAGCCTCCTTTGCTCTGGCACATAGACTGGGCTGCATGGAAGATCTATTTGGCTGAGTACTGCGAGCGCACCAAGCAAGTGTTGCCCGTGAAAGAGACCCTGTCTCGTGCAGAGCGTATCAAGCGCTTAAAGTGTACTAAGAAAGGAAAAGAAGTCTCTATGAAAGAAAACGATGACTCCCTGTTGCTCCCCGAGGCGTTTGACCCGTATCAGCGGACTTATATTTGCACCCACGGTTGGAAAAAGAGGAAGTCACGCAGTGAAGGTAGTCATCCAAAGCAGCATATACGGTTGACGGATTGCCCATTTAGATTCGTGGTACAGTGGAAATTGTCAAGGGGCGAGCTGCAAGTAAAGCTTGGATGCTTTACCCACAATCACCCGGTATCGGCTGCTGCCTACGCGACGTATCCGACTTCTCGTGGAGTTGACAATCCACTTGTAGAAGCACGTGTGGAAGGTATGTTGGCCGTAGGTGCAAAACGCGCTCGAATCTACGACTATCTTCTGGAACATGATCAGAATGTCATCCAAGTTGATGTGGATAACATGGTGCGTGAGCATAAATCGTCGGTGTCACGTGTTGACGATAACGAAGCTACTGCGAGAGAAGTCGCGACTTTCGCAGCAGCTGATCTAGAGAACGTTGCATCTATTGCAGATACTGATGCAGGTGAAACGGGTGTCATATCGCTGGCGAGTGCACACATGCGCCGTGTATATGGCCGATTTAGCGAAGTGCTGCTAGTTGATTGCAGCCACAAAACGAATCGGTACGTGGATTTGTCTCTCTACTGAGACTATGTAACAATGATTTATAACGTGCCTTACCTGTCATTGACGTCTTAGCTACAACTACCAGCTCCTTACTTTCATGGCCATGAACGAGTTCGGCGAAGGCGCTGTGGTGCAGCAGTCGCTGCTCGAGGCGAATGGAGATTGGCACATGCAGAAAGCTATCGCCCACTTTAAGAGAGCCCATCCGACTCGGATTAATTTGGTGCGCGTTATAGTTGTCGACAAAGATCTGAACGAAATTCGTGTCCTTGAAGCTCACTTCCCAGAGGCTCGCATCTTGATCTGTCACTTCCATGTTATCATGTATCTGAAGGAAATGCGATCGAAATCTGATTTTGGGAAGATTTCTGCTGACGACGCGAGCCAAGTCGACGCAGCAATCCACAAAATGGTGTATGTGCTTGGGAAGAAGACTACAAGGCTACGCACAAAACACTGAAGGGTTTGTGTGAAAGAATCGGTCTGACGGGGTTTTTCGAGTACTTCGAGAAAAATTGGGATTCATGCCAAGATTGTTGGGTGATGTATCGACGCGCAGATCTGCCACACTTTAACAACCATACCAATAATCGCCTTGAAAGCTTTTTTGGAAAGTCCAAGGATGGAGTAGACAGCTCCCTGAGTATGTCTACGTGCGTGAAAGCTTTGGTCGCGTATGACCGTCGAATGCAGAACGAATATCGGTATCGGCTATCTCGAATTGGCCAGTTCGTGAACAGCAACTATGACGAAGAGATGTCCAATGTGCTTCGCTTTACTACCCACTATGTAGCCAAGCAGATTGAACAGCAGTACGCTCGTGCATTGGACAATGTTTCAAATTACACGTTTCGTAAAGCTCACGGCGACCCGAGTCTAGTCGTCGTGTACGGCACCTCTTCTGAGTATAGGCTTAGAACGGACGAGTGGAGATGTGATTGTGGGTTCTCGTTATCAATGCGCCTTCCGTATCGCCACGCTATTGCGTATCGCAAGAGCGAAAATTTAGCTGGCCCGCTAATTCCCTGGAGCCATATCGACAAGAGGTACGATCAGACTGACATCACGATAATGGTATATCCTAAAAACTCATCGGCCAATTGCACTTGCAGGTGGACGAACTCAGACCGGAAGCTGGAGAAGGTCAGACAGTTCTCCTATGAGCAGTTCAAAGATGCCAACTCGGGTCGCCGCGAGCAAAGAGTGAAGACGCACGCGGAGCGCTACAGAGAGGCTGTGAGGGCCACACATCTGATCGCAACTGAGATGGCAGATATTGATGATGAAAGCGAGTTTGAGGAGATGCTGCAGTTCGTGCTAAACCAATGGCGCAACGTACACCAGCGTAAAATCGCCGGTTTTGAGCAATTGTGCGTCGATGCGGTTTCCAGTCATCACGTTCACCACCACCAAAACGCAATAGATGAGGATGCGGAAGCCAAACGCGAATTCGAAATTAGTTCAAGCGAAGAATCCGATCAGTGTCTAGAAGTGGAGAATATGTCATCGAGTTGTGATGTGACTGGATTTAGCTCTGTGCACGTACGACTGAATCCAAGGTAGGGGCGCCACGAAAACTGAAATCCACAACGGCTGCTGGAGAGAAAGGTGATCGAAAATGGTTCGAAGCCGCTGAAGCGGGGCGTAAGTGTGCAGGAGAAGTTAGATTAGTGGGGTTGCTGTCTGCGCTGGATCGTGAGCGCCCAACTCTTGTAGAAACTCAGCGGCGTCTGTCCGGGATCATTGTCAAGTACAGCGAGGCGGCTACCAAGAATCCGAAATTCAAACGCATGAAAAATCCCGTACTCATCATGGACGCGTTCTACATTCTCCCCTCAAAGCTGGTAGAATCCCGTTTAAAGGTGTTCCCCCTCTCTAACACTAAAGACACCGCCATAGCCGTGGACGTTAGCTTGGAAACTGACACCAAACCTCGTAGCAAGGAAAACGGAGACGGCTTTATTGATACGGTTCAGATCAAAGACGTCGGGAATTTTTCACGCATGCAGATCGAGACGTTCAAGAAAGTTCAAGATCTGAAGGAATCGGTGCAACTCGGAGTGGACATGCACAAGTGGCTCATCGAAAAAGGGACTGCCCTCATTGCCTGCTAAATATCACGCCTTCGCGAACAAAGTTGCAGCTGACGTGTTATCTGCGTACCCGCGCAAGCAAATCGACGGCCTTCCCAATCTTCCTGACTTTGAAGACGCTATGCTTTACAGAGCGACACCACCCATGTGGCTTAGTGATGCATCAATCGCGGCGTTATGCCATCGACTACAGGATGATTTTCCTACTTGCAGATTTGCTGGATTTCAGTCAGCTATTCCAAGCAAAACTCGCACGAGACGCAGTGACGCGGACCTAATCGATGTTTCGATCCACGAGCGTGTTCTACAGCAAGTCAATGCATTTGAGGTAGACGTCGTGCTGCTGCCGTTGAATTTTCCGAAGGCACACTGGAGCTGTATGATTATCAAGGTGACGGAGAAGTGTATACTTTACTACAATCCGCTGAACCAAGTTTCCTACGTGAATACAGCGAAAGCTGTTGCCACGCAGCTGAAATTCGAGGCCTGCAAGATTACACTGTCCTCGCTCAGTGTAGGCCAATCCAATTTGACACGTTTAGCTGTGGTGTATACGTCTGCTGGATGTTTATCCACCAGGCCGTCGGTGGGAGACAACTGGACATGAGCAACACCTCTCTGACAAGACGCCGATTCGAGTTGTTTTACTATTTGCTATCCGGTCAACTTCTACCTCTGCAGGATTTAATGATACCGGATCGCATGGAACACGACGACACCGAGGAAAAGGTACCCCCACCGTCCGAACATGGCTACATCGATGACGAGGAACTTCAGCCGTCAGAGCTCGCGCAAATGCTAGTGCCATGACCACGTGCCCTAGAGGATTCTCAAAGCTTAGCACTATCGCCACAATTAATACATGTAAGCTTTGCTTCAGCTTCGTTAGAGCTCTGCTCATTGAGACGTAACGATTGGGATGACGGCAGTCACTCTATTTTCCAAGTATCAAACAAGTATTTGCCCATGATTTCTCTTGCAGTAATTCTGCAAAGAAAGGAGAACCACACGAAGGGTATCTTCCGCATCCTCAACGTATCTTCTCCAATCTTCCTCAGATGGTACTCACTTTAGTTAGGAATCGCTCGTCCAGGATTAATCCTGTACATCGTCATGGACGTGTCCATTACTATAATCCTGGCCTCCAACACCTGCCATAGGTTAAAGTGGTATGGACGTGTGTGTTTCACTTTCGTACAGGTGATGAAGCTCACAATCAACAACGTTTCCCGCTACACTTGGAGCACATCGCTTAGTACCTTGACGAGTAGCTATCCTAGGTTGGATGAGTAGTGCGCAACGTGAAAATCTAGACAGATTGCGGGGAATAGAGTACGTTTTAATTAATGGCAGGATTAGGAGACTGACAATATGAATTAAAGGCGTAAGGAACTTGAAACCCGCCCATTATCGTGTCACAACTTGTTCAACGCCGTTAATTCTGGTAAAAATGGTGCTGTTGGCGGCTGTGGCGCAGCTTGCCGTCACGCGTCGTGAAAACGTGGTGACAAGTCGGGCACTGTTTTGTTTTTGAATCGAGGATCATTATTGTCACTCAGCTATCAGCTAACGACTACTAAAGACTGGGTCCTCAGATGTCAAACCTTGTCATCTGAAGAGTGGGGTTCCTACACTTCGTATCGCCTCAATCACGTCCGCTTTACTCAACGTCTGCCTCAGTCTCTTGCGCTCCTACATGAAAATATGCATCCCTCCAATGGGTTATGTCGCCGTCTAAAAGACGAGATACATCCGCCCATGGAGAAACCTGACAAGTCGGGCACTGGTTCTCAGGAGCTCGCATTGCCTCGGGGTCGAGTACTGCCAGGATTTCTGTCGTGTTCGGGTTGTGGTGGTATTCAGGTGGTACGAGGTAGCAGCGTATGCGAATGTTCATCCTGTCGTAAGCGGCCCCACTGTAAATGAACTCCCCACGAAACACGAGCACATCTCCTCGATTAAGCTCAATCATAGTTTCCTCCGACAAGTCCGCTCCGATGTGATTCCACGCAAATCCTCGAAACCTAGTGCCATTCTGTAGTGCCAGGAGCGTCGAGCCCGGCACCTGGTGATAATTCCAAAAGTCGAATTGATCCGCGGCGTTGACCTTAAAGTCGCGGTGCGGGACTTGCATGGGACCACCAGCATACGACTTCAAGGCTTTCCATCCTTCTTCTGCAGCCCCTGGAAAGCGCGTCTCGGTGAGAGGATGCATCTCGCGCGTAAGCCTGTCAACAACGTGGGGGTGGGGGACAATGGTACTTGGCGCCGATACGGATCCATGACCTCGTTCCTCTCGAAAATTGGCTGAAATGGGAGAGATATCGTACCGACGGACTAAGTAATTGAATTGCATGATATTTTATCAGTGCACTGCTGTGTAATAATGAATGCCAGTTCTTAGATGCGTCTCACACTGTCTGCATATTATGATTTATGGATAATATGTGGTGTCTGCATTGCTATATGGATCTGACCATGGCAAATAAAGTATAAAAGCCTCTATACTGGCACTACTTCAGTAACGGCCATGGCTGCAATGGCCAGGCTGGAGATAAAGTTATGATTTCGCCAATGCTACGGCGTCGCCTTGTCGTTGTTGGGTTCAAATTCACTTGCTTGCATTAAGAACCTAGGTCTGGGATGGCTGGTCGCTTAAATCTGTGAACGGACCAATAGGGTACGGCATGCATTCAAGTTCGTGGTCGTTAAAAATATGGGCGGACCAATACAGTGTGAGGGGCATTCGTTGAAACCAAGCCTTTCCTCTTGCCCTTCTAAACATCCATGTGAGGAAACCAGAGAAGTTCATTCCGCGGTTAACGTGGCCAACCTCTGGTTGTCTTGTGTAGCAAGGCAGACAGAGGTCGCCCCAGGGAGTGGTGCGGCGGGCGCCGAATTTGCTGGCGCTGGCCGAGCCGTTCATGGCCGCGAGCGCGCACTTGTTCTTGCTGCCGTTTGGCTCTTGCTTCGATGAGGCAGAAGATGGAATGAACTACTCTGAAACTACCGACCTCACAAACTCTACCGAGGGTGTAAGCTTGCACCCAGAGCAACTGCCTCGCGACCATTCTGGGACGAAAAGGACAAAACCACCCTCCTGTGAGGACGTTGGCAGCGCCGTGGAGCTAATCTTGGGCAGCGGTTTCGTGGACACCGTGGTCGACCTCGAATCTTTGTCAGCCGATCTCTCCCCGACGCCGCCTGCACGCATTCCTTGTGTACTTGATCGTCAGCATCATGGACATGGAGGTGCTTGCCAGGGCGAACCCGAAAAACGTGTTTCCTTCTCGCTGCGCTCGCCGGAAACTTCGCAGTCCGACCTTCAATGATATCATCAGATCTTGTTTTGCTCAACCAGAAGCGGACCTGAAGTGCAAGTTAAATGTCGAGCTCAAGAACAAAACGACAGCGCGAACAATGGCAAAAGATATATGCTACTCATCTGCTCGCTGACTGGGATGATCATTATCAACAGGAGCAACCCAAGCGTTAAAAGCGTGGTGTTTTCGGGGGTAGTGAGGAAAAGGCTCGGGATGCGAGTGACAAATGTACCGCCTCTCAGATATTCCAGCCGCTGTGGCAAGGCTGTTTCGGGCGGTACCATCACAGCCAACCGACCGACTATGACGAGAACGACTTGCTCAAACGTCTTGTTGTAGAGAGAAGGCGCGAGCAGATTAGACTTGCACAACGGCGATTCCTAGCACGGCGTAGAAAAGGAAGACAATATGAGAAGCATTTTGCCGGTGACGCTGTTCATGAGATTAGACATAATCATGGAGAGAGAGAGTACAAATTGGAGGTCGATGCGGGAACAGCGGTGGTGTAGGTCGGGTAGACGTCCGAATGCAGGTGCCGCGTCACGGTACACGACATATGACAAGTACGACCACGGATGAAACATTTGACAACTCACCAATCCATAAGAAATTAGCAGAAAGCATGAAGCGCCTTCAAAGTGCGCTGGGCGCTGAAGAGTTGGATGAATGTGTTTGTACAGTGTGTGACCGTTTGGTGCTGTGCCATAAAACCCAGCGTGTAGACGATTTCGACTGGCGGTACATGAATGAGATGAAGCGTTGCCTGAAGGTCTCGAACAAGCATGATCTCTGCGATGAACTTATATACCAATACCGCTCTCCCCCCCCACTTGCCAGCTTTAGAAGGAGTAATGGTTTCGCCACGTGGAATACATTGTTACATGGATGACACAAGTACGCCACGAGCATGGTTGTCGGTTTGTGGTGAGTGCGATAAATCGCTTAAGTTGGGCAAGCTACCTAAGTTTTCCATTGCAAATGGATTTTTCGTTGGAAGACTCTGTGTGGTGGATGCGGGGGAGGAATCAGCCGTCGTTGAGCGCAGAATGGGCCTCTCGGACGAATCATCGCCGGTTATGGCAAAAGAACACCCAGTCACTGGGAAAGTTGGGGGCCAACATGAGCGTAAATTTGAGATTCAAAGATCAGACACGATGGCAAACGATGTAGCGGGTGATCATTTTGCACGCATGTTCCCACATCTGTTCCCCTTCGGGCGTGGGCACCCAGGCGAGGTACGAGACGTTCCAGAATCTGTGTTGGCGTGCATGAAATATTATGCTATGCTAAGTGAGCGTCAATTTGCGGAGGTCGAGATCTTTTAACCGGTTGCATTTGACCGCATCTCGTTGCGAAATATGTACATTCAAAGCCATTTTCGTTGTCAGCGCTTTCCAAGCGTTCTCGATGGATACGATATTCTGACCAGTGAGCAGCTAGGATGGGCACTACTAAAAATGAGCAACGACGACAAGGGCGTTTACCATGGCGATCTGAGAGCAACGATGTCGCCCAACCATTCTTGAAGACGGTCGAGATTGGGACAAGGTCGCATTGGGGAATTGGAAGTGAGCGGTCACAGTGTCGAAAACAGGTTTTTTGCCTATCAGACACGATTTGGTCAGCCAGCCTTGTTCGTCACGTTAACTCCTAATACTGACAACCCTGTCGTACTTGCTCATTACGCTACTAAACCCTGTTTGACGTACTAGAGTCTCGCTTGCCGGGAAAAGCAGAGCTACGAGCGGCAAATCTTGGAAACGATTGCGCTTCTACTCGAGGCAAGTCAACACATTAATCAAGTACGCGCTGGGTATTGATCCTACCACCAGGAAACAAATGTCATTTTGAGGGTTGTTTGGTGATGTGAAGGCATACTTCAGGATGGTGGAAACACAGGGAAGAGGAACGCTGCACATTCATTTATTAATCTGGCTCAATAATTGCCCGCCTAATTCGACGGCAATTGAACGCCTGATGGATGGGCCAAATGGCAATCGGTTTCGCGAGGCAGTGGCTTCATATACTTGAGGTATTGTTAAGAACGATTTACCTGTACAAATCGAGAAATGTGGATGCTCTGAGTGTGGGGCACCCTTTTCGGAGCTTGTTGAGTTACCAATTCCAGACAGTAGTCGCCGAGACTCTGTCGCCAAAACCCCAGCTACTTGTTCACGGCCAAAATCAATCGAGCCTGCCCTAATGAAGTGTAGCTCCTGTGGATTCCAGTTCAGTTCTCAGCATTTCTTGCGCTCTGCCTTACTAAAGTTCCGTCCTGACTCATGGCCAGTCTGGGAGCGAGCTTGGTCAGCTGAGGAAGTGGAAAATCAGGCCACACGGGAGTTTATATGCCGTGATACCATGAAGAGAGCTAATGAATATTATCGATAATTACAAAATGTGTCGCCTCAGTTGGAAAGGTGTACATGAACGCGGTGACATTACATCGGGACTATTAAGGATGCAAAATTGCGCGCGGATGACACTTTGCAAAGGGGATGACGACCCATTTCGGAACGACGAGCTTATATGGTTGTTTCAGATATCCCCACCGTCCTGGTTTGATGGGCGAATACCTCGATCTTTGCTAGATTACATGATCTCCGCATTGGTCGTTCAGCTCAACCAGCACTTATGGAATCATACAAGTAGCTGCTTCAAACAATCGAGAGCCACCGTGAACGATACGTATTGCCGATACCGTTTTCCCCGGGACTGGGCAGAGGAATCGTCATTTGATCACGATGCGGTATAACTAGGGCGGAAATTGGGGCACGAGTATTTAAATATGAGATTATGGCTACTTTCCGCTGCAACCATGACATCCAAGTTTTGATAGGCGGTAGAGATATCGTTGATCGAATCCACTAATGCTGTAAATATGTCACTAAGCAACGGCAGCCGTTGGATTCGCAAGTAGCCGTTGCTGTGGCTGTCCTAAACCGACGTCAAGATCGAGAACAGATCGAGCATATGACTATGGGCGTGCAAGACATATCGATTTTGGCTCGGAAACGGAGGGGGGGGGGCGTTAATTTACAACATAACCAATCGGCAAGAAATTGCTGGGCCGCTAGCGGCATTGTATCTTTATCGGGGTTCGTGCTGCTACTCAAGTAATCTGTATGCTGCACTTTCGCTCGGCGATGTCGTGCGCCAGCTTAGGAAGGTGGATGAATATTGCTGCATTTTGGTAAGGGAACCTGATGACGCGCAAGACCCAATAATCATGTGGTATCATTTCTCGACGATTACGTCTACCGACCTAACAGTTTACATAGCATAAAGCTGTATGAATTTACGATGTGGTACTTTCGAAAGAAAAAAGAGAGCTCTGCGAGATCCAGGCTGATTTTTTCTGAGGGATCACCCACTTCGCAACACACACTGCCTAGGAGAACGATACCAAGAAGTCGTTCCTGAGATACATGGGTTTCGCGTGCCGTCGGCCGATAGTGAAAAGCGCTCTGAGGCGTTATGTAAGCGCGCCATTCTCTCGCTCGTTTTGTTCAAGCCATTTCGCACGTTATAAGATATTATCGGAGACTGTGATTTCGAAAACGAAGATGCATGGTTAACCACATTTGAAACCTGGAAAGTTACGTGCGGCAAATTTGTACAAACGATCATGGACAATATGCAGGACTATTACAGCGGTATGCGCAAGGCTGCCGGTTAGTATAAAGCGGCGGCTGAAACAGCAAATTGCCGTAATAATCACTCTGAATTCGATAATAGCAGTACCGACGATTGGAATGACCTTTATCACGACGAGAAGCAGACGCTCGAATGGGATTTGAGTGAGAACGAGCTGTCAGATGATGAATATACGGGTATGTGGGGTGATGAAGGTGATAGCGATGATGTCTTAGAAAGCACGTCGTTGCATCCTGCTGCCCGCCCGACTTCGGTTGCCCCGGACTCCAAAGTGGCACATATTATAGATGTTTTCGAGAAATATGGCATGCTTCAAAGCATTTCACAAGCGATAAGGGATACCACGCGTCCTGAATGGCGGCCGGAGGATGTGCCTTCTGTAGTGTTCTTGAAGAAGTGGGTTCGCGACGGAAACACTGACAATCCTATCCGATAAGTAATATACCAGATCCGGAGTTGTTGCCTTGTTGGGAGTGTTGTATCCTTTTCCTTTACGTTGCCTGCCGCCTCCTATTAGCGGGGAAGTTGGGGGGCGAGGGCCGAAGGGCACGAGCTGCTGACCAAGCTATCCAGCGGTCTGCCACGTGTGCGGGGGGGGGCGGAATCACTTGATTAAAGTATAGGCCAATACTAATCCCAATACTAAGGACCAAGTGTGTGGTTCGCAAGCAAAATCGACTCTGATTTATGTTAGCCTGTATCCAGCCTTCCCATCCGACTTGGATCCTATCCACTACTGGCTCTCCTTCCTGCCTAATTTATCCAACATAGCCACTGTACCAATAAACTGGTACGGATTCCTACCTAGTCTAGGGGGTGCTAATGTAGATGACTTGATCCGTGTGCACCACACCACTTGCACCTGATCCCACTTCAGCTGCCCTGATCCAGCAACCGTACCTCCATCCAGCAACTATGGCGTCGTCTGAGGGACTGGGCATGGTCACCAACTGCTGGATCCCATTACCTGGTCAACGGGCAGGTCCCGTTCCATCAAGACCGATCTTGAGCGGATCTTCTTACCACATCATGTTATCCGGGGTCACATTTTTTCCAACTTTTTGCGAGACAATCGCTTTGGTTATTGCGTCGGAATACCCCACGACGCGCGAGTTGATAATTTTGACAAACTCTTTCGTCCAAATTCCACGGTGCGCTTGCTGACAATCACGACCCTATTCTGGATCCTTGTGGAATCGTACACTTTCTTTTAAAACGATAACGTCTTTAAACAAATACCACAGCTGGTATGTTGCAAATTTATCCATTCAAATGTTCTTTGCGTTACCAATGCGCGTTGCGGGATCTTCGTAAAGTGGCCTACCACCAACCGGAGGTAATTGGAGGAAGTCTCCCACCAGAATGACGTGAACACAGCCAAAACCAACGCCAGGTACACGCATCGGTATGTCTAGTTGGGCGAGTTGGTACTTCTTCATCATTGACACTTCATCTACTATAAGTAGCTCGAGATTGATGAGAGCATCAGACCCTCGCTTCTCTCGTATTGTATTTGCAGTAAAAAGCTGGCTAGCGTTTCCAGTCATCGCTGTTTTCACAACACAATGCGGCCTGTCCCAACTTTCACATAAAGCCTGAACAGCACCAATAACTCGGCTTTTACCAGTGCCACCAAGAAAGAGAAGTAGTTGCCCTTCTCGAATTGCTGCCTCAAACGAAGTGTGTTCGAAACCCGAGGTCTTGACTTGTTTCCAGCGCGAAATCAATGCTTTAGCGATTGCTTTTATAGCATAATATTGTCTTTCGCTCAGGGGAAATGCTGTTGAAACGTCCGTCACGCACGCGAATTGCTTATTGAGCTGCGCGAACCCATGTCGTGTTCTGCTCGAACAGAGCATCACCCAAAAGTTCAATTTCATGAGTGTCGTGCACGTTGACAGTAGCCAACACTTGGGAAATGACCCACAAGATCTACGGCCAAGACCAAGGACCAACCTACTCAGACCCGCGTGAAGGAACCCCCACTGCGGATCTACCCCAACATCTCCCCAAGACCCCGCCAAGGATGTTCAAGCTCACCCGCTGGGCATCTCGTGTCAACGAGAGAGTAGATCCAGCCCGCCGACGGGTACACAAGGTGTGCCACACAGCAACCTACGGTTATCGGAGTACCCCCTCCGTTAGTCGGTGTCTGGGCGCAGTGTGTGAGTGTGGGATCCCTGCTATTTCTAGCGGATCCACTCTATCACAATGACCCGAGCTGCTCTGAACAATTTGTTCATTCGAACGGCAGCCAAGCATTTGCCTGAAAATGAGTATCCCGTTCGTGTCGTGGCCAACTTCAAGCGAAAACTAAAAAGGCTTAGCCACTCGGAAATAACCGTGGTTACGAGCTTACCGGATACAAATTTGGCAGAATGGCCCCATACTTGGATTTTATCGTTGGAATGCCGATTCAAGTATCGCAGAATATACGTGCACAAAAAATGGTGGCGAATGGTACTTTGGGGCGGCTTGAAGCTATTATTTACCAGCCCGATACCGAGTTTCGCTTGGTACACGACCGTGTTGCCAATATAACAGTTAAAGTCCAAAGCTTCCCGCCACCAGCGGTATTAGTGCGAATCGACCGAGGTACGTCGGCCGTAGCAATGCATGGGTGCTCTGATCCGAACGTATTTCCTTTATTTTTCGATGCACAAGCCTTCGGTAAGTGTAATATTGCACTACCAGGGTTCGTAACAAGAGTGCCGCGCTCGCTGTCTCTACGTATACAGTAATTTCCGTTAGTTTGTGCGGTATCGTCAACGGTTTACAAGGTGCAGGGAGAAACATTAGAGGCGATGTTTGTGACGGAGTGGCGTTCAACGAGTGCTGCTGCAAATAAAAAGGAGTAGCCATATCTTCTTGTATCGCGCGTGACTACTAGAGAAGCCCCGCCTCCTTCTCCAGATTCAGCGCCGCCGATCTCGCCACCACCTTCTACAGATTCATCGCCGCCAGTCTCAGCACTCCCTACTCCAACTTTTTTATCTTCCGATTCGCTGCTTAACTGCAACGAAGCCGATTATTCATTTTCGCCAGTTAGTGACAGAGCTTGGAGCGGTAAACCACCTTGAGTGGGCGTCCTAGGGGTGCAAAATGCAGGGGGCGACGTTCCGACTCTCATAGTCCACGCTATCGGGAGAAGCACCGTCGTCTTCCTCACAAGACTGAATTTTATCGGATCTCGACATTTGACGCACAGGAGGTGAAGCGCAACTAGATGATTCGTGAGATGAAGCAGCGGTCGACGGCTCGTAGCTGGAGTCGTCCGCGTCGTCACCCGCTCCGCTGGAATCTCCACCACTTGCCCCTGCCTCTTGCGCCGCCAATTCTTGCTGAGCCACTTCCTCGTCGATTGCTAGATAGCTACAACGGGGGTACACGCACAAGTGGCTACAGTCACTTGTTACTCTAACAGATGCGATGACTGTTAGAGGTTTGAACACTTCCTCGACCTTGGTGTAAAGTACACCAATGGCTACATACATTTACGACCACCACGACGGGTGGTCCATACCCATTTAGGATTCCTATTGGCTGAAAGCAGCATCTTTTAGCCAATGAGTGGCTTGCATGTCAGCAGAATCCTGCGAACCAGCCGTTGGCAGATTCCTAGTTTAGAATATTACATTAAGAGGAAGTCAGAAACATAAAACAAAATAGCGGTTCTCATCGTTTAACAAAACCCGCTACTTGGAGTATTTATCTTGTTTAAAGTTTACTCGTGGATCTCGAGTATACTCAACTCAAGTAAGAGAAATCTACGCTTCCTCATACACGTGCGCGTACGTGTAAGCCGTAGTAGTGAGCCAAGGTAGGCCCACTACAATAGCGCAGTAGATGTTGTCCACGACGATAATTGCGCTCTGCATCTACCGCACACATGTAGTCAATATCAGCTTGATCTGCATCGTTGCCGACCCAGTGAAGAGCAAGATTAAATGCCTTCTTGGCAATTTGGTTGGGTCTCCAGACGACGTGTTTATGAAGATGCATCCTAGGAATACGGGTTTCTTTGGTTAACAGTATCAGCTGAATATGAATCGTTTCTTTTCTAGTCAACCTAGCATACAATCCACTATTTTGATTCGACATCCTGCCACTACCTGCTTGGGATGACAACAAAGGCACTATGTAAGCGATAGGTCAGCAAAGATGCCTTCGGTGCGGCGCAGCGGAAGAAAGTTAATCAAAGCGAGCAGGAGGAGGTGAACAAAGCCCCACCTTCCTCTATACGGTATCGAGTTCATCGTAGCTGGCCATATTTTTGTATTATTGCTCTAAGCTCCTGGTGTGCAATGTATGTCGGTTTTTCACCGAAAAACAGCCATGGTATTAGAATGTGACAATAATCATATATTGTGCCAGCTTAAACAACCCAATCATACAGAAAGCAGGAATTCAAACACTAAGTGAACAACACTGGGGTAAAAGTCGGGTTTGCCAGCGCTCAACCTTTCGGCATAGGCTTCTATAGAAGCACCATGGTGGAATCGGAAGCCGTGGAAGCGGTTCAAGTGACGACGCATCGCAAGCTTTCCGCTGCCTCGGAAGGTCCCGTTCCACATGAAGCAGAACGGGTCATCCGAGCAGACAGTGTCATCCAACGCGGGAACGATAACGGGCTGATGGTCGGGCGAGCGGTCCGATGTCGGCGTGTCCAGGAATGGGTGGAGGCAGACGCTGTTCGTTTCCGAACCAACCGGGGCAAAACTCAAGTCGCCGCGATAGACGAAAATGTCGCCTTTGCGCAACATGATTTCCGTGCGGTTGGAGCGCAGTGCGACGGTGTGGTTCCACCCGTAGACGTAGAAGCGCACGTCGCCCAAAGCTACGATCTTTCCGCCGCAACGTCCTGAGGGTCATTGTTGTCTGGCCTCACGGGATCAAAATCACGTCGCACAGGGAGTTCGCGCCAGCCAGCTCGCATCTTGAACCAGTTCCGGTCGTTGGCTTCCGATTCCGGGATGAACGTCTTATTGAAGCGCTGCAACGTGTTCGAGCCTCTTCATCAGGCACTGGCGACTTGACACGGCCAATATCCTCCACGACACCATCCAGTACTTCACTGAACCACCCGCGAGCGTGGCGGGCCATCGTTCTCCACGCATTCGCCTGGTGTTCGGGCACAGCGCGGTAGAAGGTGACTTGACCGTCGCAAGCAAACTTCTGACGAATGTTGATCATCGCAGCGAGTCGTAGGCGAGGTTGTGGCGTGGTCGGGTCGCAGCAAATTGGAAAATAAAGATCGAGTCGTGCCTATCCGTGACTTATCCTAGGGGTAGCAGGGTTAGATATATATCCGAGGTTGATGCTTTCATGCCACGAGCTTATTTAGCCCCGGACAATGTGTGTTTCACTCGAGACAACATGTACCATGTGCTTACTGACGCTGGTGTACGGGCGGACACGCCTGGTGGGACCACTATTCTTCCATGATGGCCCGCCGATAAATTAGTGAGCCAATGGAGTGTAATGGCCCTCCGAAATATTTGCGCGCCAATAGCGCATACCCTTACTAGCGAGTAGATAAATCAGCCCTATTCGATTGCCACGACGCGGCACAATGTAGCAGAACTACGCTACATATCGTTAAATTACGGTCGTAGAAGCGAAACAACTGTTTTGTGGCCAATACTTGGCTTATTCAGCGCCCAATACGACCCCCCCTAAGAATTTATCACCTGATGGCCAATATGCCTGGGCAGGCTATCAGGTTGATGAGATTCGCTAGAGCAAAAGGCAGTGTTCATGCGAGGCTCACCGATAAATTAGTGAGCCAACCATGAAGAGGCACGTGAAACCATTCAGTCAGTACCTTGAAGATAGCTACGATATGTACCTATTGGTCAGCCGATATTTTAGTGAGCCACACGATATGTATCTATTGGCTCGCCGGTATTTAGTTAGCCACAACATATACCCATTCAGCCAAATACGGGATTAAGCCTGGAACACTAATGGGAAGCAGAAGACCCGTGAAGCGAGATATGTATAAACTTGGTAAATACATCTTCCAGAAGAACCGTGAGGAGAGATCTGTATAACACACATATATGAGCGAGGTCTGGATCAACACATAAGTATGCTTGGTGACTTCTGGATAGAGTACATGGATATATCTTGATTGGTGACTAACATATATGATACAGTCTAGCTCCGCCGTTAAATTAGTGAGCCGTTCGTGAAGACGGGCTACACAGCTATATGTACCTATTGGCTCGCTGATATTAGAACAAAACGATGCAGGCGATGGCCAGCCACGATGGATAGAGCCAGGTTACGAGTGCCGGTTAAGCCCTTAGTGGCGGTACAACGTCAAACATCAATTGCCCAGCGAAAGCTTTATGCTGTGAGGTTCTTTCATAACTGTATAAAATTTGCATAGCACACATCTAATGCTTGGTGATGTCCACACAAAAGCTGTAACATCATCTCAAAGCTTTGCGTTTCTGCTAGTAGCGTCCCTGGTCGACTCGGGCTCACTTTTTAAGAAGCGAATCCACCTTGAATCCAAAATAGCCCGTATCTTTAGATGCGCACCAATACAGTACAATTAGACGTGCCATGACTATTTACCGTGTACGACCTGAAGGGCGCCTCACCCTGTTGTGACATCCAGTTTTCTCGGAAATCATTTGTATTTACTAACAACAAAATATACCACGCAACTCGTACTGCCGAGATCTACCTGAATCCGGTCTCTTTTCTCAATCTAAGGTGAAACTAAAAATCTTTTTCAAAACCGGCGGAATGATTATCAAAGGTGCACGACTATTTAGGTCACACGACTAATTAGGGTGAACGGTGTACAGTTCACTGGGAGCCTTACATTCTGTAGGCCAACTTAAAATCGCTTAATAAGCAAGGTGGCATAAGCCCGTCAATGCACCGAGCCTATCCCCGTTTACCGTCATTGCAAAATCGTCATCATGGTGGGTAAGCCACGTCGCGAGTCGGTCAAGGTGGCCGAGAAGGCAGCTACGCGGGGACTAAAGCGACGTGAAGTCGTTCCCGAGACTCCTACCAGCCGTGAGAATACTGCTGGCGAAATCGCAATTGACACCGTATCAACGTATGCGAGAGTTGCCGGCGACGAGAGCTGTCGAGGCGGAGCATGGCGCAGTTGTGGTGGATAGAGTCGGAGGTATTGCTTACGGCTGACGACCAATTCATCTGGTTAACTATCTCGCGTGCATACATTTGTTTGTTTAGGTCTGCAAGCAATTTTGCGGAACAAGGGTCAAACGAATAGGCTTCAGATCCGGATGAAGCTGCTCTGGATTTCGGACCACGCGTATGGGCAGTGGAAGTTGTGCATCTATGCTGCTAACTATGTATTGTGAGTTCTACTCTAATTTTCCGATCGGGGCGGATTGAATCGACCGTGGCAAACCGCCGGTGAATCGACAAAGCACTTGGGTTGTCTATGGTCGCCCGGCTATGCCCCCTTGACTCCCTATTAAGTACGGATTGGGCTTGACATGCGGGCATAGAACCATATGTTTGTTGGCAGGCGATTCGGCAAATGACTTCATGTTTGTATTGGTCGGTTGGACAGGGGCCCCAAAACCGACCCGATTCGGCAAATTTGGCCGGAATTCACTGCAGCGGGGCTGCCGTAGCTTTGCGTCAGTGGAAGCTTAACAGACTCACAGAGTCTCAGCTTAAGATAGCCCGTTCTAATACCAGAACGTACGAGTCCGTACACCTTACGGACTCCAAGAGTCAACCCTTAACTCTTAACTGTGTGAATCTCAAACTGAATGTATTTCCCTTTATTGCGGCAGAGCCGCCTACGGTGTATATGTATCCGGTTCACTATCTAGCATAGTGAACCCTAGTCATATGCATAATCAGTGGCTCTGAAGACATGTACTGATTCTCCTACTCGTTTAGGTTAGACAGTGTATACCCACTTCGCAACCCTTCGGGTAACTCTCGTGTAACCCCGTTACATTCACAATACTACTGCGGCTGTCGTGTAGGTTTTCAAGACGTCGTACGAAGCAAACCGACAAGAGATCGACTTCCTTCCGCTGACCGCGACGCTCTGGAACCTCGAGTGTGATTCCGAGCTGCTACCAACTCCTGGTTCGATTGTCGACATTAACGAGTACACCAACCTGCAGCTCTACAACGATACGCAGTGCCAACTCACGACTCGTCTGGGCCAGCTGAGCTGGGAGCAGACCGATCTGTAAATGGATGTAGTGATAGGCTAGCCGCAGCCCCGTAGTTACATGAAAATGCATCTGATTCCATTCGGCGCACATCTGATTCGAACTCCAAATGGGTACGCTATGCGACCTTCCACCAGAGTCCAGAGGATTCATTTCCGAAGTCTCAGCGTCCAGTGTAGGTGCGTCGCCCTTAAACGAGTTATACGAAGAGCTACCTGATCACGCGCTAACACCTTCTACGTCGATAGATGACAAAGCGCCAGGGGTCTACCAACTAAAGCACCAGCGAGATGCATAGCTTGTTCAATATTATCCAAGCAAGCTTACCAGCTACGAGTGCTGACTGGGAAGCTGTTACTGCTGCGTATAATACCGCGGAGAATCCCACGGAGAAGCACAGGGACGCCATGAGTCTGAAGAGAAAGTTTCGCAGTATGTGCTTAGCGTCAAAGCACACGCGCACCGATCTAGCTAGAGCTACACGATGTGCGTTCAGGACCAGGTTAACCAGCGCAGAATCTCTGATAGGGGCGGCGCGATCGAGCCCGCATCAGGCCAGAAACCTTCGCCTGGGGGCCTTGCATCGACATAAACTATCGCTGCACCGTCGCTAGAGCGTGCAAGGCCGACGGCTCCGGAGGGAGAGCAACTGCTATTGTGGTTGGAACAGTGCGTCGCCGTACAAGGGCACTATGATGGACCCACTTCGTCACCGGAACTACTACAGCTACACAGGTTGCGTAAGGCGGATCGGAAGGCTGCACGTCGACATCACAAGGAGCTACTGCGGTACATGGGTGTGCTGAAGGTTGCTCTAGAAGGTTTAACTTCGACTTATAGCCAGCAACAGTAACCAAGCGCCAGTATAAGGATGCGCATTCACAGTGCTGAGGTAGCCCATCACGGCACTGGCCCACTAAAAGACGCAACGAGCCATCCCACTACTGTAATGGCTCGGAAACTTAATAATGATCCAGCGCCCTTCTCCACCTAAAAGCAACTCGAACCCCACATTCACATATCACTGTTACACTTCACACACACTTCACAATTTGCTCTGTACATGGCTGGACGAGGCAAGGGGGCCCAAGGCCTCGGACAAGGTGGTGCCAAGCGTCATTGCAAGATTCTCCGTGACAACATTTAAGGCATCACTAGGCCTGCGATTCGGAGGTTGGCTCGCCGCGCTGGCGTCATCCGAATGTCGGCACTCGTATACCATCAAGCTGTGCTGAGGGTCTACCTGGCCAACTTGATTCGCGATACGGTGACTTACACAGAGCACGGCAACCGGAAGACACTCACCGGCATGGACGTCGTGTACGCTTTGAAGCGCCCGGGGGAATTTCTTTACGGGTATGGTGTCTAGGCATATAGCATGTTAGTACCAGGCAGAAGTTATATCAAGCATTACGCGAATAATATAACGATGAACAATTCCATCCTGCTCAGATATACACTGTGGCAGCAGTAGACCTTTTTGAAGCCATGTCGGTTTTCACATGATAAACCGACACGACGAAACATTGTTTTTGTGCGACAATTACCATCATACCATCATTTCTTATATTTCATATTATGTATTTTTATTTTATTTATGCATTATGCATTTTACAGTGTAATTATGCAGTGTATTGCCGTTTGCAGATATTTTGGCCAACGCATGCTTATTATCTCGTCAATTATCTTGATTTTAATCCCGCCAACTCTTAATTAAGACCTAGGTCTGCTTTATATAATATATTATATCGCCAGTACTGGTCTAACATGCAAGCTTCGGACTCTGTTTTCCCGACCAAAACGCTTTTCTGCGGCTTGGAAACGCAGAAATGCCATTCTCGACGGGCCAAACCGAGTTTCTGGGCCTAAAAGCGGCCTTCACCAAAGCACAAAGGTAAAACAGCCCTCGCCTATCTCGTGTCCGCTCATAGTAAGAGACAGGCGTGGTCTATTTTAGAGGACAAAGTATTTACAAGCGGCAATAACTAACATTCAACTATCACATGTGATTATTATAATAAAGTAAAGCAAAGCAAGGTTCTTACGAACTACACCATCTAGTCGGACCCTGACTAAATGTGGTATACGATTTTTGAGGGGGAAAACTAACGTTTCAAAGTGTTCTAGTGTTCTAAGTACGGAACCACGACTATTTGCGAACGACTAAATAGCGTGAACGGTGTACGTTCCCCCCCCCGCGCCCGCCCGGGTGTGCCAATGATATCCATATTGTGCAAGCGAAGGTAAAGCAAAAGGTTGAGCTGCTTGATGTATTTTTGGAGAGAGCAGTTTATTTTTGTGTGCAGCGAATGTACCGACGTATAGCCTCGATGTCCCAGAGCCCACAGTCTCATGCGACTGTGACCGCGACAATTGGGACTTTTGGCTCCTTGCGGCTTTGTCGTTGACGCAGTTGACGCCTCAAAATGTACGTAGTCGTCGTCTCCCTTCATGGGGCTGCGATTGTGATGACGAAGCGCAAAAGTGCGAGGATGCCTTCAGTTTCAACAATACCGTCTCGCCAGTCTACCTCCATTTTCGCTTTTTAGAAGCAAGCAGTAGTTGTCTAAGCCCGCTTCTTCGTTTTCCTGATCGGCAACAAGTGCGTTCCGGTGAACACTAGCAAGAACTATGCCTTCCGGTGGTAGGCAATACGTCTAACCGATCTCGGGGGAGACGTCGACAATCACGGAGGAACCGAATACTGATGCTCGGGTAGGTGGCAGAATGACCTCTCACTCCAGCAACCAATTACGGGTCAACTTCCGCGGTGTCAGGATCTTCGCGGTGGCAGCATTTGTCGTTGGAGTTATTGGGTTGATTCTCGTATTCTTCAGCGGAAATGGCGTCCATCTATTTTCCATCGAAGTCAGCGAATTCAGCGATGCGGACCGCAAGGAGTTGCTGGACGCGTACAACTCGAGGTTCAGCAACTTCACGTCAGCCGTCAATAAAGTGATCGAGGTTGCCATCCAGCCATTGTTCGCTGTTGGCATATTGTGCCTGGGTGCCAAATGGCTCACAAGCAAAACCGGCACGAGCATTTTAGCGAGGATGTCCCCGACATTCATCGGGGCTGCGCTAGGGTTTTTGATATGCAACGGGCCGACCTCGATGAATGTCCAGCTAGTTCCCGGAGGAACGTATTTGCGGATGGCGACGGAAGATTTACAAGTAGCGCAGGTCAGTACTCCCAACGACAACTCTGCGTGGAACGTATCGCTTGACGAGAGGGCCCCAAACAACTCGGCCTTGAACACCATCTTGCGTGCTCGATATGCCCCAGCCGAAAGCCTCAATGCCACGTGTCAAATTGTACTGGGATCTGTCAGGCGTTTCGGGCTGCAGATCGATCTTCCACAAGTTGCATTTGATTATCAAGATAGCAATTGGCTATTTGACTCCCTGCCTACAGCTATTGAACCGAAAGAGACATTTGAGCTTCTCGTTCGCGGTAGCGGAGATGGCATTAGCATCGACGGCACGAAGGATTTTAGTTTTCCTGTTGATCTTGCAACAGCTCGGACAGTCTACGTCATGGCTCTTATCGAGTTGTACAGTAATCTTAGGGCTCTATGGGGTATAACTTCCCGTTTCAAAGAACGCGGCTTCCACGATTTTGTGCGCGATAGTCGAGCGGCAGCGATCGACGAGTGGGCGGGCGATACAACCGAAGTAGACGATGATGAACTTGAGGTGGGTGATCTGATGGCTTTTGCTGGCGATAACTTCATACCAGCTGCAGCCATGATGCTGCAAGACCTAGTTGGCAAAGTGCCGAACATTATCGCGGATGAAGTCGGGGCTTCCTATCAAGTGCATCAACTCGCTGACTCTCTGAGCTACGTACCGCTAACGTTGACGATTCCAATCAGCACCCTGAACGCAGCAGATGCAAACCAAACCGTCCCACTTGTTGAACGGTGTGCCCCAGACGGCTGCTTACTATACAATGATTCTATGTTTGGTACTTTCGATACAACCAATGAGATCAAACCTGTCGTCAAAGCGGCGGTGATATGTGGGACGTCAGGCTCCAATTGCCCACGGCTTCTTTCGTCTCTCGGTAAGCGAATCAGTGGGGACGAGTTCAACTTGCTATGGAGCTCGACTCAGCACCGATTCCCTAAAAGAGCAAAGCAAAGTACTCCTCGCCAACAGCTTCCCGACCGAGCTCTATGATTTTTCGGAGCTTCTTTCCGCGTACGAGGTAAACTTGGTCCCCGACGCGTTGGTCTGGAGAAAGCTGGTGCAAGTCGACAAAGCGTTTCCTATGCTGCTACCCCGTAATTATGTGAAGGTCGACCAAACCGCTCAACAATACCTGAGCGACACCAACAACCAAAGGTTTTGCTCCATGCAAGCAGATTCGTTCCTAAAGAACACCCTCAAAAATCACTTATTTGCGGAGGAAAGTCTGCAAGTGAGCTACACCGCGGGACTGCACTACATTTTCCAGTTTGGCGTCGTGCATACGATATCCTCCAGTACTGGCTAATCCGTTGTGGATTTGTCCGGGAACAGCCACGACCTGTGCAGGTGTCGATTCCATCCACCAATGCAATCCTTTCGATCATAGGTTGTTGCGGACTAGTGGCGTTGGTCCTAGCGATTGCCACGACGCACAGCCACGGGAAGTCCATTATTGAAGGCAACAGCTCTGCCCCCTTGCTCGCCGAAGCCATGATGAATACTGGCAAGTTCCCACGCACAGTGCTCAAACTCTCGGTCGAACAACGAGGTGCGGAAGGAGCCCAAGCACAGGTAATTCACATTGGCCAGGTTAAGATAGCGGCGGTAGAGTTTGTCGAGAAAAATCAACCGAGTTGATACTCCAGCGCTGGACAAGTTCGCATCGACGCACAACTTGACCCCAAATGCATACATGTGCTCTCCTCACTAGGAAAAAAATAAAAATAATCAATCACATTCGTATTCATAAATAGCTCTGGATGCAAAACAATGATGCAAAACAATGTCTTCGTTCGCACACCTGCACACACACACATTAAATGACTATCCTCGTGGAGTCGCCTGTAGAACGCGAATATTCCCAACCTCCGAGTACCCTCGCGCCCGAATGCGCCGCAGCGAGTTGTCGGACAGACGCACTGACGAGGACGAGAAGCGCATGTCGGGCATGGAAGCTGCGCGGAAGTCAATCCGATCCTGGCGTGTCTTGAGTGGCCCCATTTGCATCGCTAGAGTGGATTCTGCAACGCTGTCGAGAGCTTCGCTGACTGAGTCGAGTCCGAGGAATAGTCCCACGGACTTGTCGATGTCCAGGCCGTGGCGAGGACAGTGGTGAGCGTCCTGCGCTACCAGACGCACAAGGTCCCGCAGGAAATGCGTGAGCTCCAGCATGCGCGAGGCTCCGTACTTGTTCACGTCCAGCACGACCATCTGCCGCGCAGGTAGACGCGACTTCTTGAGCTGCTCGAAGAACGGGTGGCACGCGGGGCAGTCGCGACATTCGAGCAGCAATGCCTCGCGCAGCCGCTTGAACTCGCGGAAGCGGCGCTCCATGCGGTAGATGTCGCCGGTCTCCTGGTGGCACGTCTCAATCTCGTACACGAAGCGCGTCCTCTTGAGGGACGTGGCCGCCTCCTTTTCCTCGGGACGGAAGCGCAACACTTGCACGGCCAACGGCGTGGGCGACGGCTTGCGATCCACTTGGATCTCCACCAGCGACTGCGTCACCACGTCGACCACGCGTCTCTGGAGGAGCTGCACCATCCCAACTTGACTGCGTTGCCAGCGACTTGACTTGAGGCTTTGCGGTCAATCCGGGAATGACCCCGACGTGCAGGAAGGAAATTAGAAGATGCGCTCGTCGCGCAGGTCGCGCAAGTCGCGACGCGTATCAAAAATTCCAACTCTCGACCAATCAAGTGGGATTATCAGATTCAGCCAACCAATCACGACATCGGAATGCTTTGTACAGTAGCACCCCTTCTTTGTTTTAACAAGGATGTCCTTCGAACCTACACCATGTGCGTGGGGAAGCTCAGCAAGTCCGGCTGCAGGCGGCTCCAGGCCTCAACGAGGCGCGCGTGCTCGTCCGGGTGTGACCGCTGCAATGCCGCTGGGTCCTGCTCAAAGCAACACGGGCATGTGCGCGGTTAGTCATCCAGGAGGGGTGAGAAACGGCGGCGAGCGGCTGGGGTGGCCCGTTTCCGACCAGGTGTATCCTCGTCGGATTCAGCGTCTGGCTGACTGACCGCCAGCCCGGAAGTGCCACAGTACGCGCCAGCACCGCCAACAGGTTGACACGGCATGCATGCAACGTACCTCGGCGAAGCAGACAAAGATCGTAGCGACGATGGAGTCCAAGATCGACGACATGATCGTGCACATGGCGTAGCCGATGGAAGCGCACGCCACGAAGGTCATGACCACAACGTTGAAAGTCTCTGCAACGCGACAGACAAAACCACAAACAACCGCTCATGAGCCCACAGTCAACGCTCTCAAGACAAAATTCGGCAGCCACGTACGGCACTCTCCAGGGTGCTCCGCCAGCTCCTCCGGCGTGCACCGTAGCGTCAGGTACAGCCACGCCGACCCGATGACCCCAGAAAGCGTGCCTGTCGGAGATAGAAGCGTCGCGCAGGATCACTTGTCAATCAACCTGTCAGGCATGTCGAGCAAAGAAGCAAGCAAACGTACCGACAACCAGACATCCCACCGCGAGCACGCTCGAGATGAGCGAGTCGTTCAGCAACGCCGACCAGCCACGGTCGCGGAAGAGCTGCATGGTGTCCGATCCAGCTAGCCGAAAGTCTTTGCCGTACAGCGCCACCTGACAAAAGGCGTACTTGTTGAAGTACTGCATGTTGCGCATGACGAGCTTCACCAGGAACTCCAAAAAAGCATTAGCGCTGCCTCTGGCCTTCCGCCGCGGGGCCGAGAGCAACAGGGTGTGCAGTGCATTCAGCGCAGCAACAACGAGTGATCCAATGCAGATCGATCCGAGAGACGTCGTCAGCACGCGTGTTTGTGCTCGCTGGATTGTGTTCACATCGTGCGCACCAAACCACCACTCGCCCACCGCTCCAGCAGTAATGCAGTGCACCACATTCTTCGCAACTTGCATGAACCAGTAGAAGCTGCAACATAACATCAAATACATTAGTGCCTCGATGCTTCAAACTCTGTCGTAGTATTAGATGTCCTACGCACCTCAGCAGCATGAAGAAGAAGCACGTGTTGCCAAAAGTGCTCGAGTCATGGAGGTGGCCCACCGCCTTGGCGAGTACCCCGACGACCGCAACACCCCATACGATGACCCAAACACCTTGCGCCAATAAGGCCATGTACGCCGAGCTGATCACTCCAGGAAACACCCGCAGGATTCGCGACGCTGCAGTCAAATTGGACGCGGCGAAGGCGATCGATCGATGCACGGAGGCGTAGTACGTGACGATCGTCAGCGCGAAGAACAAATTCAGGAATCCGATGGCCTTGCCGGCCATTCCCGAGTCGTAGAAGGCTGCGAGCGACGCCACAATGAAGGCCACAATGCTGAACTTGAGTGTCCAGGTGATGACTCGCTCTGCGTGGTTCTGCAGCACCTGCAGCCACAGCGCCGACACGCCGCCGCCGATGCACGACGTCGCCAGGAAGATGAGAAAGATCTTGACGCCGTGCGACGAGTCGTCCTCATTGTGGACGGTGAAGTAGATGCTCGACACGTTCGGGAGGCCGAAGAAGAGCTATCAATTAGGCCAAATACATGCAATAAAGCCGAGAATATTGCAGTGAGCTTGTGCTCATCTGATTAGGGATTTCAACACAGAATTCCAGGTCAAGACCGTACCGCGATGAAGCTCACGGCCGCCAGATTGGCGGCAAATGCCACAGCGAAGAAATAGTCCTTGCGTTCGTCGCGGCGTCCTGCAGGGAGCTGCTGCGGCACCTTCTCCAGCAACACCTCCTCGTCCGCGCGATCCAGCTCCATGATGGTGGCGTTGCGTTCTGGTGGGAAGAAGAACAGTGGTCTCGCACCGGAGTGGCTGAAATGCTAGAACATTTAATCCAATCATGATGCGGCGGTTTCGTTGAAGTTGCCGACCATCACTCTTGAAAGTTTCCGCACTCGACGCTTGTTGCGCACTTGCGGACGCTGCTAACGACGGTCAGGATGGCGGAGCACGGCGAGTTCCTCACGAACCTGACGCTGGACGGCGTGCGCGAGGGCGCCTACATGCTGTGCAAGCACTCGGACGACCTGCTGGGCCACCACGCGCGCCAGATTTTCCGTGAGAAGGCGGCGTCCATGCGCGCCGAGAACAGCATCTTCTACTACCTCAAGGACCTCATGAAGAAGTTCGGCTCGCAGCAGCACGCGTCGAAGGTCAAGAAGACGGCGCACGGCGACCCGCAGCAGCTCGTGCTGGAGGCGCACGAGTTCCGCAAGCTCGTGGCGAGCGACCCGGCCTTTGAGAGCGCCATCCCGAGCGACCAGGTGGACGCGCTCTTCCACCGCCTCGAGTGCGACTACCAGAAGCTGCTGCTGCACAGAGACTTTGTAGAGTTCTGTTTGCTGGATCAGGACCAACTGTGCGTACCTTGATGACACCACTTCGGTGGTCTTAAGTAGCGGTTGATCCTGACATGTTCTCTTCTCTCGTTTCGTTTACGATAGCCGGTTGCTGCTATATAAGTATCGGAAGCATTTGAAAAGCTTGGACTTGACAGACAATGACATCGCAGATACCTTCAAGCGACTGGCTCCTCCTGATGGCACTGCGATGGCTCCAGAGCTGTTTCACGCGGCGATCATGCGCGACTTGGATGTTACGCTGACAACAGGGGTGGGCATCATTACATTGTCATGGTGGGTGTCAACATGCAGCTAAATGTTTCGTGGCCTTCTTGATCTGCATCTAGGAGCTTGCGTTTGTCATGGATCTTATGGACTCGGACAAGGATGGTATGGTGAAGGTCCACGACCTGGAGCTGCTACTCAAGGACGAGCGAGGAGCGGAGGAATTAATGCATCCCCCTCGAGAAAATAGCGTCGTGGATATTAAGATATCAACCAACAGTGTGGAAGAAGTTACCCTGCGGAGAGACAATTACACCCAACTGTTTCCAAAACTACAAGACGAGAGCAACGCCAGTCCGATGCATATCTGGTTTCGTACAGCAGCTAAAGAGGACGGAAAGTCTCCGATCTCCAACATCACCTATGCTACGAGCTCGCGGGATACAGAGCTTGTGTCCAAAGGTTTTACGTGCATACAACAAAATATCAACCGAAATGGCGCGTTCGGGAAGCACAAGTACATTTGGACGAGCCTGGTGCCGTCGAGTACGCAAATGACCAATGAGCTCATTGGCCTGTCACTAACAAGTGGAGATTTGAGCGACAAGAACACCGCACGATTATGGCTACCTCGTCACCGTGGATTCAAATTGGTGCCGGGGAACTTGAACGAGAAAAATCCCAAACGTGGTGTTTTCCTGTGGTTACGACGTCGTCGTGCGCTATCCACTCATGATCTTGTTCAGCCTCCGCATAATGATCTCACGATCGCATCTCCGCGATCACGAGCAAACCTGCACCGTCATATCGATGACCTGGAAGCACAAGTTCGGAAAACTCTACGAAGGAACTGTCCAATCGATCAAGACTGTTCGTTAAACTTTAATCGCCTGTTTGAGGAATTCGATCCGAAGAAGGTGCGAGCCATCACCAAGCAAGCAGTGCTTACTGGGCTCGAGGCATTTGGCATCAAAATGGACAAGAAGGTGCGCGACAGAACTCTTAGCTGCTGATGTCAACCCTCTCACACATAACATTATGTTGATCTCTGGCAGGATTTTCGACTTGTTTGGGAACGTATCAACCCATTTGGTGCGAAGGTCATTCATGTTGGTACATTTGCGCAGTTTCTAGAACTCACGGACTTCGAAATGTACGTGCGGGTTGATAATTCACCGATTGAATTGCATGTGGTAATAACATGTTGATGATGCTTTGTAGTGATGAGGTAGTCAACTCGTTACAACGAACGATGACCACACGTTTCGGATATCACGTTCCGAATTACCGGCTCATATTTCAATCATACAATACGCTCGGTGACGGCAAACTTAGCAGATCCGATTTTCAGCGTATATTTGCGACCAACCAGTTGAGCTTCACCAATAGTGAGCTCAGCAAGGTGATTCAGCGATTTGACGTCAACAAGGATGGCGTCGTCGACTACTCCGACTTTTTGAGCTACATCACCGGAATTTGCGACGCGTCAGCAAGGGCTGCCGGACGTATCGCCGAGGCCGCCGATGAATTCCGAACATGGGCCCTCGAGAAGCAAAATAAAAGGCTTGCTAAGGACGGCAATATTGACTCGGCATCTGCGTGGCGCTTGTTGAAGACAAAGCACGGTCGGCTGGATTCCGAAACTATAAACCGTATTCTCCGGCAGCGAAGGAAGCGGTTAAATGCAGACCAGATTCGTCTGCTACAAGTGTTGATGGCACCAGCAACAAACGAGGTAAACCAATCGGCGTTCCATGCTTTTGTCAATCATGTCCCGAAGAAAATGTACGTTAGTAGTAGGGTCGCGAGGGTTTGGCTATGCGTTCATCTTACCATCCTTGTTTTCCTGTGCTGTAGTTCAGCAATGCTGTACGAGTTGAAGAAGTTGGTTGGGTCCGGGCCCGTTAAGTCTGATATCGATGAGATATACAACCGTCTAAATGTCGAGGCTAACGGCAAGTTATCTCTCGTAAACTTCTCTCAGCAGCTGAATGCTCTGGCTGCAGAAAAGTCCACGCGCCAGATAGACCTGAAGGATTTGGCATACGTGGTACAGTATACAGGAGCGAATTGCGGTGGCGATGGTGCGGTGCTAATTGACAGGTTCCTAGCCGTCGTCCGTGACAACCAAGATCGCAGAAACATGAAGAGTGAGTTTGTCACGCACTACGACAGTCCCCAGTTTCTGGAGGGGGTAAATTTGCTGCGCGACGAGCTCAAACGGTGTGCCAAAACGCCTGATGGCAAATTTGACTACATGGTACCTTTTCGACTTTTCGACAAGGACAACACGGGCGAGATCGTTTTGTCAGAATTTGAGGTGGCAATTCGTGAACTCGGTGTCGACAAATATCTGACAGATCAAGAAATAAAGGGGCTGATGCGGCGGTTTGACCCCAACTCATCTGGTGCGATTGATTTTGACGAATTCCTCCGTTTCAACCTCGCCGAGTCGTCGTCTTCGTCCAGCAGAAGACTGAATATTGCTGTTCTACCAGATCCCATTCTGCAGCGTATTATTGAAGACATCATCATTAATGAGCGGCTTACGCGGGAAAATGTTGGAGCATACTGTGGTTCCATAAAACGAATGTTTGGAATTATTGACAAGGACACCACCGGCTTGGTACCAGCGAACCGCTTTGTTGAGACATTGAAGGAGATGAGTGTAGCCGTGCCGAAAGCAGACATGGATATATTGGTGAAGGAGTTCGCGGGAGAAGATGAAGCTAGCGGAGACGTTCAATACTTGCTGTTCTGTGAAGCGATTGCGCAAAAGTGCCAGCAAGGGGAAGAAGGGCAACATGTGTTGGATTCGCCACCATCAGAACTACTCAGCTTGCTGAAGACCTTGCACCAGCAGTACAATCAAGCGAAGCAAAAGCTGGAAGTAAGCGGTCACGAGTTTGACATCGATCGAGCATTCGGAGTGGAGAAGGACTCCACGAAATGCGTGTTCATGTCTATCGATGATTTCAAGGATGTGTTGTGGGCTGCGGGTGTGCACCACCCCTATTTGCGCGAAGAGCTGGAAGTCATGATGAACTGCTTTCAATTGCACCAAAACTCCGGGTTCAATGTCGCGCTATTTCGTCAGTTCCTGTCCAAAGGCCCGAGTGCATTTTTTGCTGGTAACTCCGGGGCTCTCGACAGTCATATTGACCGACTACTAGGAGAACTTCAGTCCTTCCTGTCGACGGGAAAAGACGCTGGAGCTCGGCTCTTCAGTTTGTTTTCTGAGCTAGACGCAGACTCGAGTGGATTCATTTCCCATGGCGAGTTTTTGCAGCTGCTTCAGCGAGCCGGATTTAGGCACTTCCTGAGCTCCGAAGATGAGCAACTACTACTCCAGTTCCTGGATACCAACGGTGATGGAGCAATATCATACACAGAGTTTGTTACCTTTGCCAAGCATGCGGACGAGAAACCTAAACTACTAGTCGAAAAGCAATCAAGTATCGCATCATTGCCGTCCCCAACAAAGTCGGTAGTTGCTGAAGGACCGCCTGCATCGCCAACGCTTGCCCCTGTGTCTCCAACACCGGGATCACCAGCCAAAGATTCCTCTGCTAGCTTGGGTACGAGCAGCCCAGCAAAGCCCGACACGTTTGAGCGCCCTCACGTCGCAGTATTGAATCAAATCGGCAGACTCAACAGGGTACTTCGTCCACCCTTCCCTTTCGCTAAATATTTCAGCAAGTATCGTGTGAAGCAAACTGAAGCACGGGTAAAAGTTCGAGTTTTTGAAAAGGTTATCGACAAGTTTCTGGATAGACTAGTCATTCAACGAGTGGTTTACAGCATGAAGGATATGGATATCGAGCTGCTGGTGCAGGCGTATGCTGCGACGAGCGATGATGGTGCGATGATCAACTACGAAGTGTTTTTGGGGGACGTTGCAAAAGCCCAGGAAAAAGCAGCAGCAGCTAATGCTGATAGTGACTGCAGCAGTAGTGAGAGCGATGACGAACTCTCCTGCAGCAGTGATGAAGAAGAGCGATCCACAATCAAGGTCTCTAAGGCTATCGGGTCAGTGTTACTCCAAACTATTAAGCACGCCCACAAAACAGCGGCTGAACTCGAGGCATTGAAATCGCTGTTGAGCACGCTCAATAAAGATTTGGGTGCGAAGAAGCAGGAGGCTATCAGCGAAAAGAAGATTTACAAGCTTTTGATGACTCTTGCTTTGCGGTTGCGAAACAAAGATGCGTCCAAGCTTCTGGCGTGCTTTAAGATAGAGCACTACGGTAGAACCCTCTACGAGGTCAAGCCGTTCTTGGCGGCAATCGAAGAGCAAGTGAATGTTGCCATAGGCCCACCGAAGGAGAAAGCTGCGCCTGCTACACCTGTTGTTTCACCTCCCGTTGAAGTGAAACCAATTGCTCCTGCAGCTGCCACACCCCCAACGCTCGAACCCGCTCTCGCAAAAAAGATCTACCGGTGCTTTCTAGCGGCAGCACAGCATAATATCAGCGGTCGAAGGCTACTGGAAAAGTGTGATGTTGCGAAGACCGGCAAGCTGACATTGTTGGAATTTCAGACAATACTGCGTTTGATGGGATGTAAGCTCACCGACGCCGAGCTGGAGGCGGTAAAGACTGCTCTTGGCGACCCAAAGTCGGCACAAATTAACTACAGTATTCTTGTGCAGCAAATGGGACCGGATCGCCAACACCGACCACGCAAGGCGCGAGCCATAAGCGCTGAGATTCTTAACTTCGATCGTGTGCCCGAATACTCAGAAAAACTGCAGTCATGCCAGATCCCAAGTCCTGTTGCTGCTGCCCGTGCATATCGGCCCGAGCCTGGGTATGCCCAAAAGGAATCCACGCGCGCCCCATTGTCTTTTGAAGAAGCCAAGCGAATTGATAGCTTCGTCACGCAGTTCTTTTCCGAGCTTCTACATATGCGGCAAATCGATTCAGCGAGGTTGCACCAAAGTTTTGAGCCCTACGATATCAAGAGCTCAGGGTTCATTTCAATTGACGCATTCCACTCGGTGATGAGGAAGCTCGATATCTTCTTGCCGGCCGACGTGTCGTCGTCGGTGATATCGCGGTTTACCGCGGTATCTGGAGAAAAGTTTGACTACGTTGATTTTGGCCAAGTTGTTGCTTCTGGTCTTCAACCCAAGCCGATGCCGCCCCAGGTACACCCTACACCAGTCCAGCTTAAGCCCATGACGCTGCAAGTGCAACCTCCACCTCCAATTGTTCAGTCGACGCCTGCCGTGGATGCCGTGCGTGCTGCTCCACCAGGCAATCAAAGTGAGCAAGTAGCTGCAACTCAGAGCTCGAGAGGGAACCACCCAGAGGTATGTCAACAGCGCCAAATCGGTTCAACGCATCGCTAACTAGTTATTGTGCATGTTATTCAGGTGTTCAAGCTAAACCTGCCAGCCATCGAAACTGAACTCAGTGCAAAACTACCAGAGCCCCAGCTCAAACGAATCCCATCCAAACGCAGCGGAGAAGAAAGCGGCTGGAGATGTCCTGTATGCTTTCACCAACAGACAAGAGTCACAGCTACTTGTGAAATCTGTGCTGCTCAGAACCCGGCATCCGTCGAGTTTCAAAGTTTGCTCCAATGCTCTGCGTGCGGATTCCGGAACAAGCCAGACGCGCGTACATGCGAGTTGTGTACCGTAACACTACGGCGCTCAATGTCTCACTCCAATACCTGGAGGGCATGTTCATCATCCAAACATTCGGGCACCTCGCAAACTGCAGTTCCATGCGATGGTTGGCTGGCGTAGAATCTCAGATATGCTCGGCAAGGTAACAAAGTTTTCATTTTTTTGGCTCGTTTTCACGGGATTCGATGATAGTTTTTGTACTTGTTCGTGGCGAAGTCGAAGTCGCACTGTGGTGAGGTGATGCGGAATTTTTTCTTCTTTTGAACGATGAAGTTGTATCGCGTTCGCTGGACCCACCAAATTTCGTAATCGCCCCTGCAAATAGTTCGTGTGCGGTCTCCTTTGAAGAACAGCGGCAGTGTAGTGGTGCGAAATCCACTAGGATACTGACCAAACAGCCGTGTTTGACTCAAAATGGCCTCATTTCCTGGTTCGTGCAGCTCAAGGAACGTGCCACAGTGGTTTGACAGTTCGTAGGCTCCACCACATTGAACGATGTAGCTGTTCTGCATGAATCCGACTGCCACGCATGTATCCCGTTTACGGCCGTCGACATTGTAGCAAGACGCGAGGGCATTGATAGAGTCATTGTAGTCCCAGCAGGCAGGTCGCACCACTTCGTCCATCGGCACCAGCGCACGCAGTCGCCCAATGCACCCCGAGTTGGTGTAATTCTTCGTGATCGTCAGTCCGGTAGGGCTCAATGTCTTTTGAAGGCGGTAAGGCACCAAGTCATCGTCAAGATAGCAATTCTGGTCGAAGATCGAGGGGCGGTCGCCGATTCGACTCACCGACACATCGAGCGTTGCGCCAGACTCATCCACGAGAGAAACTTGTTCCGCTACGGTGGCCGACGAGTCCACATAGGCTGGTTCTCCGAAACGATCTACACAGCAGTCGACGGCGTGGTTACGGCACGGATCCAGCAGCAGGCCCATCACGTACTCAGTCGGTTCGACAAAGCTAGAGAGAACACACACCACAGCAAATGAAGGATCGTTAGACAAAAGGACTCAGTAACTCCTGGGCGAGATGTCCGAGAAGCACCTGTAGATGTCAGTGTTGATGGTGGCATTCGGGTCACGAGTGTCGATTTCCACCTCCAATTCTTGCTGTTCCTCGGCGTAGGCGCGGTCTTCGAGCTCATCGCCTTTGTCAGGCGCAACGATGGTCTGCGTTGCAGCATCCGACGTCAACGCAGACACCGACGCGATCGGGTTCATCGCTATAAAGAGAAGTGCGATCAGCGCCGGAGCATTCATCTTCATCTTAGCCGACCCTGTCGAAGATTTTGAAATGGCCGTCCGACGATTCAGCGCGTCCTTCCAGCGGTCGCTATCACTAGCGAGCCGAATGCCGAATGGTGAATGACGGCGCATGGCGGTCGAAAAAGCGACCGCTGCCGGTTCCACTCCCCCTCGCCCCCGTCGCTCCTCGAGCCTCTGCCAACCAGGAAGAACCAGTCCGGACCAATGCCGCGACCAACGGAAACAGAACAAGCAGTGCCAAGGCCCATGCGAGGAATTTGGCCAAGTTACAGATGCATCTTCCGAGAGAGGTGGTCTTCTTCGACCCGCGTCAGCGCGTGTATCACTCGCACGTCAACCTCAGTGGCTGGCGCGTCACTGATGCGTCGCTGCAGCAACTGCAGACGCCTTCGATGCAGGACGGCAGCCAAACTGGGAATAATGTGGCCAAGTCTACGTTTCATACTCTCACTGTGGATGGCAGCGCCCACATTTCCGTCAAAGGCTTGCGCATTATGCTCGAGGCAACAACAGAAGGAGGTGGTGGGAGTCTTCGTGTTCTTCGGTTGTCCCAATGCCAGCTACTTTCTCGTGGAGGTGGCGAAATACTCGAGGGCAGCAGTCTGCCGCGCTCGCTCAAGGAATTGGACGTGTCGTCGTGTGAGTGGGTAGACGATCGGTTTTTGCGTACTCTGGCGCGCCATTGCTCCGTTCTCGAGCAGATCTCACTCGCTCGATGTCGTCGAGTGACGGACTACGGCGTCGCCGCCCTCGGTGAAAGTTACGCAGCGTCTCTCACGTCTCTAGACGTGAGCTTTTGCACCAAACTTACCGACACGGCGCTTCTTGCATTACTGATCGGTTCTTCGTCTGCTCAAGTGATGCCAGGAGGAGCAGCGTCGGCGTCTTCAGCGTCGGCGCGAATACGGGTATTGAATGTCGCTGGATTACCGTTGGTTGATGGTCTCACACTGCTTGGTCTGCGTGGTCCCTGTGCATCTCGCCTCGAGTCGTTGGATTTTTCAGGGTGTACTGTGCTCAGGGTTGCTGCATTGGAGCGACTGGCACGAGTGCGTGCACTAACACGTCTGACCAGGTTGGATCTATCCCGGTGCTCGCTCGTGGATGATCAGGTTCTTTCCGCTTTGGGCATGGCATGCCCCCAGCTAGCCACACTGCAGCTTGCATTCTGTTCCAGTATCACGGATGTTGGGATTCGCCGTCTCGTGGGGGAGACAGCAAGTTTATCAGCAGTGGGCACTGAAGACCAGCACGATGAAGAAGTTAATACTGGACAAACACCAACTCTAGGGGGCTACGACGATCAGGATGGCGAAGTCATCGCCGGAAGTACTGGCGAGCGTGGCTGTCTAGAGCTGACAACTCTAGATATCACGGGGTGTTTCCAGGTCACAAGTCAAGGGATCTCGGCACTTGGGGCTCGATGCCCTCAACTGCAATCCGTGACGCTTGACGGCGTGCGAAGACTTAACTCTTCCGGCGTTCGAGCGTTGATGCGAGGGTGCTGTAAGTTGCGTGCTTTGCGATGGAGCGGCATCCTCGTCCGCAGTGGTCAAGACGAAGCCGCTGTCCCGGGGGCTTGTGCTGCTTTCTTCTCGATTCCCCATCTCAGCGATGTCACAATCGCCTCGTTAACCAGCGGCTCACTGAAGACACTACACATTGGAACCACCGAGTGTGACGCGGACTCGTTGGCTGCAGCCCTGCTTCACGCCCGAAAATTATCATCATCGGTGCAGTCACTCACCGATCTTGACGTGACATCACTCGCCACAGACGCGCTTTGTGAAGCGCTAGGCTCTTGCTGTATAAATCTTCGTACACTTCGTCTCAGCCGATCCCGATATTTTTCGCCGTCAAGCTTCCTCGCTGTACTTCGAGGCTGCTCCAAGCTGCGCGTACTCGAGTTGGAGAGCTGTGAACAAATACGTGACGAAACACTGATAGCAATAAGCAGTACACCGTGCTGTCCGCACTTGGAAACACTGGTGCTTGCGAATGACTGGCAACTCACAGACTCTGGCATTGCCGCATTATTGCGTCCTGCCATCAGTTTATTCCGCCTTGATGTGCGTCACTGCCCCGAGATCTCATTACCGGTCCTAAAGGCTCTAGCAGCGGCACGAGGACACATTAGTGAAGCTACGCGTGATGGTTTAACGCCGCGACATCCGAACGTCGTAGCGTTCTTGCGTCGCGAACACAAAAGACGAGCGGCAGCGCGGAAAATTACCCGGTGGCTGCGCTGCAAACTGGACGCCCGAGTCAGTGCCAAGTCCACATTGGAGCGCGCTCTTGCATACTTCAAGCGATTGAAGATTGAGGCAGCGCGCGTCCAGCGCTGGTATCGGCACAAGTCAGCGCAGCGAAAACAACGTCGAATGATTGCCGAACTGCAACGTCTTCGGGCTGAGCAATGCAAAACGAACTGGCGGTGGGTCGAAGCGCTCTGTGTGGTAAGCCGCCGGCTCCGTGTTTTCGTACGAGCGTTTGTTGCCGCTCGACAACGCGCAGCTTTTGAAAAGGCCGAGCAACTTCGTTTGTTGCGTGAAAAGGCTGCCACCAATATTCAACGTATAGCTCGTGGATGGTTGGGACGCCGAAGAGCGGTGGAGGCACGTCACGAACGAGAGCTGCTGCTTCAGCACCGAGAGCATTCAGCCACTGACATCCAGCGTGTATTGCGAGGGCATTTATCGAGAAAAAGAACCGCAAAAGTGCGTCGTGAGTGTGATACTATGATGCAGAAGATGATGAAGTTGGCTCAAGCCTACTTTTTGGCAGTCATGCACATCCAGCGGATAGTACGAGGCTTTTTGGGCCGCCAAGATGCAAAGCGTCGAGCTGTGGCTGCCTATGAGCTGCTGCAACGGAAGATCGCTCGAGCGAAGCAAATTCAGAAAGCCTACCGAGCGCACCTGGCTCTGGTTGCGATCCGCAATATGCTTTTCCGAGGAGCTACTGCACTGCAGAAGGTATTCCGAGGCTTTCGCGGACGGCGAGAAGCGCGTGGAATTATAATTGAACGCGCGTACGCATGGCCGCCGCGTATTCTCATCTTGATGAAAAACTCCATCTTCACGCGCGAGTTGGCGATTACTTGGAAGCACAAGCGCGATGGGGGCATGGTAATTGCTGTAATTCTGCAACGAAGATACCGAGGCTTTTGTGGCCGGCGTGAAGCACGCTTGGTTCTAGCACGAAAGCGGCAACGCTGGTATTTGGAGGACACGGGGGCGAGGACAATTCAGCATTTCTTCCGCAGCATCATGTTCGTGCCTGCTTCTGATGTCATCAAACAAGGTTTGAAATCTCCATCCTTATCTCTGTTTATGATTGTGTGAACGTAGAATTCTGGTACGGCTTGCAAGGTTTGAGGCGTTACTATGTCTGCGGCGACGCAGTGCAACTAAAATTCAAGCTACATGGCGAATGTGGCTGGCTAAGGCGCTGGCAACCGCACGGCGGCTACGAAATGACCGTCGACGACAGCACGCTGCAACGATGGAGGCAATCGCTTCTCGGCAGCAGGATCGTCGGTTGTTCCTTCATCGAGGGGCGGTGCACTCGCTTGTGGTCCTCTACCGCGCGTCACTAACAGCCCGTGGGTGGCAAACGCCGACATACATCAGGATGCTTCATCGTTCAGCAACTCGGATCCAGGCGCTGGTTCGGGGTCACTTCGGTCGAATCTACGCGAATTGGTTTCGAGATGAGCTCACGCGCGCAGCAGCAATGGTACAGCGAGTGTGGCGAGGCAAACTGGGTAAGAAGATGTGGCGCGCACTGATGGAGGAGCGACAGCAGCTACGTCGAGTGCAGGGAGAAGGCGATCGAGCAGCTCTCATCGCGCAGAAGCTAACCGCACATTATGCTCTGGACGCCCTCGAGCGTGAGACGCAGCATGCTATCGTACTGCAGCGCTGGTTCCAGACGTTGAAGAACCGGCAGATTTTCCGAGAGGCTCGCGAGCTCCGAGCTCGTGAGGCGCAAGCGCGTGCAAAGGACAAAGTCACTGAATTGCTTCGTCTCTTTACTGGGAGCGTTGTGTTCCAGGCTCGAGTGTGGCGCGACTGCGCTGATCGTAAAGCAGAACTACAAGCCCTTGAAGAAGACGAGTGCGTTGCTATGGAGAAGGAGATCGAGCAGCTGAAAGACGCATGCATTGAAGCTCATGCCGGGTCTACGCAGGCCAGTAGAGAGCTAGTCGAGTTGACCAAACGCAAAAGTGAGTTCGAACGCTCTCGAACTCGAAGAAAGCGAGCCACCGAGGCAGTCAAACAGCGCATTCAGCCTTTTGCAGTGCAAGCCAAGCAGCTCACAGTCGAGAGTGCGCGCGAACTGAATGCCAACCGGCAGCTTCAGATGGAGTTGCGGCGAGTGCGCACCGAGTTACGAAAGTTCCACACGAACTTGCGTGGTCGCTTGGTAATGGAGCCGTTGTTGCTGACCGGAGATGTGGAGTCACTGCTGGCGGGGCTAACTGGTCAGGACATGTCCGATGATGAAGACGAGCAGAGCTGAGTGTATACGCACTTGTATTCATCGATCACTTACTTCATCGGCACGTGCTAGCACATACCATCAGTGGAGCTAGCACCCCATTTTTCAGAGCTTACTCTGCTCCTCGTACATTTCGTCGAAGACGCTGCCGAAGTACTTGATGAGTTCGTAGCGCTTGGGCTTGAAGGTAGGGGTCGCCAGTCCATTCTCGGGAGTGAACTGCTCCGCGTGGAGTCGCAGCTTGTGCGCGCGCTCAAACGGAAGGAGCTTTGCAGCCAGCGCCAGTTGGCGAAGGTCCTTCTGGATGACGCTGAGCAGAGCCTTGTTCCCTGGGGCACAGAGCTTCTCTAGCGAGGCTTCGCCTCCCGTGATACCTTGCTTCTCCGCCCACGCAGCGACGAACTCCGGGTCTGGCACGACGATGCCCACCACGTAGTTCTTGAACGAGTCGCCGTGCACGAATACTTGAGCAACAAACGGACTTTGGCTGTACACGCCCTCGACCCGCTCGGGCGCCCTGCGAGAGCTTGAAGATGTTTTTCTTGCGGTCGATGATCGTCAGCGTGCCGTCCGGGTTCCATTGACCGATGTCACCCGTGTGGAGCCATCCGTCGTCGTCCAGCACTTCTCGTGTCAGCTCTGGCTGCTTGTAGTAGCCCTTGAACACGTGACCGGATCTGGTCAAGATCTCACCCCGCGGGCACGGTGTGTCGCGGGTCAAGTAGTGCTTTTCCGGGACATCTTCGAGGCAAACCTGTGCGCCTGAAACGGGGATGCCCACGTGCCTGGTCATGGGCATGTCGGCCCACCACCGCAGCAGTCTCCGTGAGGCCGTATCCTTCCAGCACGGGGCAGCAGAATGCAATGGCCATGAACTCCTTCACCTCCTTCGACAGAGGAGCCAAGCCACTGAGGATGTAGCGCACACGGCCGCCTAGCACCATCTTGAGCTTGTCGAATACCAACCGATCCCAGAATGCGTGTGTGAAGTAGCCCTGTGCAAGGTAATCCTTCTTGGCAGCGTACGCCTGGTCGAACAGCAGCTTCTTCAAGCCGCCAGCGGCTGTAACGCCCTGCGTGATTTTGTCGTGGATGCGGTTGAGAAGCCGCGGTACTGACGGGAACACAGTCGGCTTGAGCTCTTGCATGTCGTCCAGCAGCTTGGTCACATCGCCCTATAGTAGCCGATGCATCCACCCTTGGCAATGATATGCGCTTGCACGTTGCGCTCGAAGCAGTGAGCCAGCGGCAAGAAGGACAAGTGCACGTCCGTCTCATACAACGGCGTGATCTCAATGGAGCACAAGATACTGGCGATCATGTTGGAGTGCGTGAGCATGACGCCCTTGGGGTCGCCCATGGTGCCTGAAGTGTAGCAGATGGCGCACAGGTCGTCAGGCAGCGGTGGGTCGGCCTCCACGGGGTTAGCGCGTCCGATCTCCATGAGTCATGAGCGACACGTTGTTGGCTCTGGCCAGACTCACGTCCTCGCCGTCGATCTTGTCCTCGAACTGCACGACGGTCTCCACACTGGGGCAGTCCTTGACACAGGCCATGAGCGTCTTGACCTGCTCCTTGGCGCAGAAGACCACCCTCATCTCCGTGTGGTTGGTGATGTAGGGCACCGCTTTGGGGCCCAGCGTGTCGTAGAGCGGCACGAGCGTGTACGTCATGCCGCTGGTGCTGTGCTCCACCACCGACCACTCGTAGCGGTTCTTGCTGAAGACGCCCACGAGCGCCCCGCGCTGCAGTCCGAGCTCGCGACTCATGCCGGCCGAGCAGTTCTCGACCGCCTCGAGGAACTCGCTGAGCGTGACCCACTCGTAGCCCCCCACTTCGCCCGTCTCGGGGTCCACTCGGCGAGTGCCGAAGAGCTGGTGCGAGCCATCGGGGTCGATCTCCAGGCGGCTCAGCAGATTCGTGTACAGCGTGAAGCTCGGATCGAAGCCCGAGCGCAGCGTGGACTCGTGCACGGGGCCCCGCGTGGCGGTGGCAGTGCCCGGGACGATGTGCGAGTGGATCAGAGTCGGCTCGGTAGATTCGGCTGTCATGGCTGCAGGTGGGGACTCGGGCAGTGGAAAGAGCTCTCGCGGCGACGCGGGCGATTGAAGACTGGCGTGGTCGCGTCAAGGTCCTCGCAAGGGATCGCTCCCTGCATTGACGGGGCCGGATGCGCTGACACGCATGACGCATGTCATCAGTCGACTTCAGAATTGCGTCCTTCTGGCGTAACGTGTGCCGGTTTTGTGGTACACTATTATCTTTTTTGAAGTGCTGGTAGATCAATTCTTCAATCAAGCTTTTTTTTCACGAAGAATAATGAGAGTTCTTAATCCTAAGGAAATCCTATGCTTCTGTAAAAAAAAAATCGACGAGTCGAACTGCAACTTTGAAGCTCTACCTACACGTATAAAGTGCGACCACATCGTCACGAAAGTATGAAATGCCTTGTCGGCGTGCGCTACTACGTCCACGTCGAGACGGCTTGGTACGTGGCGAAGACCATCGTGCAGAGGCCAATGACGATCACGATGCCGTTCAGAATGTGGCCGCTGTCGACAAGTCTGAAAAATATCGATTGCGTGTCAGTGATGCGAGCGTGAATTTAGACAGCACCACAGTGGTGCCACCACCTACATACCTTGAGTGGAAAATGCAGGGGTATATGAATGCGAGTGGCACAGAGCAGAATCCGCCAATGATGGAGACGAAGTTATCCAGCTGCATCCCAGCAGCAAACGAATTAGTTTCGTTATCAAGAAAGAAAAGGGAGAAAACGCTGCGTACCTCATCCTTGCCGAAATACCCGATGACCGCTGTAAGACATACAAGTGCAAAGCGGAAAGCGTTCTTTTTCCATCTCCAGAAGCCCTTGACACGCTGGTACGGAAACAGGTTGCTCTCAAGGATGTTTATCACCGGGTACAACATCAACGGGTACGACAGCACCAAAGCCAGCGAGTACGTAAGCTGTACGGCCATAGTACCGGTGCTCTCGCTTGAGCTGGGCAGGTTCAGCGTCACCACCGATTGTGTGTTCTGTCCAAAGGCTGCGTACACAGTACCGGCAAACAGCGTGCAAATTCCGAGAATACAGGCAACGCACCACGACAAAATGGTCGGGAACTTGTGCTTGATCTCGTCGTCCATTGAATCGTAGGTAGGAAGCACCAGACCGATTCCTTCAAAGCAGTAGACTGCAACACCGAGGAACATCGCCCAGTTTTGAGAGTTGAAATACTCCCACGTCGCTTCCCCTGGAGCCGCACTCTCGAGGGTTTCCACGGTGTAAGTGAGAATGTAGACCAGTCCGAACACGATCAGCACGTCGGCAAATAAACTTGTGAGCGCAAAGTACTCCAGCCGACGCACCCACGCTAGTGGGGTGTACAGCGGGATTTGCAGCAAAATGAGAGTCCACGATGACGTCGTGATAGAGCTCCGCAGGTTAAACGCGTGCAGTAAAACTTCACCGATGTTTTTCTCCACGAAAATGAGATACGAGCAGCAGAAGCCAATTTGAGAAAGCACCAGCGACGTGTTCACTGCCCGGCGACCCATAGCACCGAACGCTTTCTCCCCCACGACACCATACGACACGTTGTGGTGGTTGTGAGAGCGAGGCACTACGCTCGAGCACTCGACCAAACGCAGCATGCAGAACGTTGACAGCGCTGCCGACACACAAAGTCCAGCGACTGAGAACAGCATGCCTCCGTTCTGGAATCCCTTGGGCAGGAACAGGATGCCGCTGCCGATGAACGACTTGACAATGGTGAAAACCGTCTTCTTGACGGACGCTCCTCTTGTCGATGTCTCACTCTTGGCTGTCTGGAAAGTGTCGTGGCTGCTAAACAACGGAATCAGCTCTTCCTGCAGCGAGCAACGTGCAAAATCAAGCGGTCAGACCAACAAAGACTCTAGCATAAGCCATTCACACGAACAGGCACCCACATTTTCGCTGTACTCGTCGCCCAGATGCAGTGTGTCGTTGGCGAAGCCTCGGTAGGTATACTGCAGCAAGCTGTCGGGTCCGATGGACGTCAGGAACGATTTCTGCGCGTAAATTGGCACCACAGTTTCGCCGGCGGGTAACTTGGCCATGACGTGGTCACGGCGGAAGCCTCCAGGCTGCGCAATGTCCGACGCCTTGCCTGTCGTCCATACAAGCATCAACACCATATAAGCACCCTCCTCCCCTTCAATCCAGCACAGCAGCAGACTAACGTACCGACATCTTTGTAGAGCACCTCGCTCACGTCCGGCAGCGACTTGGTGCGCACCAAGCCGTCCTGGGAGCCCTTGAGCATGGCGCTGTAGATCTCGCGCGTCATGTCGGACCCCTCCTCCGAGATGTCGTGCACGTGCGCGGGCGTGCGCAGGTCGCTGTCCTTGGGCGAGAACATGGTGCGTGCAGCAGCGCAATGGCAAGTGTGCTGTACCGGCGCTGCTTGCCTCTTGGCTGGCGCCTTGAAGTGCATGGCGACCCAACCAAAGCCGCCGCCGAAACTGATCTCGTGCCCCTTGGGCGGCCGTTATGCGAACGTCAAACTCCATGCTTGCGTCCAGCATTGTAGGTGCTCAAAGCGTCTCGAGCGAGAAGCAAGTCCAGCAACGAGGCCAAGAACAGCTCGACGCAGTGCGCGAGGAGCAGGATCGAGTGAGAGAGTCTACTTTCGACTGGGCTGTGCTACTGGACGTACTGAGCCATTTGGTCGTGCACTCGCTGCTGGGCTCGTTCCATGCGTTCGCCCCGCTCTCACAGCGCCTGAGCGCGGAGACGCAGCAGAGCATGGACGCCATCTTCGGTGACCAGTATCGCGCGGTGCTACAGCGCGGGGAACTCCTGGAGATCGATGAGGCGGCGCTGCAGCCCAACTCGCGCTTTCGGTCCTGGGCTGCGATGGTCGAGTGGAGCAACGTTCGTCCCATTGAGAACACGCGGCAAGACGTCCGCCAGCGTCTCAACCGTGCTGACTGGGGCGTTGATCCTTAACGAGCCCGGATGAAAACTGTGAGCGCGCGTTTGAAGACATCGCGCGTGACGCGTCCACAGGAGCGCGCCCTCGAGCAGGAGAAGTCCCAGCTAAAGAACGAGCTGGAGCTGCTCGAGGGCGAGGATGCGTTGCTCATCAGAAACCTGTGATTTCGGCGAATTTAACTCTTCAATAAGAGAAGCATCTAGCTTGGGTAATGCCGCTGTATGAAGCGCTAAATGTATGTAGATCTCGAGCGATTTATCCTCAAAGTTGGCGTTGCCTGGCGCCTCTGCGATGTTTCTTACCGTTATTTATGCAGCATATAAAAAGCTATATGTCTTTGTGTGACCTTCAGGTTGGGATGAAAGATCCCGAATTACTAGCGATAAGATGACTGACAAATAGTAAGGGGGCTACGCTCCATGTCCTCGTTGCCGAACGGGGCAAGAAAAGGAGAAACCACTTTGGCATTACTCCTTTGATGGACATATTAGTAGATATGCAAAGTTTCAGCATTCCTAGACTCGCCAGGAAAAACCGAATTTATTCTTTTCCCGAGATCCCGTACATTATTGTTGAAGAGACGTGCCAGTTAGTATTTGGGATTTAAAAACCTCAAATACTCCCGTAAAAAACAGAAGACTTTATACTACGGAATTGCAAATGATTAGCTTTTGGCGTCGCAGCGCAACGAAGAGAACGCTTTCTAAATGCTGAAAGCGCTCGAATAATGGTCCAACACAGGGACGGTAGGAACCGTCTACTGGGTTCATTTGCCTTATTTTGTGTCAGGTATCTTTGTAAGCTTGAGCTGCCAGGACAGGGTGGGGAAATCAAGGGTGGGGGTGGACTTTTGAGGTTGCAAATTGACTAAGAGAATGTTTGCTACGGCCCATTGTTGCTTGGATCAGGAGACCTTTGCTACGGGTTATTGTTGTTAGATCACGGCAATCTTTGCGTATCAGGTCTCTTTTTTAGTAGATGTAAGGAAAACATATTCAATCAGCGGAACTGTCAACGGTAAGTAAACGTGGGCGCTTTTCAATATTGAGGTTGTTCCGCATAGCCAACGAACATCACGACAGCACTGACTGTGATGCACCTTAATGTTACTACTTGGGATTCTTATGATGACATTGAAGCACCAGTATCAACATCGGAAATAAGTGGGTGAATCATTTGACTTGAGTAAAGTATGCGTCCCATAACTCCCATATTCAAATCCAGAATTCTCCCTTGATAAGCGACTTTACGGGGCCCTTTAAGGAGGGCTGCCTCCGGGTGAAGACTGTAACACCGCGAACGTCAAACTCTTCGAACCTCTTGAGATGCTGCTGCCCGACTGCCGCGACGTGTTCGCCGAGGAGCACTCGCTGCTGGTGTGCGCGCGCAGCCTGAGCTTCGGCACCTTCTGCCTGGCCACGCTGGTCGCGACCGTGTACGCGTTCCAGCGCATCCTGCCCATTTTCCTGAGCGCGCAGTGGTACCTGACCAACCTGAGCCAGTTGGCGCTCACGGGGCTGCAGATGGCGCTGCTGGTCTACGAGTGCTTCGTGCTCAACAGCCCCAAGATCCTCGTGCTGGCCAAGTACTTCCGCTGCATGCAGATCGCCATCTCCTGCGTGCTCTACGGCAAGTCCGCGGGGGAGCTCGTGAACCGCACCAAGCTGGTACGTGTGGGGGAAGGGGGGGGGGGTACTGGGGTGCGAGTGCTCACCTTTCTTTCACAGTTCTACAGCATGTTGATGCCGGTTGTGGCGCTCACCACAGTCGCCATGACAGCGGACGCGCTGCTGGTAGTTGGAGCCTACGACAAGATCGACTGCCACCACATCACGTGGATGGCCATGTCAGCTACAGGCGTGATTCTCACAGGTACGCGCGTCAGTCAGTGGATGGAGCCCTTCGCTTGAGAGAGTGTTCGCATTAACCATCGTCTCCGTTGGCAGCCGGCTTTGCCATCCCTGGTCGAATAGTCCTCGAGGAGATCAATTCAACGGCGAGGAAACAGGTACGAGACGCCGCTTGGATTATTGGACGGTGGTGTGTTGCAGCACGTGTTGACCTTTCACTGTCCCAGCGTAAGAAATTCCAGGACTCCGCCGAGCTGACGGAGCTGGAGCAGTCGCACCACCAGCTCTGGGTTCTCCTGATCGTAAGTGCTCCGCCGCTGCTCTTCTTGGGTTTTGGAAGCTAACATATCTTGCGCGTGTTTATCTCCATCGCTGGCTTCCGCGAGCAGTGCAACCTTGTGAGTACAGGTCTGCAGCTCGGCGTCGACGCGTATCTCTCCTTTAGCGTCGGTGGTAAGGATCGCTGCTGGTACTTGAAGCCATTGTGTCCACTGCGTGTACTAATGGAGATTGACAGGCGACAAGCGCGAGTGCGACAGCATGTTCTTCGACGAGAACGGCGGGCTGATCGAGCAGTCGGTTCGCTTGGCGATCTCCATTGGGACGTACTTGGTGCCCAACTGGGGTGCGCTCTACGTGTTCTACGTGCTGCCGCGTTTCCAGTTCTCCACGGTCTTGGACGTCCCTGGCCTCGTGATGGACGACGAGCACGAGGAAGCATTGTATGAGCTGCTTCCTGCTGACGAGTACGTGTCGCCACGTCCTAGTAGCGGCAGCAGCCGAGGCAGTAGGCGGTTCTACTGATGGGCACTACATGTATGCCGATCATTGATCGGTCGGCGACGGCTAGCCGGTAAAGAGCTTCTGGGGATGCAAGTGTACCGCTGGACAAGTTGGTCCGCAGCAGCTCCATCCTGTGAGCGCTTGGCCCAAGTGACGTCGAAGCGACATCACGCCAGCATTTTTTCGCGTGTCGAGTCAACGCTCAATGGACGCAGTGCCGCCTTGTGTAGGTTGGGTGCGTTGAGCACCCACAATGTACCTACTCGGTGCTGCGGGTCTGGGCTCGTGCTCATTCTCCAAAAAGCCACCAATGGCGCACTGGAGGCGCCTCAAGCAACGCATCACGGCCGCACTGGGTGAGGTGCGGTTACTCACCTTCATCGTCCTCGACGACGACCGTGCCTGTCTTCGCGTGCGCTGTTGGCTCGGACGTGCGAAGGAGCCCGTGATCATGCGCACTTTCAGCCTCCTGAGCCACGCCGACATCGCAGCCACCCTCCCGACGCTGCAGGAGTGCATCCAGCAGCTGGGGCAGTTTGTGCAGAACGAGCATGAGCAGTTCCTCGCCGTCCGTGCCCTGGAGCGTCTCGAGCGAGAAGAACGCCGGCAGCAAGTCCAGCAACGAGGCCAAGAACAGCTCGACGCAGTGCGCGAGGAGCAGGATCGAGTGAGAGAGTCTACTTTCGACTGGGCTGTGCTACTGGACGTACTGAGCCATTTGGTCGTGCACTCGCTGCTGGGCTCGTTCCATGCGTTCGCCCCGCTCTCACAGCGCCTGAGCGCGGAGACGCAGCAGAGCATGGACGCCATCTTCGGTGACCAGTATCGCGCGGTGCTACAGCGCGGGGAACTCCTGGAGATCGATGAGGCGGCGCTGCAGCCCAACTCGCGCTTTCGGTCCTGGGCTGCGATGGTCGAGTGGAGCAACGTTCGTCCCATTGAGAACACGCGGCAAGACGTCCGCCAGCGTCTCAACCGTGCTGACTGGGGCGTTGATCCTTAACGAGCCCGGATGAAAACTGTGAGCGCGCGTTTGAAGACATCGCGCGTGACGCGTCCACAGGAGCGCGCCCTCGAGCAGGAGAAGTCCCAGCTAAAGAACGAGCTGGAGCTGCTCGAGGGCGAGGATGCGTTGCTCATCAGGCGCGTCCGCCAGTATCGACTGAAGCCGACGCCTGAGCAGGCCCGGCAGCTCAAGAAAACAATGGACGCGTGCCGGTACACGCACAACAAGTGCGTCGAGTACCGGCGCAAGGGTGGTGATGGAGGCAAGAACATGCTCCAGAAGTTCTTCGTGGCGCGGCCCAGGCTGCGCCAAGTCCCGCTGGAGTACCCGGAAGACATGGGGCCGGCCCCCGAGTGGGTGCTGGAGACACCCGCCTCAGCACGCTGTCAGAAACTTTGTGTCCGCCACCAGCGCGGCCTTCACGAACCTGGCGCGCGGCCACATCACCCACTTCAACATGCACTTCAAGTCCAGACGGGAGAGCAACTACTTCACGATATGCGCGGACGCGCAGAAGACTCACCTCAACTCAGCACGACACGCGGCACTTTGGTCCAGCGCCACTTCCCCGGGACCGCAAGCCTAAGAAGGTGGATCAGTACCTAACGATCCCCTCCGTACCCAACATCCTCATCAGAGCGGACGAGGGCACGGAGGTCGAGGGCGAGGTGCGCGTCGTGTACGCACACGGATACTGGTACGCCCAGATGCCGCACGTGGTCGCTCCACAGCCCGTGGAGGACAAAGGGCGCTGCACGCGGGGGACCCGGGTCTGAAGGGGTTCCTGACCACGATGGACCTGCAGGGCAACATCGCCCACCTTGGCCGCGCCAACTGGGAGCGACTGTTGAAGCTGAAGGACCGCCAGCGAGCGGCCCAACGCCGAATGAGCAGGTTCGTGGCGAACAAGAAGTACCGCAAGCGCCACCACCTCGGCCGCCACACAGGCCGAGAGTGGAAGCAGTTCGTGGCAGCTCGCCGCGAGTTCTACACCGTGACGGCCAAGCTGGGCAACTACGTGAAGGACCTTCATTACAAGGCAGCTTCACACCTGTGCCACAACACGGACGTGATACTGCTGCCCAAATTCTCGACTTCGTCCATGTTGCGCCCAAGTGCCCCGTGGACGCACGCGTTCAACGACCAGATGAACACGCTGGCCCACTACCAGTTCCGGCAGAAACTGCTGGCGAAGTGCGAGGTGGTGGGCAAGGCCATGGTGCTGTGCTCTGAGATGTACTCGAGCCGCACCTGTGGTCGCTGCTGCCGCCTCCACCTCACACTGCGCAACGAAGATGTATTCCGGTGCCCCCGCTGCGGCTTCCTGGCTGGACGAGACGAGAACGCGGCCTGTAACATTCTGCGGCTTTCTCTCGGTTTACGCAGTGAATGGTGTAGTGCAGTTGTAGTTGGTAGTGTAGTTCTCGGGTTACAGCGAGCATGCATCCGAAGCGCTAGGCTTGGCGGGGTGAGTCACCTCCGGGTGAAGACGTGTAACACTGTAGCACATGGTGTTGACACTCATCACGCCAGCATTTTTTTTCGTGTCGAGTCAATGCTCAATGGACGCAGTGCCGGCGCCCTTTTCGCTGTCTGCTACACTGGACGCCGCCGCTGTCGAGCGCTTGATGCCCTGACGCCTTGCCTGCGCTCACCTCGGACGGACGGCGCGCGACCACAAGCTAGTGCCGATCCTTGCGAGCGCAGGCTCGTATCAACGCGCCATGTTGAAGCTGGCGCCGCGCCCCTGTCGAATGCGATCATACTGGAGCCAAGTGCTCGACAAACTCGCACTCTCAGAATAGCCGCCGAGGTCGCACACGCCACAACTCCGTCAACTCCCCGACCTGTCCGGCATGAGCCACGACTCCGCCCGCCTGCTGGGCCCCGCGCCGCCCGCCAAGTCGCCCATGGACCTGTCGGCGCACGACGTGGCCATGGTGCGTCTCGGCCGCGGCTCGACGTTCCAGCGGTCGCACAGCAAGCCCGAGCACCCGACGTCGCAGATGGGGGCGGCCGCCGTGGACGCCGAGAACCAGCGCGCCAAGCGCCACAACGGCAAGACGCTTCTCTTCCTGCGCAAGTTCAGCGTGCTGGAGGAGGACGTCGTCATCTGCAACCGCGTGCGCTGCGGCGTGGACCCGTCCTGGTTCCAGCACCGGAACGCCGGCGACCACCGGTACCTGCGCGCGCTGAGCTTCGAGGAGGCCAGGCTGGCGGCTACGCGTCGTCGCCGCTCGGTCTCCATGGCCGCGGCTTGCATCAAGAAGACACAAAGCATGCGCATCGACCCGAGCGACCTGGAGGACGTCGAGGAGCTGGTTGCGGACGCGGCTGCCTCGAAGACCGACTCAGGAGGTAGCAACACGAGCACGGAGCGCAGCTCGTTCAACTCCGCCGTAGCTAGTGCTTCTTCATCTTCTTCTTCATTTAGTGGAGGCGCCACCTCAGAGATGTCATTGAAAACGGGAGGGCTGATGCGCAGTGGCTCGTCACGGACGAGCGTGGCGAGCCCTCGCATGCGGACGGTGTCCGAGAGCTCGGCGCTGCTGACCCCGCGAGAGAAGGCAATGCACGGCCGCTACCTCATCCGGGAGTCCTTTGCCGCTGGAGCGTATGGCAAAGTGTGCTCAGGTCAGGACAAGTCGTCCATGGAGGAGGTCGCGGTGAAGATCGTCCCCAAGTACATCCTGATCTCCCGCGAGGAGAAGCAGTCGGTGATCCGTGAGCAGGTTATCCACAAGGGGCTGGACCACCCGCACATCGTCAAGCTGCTGGACGTATATGAAGACGACGGCGCGCACTACTTCATTCTGGAGCGCGCCGACAGCGGCTCACTGAATTCGATGATCACCGGCGCCGGGATCGAAGAGAACAAGTGTCGTGAGTTCTTCCACCAACTGCTGCTTGCGCTCGAGTACCTGCACGGCAACAACATTGTGCACCACGACATTAAGCCGCACAATGTTCTGCTGGATGACGAGGGAACGACCGTCAAGCTGTGCGACTTCGGAGCCTCCCGTGCCTTCGACGCTCACCAGACGTCGTTGCCCTTCGCTGGCATCTTCGGAACGGTGGGCTACATCGCGCCTGAGCTGCTCGATGGCAAGCCGTCCTACGGTCCTGGTATTGACATGTTCAGTGCCGGCATTTTGCTGTTTGAGATGGTCTTCGGCTACGGACCGTTCTACCCGCCAAGTGCTTGCACGCACCAGGAGTTGGAGTTCCCCAACAGGTCGAAGGCGTCGCCGCAGGTGAAGCAGCTCTTAAGCAGATTGCTGGAGAAGGACCCAGCCAAGCGGATCACGGCAGGCCAGGCCCTGGGTCATCCGTGGATCACTCTCAATGCTGGCGGTCGCTCAGCTCCATCGTCTCCAGTGACCACATTTGCCGGTAAGCCTCCGCCTGCTCCAATCTGTGTGCGTCGGTAGATCGGCACTACGGTGTATTTTGTACTTTGCCTTATCCTCATAAAACGCGTAATAGCACGTCATGTACAAGCACGTTACGAACGCAGTTCTTCTCTAGCTATGAGGAATCCATCAACACCAGAGCCATATGCGGTGCCGATGCTGTAGCCAGCGATGATGATAACGGCTGCTACAACTGAGATCAAGTTGCCGATCAGTCCGCATATCGTGGCAGCGCCGATCAATACGAGCCAAAACGCCACCAGGGCGGTCAACACAGCTCCCTGCTCCTCCTGGAAAAGAGGCTTCGCTCCATCCGGGAGTTTCCCGTTCGACTCGTAGAATGCCTTCAGCATTGACTCCTTGCGCTCGAACCGTTGCTCCATCCACGTTGCAAGCTCGCTCTCGCTTTTGTCGCGCAGCGCCGAAATGTCCACTCGTTCGATGTAGAAGTGGATCATTCTCGGCACACGACCGCTCAGCAACGATGCCTCCGATGGGCGCTCGTTCGCGGCGTAGTCCACGTAGAACATCGTGACATCGTATACAGCCGTAAGCTGTGAGCGCAGCAGCGGGAAGATGAATGTCCAGCCAGTCGTACGCGGGTACAATGAGTACTGACGCGGCAGCAAACCGTTCTTCTTCGCAAAGGCGGCGCTCTTCTCCAGGTTGCTTTCACTGAGGTCCGTTCCTTCCGGGAACAGGAGGTATGAGGCCTCCGGTTCTGCGGATGATAGGAACGGCAGCAACTTGCGGAGGTTCACCTGGTCATCAGCCCAGCGGCGTTGCTGTGTAATATTAAAAATGGTTAGTGTAAGGCGTACTTTGGTACCGTAGCAAGCTATCGTACCAGAAAAATGAAGATGAAGTGCTGCATCGCCCAACCGAAGATGGGGATTTTCCGCAGCGGAGCCTTGAGGACGATCCGCAATTGATGCAGCGTGCGAGTCCGCCACGCCACGCTCCACAGCAGCATCCAGTCGATGCGCGTGCGGTGGTTCGACAGCCACAGCGCTCGATCTTGCGGCATTTCGTTCTCGTGCTTCTTGGTCTCAGCGTCGCCGTACACGCGGACCTGGATGCCGAACAGTTTCTCTAGTATATCCCCAACAGAACTCACGGTGAGCGTCTAGCAGCGGCAACTTCAACGCACGATCTTCCACTTCAACGTACCAAGCAGCAGCACCACTTGGCCCATCCACGCCCATTGTCTGCACACATAAAGAGCAGCAGCAATACATCCACGCACATGTCAGTGTCATAACGGACGCTGTGCGTATTCCTGTCGACGCACATGAAGCGAGTGACGCGGCGGTAGAAGCGCTTGGTCTGCAGACCCGCCGGTAGAGGCAACGCCGCCAGTAGGAAGGTCGGGGTCAGGACCCAGGCCAGGGCCGTCCAGCCCGTGACCACAAGCGACGCCAAGAACACGGCCCCACCAAGAGCGATGCGCATGGTCTCCGACCTTTTATTTATGAATCAGCCAATCAGCGGGCGCGGATGTGGACCACGCAGCCTCGCTTGAAACTTGAAGAGAAGGAATCTGCAGAGAAAGATGACGACGAGGGCGGAGGCGGAGCGCGACGTGAAGCTCCTCGTGAGCTTAGTGGCCATGGTCTTCGTGGGCCTCGGCAACAAGAGTGCGCGCTTCTCCTCACTCTGCGCACGGGAGAATTGGGAGTAAACTGACGCATTGTTTCTCCCTCGTTTGCTACATACAGTCTTCCAGAAGTGCGTTCTTGAGGCTGTGGCTGCTTAGTTCGTGCCTGGGGTCTAATGATTTATTCTCTCCATGCCGGCAGACTGCAGACCATCCCCATGCACAACTACCCGACGTTCCTGAACCTGCTCACCACGTTCGTCTACGTGCGTACTGCGTGCGCCCCTTGGCGTTGGGTCTTTCGAGTGCGTGCAATGGCTTTTACTGATCTCTTGATGCAACTGCCTGCAGATTCCTATCAGCTTCGCGTACATCCTGCCGATGATCAAGTACGGAAGTGCCATCACGTGGGACCAGCGTAGCATTCCAAAGCGCAAGTTCGCGGTCATGGGAGGACTCGACTCCATTGCCGGAATCCTGCAGGTGTTTGCAGCCACGTACCTGGGAGGATCCCTTATCATCTTGCTGGGCCAGGCTGCGATCCCCATTTCGATGCTGATCTCCAGTCTGCTGCTCAAGGCCAAGTACTCTGGCTACCAGTATGTTGGCGCAGTGGTCGTTTCACTGGGTCTGCTCATCGTGCTCGGGTCTGGTGCCTCTAGCAGCAGCAGTGGCACCAATCCGCACCTCGTCGTGCTGTGGTCTGTTGTTATGATAGTCAGCTGCGTCCCTATTTGCCTGTCCAGCGTGTTCAAGGAGAAGACGCTGGGCGAGGCGGAGCTAGATGCAGTCTACCTGAACGGCTGGATCGCTGTCTTCCAGTTCCTGTTTGCAATCCCGCTGACGTTTCCCGCGGCAATGGTTGGCGATCACCCAGTTACACCCAGAGAACTCCCAGAAAATCTGTACGACGGCTTGATGTGCTACCTGGGGCAGAACACCATCACTGAGGGTGGACACAAAGACGACTGCGAGAAGGCCACCATTTACGTGACGGCGTATCTGCTGTTCAATGTGGCATACAACCTGCTGATTATCCTGATTCTCAAGTTCGGCAGCGCTAACATCCTCTGGCTGGCAAGTGACGCTGAAGGGGATTGTTTCAGGTATTTTTTTAACCGTTGTGTTTTGTGTTGTGTTTTGTTCCAGGCCATGACAATTATGGTTCCGCTCGGCAACGTCGCTTTCACGTTCCCATTCATGCCGCAGCACCAGCCACTGCACGCGAAGGATATCGCGGGTTTGTTGTTCATCATGTCGGGGCTCTTCGTGTACCGGTTCCTGGAGGAGCTCATGGACTCGTGGAACAAGCGGAAGCCCGTCTACCCGGACGAGAAGGGCCCGGCGGTTGACGAACTCAAGCGTGCGCTCATCAGCAGCGACAGCGACACCAGCGACGACCTGGAGCGAGACGTGTAGAGGTTGAGGACAGTTCCCTCTAGCCGCTAGCTCTACAAACCTGTCCGCGTCACCGAGATGGACTTTGTCAGCCTATGGGCGAGTGCTGCCGACAATATCAATGAGTGAAGTTATTCAATCCTCCTACAACTAACGATAGATCGCTAGTTATCATGGGAAGTATACTAGATACTAATACCATATATGTTGTACGCGAAAACTAGCTGTAAGTGGCACGAGGGTACTGTAAACAAAGGCATATATCGCCAAGGCGTAAATCAAAACGTAATCACTCAGGCTTAGGGTATGGTGTGCACCACACAGTGCACCGGATGGCCATCGAGCTCTATTGACCGCAGAACCCGGGGAGCTCCTGAGGCACATCGCTGACCATGCTGGCCGCCGTCACCAAGAGCTTCGTGCGCGCCGCGGGCGCCGCCTCGACCCGTCGCGCGCCTCTGCTGAGCGCGCAGGTGTCTCTCTTCTCCACAGAGGCGGCCACGCCCGCGCCCGCGGCCGAGCAGCCCAAGCGCACCAAGCTCAAGATCCCCACCAAGCGCGCGGCGTCGCTGCTGCAGCAGCTGGAGGCGGAGGCTGTGGCCAAGGCCGCGGAGGGCAAGGACATTGACAACTTCAAGCCCGGCGACTCGGTGGAGGTGCAGTACCTGCTGAGCCGCACCGGCAGCCGCGTGCAGCGCGTCAAGGGCGTCGTGCTGGCGCGGCGAAACCGCGGCACGGGCAGCTCCTTCGTCATCCGCAACGTGAGTGGAGTGTGCGCGCGGGAGGTCCTGGCAAGTTTTTGCAGTAGACTGACTGGTTATTTGTGTTGTTGTTGTTGTTGTTTGGTGCAGCACATTGGCGGCTACGGTTACGAGCAGAAGATCTTCCTGCACTCGCCGCTGCTGCAGAGCGTCAAGGTGCTGCAGGAGGCGTTCATCCACAAAGGCAAGAAGCGCGTGCGTCGCGCAAAGCTCTTCTATCTGCGTGAGAAGGCGCCCAGCTTCACTACTGTCTAGGCGCTGCGGCTACGTCAGACTCGTCGGAACTGGCAACGTCGTGGCCATCGCAGCAGCGCTCTGTCTAGCGAGCGAAGCTGCGTGGATGTAGGAAAAGCAGCGCGAGTAGGAAAGGGGTCGGCAGCGTTAACACTAGAGAAGAAAAACGATTCACAGACCGCACAAGCTGCGCACAGGAACAGGTTCGTCTGTTATCGGCAAGGATGGAGGTTCTAGCCAAATCGCTGCGATTCGGGGCGGCGACTTCTTCTAGCGTCAGAGGCGCTTCCTCTATCTGCGTTTCTTTTTCTTGGACTTGCGAATGCCAGAGTCGCTAGACACCACGACGGCGGCAGGTTTGTCCGACTCGGCCTTGCGGGCAGCACGGGCCGCCGCATCCAGCTTTAAAGCGTCCTTCTCCGTGCCCATGCCAGCTCCCTGCGCACCGACGAAACGGTTGCGACCACGACGGCCACGCTTGCCATGAGAGCGCTGCTTGCGCGGGATCCAGCGCTCCGGGTCCGGGTTCACGAGGCCAATAGACGCGTTGTAGTCCGGACGAGAACGCAGCTTGGTCAGATGCGCCTCCCTGCGCTTGGCCCGCTTGCGGGCGATGCTCTCCGGGCTCTTGGCGGCACGCTTACGTCTGGTGAACAGGAAAGACAACACAGTTAGAGGTGCGGATACGAACAGGATATGGTGAGCAAGTATCCACTACGCACTCGTTCTTCTTGTCGCCAGTGTCCGCAAACTTGGCAGCCAAACGGTTCGAGCGAGGAGCCTGCTTCTCCAGTTCACTTGGGTCGACTCCGCTTTCCTCCACAGCAGGCAGCATGGCGCAACGCGCCTCAGCAGCTTCGGCATCGCAGAACGACCTGCATACATGAGCAATAAAGGTTAGAACTGCAGATAAAGTAGGGCGCAGCTCACTGGGCGACTTACAGAGCAACAACCAACGAGGCCATTGAACGCAGACGCAGATCGCGGTCCATAGCACCAGCAGTCTCGCCTTCCAGCAGCTCCAAGTACGCGTCGGCAGCTTCACGGTACTGCTTCTTCTGAATCTTGTACCAGCAGTCTCCCTCACGAATCTTCATAGCCTGCTCCGACGTGTAGTTGCCAGCCCTGTGGTGAATCAACGCGCGTTCCAGCACGGCCTGAGCCGACGCCGAGTCGCCAGCTTGCTCGTAGAGAGCAACAAGGGTGGCCACTGTACCCGGCGAGTGCGCCAGCTCCTCAATGGAGCGAATGCACTCGGCGGCCTTCAGCACGTGTCCTTCGGTCAAGTACACGTGCGCGAGGCCAAGACGGCCGCCCACACTCATATCATCCTGAATGTACACGGATCATATTAGAGTGTAGAGTTGAGCTTAGTACTGCTGTGATCCAAGCTTGGACGCTAAACATTTCGTACCTGCAGCTGTTCAATAGCAGCTCCCGGAGATTGATCCTTGATTGCTAGCAGGACCACGATGTCAGCAATCGACTTCGACGCGGGGAACTGCTTCTTCAAAGCTTCCAAGCTCTCGCGGCATTCCTCCGTCTAGAAATCGTTAGGTTCACCATTTGTTAGAACGTGAGGAAAACCTGATACTGCTAAGAAGGCAAGACGCACCTTGTTCATGAGGCACAGCAACAGCGTGCGGTTCGTGAGAATGGCCTCCTGCTGCGTAGGGTTCAGCTTGTCCGACAACACCGCGGTATCGATATTCTTCAGTCGCTTGAACGAGTCCAGCACGTCGCGGTCCTGACGGATTGTCACGATGTTGTTCGAAGCCACAGCTCCCACAGCACGGTTACGGAGCCTGCAGCAACATCAAAGCTAAAAGTTAGCAATGAAAACACACAGCAGAGATGCAACAACAACGTAGCGTACTTCAGCTTCAACACGTTGCGGTAGTCTGAGAGGGCATCATCCAGATTGCCACGCATTTGCTTCACATACGCAAGCTGCGTCTTGATGACGGCCACCTCCTCTTCAATCTCCGCCTCCGAAGCTCCCTCCGCCACGAACGTATCACAGCACAAGCCTGTTATTCCCATACAAAAGGTCAGTACGTCACGTTGGCACGCCAGTACAGCAGACTCTTCTTACGCTCGGCGGTCAGCAAAAGCTCCTCCGCCGCCTCCCAATCACTGGACTGGATAGCTACGAACGACTTGTTGAAGGCCACTTCGAATCCATCGTCAATCTGTGATAGCATAAGACAACCAGCTTCCGTATTAGCAGCGATTCCCCTCCGCGAGCACTCCTCCTCATAGTCCGCTTACCGGAATCTCGCGGTCCTTCAGTTCCTGGCTTCTGCCGGCGCTCGCGTACGCCGCCAGCAGGTTCGTCTGCAACTCCAGGAGGTCGTCACCCTGCAATCACCCAGCACAAAATCCATTCTCGTTAGCACTTGTAGGGTAGTCAATTCCCCCATGACCACACACAAATACGCACCTCCGGGCCGCGAGAGAGCAGCAGTTCGTAGATGCGGATGCTCTGGTCGTAGTCGCCCTTGCGGAAGTGCTTCAGAAAGAGAGAAACAGCGTCAGATCCCCGCGATCCCTCCACCTTCCTAGTCAGGAGTCGGTCGGCGTACCAGTTGCGCCGCCAGGTGCAGCTGAGCCGTGCTCTGGGTCTCCAGGTCGCCACCACCCAGCAGTTTCAGCGCGTCGTCATCCTGCTTGAGGCGGTACAGGCAGTAGGCCTTCTCCGTGCTGAGGAAGTCGTACTTGACGGCAAGCTCCAGCGCCTTGTCGAACTACAGAGGAGACATGGAGCACGCGGCGTGAGGATCCGAAGGAAGGAAATAGTGAAGGGGTAACACAGTCCGCACCTTCTCGAGACGGATGAGCGCCACGCACTTGACCTTGACGGCGTCCACGTCGTCCGGCAGCTTGGAGCGGACTGCAGCACGAGGCATGAGCGGGGTCAGACACAGCGCGTTCGATTCCTCTGCGCATGGTACGAGCTCTCACTTTTGTTGCAAATGTCCACAGCGCGCGAGTAGTTCTCGCGCTTGAGCGCGGCGTTGAGCTCCGAGAAGCTCGCGGCCACCGCAGCGTCGGCGGAGACGGTAGTCGCCATGATGCTGCTCCCCCTTTGGTGTTTTGTGTTGGGCCACACATGGATGGTGTTTCGCACACCAAATGTGCATGTGGCCTTCAGAAAATCACGCAAATCGCAAATTCGACAAACGCAAATCCTGTACAGTAATCTGCCCGAGTAAGGAACGCCTGATATATATAAAAGACGCAGAATATATTGTGCCTTGCATGCTTTCTGACTAAACAACGACGTAATTCGTTGTTTTAGCAAATCACGGTGATTAGCCCATCATTGAGTTAGGAGGCTAACTCGTCGATTTAAGATAGAATAGCTGCTAAGACAACGAGTTAACGTTGAGTTATGCTCACTTTCGTTGAATGGCTGGAGTAAATCCGACAATACTACGGCCCTGACATTCTAATTCTAACTCGCTCGCTTTGTCTGATTGCTTTCTAGTCGATGATTGACATGCGTTGGCGATCTATCGTAGTACTAAACTACGTCTACAATATTGAAGAACATCCCTGTTTTTATATCGAGGAGCTGCAAGCAGCTTTAAAGTCAGCGTTTCCTGCACTACCAAACATTTCTAGTAGAAAATTTCTACTGCTACTATATGCCGTGCTCTGAAATTCGAGCTTGGTTTAACGCGCAAGGCCACGACGAAGAGAGCGAAAGAAAACGTCCCCGCCGAAATCGGTGCTTACTATTATGCAAGGAGTTGGCGCCATTCTATCGGGGATCTTATCGGTTTGTTTTCTTGCAGCGACAACCGATTTATTCTTGCAGTGGCAACCGCTCCGTTCTTGCTCTGCGTTGTGTTTGGTACTGGCCGTTGATTAGCTTAACTTTAACTTAGAGTTAGGCTGCGAGATATGATCACCGGGAAGGATTTGCTCGTTGGTTTAGAGTCCTTAATCGCATGCCAAAGTTCGTGCAAAGCACAATATAAATTGATGTTAAGTTGAGTATACTTTTCCAATGCACTGATTTAGTTATTTCAAAATGAACAGAAGAGCAGCTTTACCTACGAGTCCGGAATGATTCCAACAGTGGCGTATGGTCGAAGCACTAACCTTTGACCAGGCATCCTCGCACCACAACAGCGCTGTCAACTGGTCGACCTCGTAGGGACTATCTAGCCCTTCACCAAGCCGGTCTAGAGCCTGCATCATCTTGCGGAATAGAATGTGTCGCTTAATACAATGAATGATTCCTTGGTCCTTCTCCAGCGGCCACCCCAGCAGGACTGCACTTGACTTGATTATGCGGCATATCGTTGTCTTGCCTGGGGCGGCCGGGAGGCTGAACTCCGTGTCAGCCCACTCAGCCAGGCCCCTGTTGGAGAGAGCAGGTGTGCGGGCTGCCTTGTCGAGGATGCCCACTTTCTCAGACCAAGTGAGGCGGAGACGCTTGGACGGTGTGGACTTCATGGGTGGAGTGGGGGAGGAGGTGGGCTTGTGGGGCGAGGTGCAAAAGCAAAAGTGCGAGTCTACCACTACGGTACATGTAGTTTGAAGTCTAGTAAGATCGCTAAATGCGCGCCATTTTTCAAACGAGGGTGGAGAGCTGATGATTGGCACTGGATTTTTCACCTTAGTACCTCAGTACCTTGCACTACCTTGCACATCCCCCTATCGCCCCATCAACTGGAAAATAATATTAAATATGTGAGGCTATTAGTTATACACCCGTTTCTTATCCGGGCAGAATTCTGTAGCAAAATGCGCCGATGCGCTCGCAAAATCAGTCGCAATTTGCGGAGACGATTTTGGAGTCTCTGCAAATTGCGAGTGATTTTGCGAATGCTATTCGATGCACTTACCATCGTTTTCATACATTGTAATGCATATCACTGGATTGATCGTTATCGCTACTGTGTTTTCCGCTAAGCCCTGGAGTTGCAATCCTCTCCATAGACTATTTGTCGCCGCCTAACCTTGCCTACTCTGTGGTTGCATTTTGCTTGTGATTTTGGCGCTCACAATCCCAACGCAAATCCAGGTGTAGGTGAACGCAAAATCGCTCTCAAATTGCGCCGAAATGTGATTTGCGTGATTTTCTGAAGGCCCCCATTATCTCCGCTCGTAGTGGACATCCTTATAAAGGAGCTGCCAACCATGTAGGACTGACTATGCTAGATAGTCAGCCATAGATAGTAGGAATAGGCGGCGCTGCCGCAGCAAGCTTTCAAGACAGTTCTCATTCTTACCAAGAAGTCTTTGACTTGTTTCGCGGGTCCTCGGATAAGACCCTGGTTGGACTCTTTGAGTCGGAAACCTTTCCTGTGCGCTACCGCAACCCCGCTGCAAATTTACGGCAACATGCTGGCATGTGCAGCCTTGTACAACAGACGATGGAGAGTGATCGTGCAGCAAAATTCAAGCAAGACAACGCGCTACAATATCGAAATTCTACTATATATCGTTTCATCTACGTTCTCATAGGTGATTATCATGTTTACGAGGTATACTTCGTACTTAGTATTTATCTGCTGGATACGACAATTGCTATAAGGTTTTGGTCGGCATCATCGGTTGTAGCAAACACGACGCAAATTGGGACGTATTGGGGGACTTCAGAAAATCACGCAAGTCGCAAATTCGACAAACGCAAATCCTGTAGCAAAATGCACCGATGCGCTCACAAAATCAGTCGCAATTTGCGGAGACGATTTTGGAGTCTGCAAATTGCGAGTGATTTTGCGAATGCTATTCGATGCACTTACCATCGTTTTCATACATTGTAATGCATATCACTGGATTGATCGTTATCGCTACTGTGTTTTCCGCTAAGCCCTGGAGTTGCAATCCTCTCCATAGACTATTTGTCGCCGCCTAAACTTGCCTACTCTGTGGTTGCATTTTGCTTGTGATTTTGGCGCTCACAATCCCAACGCAAATCTAGGTGTAGGTGAACGCAAAATCGCTCTCAAATTGCGACGAAATGTGATTTGCGCGATTTTCTGAAGGCCCCCATTATCTCCGCTCGTAGTGGACATCCTTATAAAGGAGCTGCCAACCATGTAGGGCTGACTATGCTAGATAGTCAGCCATAGATAGTAGGAATAGGCGGCGCTGCCGCAGCAAGCTTTCAAGACAGTTCTCATTCTTACCAAGAAGTCTTTGACTTGTTTCGCGGGTCCTCGGATAAGACCCTGGTTGGACTCTTTGAGTCGGAAACCTTTCCTGTGCGCTACCGCAACCCCGCTGCAAATTTACGGCAACATGCTGGCATGTGCAGCCTTGTACAACAGACGATGGAGAGTGATCGTGCAGCAAAATTCAAGCAAGACAACGCGCTACAATATCGAAATTCTACTGTATATCGTTTCATCTACGTTCTCATATGTGATTATCATGTTTACGAGGTATACTTCGTACTTAGTATTTATCTGCTGGATACGACAATTGCTATAAGGTTTTGGTCGGCATCATCGGTTGTAGCAAACACGACGCAAATTGGGACGTATTGGGGAACTTCAGAAAATCACGCAAGTCGCAAATTCGACAAACGCAAATCCTGTAGCAAAATGCACCGATGCGCTCGCAAAATCAGTCGCAATTTGCGGAGACGATTTTGGAGTCTGCAAATTGCGAGTGATTTTGCGAATGCTATTCGATGCACTTACCATCGTTTTCATACATTGTAATGCATATCACTGGATTGATCGTTATCGCTACTGTGTTTTCCGCTAAGCCCTGGAGTTGCAATCCTCTCCATAGACTATTTGTCGCCGCCTAAACTTGCCTACTCTGTGGTTGCATTTTGCTTGTGATTTTGGCGCTCACAATCCCAACGCAAATCTAGGTGTAGGTGAACGCAAAATCGCTCTCAAATTGCGACGAAATGTGATTTGCGCGATTTTCTGAAGGCCCCCATTATCTCCGCTCGTAGTGGACATCCTTATAAAGGAGCTGCCAACCATGTAGGGCTGACTATGCTAGATAGTCAGCCATAGATAGTAGGAATAGGCGGCGCTGCCGCAGCAAGCTTTCAAGACAGTTCTCATTCTTACCAAGAAGTCTTTGACTTGTTTCGCGGGTCCTCGGATAAGACCCTGGTTGGACTCTTTGAGTCGGAAACCTTTCCTGTGCGCTACCGCAACCCCGCTGCAAATTTACGGCAACATGCTGGCATGTGCAGCCTTGTACAACAGACGATGGAGAGTGATCGTGCAGCAAAATTCAAGCAAGACAACGCGCTACAATATCGAAATTCTACTATATATCGTTTCATCTACGTTCTCATATGTGATTATCATGTTTACGAGGTATACTTCGTACTTAGTATTTATCTGCTGGATACGACAATTGCTATAAGGTTTTGGTCGGCATCATCGGTTGTAGCAAACACGACGCAAATTGGGACGTATTGGGGGACTTCAGAAAATCACGCAAGTCGCAAATTCGACAAACGCAAATCCTGTAGCAAAATGCACCGATGCGCTCGCAAAATCAGTCGCAATTTGCGGAGACGATTTTGGAGTCTGCAAATTGCGAGTGATTTTGCGAATGCTATTCGATGCACTTACCATCGTTTTCATACATTGTAATGCATATCACTGGATTGATCGTTATCGCTACTGTGTTTTCCGCTAAGCCCTGGAGTTGCAATCCTCTCCATAGACTATTTGTCGCCGCCTAAACTTGCCTACTCTGTGGTTGCATTTTGCTTGTGATTTTGGCGCTCACAATCCCAACGCAAATCTAGGTGTAGGTGAACGCAAAATCGCTCTCAAATTGCGACGAAATGTGATTTGCGCGATTTTCTGAAGGCCCCCATTATCTCCGCTCGTAGTGGACATCCTTATAAAGGAGCTGCCAACCATGTAGGGCTGACTATGCTAGATAGTCAGCCATAGATAGTAGGAATAGGCGGCGCTGCCGCAGCAAGCTTTCAAGACAGTTCTCATTCTTACCAAGAAGTCTTTGACTTGTTTCGCGGGTCCTCGGATAAGACCCTGGTTGGACTCTTTGAGTCGGAAACCTTTCCTGTGCGCTACCGCAACCCCGCTGCAAATTTACGGCAACATGCTGGCATGTGCAGCCTTGTACAACAGACGATGGAGAGTGATCGTGCAGCAAAATTCAAGCAAGACAACGCGCTACAATATCGAAATTCTACTATATATCGTTTCATGTACGTTCTCATATGTGATTATCATGTTTACGAGGTATACTTCGTACTTAGTATTTATCTGCTGGATACGACAATTGCTATAAGGTTTTGGTCGGCATCATCGGTTGTAGCAAACACGACGCAAATTGGGACGTATTGGGGACTT